GTTCTGAAAAAAATATGAATGATCAGGTAGTGAACACTCGCTATCACCTTCTTTTTCATTTACTATAAATAGCCATTACTGTATTGTAATGTAAAAGACTTACATGTTTTAACCGTTTAATGCTTTTCAAGTTTATGAATATAAATTCTAAAATTATAAAAGCTTGAAAAAAATCATGAAAATATCTGTTAACATATTAAATTATGATAAACAAAAAATTCGTCTTCAATGTTAAATTATTTTGCGAGTGGTGGCAAAAAAAAAGATCTAACCACGTGGAATTTATTTTGCATTCTCGTATGAATAATTAATGATGCGAAAAATATATATGAATAAAAACATGGCGCACAAACACATTTTCTGCGGAAAAAGCTTTCATTCTTACATATCTTTCTATTCTTATTAGTGTAAAATAATTAAAAATCAATGTAAAAATATATCGAAATGTGCACTATAATTATATAAAAATATCTTTAAATAGTATTTTAATATGTAAAATTATTTTAGCGATATTTCGATTACAAATTGTATAGATACATCGAGACGAGTTTGAAGAAAAGAAAATTAGCGATATCATTTCTCGAAACATATAGTCCAAATCAATCAGAAGAAACCAGACGAGGAGTCTGGATGTCTTCGTCGAGCAAGATTCCTCGTATAAAATCAAGTACGGGGAATACGGCAAACAGCCGAGGATTAAAGAGTGCAAAACACGCAGATTCTTCGTGGCTGGTGCGCCTTTTTGCAGATGGAGGAAGGTAGTATCAGCCATATTCAGCAACGGAAGGGTCGCGTCCCGAGGAAGTCCGCGGTAGAGAATGAATGCGGGCTTGACCGAGAGGTATAGAAAGAGGAGAGGGACAGGGAAAGAGATAAAAGAGAGAGAGAGAGAGAGAGAACGCGTCCAACGTGTACAAGAGAAGAGAAATGCGGTGGTAAAAGAGAGAGAGGATGGGGAATAGTAACGCGCAGTGCCCGGACAACGCTCCCGCTGGTGCTGGGGCCAACTAACGGTCCAAACCACCACCATCACCACCATCACCATCACTACCATCAACATCGCCATCGTCACAAGCAACGCGAACCTCACTTCGATAGTCCTCATCATCATCCTTCTCCTCCTTTTGCGCTTCTTCGCGCACATGGCTTTTCTTCCCTTCGTCTTCGTCATCGTCGGCGTCGTTGTTATCGTCATTAAACTGCGTCCTCACTAGAGCAACAACGATCAAATGTTCTATATTTCTTTCAAAAGTTGCTAGCTGTTGCTGAAAGTTTCTTAAGCTGCGGCCTCACTGGAGAACATTAATAAAATGTTCTATGTTTCTTGAAAAAGTTCCCTAACAGCACATATATTCGAAAGATGTTCAGAGGATATTCGGATGTTCTCTGAATATCTTCTGAATGTTCTTCGGCTATATTACGTGCTGTTAGGGTTGCTAGTTGTTGCTGAAAGTTTCTTAAGCTGCGGCCTCACTGGAGCAACAACGAGCAACTTTTTGTTGATGTTCCATGTTGCTTAAAAAAGGTGCCGAAAGTTTCTTAAAGTTTCTCATTATTTTTATTGTCAAAAACAAAATTGTTGTTGCGTGTTCCATTCGAAGCAGCAAAGATAAAAGAAATATGAGCAACAGTACCTTCAATTCTCAGCGACACAGTTGCGATTAAATTGGAAATAGAAACAAAACCCAAATATTTCTGTAATTATGTCGCTTCAGGTATGGACAAAATGTGGTCGTTGACATATATGTCGAAATATTTGGAAACATTTAGCAATAAAAAGTTGCTCGTTGTTGCTCCAGTGAGGACACAACTTTACGGACCTCTTTCTCGTGCGCGTGTTGTTGCACACAGATTCTTTTAAACTATAAATTCCCCGAAGACTGGCGTCTTTTTACCATTTCCTTTTACTACATTTCCTCTCACGACGGATTCCGCGAACGCAGGCATACGTGGCGAAGAGACAACTCAGGCGTAAACGCGCGCGCATGCATGTAGGTATTCGACATGAAGAGGAATTTTTGCGCGGGTTCGAGGATCACTAAGACGGTATATCTTATCGTATCCGGTACTTCTCCGATTCTTTATCACTCTTAAGGAGAATAGAATAAGCAGCCCCGGTATAAGTAAGGCCCGTTTAACTCGTGAATATGAAAGTGGAGTCTATTTTACAAGACGCGCAGTCCTTATTGAAGTAATTTAACGAGAATACGCTACACACTCGACGCTTAAACATACTCGTGCGTATTTTTGCGATATTACTGCAGCATGTAGCTGCTATTTTTAGATACTAACGTATAAGATACCGACCATCCTCCGCGGTCATAAAAGCCGGATGGAACTCGGATATGACCGTTCGAGCAGGAGAGAAGAATGAGGAAACCTCATATCCGCGCGCACTGTATTTGCGCACGATTACAAACGGATCCACGAATAAAGAACTACATCCCTCGCGCTACGATCAAAGGTCCGAGAAATTCTCGAGTTACGAGATGCTCGTGGTAGACCTAACCGTCTATTGATTGTTTTTTTGTGTCGTTTTTTACAGCATACCGCACGCGAGCTCTTCCTCAAAACTTGCACAAATTCATCCTTCTCTTTCTCGCATTTTCTTTCAACAAAAGGATCGGAATAAAGAGCAACGCGTTTGCATATATATAGCTCGAAAAATAGGAAGATTCTTAATTTTCAATATAAAATGTGATTAAAAGTTTTTTAAAGTTTTTATATTAAATATTCTAATATATTTTAATATATCCATTCTCTACACAAATAAAAAAATCTTTAAACAAAATTATACACAGTAATCATGGATTTTCATGAAATAGGGAACAAATTTTTGTGGAGTAATTTACCAATTTTTTACAGTATATTACACGTGAGCTCTTTCTTAAATCTTGCACAGATCCATGTTCCCTTTCTCGCATTTTCTTTCAACAAAAGGATTTAAATAAAGATGCAACGTATTTGCATATAGCTCGAAAAGAGAAAGATTCTTAATTTTCAATATTAAATGTAATTAAAAATATTTTAAAGTTTTTTTATTAAATATTCTAATATATCCATTCTCTTAACATATAAAAAAATTTTTAACATAAAATTTTACACAACAATAATAGATTTTCAAGAAATGGAGTGCAAATTTTTAGACAAATTTATAAATTTATAAAGATTCTCAAAAGACAAAGAGAGAGGATATCAAAAGAAGAAAGAAAGAGAAAGAAGAAGAAGTGAGGTAAACGTTTTATTCAAGAGTAATAGTCTTAGAAAGGAAAGGTCAGCATTGGATTTTTCAGCATCGTATTATTACTTTCTATAGACGAGGTCATAGGTATGGAAAAGCCTAATAATGAAGCGGAAAAGTAGAGCAGTCCGTCATGATTGTAAATCACGATTCGGCCTTTAACATAATCTAAACGAGATTATTTGCGCAAAGGTGCCAAGGATTTTTTTCTAAAGCATATACGTAATTAGCAGCGCAGACTTTTCTTATTTTCATCAACATTGGATATTTTAATTCTCTTTTTAATTCTCATTATGCAAATAAATCGTAGTTAATAAGATCAGATGAAAAAATATTTGAAGTAATATATCTTATTTATTATATATTTTATATAATTAAAAATCATTATTTATTTATTGCTAAAGTTCATTTTTCACATAAAAATTATAAAAGATTATATTTAAAATGACGTAACAATTTTGTAAAAAAATGTATTAAACTGTACAGAGAATAAGAATGCTTATTTTTATTCTCTCTGCACATATTTTAATATATTCTCTTTTGCAAAATTTTTATATTTTGAATATCTTTCAGAATTTCTACGGAACAAATAAATTCTAAGCAAGAAATTATTTTTTTTAATTATAAATATAAGAATAAATAATGCATATGTATAAAGTTATTACGAATAAAAAATGTATAAACCCAAATAGCAAAAAATATTTAAAACTCATTTTTAAAGATATTAATACGTTAAAATAATTGGTTAAATCCCTTTTTATTCATTAAAAAAACATTTCTTTTATAACGTTAATGTAATACAAAATTTAATGTTTATTAAATATTTATTTTCTTAACATTTTATTAAAATTTTATTAATGAAATATTATTAATAAAATATTTTATCAATAAAACATTACTAAAATAAATACTTAATAAACGTTTTAATAAATATTTATATTACATTAACGTTAAACATACATTTTTAATGAATAAAATGGAACATAATCAATTCTTTTAACATTTTAAAAATATTTTAAAAAATGAGCTTTATACATTTTTTTTACTTGAGAATGTGCAGAAAAAGGACTGCACGTAGTGTCAAATGACCACACAACAGCTGTTGCATACATTCATTGCATATTCTAAACCGATCGAAAATACAGAATTTCAGGAAAAAATGGCTATTGAAAAAAAAGAATATAAAACAAGACGAAAAGCAGATTTTTTAGCGGGATCGCCGAGCGTTCTCCCATATGTACGTCACGAATAATAAACTATGCAGTGCATCGGGATGCACCGACCGTATTGCATTACGCATTCCGCCGACGTTTCTTCCGGAAAAAGATGGATGAAAAAACTCTCAGACGTCCGCGTCTTGGTCAGTCAAGACCTCCTGACCTCTTTTGTCCTTTTCAGATCTCGGCTGTTTGAAACCGCGAGCAGCCTAATGAATTTAGGCAACCAGAAAAAAGGAAGCAATTTTCCTCGTAAAAAAAACTCTCAATCGAGAGTGTAAAATATCTTCCGTATTCCACCAGGCTCCGTTTTCGAAGAGCATGAAGCATCAGTAATATCCTCTTTCGTAACTTTCAATGAATTCCTTTTCCATGAAATATTTTCCAAGCTTTTCTCCGAAAACGAAGCCTGGTACGACAAACATTTTGATATTTTTTATGCAAGTGCAAAACTAACCTAAAATGGCGGCTCCCGCATAAAGCAAGTTCACTTACAATTCTAGCCAATTTGTTTATATGAAAATTACAGAACCTTCTCTTACCTCGAATGCACAGAAGTCTTCTCTTCCTGTTTCGAAGAAAGGATCGCCGTGATTCCATCGTTGGTCGCCTCTTGCATTCACGAAAGACACCCGAGTAAAATTTCGCGACGAACCAATACTTGTTACATCGCGCGCGAATACGAGATCTATTTGAAATTCGGAGGGTGCAATTTCACACGCGCGACAAACTTTTTTACTGCGCGTTGATTGGCTGCAATACAGAAAACTTCTCGAGCTTTGCAGCCAATCAACGCACTAAAGTTTGACGTATAATGCGTGAAATTGGTAATGCGTATTAGATAATTCAAGGGACACTAGAAATTGGCACCCCAGGGTGCCCTCTGTCTGGATCTACGTTGCCGAATCCTTTATCACGTGACCGCGTAATCAGTCTTAACGCATGGTGATACCGCTAGATGTCGATTATCGATGTTTTGGTGCGAATCGACACGTGTGTGTGTGTGTTTATTTTCGTTGCGATTTGCGTTTCGCACAGTGTCGCGTGATTATTCCGCGATTCTCCCGACGTAATGTATTCCGAGTCGACCGATTTCAACAGCGAGGAAAGCGTGGACACCTGGTCGCCGAAGCGAACGATAATCGATGACAATCGCGACGACACGACGTCGTATCTCGTGCACGAATTCGGTGACTTGGTCGATCATCATGGCTGGATTCAATGTCACTCTAAAACCTATCCCGATCGCGTGTATTTTCACAATATGCACAGCAACTGCAATACGTGGTACAGACCCATCTCGCGCTACATCGACATCCCGTCCATCTCCATCAGAAAGGTGAGCTTCTCCGAATTGGTACCTGTGAAAATAAAAATAAACAATATAGAGCTCTGTTTTTTTTTCATATATTTTTCAGAGTTATTGATATATTAAATGTAAAATATGCATTTTTGTATTTCTTTATCAAGATTGAGCTACCTCTGTCTTTGTTTTTAACTTAAAATTAATTAATTAATCATAGAGCAAGTATGCGCGCTCAGGTGTGATTTTGTCTCTTTAATATTTATATATATACTTATATATACAATGGAATGAGAGAAAATATAGTTTAAATTATTTGAGAAATCATCCTATTAAAAAAACAATTCAATTTATTGAATGGATGCATCGTATTCTCAATTTTATATATAATTACAAATGTCAAAAAATTTCTTATTTAATTATATTTAATTAAAATCGTGCGCAGCATTTAATATAAAAAATTGCACTAAATAAATACGTATATAATAATTATTTTAATAATATTAATTAGAAGAGTTTATAAAGATTATGAGATGTATAATAAAGATATATATATATATATATATAAAATATCGGATGGACATAATTTTCTGAAAAAGTAAGAGAAATATTATAATGACAAAAAATGTTGCGTGATTTAAAACAATTTTTTTCTACAGGTGTTTCATAGAGATGACGGGTCGGCAGCGAACAATATAGAATTGTTGTCAGTATCGGACAACGAGAAGGAGTCGGCTGCTTCGGTTGCAGATGACGATAGATCGACAGTAATTCCGGATGTCGTTGCGCGATATTATTACACACCTCAGGTGGATCTGACCTCCGACGTGGATGATTTGAAATCATCTCCGGATAGATCACCATCGGTCGACGCATTTGTCAATGAATATCTTTACGACAAAGAAAAAGACATCAATGGGAACAACGTCGACGAGGGTATCGGAGACGAAAGGAACAGTTCGGAAATGGAATGCGCCACGAATTTTCTCGAAACCGAGTTTTTCGTGGGAGATGGTGAGGTGAACCTCGAAAAGATCAATCGGGTAATCAATTTCTCGATGAACGACGACGAAATCTCTTCCGCGACCACGCTGTCTACTTCCGCGATCGAGCCGTACGTGGTTTACGGCGTTCCTCGCCTGAAGAAGATCAGTCTGGAGGATCAGCTGATCAAGCAACGGAGAACTCGCGTCTCCAATCGCGTCGAGAAGGGACCCAAAAAAATAATTTGCGACATGTACGGCGTGAAGACCATCAATTACGATCTGCCTACGCAGGATCAGGTGCAGGCGCAGGTGGGAGTAAAATCGTCGACGTTGAGCGAGAGCGACAGCGACGTAAGTGAACCACCGCCGTCGAGGAACGTGAAAACGCTGCCGTTGTTCGAGTCCGAGTGGTGCGACATAGAGAAGAACTTGCATCAACCGTTACTGAGCGATCCGAGTTCCAGTCCGTCGTCACGGTCCGATACGAACAACTCTAGTACGTGCTGGAGCACCAGCTCCACCACTTCCTCTACGTGCTCTGTGTGCTCCACGTGCACTGAAAAAAGCATGTCTTGAACAAAATATCATATAGTTATAGTTCTACCTTACATGACATACATTGAAAAAAAATTTGTCAACTTGACTAAACCTTTCAACTAAATATTATTTTGTTAATTGAATATATAAAAATATTTAAATTAAATGTAACATATTTGACTTAAATAGTAATATGTGTTCAATTAACAAAATAATAATTTAGTTGAAAGGTTTAGCCAAGTTAATAATTTTTTTCAGTGACATATAGGATGTTTTACTATCTATTTGACAGTATTCCTTTCGGCAGCTTTAGTTTTAATCACATGACTTATTTTCAGTTCTTTTTTGTTATCTTTTTGTACTATATCTCGTATGTCAAGGTAATTCCTACTTTTATTTTAGTTATTGACTTGAATTTTCTTATTTTTGTTTTATTTATATGCATTAGTTTTTGGAGCAGTTATTTAAGTTTTGTGATATATATTTTCTTGATATATTTTTTATATCACGTTATAATGAAAATGAAAGAATCTTTATTTAGTTTGTTAACTTGCTTACGATATTATTAATATAGTATTCTCTCGTAAAAATTATTTGAAGAGTGCTAGAGTTTATAAAAGATTGGCAATATCATGTTATAATGAAAGTGAAAGAATCTTTATTTAGTTTGTTAACTTGCTTACGATATTATTAATATATAGAATTCTCTCGCAAAAATTATTTGAAGAGTGCTAGAGTTGATAAAAGATTGACGATAAAGTATCTGCAAGATTCAAATAATGTACCTTACCAGTAACATACGAGAGAGATCAGAAATAAAACATTTTACTTTTAGAATACAAAACTGTACATATTACTTATAATTCTATATAATGTATGAAAAAAAATCTGTCGAAAGGCAGAAGAGTGAAGCGGAGCTGCGCTGCGTTATGCGCTCGCGGGCATTCTCGGTATCCCGCGGTAAGGGATCAGTAAGGTAGGAGTGCCAACAAGAGGAGCGCAACGAGGAGATGCAGGTGCAACGGTGCGGTCGTCACCGTGGCATGCCTCTCGTTTCGCTTTAAGCACGAAGGTTGCGTTTTTTGCTCGCGTCGGTCTCTCGCCGCTGGTAACGTCCCACCGCGTCTCAAGCGTGGCAACCGCTCTGATGGAGCGGCGTCAACGGAGCGCGGCGGAGAAAAACGGCCCGGACCCCTCGCGGCGGCGACGGCGACGAAGGAGGAGAGTCGCGCGGTTCAAGAAACGTTCCGCGCTCCGCTGACGACGACGTTCTTCCTCGACTGTATCCGGACAATTAATCATTCTACGAAGAACGACAACTCTTTGCTTTTAATATACATTTTTAATTTATTCCGTTAAAGCTGATCAGGTTCATCAAGTACGCTAATGTATTCTGGCGAAAGAGATTTTTTTTATTAATTTATGTTAATTTTATATTATTGTGTTTTAATATACAGGGTGTCTCTAAATAAGTGCGAAAAATTTTAGGTTTGTCGAAAATTAAAAGGAGTTTACATATAATTATATACTTCTGTATCTCTCCCCGAAGAGTTATACTTCTCTAAATTTTTTTTTAAACTATTAATTTAAAAAATGAAAAAAATAAAAAAATTTTAAAGAAATTAATCTTTCTAACGCTTATTTTTAGATGATTACATTCCGGTTAAAAAGTTCTAATAAAAAATTGAATAGGAGTTGTTAGTTTCATCCTCTCACGATCCTAACGATACGGAAAGATTTAAAAAATATTAATAAGTATCCTTTTTACTAGTAGAAAATATCCGCCAAATTTTATTTTTCTTATTTGCTCATTAAAACCTAATTTTAATTCCACTTTTGGAAAAGTATAACTTCTCAGAGAGGGATATAAAGAAGAGCATATGTTTGCTCTTCTATTTTATAAAGAACTTCTTATATTTTTCAACAAAAAATGACTTCCTAAAGTTCTTTGTACTTATTTAGCAACATCCAATTTGTCATTATCGCTTTTTTAGTTTATATCTCATTGTCAGAAAATATGAGAAAGAAAATATATCCCGTGAAATTATCTGTTGACAGACTATGTGACATGTATAGTGATTAATTTATAATGATTAATATTATTATTTATGTCTTATTTAAAAATATATTTTTCATATATTGCATTTACCATAGAATAACATGATTTAAAAATTCTATACACAAGCGTATCCAAATATTATATATGTATAACATATGTATTATATAAATATATATATATACTATACTATATTATGCATATATTATATAATAATATATTTTATTGTACGTATAATCTGATTATAAATCTAATAAACACGAGTCAATTCTCTCGTGATATTTGATCATAAATTTGAAAAAAAGAGCTGTCGCGTTTTTCTCATATTTTCGCTTGAATTTAATGCACAAATGTCCAAGTACCGCGACAAGTATTAAACGCGCGCCAAGCATCAGCGTTTGACCGGCAAAAATCACAGCCGGTTTCTAGCAGGCCGGCATATGGCAAACGTTACCTCGACAGGAGCCGGAGCGTTTTATTCGCGCGTCGTCTCTCGCAGCTATTATTCGTGTCCATCGTCGGCATCCTCGTGGTCGATTCGCAACGTCGGCAATCGAGAATCGGGGAAACAAGTGGAAGCGTAACCAGGCGCAGCCAGCCGCGAAAAACGGAACCTGCGACAGACATACATATATGAGCAGGGGATCATCATCATCCAGCACATGAGAGTCGACGCTTGTCGTCTCGCTGCCACTTCCGGGCTTCTGCCGCGTGCGCGTTCGTAATTTCCTTTCGGCACGCGCGATTCTTGCAATCGCGATTGTGCGGTTCGATTATTATCGCGCGCGATCGCGCTGGCGCCATCTGTCGTCAGCGAACATATGATTGATGAAGGATTCTTATCAAGAAATTTTGTAATAAAATTATATAGATAAATAATAAAATAAATAAAATTATATAGATAATAAAAATATATATGTAAAAATAAATAAATATATGTATATGCATATATATAGATATATTTAAAATCTCATCTCTTTATCTAGATAATTTTTAAATCATCTAAGTACAACACTGTCCGCGAGGTAAAGACTTTTTTAAAGGAAATGCAAAGGAATTTATTTACGAAATGGAACGAGACGTGTTTGTATCTTCGCGTTCCATCTTTCCGGAAAAATTGTAAACAACGCATCTCAGTTGGGCGAATAAACAGTTACGCGCGCGTTTCTCGGAGGAAGGAGAGGGATGATAATTCCGGTAGCGATTAATAAAACGCACTTATAAAATTTCAATCAACACTTGATATCGAAGCGTGAGATTTATTCCCCGTCTAATAAGAGCTAATTATCATTATTAATTTTCATTTTATTAAACAAACGCGAATATGTTCCTTGACGCGTTAAGAGTTGCATTATTTTAAATAGTCCTACCTTTTTATATATTCGGGGGAGGATCTTTATATATTCGTCCATCGACACGCAACTGACATTATATATATTTTATATCTTTATTTCTAATTTTTCCACTAAAGAATAAATCGCATTCTTCCACATCAATATAAAAATAATAATAAAGTAATAATAACGAGATAGAATTTCTCTGATGAATGATGATATTTTTTATTTAATTCAGAGCGTTAAATGCATGAGAAATTTTATTATAAAATATAAAAAATTAGAACATATTTGTAATATTTCAGGATTTTTATGGAACAATTAAACACTCTCAAAGTCAAATAGCTATTTATATATATTTAATACTGAATAATGCGTGTACGGGATGCGAATATACAGATTTATGACTCGTTCGCGGTCGCAAGGGGTATAATATTATCGTGATAAAAATCGTGCGAGGGCCCGTGCAGACACGCGTTAGATAGATAAGGATCCCCGTGAAGCAACCGTGAACTTTGCACCGTGAGAGGAGTTCGCTTTGCTTAACGAGCCGCGCTGAAGATTCCCGCGCTTCGAGACAATGAAGTACATTGCGTGCATATTCCCTCCCTCTGTTAGCCCTCCTCCCTCTTCTTCCCCGCCCCTTCCTCGCATGGTATTCATAATGCCAGTGAGAAGGGAAGTCACGTGTTATCGTGATTTATTGTTGCGGTCGCGCTTAATCCCCGGCCCTCAAAGTTTAAGATTAACTTTTTTTTATTAGCTCGCTATATAATTGAAGTTAATTAGTAGTTATTTTTATAATGCTTACGATTCTTTTTCATATGAAAGTATATATTAATATATTTCCAGACGTTTGCTAATTTATCGTTACATCGGTTTAAAAATGTTCTATTGTATATATAATATATTATTTCATCTTTTTTCATTGCTTTACTCTTATTATATTTATGTTATATTAAAAGAATGCATTTTTCCACATCAATATAAAAATAATAATAAAGTAATAATATAATGAGATAGAATTTCTCTGATGATTGATATTTTTTTCATTTAATTCAGAACGTTAAATGTATGACAAATTTTATTATAAAATATGAAAAATTAGAATATATTTATTGTAATATTTTAGAATGGTATTTTTTATCAAATTTTATTTTGTAACTTTAAAGTACACGCATCAGAGAAATTATATTGCGTTTTATATTATAATATATAGATATATGTAGACTTACAGATTCAATCATGATAAAATGTATTACTTTTCGATATATATGCCTCGAAAAATCTTGTTAAGGTTATATCAGAATATATTTCGGCAAGAGACGCTGACTGAAATAATAAAGCCAATAAATTTTACGTAATTGTGATACACATGAGGATTATTTAATAAGTGGATTAAGATAAATTTTGAAATACAATTTTTATACCTGTTTTTTCTGCATTTTCCAAAAATAATAGATATGCGAAATAGAAAATCGAGCAGCTGCAGCAAAAATGCAAAGTAATGAGAGGTAAAACGACCTGAAGTAAGTCGAAAGTTAAATTTCCGAGCTCCGGCTCCGATTGGCTGATACGATACAGAAGAGCATGATAGGAAAAAATGGCGCAAATTCAAATTGGCGCGAAATTTCAAAATACATGTGGTCGTTTAATAAACTTAACAGAGTGAAGATTAAAAACATTTTATATTTAGTTACATAAGAAAATGTATTATTGCTTCTTTAATTATAATTTTATCATAGAATGTTTTTTTCTCAATTGGATTATTAGCATTTTTCAACCACGTGTTAAGAGAAATCTAACCTAATTTGACCCATTGTGCACACATTACGCATCTTCTTCAAGTTGAATTAACGTTCTCTAATTAAAAAAAAGGAAAGAAAAAAATGGGTCGTAAGAAAAAGGTAATTTTTAATTATTTGCAAGCAATTATAATTAATATAAATTTATAATTTAATAATGTTCAATAGAAAACGTAAACATTTGTATATAGGTTATGTATCAAACAATGTCCACATGCATTCAGAAAATTAATTAATATGTATTAAGGATAGTTTATAATTTTTTTTATTAACATATGATTTTTATATAGGGTCGATGCGTTAAACGAAATAAACAAATAAACGTGGGGGAAAAGGAAGAGTTAGTACGAGCCCCTCATTCTTTTGTGTTTCATCGTGGCTTGCCAGGAGAACACATTGTCGAGCTTACTAAAGATTTTCGCAGAGTTATGGAACCTTTTACAGCTTCATCTTTGAAAATTCGAAAAAAAAATACCATTAAAGATTTCGTCTCCGTTGCGAGTGTTCTTCATGTCAGTCACATATGTATGTTTACAAAGACGGAGTTAGGAATGTACCTCAAGTTATGCAGGTATTGTAGTTTTTATAAATTGTTATTATATATAAATTTACATATGTAAATATATATATATAAATTTATATAGATATATAAATATATATAGATATATAAATTTTGTTTTAATTCTCTAGAACTATGATTATTAGAAATAATGTAACTCTTAATTATTGTTATAGATTACCCAGAGGACCTACTCTTAGTTTTAAAATACATAGCTTTTCTCTGGCACGAGATGTAATATCTAAATTAAAGAAGCAAATGGTATATGAGGAAGCCTTCAAAAATGCTCCACTGGTGATCTTAAATAATTTTAGCGGCGAAGGCATGCAATTGAAACTTATAGCCTCCACATTTCAAAACATGTTTCCAACCATAAATTTAACCACTGTAAGTTTTATAAAACACTAATCGAGAAAACAGTTAATTGATTGAATGAAATATTTTTGCAGATTAATTTGAGTACGATTCGTCGTTGTATATGCTTAAATTATAATACGACATCGAAAACGATTGACTTTAGACATTATGCGATCAAAGTTGTACCTACAGGATTATCAAGAGGTGTTAAAAAATTAGTCCAAGCAAAAGTGCCAAATTTATCTAAATGTCAAGATATTTCGGAATTTTTAACGAAACCGACTGTATCTGAAAGTGAAGCGGAAGATGATGAAACTAGCCATGTTACATTACCACAAAAATTATCTTCAAGAGGAAATCATGCAAATTCTAAGAGCGCAATTCGATTGTACGAATTAGGACCAAGAATGACGTTACAGGTTAAAGAATTAGAGTTAATATTATAATAAATCTTGTAAATGTTTATCTTATGTTTTTAAACATGAACTTTTCTTTTAAATCTATAGTTAATCAAAGTGGAAAATGGACTTCTCGATGGTGAAGTACTATTTCATGAATTTGTACATAAAACGGAAGAAGAGAAACTTGCGATAGAGAAAAAGAGGGAGGCAAAGAAGAAATTGAAGGAAAAAAGAAAGAGAAAACAAGAAGAGAATAAAAAGAAAAAGGAAATACAAAAGCAAGAACACAAAGAGAAATCGCTCAAGGGTATTCAGAAGAAAAAAGAAAGTGACATTCTGTTACAAAAAATTGCAAAGGAATCTGCTGAAAATAAATTGGAAGAAGACGATGATGTACAGTATTATCGTGAAGAAGTAGGAGAAGAACCTGATAAAGGTAAATATATATACATTGCATGTGCTTATATTTTATAGAAAGTTATTAAGAATATTCAATTCAACTGCGATATAACATTCATTCTATTTCAGATCTATTTCAAACAAAAATTGGTACCAAGAGACCACATAAGCACATAATGAGATATAAATCGAAGAAAGCAAAATTTGACAAGTCCTAGGATAAAATTAAATATTTTTAAATTGTAATACTAACTAATAATACTATATTAACTAATAAATTTACTATTTTACGTGTATTACAAATTATATGTGTATATAGATAACAGTTCATGACTCTTATCCTTTCATAATTCCTTAAATTACTAATTATTTTATATCACAGACATCATACTATCTTCGAAAATGTAAAGTGGTAAAAAATATAATATTATTTATATTGTCATAAAGTTAAAACATTATATTGTCATATAAAGTATAAAATAATTAATATAAAGTTCGTATCCGTATTACAAAAATATATCATTATAGTCGAATATTAACAAGATATATTTACATTCTATGCGCCTTTAAAAACTATCTTATGTTACAAACTTCAAATTCTAATTATTGTTTACGTGTGCATAAAATGATATGAATAAACTACATAACATGCTATTTCTAATAGATTTTAATAATACTATTTCCATGAGAGATTTCATCAAATACGATATATGGCAATAATATATAGCATTTGTTCGAGTTGTGTAGTTTATTCATATTGTTGGAGTTAAGGATTTTTTTCATAGCTCTTTTTGAAGCGCAACAATTTTTCATACTCCTCTACTTGTTTTTCAAGCTCTTTTATGGTTTTCGATCGAGAACGACACACATCCTTCATAAACTGTTTTTCCTTTTCCAATTTCGTTATTCTTATTTCATCCTGCATGAAAAAAATTATATTATTATTTGTAAAACACAATATACAACTTATAACAAAACTTGAGAACAACGAAATAAAAACATTCTGCACAATTATGTATATAAATTTGTCTTTATTTCTATTCATGTTATTTGTAATATCGATTATTTTAGCTCTCAAAGAATACTTACTTCGATTATACCACTGCTCGTACCGCAAAATCGCAATATATTATTCGATGTTGTCTGGCATATCTGATCTCTTTTATTTAGAAGTCTCTGTTTGCATACATGGCATTCTCTTGCGCTTGTACGTATCATGGCGGTCTGAAGTCGCTTAATTTCTGCTCTAAGTTCGCTAGTCTGTAAAAAAATAGTATAGAAGATTCATAAAACAAATTACGATCAAATCTAAAATTCATAATATAATCAAAGTGATAAATTATAATTAGTGAAATATATTAAATACCTTATTTTTGTACGCCGACAGATGTTCCTGCAATTCTGTACACTTGGTCTGATAGGGGAAACTTCCATTTCGTATTTGCAGCTCCAGTGTCGCGATTTTTCCGTTTTTCGATATAATTTCCATTTGCAATTCACGTATCTTATTTTTCAACTCGGTACAACTACAGTCATCATTGCGAGATTTAGCTTTCTCTATGTCCTGAGGATCCTGAATTTGATTCTCGAAACCCTTGATCTTGTCTCGTAACTCATCATTCTCGATGCGACACGCCCAGAGTTGATCTTCGATTTTCGCGTTCTCAGCATCGTGCTGACAAATAACTTGGGCCAACTCTTCCGATTCTTGGTCGAGTTCCGCATTTTTTTCCTTCAATCCTTTCACCTCGCTAACGTAATTCTCGATATCTTTACTCTTTTGATCCAATTCAACTTTTATCGCTTCTAATTCCAGAGCAATTTTGTTCTTCTCCTGCAACAAAGCGTCATACTTTTCGCAAAATGCGTGCGTGTCATATTTAGACCTATACGATGACAACATCTCCTTTAATTCTTCATTCTCCTTACACGCAGCATCATATTGACTGTTTAAAGTAATCAATTGCTTCGTCAATTCAGCTTTGGCATCTTGCAGCTCCGTTATCCGATTACTAGCACCGTCCAAATTATTTCGCAAAGATCTATTCAAGTCCTTCAATTCTTCCATTTGTTCCTCCGCTAGAATTCTACTCGTGCTATTTCTGATTCTTTTCTCTAATGTAATACATTTATGTTGTAACGTCGCGTAATTGTCCCTCAAGGTATTCATGTCTTCCGTCAAAGCAGTATTTGTATTATTTAATGCGTCCATTTGTTTTCTCAATTCGATGTTCTTCAATTCTTCGAAATTTAATTCATCTTTAATCGCGTCGATCTCTTTCTTGTTGTCAGTCTTCAATTTCTCTATGTCCAGCTTATATTGTTCTATACTGGTTTTCCGTTCGCCGATTTGCTGCTTCAGGAATGTATTCTCCGACATAATCGTATCCAGTTTAGCTTTATATTCCGTAAGATCGTCGCATTTAGTTTTCAAAAGTTCTGTAATTTCCTCGATACGCAAGTTTCTCTTTTCAAATTCACAATTCAGATCTTGGTAGCCTTCCACAAGCTGCGCCAATTCTATCTTCTTCATCTCCATAATTTGATTGAGTTTCATTAATTCGTTGTTCTTCAAACCGATAATGTTCTGCAAGTGCACCTTATTAGCTTCGAGACCTTCGATGGTACCCGTCAAGTCCATATTTTTCGATTTAAATGCTTCTATCGTACACGCGAGATCTTCTATTCGTTTATTATAGGCTTCTTTTTCCGATTTCATCTTCATCTGAAATTCGGCTTCCTTATTCCTGATGGCTTCCTGCGCCTGTCTCTCCCGTTTTTGAGCGATATTGATGGCTTCTTCACTCACTGTATCCAACTTGGCGCACTTGTTGTACTCGATTTGCATATTATTGAGATCCATCTCGAGCAGACTGATCTTTTCTCTCAACGTATCTTGGTCGCGATTATTTTCTTGTAAAAGCTTCTCCAAACGCCAAACTTCCTTTTGCAATCCGTTGGACGCAGCTTCTCGTTGGGACAGATCAGCTTGAAGTTTGTCTATCTCGCTCTCCAATTCTTTCGCCCATAATGTCGTACGTTTTTCCGCATCCACGCTCTGTCGTTTGTCATCCTCAAGTTTCTGCTTCTCCCTATTAAAGTTATCTGCCATACTCTTCACTATCTCCTGCTCCTTCACCAAGATTGTGTGTAAAAATATCTGAAACAGCTCATCCACAGATTTATCTTGGAATTCCTCAGCACTAACTTTCGGTTTTAGAGACTTGATCTCACTAATGATATTCTTGGAAGTGTTGTTTAATACATTCTTGAGCTTCTTGTTATCATCGGCCAACGTTTTATCTTGTTGAGATTTGTATTGATACTCGTTTCTCATCGTCTCAAACTCATTTTCTATGTCACGTAGCTTAATTAACTCTTGTTTTAAATAATCGTTTTCAGCAGTATACTTGTTTACCTTTTCGTTTAGCTCTGTAAATCTATTTTCCGATTCCTTAGAATAACTGGCGAATTCTTGTGAAATAGTTTCTTTAGAATTGGTCAACTCCTCGTTCATCGATCTCAATGATTCCAGTTTCTTCTCATATTCCTGCTCCAAAAGATTAAGCTGTTCTTTTTCTCTTTTTGTCAAATCCAGCTCGTGTTGTAAATCTGAAAGCTTTTGACATAACTCGTTTATTGTTTCTTCTTTCGCCGCTTTGTCTGTTTTCAGGAATTCCACTTCAGTTTCAACGATGAGCTTCTCATGCTCAATTTCTTTATATCTCACAGAAAACTCTTGTAATTTTTTGGTCATATCTTTTATCTCATTTTCAAGGATATCTGTTTTTTCCAAATACAATAGTTCATTTTCTGACAACTTTTGCAATAACTGTTCATTAGTATTTTTCAAAGATTTAATTTCATCCAGTAGAGTGTTTTCCTTTTCAGTAAATTTACCCATATCTGTTTTGATTCCTTCAGTGACTTCCTTTAATTTATCAAGATCATTTTGCAAATTGCTGGTTGTCTTTTCGACATTATCTAGTCTCAAAGTTTTGTTTGGAGATTTCTTAACACTAGTATTTACATTATGCATTTTATTCGGCGACAAATTCATAACACTGCTATTTTGTAACTCTTCGACTTCATTACATTTTTCTTTATACAAGTCCGATAATTTTTCGTGTTCTTCCTTCAAACTTTGTAATTTGTTAGTTATGAATTGAAGTCTTTCTTCGACACAACTAACATTCATAATTTCCAGAAAACTACCATTAAGAGATGAATTACATACGCTTATATTTACATCTTCCTTAGCTTTTAGAATAAGCGGATCGCTCTTTGCAACCACACAATCAAACTTTCTTTGCAAATCCTCTATTTTGTGAGTGAGAGTCTTCTCTCTGAGTTTTAGCTCTCTTTTATTTTCAATCATTTCCTGCAGATAAGCACATTGAGTACAAGGGCCCAATTTAAGATCGCTGAGCTTTCTATTAAGAAGTGTAACATGATCAACTTCCTCTTGTAGATGTGAAATTATTGCTTCGGCATTGCCATCTTTTGTAGATTTGTCCACTGAATCACTCGTCGTTAAAGTGTTATTAAATAATGTCGATAAGTGGAAGGTATTATTGCAAGAATTTACTTTTCGCACATTATCCAAATCTTCTATGGTCTCAACTAACTGATTAGATATTTGTGAGTTCTCTTTGGTTAAAATTTGTATATTAGTTTTTAACTCCACTTGTTCGCTTCTCAACAAAGTATTTTCCATTCTCAATTGTTCTGCATCATTACTGTTTTCTGCATGTTTCAATAATAATTCTAGTTTATTTTTTAAAATTTCACATTCTTCTTTTAATCCATCATTCTCTTCGATTTTATCCATTAAATCAATGGAAAGTTGATTGTGCTCATTTTTCAAATATTGATATTGCTCTGTAAGATCACAAAGTTTATCCTTATGCATACAATCGTGTTCGTACAAGAGTGCCTTACTTTCTTTAAATATTTCAAGGTCTTTCTTGGAATCTGTGACATTAGATAATAATACTGCATTTTTTGCTGTCAATTCATTGATTTGTTCTTCATACTTGAGAATTATTTCTTCTTCACTTGAGTTCACTTCAGGTATCTTCGAACGTAAAGTTTTCATCTCTTCACTAAGAATTGTTAAATTATTTTTTAATTCGAGATTTTCATCTATTATCTTTGAATTTCGCGCATAAAGTTCGTCAATCGTTTGTTGAAAATGAGCAGCCGATTTTTTAGAATATTCTTTCTCCTCTGACAATTTATCCGTCAATTCACTGTTTTCCATTGTTAATACAGAAATAGTGCTCTCTAAATTTTGTATATCCGTTTTCAAACCTTGCACCATTTCTGATATTTCTTGCTTTTCTTCTGGAGTTTTTGAAAAGAAATCTGTAGATAATTTAGTACTATCGTTTAAAGATATCGACAAATCTATAATTTTTGAAGAATCACCATTGATTAAGTCACATTTGGGATTCAATATCGATCTTGCTGAGGCTTCTTCTTTAAAGTATGTATTTTCTTTTTGCATATCTTGGATACCCTGTAAATCATTTATGTGACTTTTTAAATAATTTATTTCATTATCGTTACTCTGATCCAACGTTGATTTTTTTCCATTCGATTTTCTGTGCAATTTCATAGAGATATCTTCATATTCATCTCTTTCTTCAGTAAATCTTGCGACTTCTTCTGATTCTTGGATGTTTTCTAAACAAAATTGTTCATTCGATTCATCTTTCGTTGAAATACACAACTCAGTATGGGTCAATTTTTCTTGCAACTCGTGTACCACAGACTCGAGTTTTTTTGTTTCCGATGCACGATATTCAATATCCTTTTCGAGATCATGATTCTTTTGTAATTGTAATTCTTGCTCATTTATTCTATTCTTTATTAATTCATTCTGTAACTCCATTCTCTTTAATTTTTGTTGCAGCTCGTAAATTAAATCTTGTAGCTCATTTTTATTGATTATAAGATCTTCGATCAATTTCTTTTGCTCATCAATGGTTTTTTGTGCTTCCACCCGTTGCATGTTTAATTCCTCTTTCATTGAGTTATTATGTAATTCTGTTTCTTTCAATTTTTTTTGCATTTTAGAAATAATATGTTCTTTTTCTGTACTATCAGGATCATACATGTTTGTTTCATATTCATTTAATTTGTGTTTTAATGAACTATTTATTGATTCCTCTTCTTTCAAATTTTCTGTCAATTCAACAATTATTCCTTCAAATTTATTTTTTTCATTTGCAAAATCTTCAACCTGTTTCTGTAAATCGCTTGTATTTTGTACATATATTTCTTGTTGATTTTTTATTGAATTATTTATTAATTCTATTTCTTTCAATTTGTCTCTTAGTTCACCATTAATTCGTTCAGATTCCATTTTTTCTTTTACAACATCCTGAATTTGTTTTTCCAAGTGTAATTTATCTGTATCTATATCTGTATTTTGGTCATTATCTTCTATTGTATTATTTCTTATTTCTGCTTCTATTAATTGCTCTTGCAATTCACTAATGGTATGTTTAAATTCATTATTTTCAGAAACAAGATGTTCAATCTGCTTCTCTTGATTTTCAAATTTCTGAATTTCTATTTGTTGCGCATTTAATTTATTTCGCATTGATATATTGTCTTCTTGCACTTCTTTCAATTTATTTTGTAATTCACAAATGGTATGTTCAAATTCATTATTTTTAGACATAAAATTATCGATGCGTTCCTTTTGATCTTGAAAATTTTGTAAAGTTTGCTGCTGCTCGTCCAGTTGATCTTTCATCAAGTTCTTGCATAACTCTGTTTCTGTTAATTTATTTTGAAGACCCGTTATCATGTGTTGCAATTCATTATTTTGGAATGTAATAGCAGTAATTTGATTTTCCAGTTCTATTTGCTGCACATTTCCTGCATTTTGCGACAAAAATTGTTCAAGTGATACATTCTGTATTGCTAATTTGTCTTCTAACATAATATTGCGTTGTTCAGCTTCGTTAAGCTTCTTTTGTAATTCGGAAGCGACATGTTCGTATCCGTCTTTTTCAGCTGTAAAAACGTTTTGCATCTCTATTTTTTGTGCGGACAATTGTGCAATCTTCTTTTCAAAATCTGGTATCCTTTGTAGTTCTGCTGCTTGCGCATTCAATTTATCTTCTACCAAAGCGTAACGCGATTCAGTAGCAGTTAATTTTTTAAGACGATCAGATGCTATATGTTCGTAACTGTCCCTTTCAGATATTGTATTTTCCAATTGTTTTTCTAACTTTACGAGCTTTCCTTTAATTTCAAAATAATCTTCAACACATAACTGCTTCTCCAAAGTTGTAAATTCTCTAAGCTGTGACAATTCTTTCGATAAATTCTGGATTCTATCCAATAAAATTTTCTCTTGTGTATCAGGGGACTGATCACTATTTACAAATAACAAGAATGATTAAATTAATTAAATTGAATACATATTAAATACAAATTAATTATTTAGTATCATTATTACCTTTCAGTTTGCATAGACTTATCAATTTTTTCAAGTAAGGTGTCATGATTATAATTTATAGATGGTAATTTGTGGATAATTACATCATCTGTAAATTTCACATGATTGTGCTTTCGATATATGAGAAACGTATCTTCATCATTACTTTCCATTTCTTCCTCTTCATTAGTAATAATTTCCTCTTCACAATCCTCTTCATTATTCATAAGTTCCAGCTCAAAATCAGCAAGTGCTATTTGGACTGCTTTAAGAATTATATATATATATATATATATATTATATATATACACACATATATATTTAAATTTAAATTATCAATTAAAAGAAAAAAAATATATATATATACACACACATATATATATATATATATTTAAATTTAAATTGTCAATTTTAAAAAATATTTTAAGTATTTTAAAGTATTTTGTTTGGATTATATAAAACTTACATGTATTCATAATCTCAGTCGATTTTCTATGCGACTTAAAAGGTGACATTTCTTTAATTGGTGATAAATTTCTGCATGTTTGAAATGTATTCAATTTATATCCGGCAGTACCACCCCAAGTCTGTCTCCTTTTTACTTTATTCTTGAATGATTCAGTGTTGTTGCGATTATCACCATGAACTATCCGAGTTTGCAATAATCTAATACGTTCCTCCAAATTTTGATTGATACGATCTTTTTCTTGCATTTTAGATTCCATTTCTTCTAAATCGGTTGATCGAGCTTGTTGTTTCACTCTCTGAAAATAAATTTGTTATATATATATAAATTAATAGATCTTTTATCATTCATATATATTAATTTATATCTAAAATTTGTTGAAAAGTATCAGTATATTTATATACTTTCTATATAATAAAGAATAAAGCAATTTTTTCTATAATAATATACATTTACCTCTAATTCTGCATGTAATATATCTATTTGTTTTGCGTATCGTTTCAAAAGTACACCATCTGACATAACTTCATTTAGTTCAGGTTTATTTTTGATATTTCTAGCTCTAGATGCAAATCTATTCAAAATATATATAAAAATTAAATATATTTGAATTTATTGCATATGTTTACATTACAAATCAATTAAAAAATAAAAACATTAAAAATACTAACGATAATGTGCATTGAGTTTCGTCTAGAGCAGCTGGTGTTACTGCACATATTATCACCGTCATTGCATTGCCGCCCAAAGATGCTTGAAGCAACCTCGTTAATTTGCTATCTCGAAAGTTTATATATTTTTGAGAGTCTGGTGACTCACTCAACTGCTTTATTACTAATGCCAATGTAGAAAGAGACAAATTAATACGACATCCTTCCTTAAAACGTTCTCCAGTGGCTCCTGTTTGCCGTGCTTTCTCCGAACCAGCAAGATCTACCATATTTAATTGTGATACTTGTATTGCACCATCTGAGGCAGCACCAGCTTCTCGACTTTCAATTGTCTACATCATATTATTTTAATATTAATTTTTAAAAAACTAATAACAGATTATATAGATTATGTAGATAGATGTATATAATCTTAAAAAATTTAATATGCAAAGTTAAAGAAAATTGGCATTCTTACAATCCTGAATATTGTATGGCTCCTGCTACTTCGCTCATTCATGTTTGTTTCGCCTATTCTTCTGTGTTTATTACCTTTATGCATTAACGATAGAACATTCTCTGGACAATTTGTGACTTCTTCTTTGCATTTCACAAAAACTTGACCATTTACATCTTCGTGTATTTTTAAATCTAAATCTGAGCTTTTACTTAAGAGATCTCTGACTTTTTCATTATAAATCTCTAAGTAGGATACTCTAAAAAATTAATAAATTAAAAATAAAAAAGTTCTACAATCTTCTCATTAGTGTTACAATTTATACAGATAACAACATTCTTTTTTTAGCTAAAAAGACAGATTTAAAAATATTGTCTTTTATCTTAATAAATATATCAGAGAAGCAGAATAGCTCTATATTGAAACAATTCTCTAGCAAGCTAAAAATCTGGGTTTCTCAGTCCTGCTGTCATTTTGTTGTATGGATAAGAGAAAAATTTGAGTAAAAACTATTTTACTAATATAACCTGTAAAAATTAAAGAGCTATCCCACTTTGAAAAATATAGAAGGAAAAAAGCAAACAAATATGAACCTCAATAAAAATTCACGTCCAGAAGTATTAGCTATAGCATCAAACATATGTTCTACAGCCAGAGGTATTACGCCAGGCTCTTCCGAGGTACCCATCATAGTATACGTTTTACCAGAACTTGTCTGTCCGTAAGCAAACACTGTGCCATTAAATCCATTTACAGCAGCATCAACAATAGGCTTTACGATAGTATCAAACACATTGTTGTTATTGGCGTGTGTATCAAAAATGTGATCTGCAAATGCAAGTTAACGGATCAATCTAAACAAGAAAATTAGTGTCTTACAACAGGATGTTTTCCTTTATTGCAGTCTATTACACTTTCCGTATCTAAAATGAAATAAATACATATTTGGACAGAATGTAAAAGCAAAAAGGACAAAAATTGATACAGAAAGTAAACAACAAAGGAAAAATCCAACCTAACACGTCAAAGCGCGAAGAGAATTTAGAAATTATATCAAGATAAGGATTTCGGACATGTATTTTTCATATCAAAATTTGAATTTACCAAATTGGAATCCACCGTCGCCTCGCTTCCTTAATTCTACGTCGGTGGCCACAATATTATTTTCTTGAACGATCCATTGAATTGGCAAACTCTCCTCCTTCTCTCGCCTGATGAGCGGCCTGACTTTGATGGCCACTTTAATACTGTCCGACATTGCGAATAATACTCTCGTTCTTTAATTTAATCAAAAACGCAGGCCTTATTCGCCTCTCACTCAAACAATGACATATGTATACCCATAAACACGCAGCCACGCACCATTGTTATCGACGATTGACGATCGCGGGAGACAGACACGTTGGCTTGGACGCTCGTTGAACTTTGTTCAAATTCAAATCGTGCCTCGCACATGCGCGCTCGACCGCCGACAGATGGCGACTATCATCGATTCAAATAAGCGCGCCAAATCCTGGCAAGCTGGATGGTCACGTGACGCGCGCGCGACAAATCCCGGCAGGGTTGAATGGTCATGTGACGCGCGCGGGCCAATGAGCGCGAAGATGAGCGACCTGCTTCGACCAATGATGTATCTCGTGTCTCGAAAGTTTGCTGCCTTCACGCAAGTCCGGAGCATCGTCGTGAAGTGTGCAATCCTAGTCCTGATCGTCGTTACAAATTACAATTGAGATTACAATCTCGTAAGTTGCAAAAAGGCAAAAATATATTGTTTTTTAGATATAATATATATAACATATATACATTTCATTATCTCGATATGAAGAAGATCGTGTTATGTATAACAAGAATAACTTTTTAAGATATAACAGAGAAGTGAACGATAAAGTGAGGCTGTGCGAGAGAGAGAGAGAGAGAGAGAGAGAGAGAGAGAGAGAGAGAGAGAGAGAGAGAGAGAGAGAGAAAGAAAGAGACAATACAATTGAAACATGTTGATGTGTGGTGAGTGATATTTAATTTCAAATATATAACTCAATAACATATGTTATAACAATGATATTTTTAAGATTTACACGTACTATAATATATATATATTTCTAAAAAATGTAAACGCAATGTGAAATACAGAGAATTTGATGATAGCACACAATACATATAGTACAATTTTCCTAGATCCAGGCCTGAAAAAACTTTTGGCATGAAAAACTGAGTACATCAATACCAATGCTTGATTTATGAACTTGCAATGTTTGATTAAAAATGTAAATTTTTATGAAAATTCACTTTTTTCAATAGAAATTGTCAAACTAACTTAACATTTTTTTTGATAATCAATTATTTTATATAAAAATTTCTTGCTTGATAAAACTTTGCATTACTATGTACGAAGCATAAATAATATTTCTTTAATACTCTCAATCATCCTGTATCAGGCTATATATAGTGCATAGGACTAGATGTCTATATTCTTAATAATAAAGAACAGACACAGTCCACTCTCTGTCATCTATGTCTGTATTTTTTTAATCCTCTGCTGTATTATACAGCATTGCCGTTCTCTACACTTTACGTTAGCAAATGGCTCGGTGACTTTGCATCTCTATCTCATAATCAGAAGCATACCTCTACAATGCTCTTGTTTGCTGATTTTCTTTGGTCTCAAAATGAGACTAAACATAGCATTTTTTTCTTACTGTTGCCATCTACTTTATAAGCACTTCTCATTACAAGAGACTCACAAGCTTTCCTTTTATAATATATCTTTTCAATTATTTGCATTAAAAATAATGCAATATATATATGTTTATTTAAATAAATAAATGTATAAATTAATCACAATATTAATGGACGGATTATGGACTAGTACATACTCAACTTGTATTAAAATTTTTGCTGTAAAATTTTGTTGAATCATTAAATAATTTATATATTAATATATACTTTTGAATATATATCTTATGAGATAATAAAAAGAAATAATTTTTGTGCATTAATTGTTAATTAATATTAAACTGACTTGCAACTATTTCTTTGGAATCAGATAACTAGACTGACAAGACCTGACATAGCAAAAGAAATTTACAAATATTATTATTTAGTTAAATATTCTTGTAAAATGTATATATGTCTCATATCACAAAAATTTTCGTTTCATGCATTGATAAATTGTATGAGAAATACTATTGATAAACTGCATCTCATATAATCATTTGGAAGCATAAAATTTGTATTAAAAAATTTGATAAAAATTCAATATATCCAATATAAAAATTGCATATCAAATAAATATCATTAAAAATCTGTAATTGTCTTGAAATGTAAAATATCAAGAAGCATTATTAAATTCATGGTTTATCAAAGTTAAAGATTAATGATCTTATGTGCCTTCATTTAAGTAACGACTTTGATAAGTAATGTTAAAGCGCACTGAATAATATTTTTATATGCACGGATTTTATATGTGTGTGATTGTACTTTATATTCTCAAGAGAAATATAAGTACTACTTATACAGTAGTACTTGTATACTCTTGTATGAATATACAAGTACTATTTGATATACTGGCAGTTTCCAGAGAACGTACAGTCACTTCTCATTGCATTTATTTGAGTTGTGACGGAGTGCCGGATCTGTGAGACGAAGATGGAGCAGGTAAAGCTAATGACGGCGGTAAACTAGTGGTACTCGTCAAGGTGGAGTCTAATTTACGCGCTTCGTGTTCCAATAATACCGCATCCAATGACGGATCTTGCGCCACGGTTCTCAAAGAATCGCCCAATGCTTGTCGCAACTGTTGCATTTCTCTACCGGCTCGTGAACTCCGCAAAACGTACAGCTGTCTGCGCTTTATTTCTTGATTGAGTTGTTCTCGTAGTAACTGTATCTATAAAAAAATATTTTTTATTTGTATGAATTCAAACAATTATGTGATAGATATTATGTGATAGATATTATGTGATATATATTTTGTCATAAATATGTACCTGATTTTCTAAACGTGATACTTGCTGACGATGACTTTGTTCTCTCGCCTCTAACAATTTCTCGGCCTGCAATTGCGCGGCTCTGATCCGTTCTAATTCTCCACTTCTATCTCGACTTGAGTCTAATAACGAATGAGGGGAATGTATGTAAGTTGACTTGATTCGTATAAGTTCGGCTTCCTTTTCCGCTAATTGGGTCTCCAATTTGCGTATCTTCAATCTTAATTCTCTGTTTTCATGCTCCAAGTTGTCGATGCTGTAACTAGTGCCCAAAAGTTCTATGTGTGCTTTCTCTGGACGTTCATAACTCTTGCTTCGAACGCTCGTTTTGCCCGCAGCAATTTGACGTTCTAAATTACGTTTATCGGCTTCTAACAGCTTCACCTATTAAAATAATATTTATTATATGTAATATATTTTTTATTATTTTTTGATTTTTATTATTTTTTGATTTTTATTATTTTTTGATTTTTATTATTTTTCTTTCTATCTCTCTGCCTTTTCCCCAAAAGATTTTAACACTCGTATAAAATCATTTACATTTACCTTGTCATTAAGAGCATCTACTCTTCCTCTCATTTCACTTCTATCTCTTTGTGCAGTTTGCAGTTGACGTAACAGTTCTTCATCTTTAGTGGCACTGCCTTCGGGTGGCCAGGTAGACAATCTTAATTGTGATTCTAGAGCTGATCGTTGCACTTCGTTATTGGCTAATTCATTCTGTAGTCGCGCATTTTGATCGATCAACGATTGATTCGTATGTTTTAAATCGCTTAGGGTCTGTTGAACCGTTTCCAGGCGTTCGGATAATATTCTACGCTCATTTTCGGTATTCGAGAGCTGTTTCTGCAGCTGAAGAATGAAACAATGTTTAATAATTTGTGTGAAAAAATAATTTTTAAATTAATAAATGTAGAATAGAATTATTTACCTGTTTGAGTTTCTCATTGTTACTTTGAGAGGAAGTACTGATCTCTATTATATTACGCTGTAACAGATTTATCTCACTCTTGAGTTCGCTTTCCGTGGCAGATGCTTTCTCCAGTGCTAGTTTTAATTGCTCTATGGTAGATTTTAAGGAGGCGCAACGCTCTTCCAAATTTGCCATAGTACGGCTTTGCGTGTCAAAGCGATCTTGCAATTTCTAATAAGAAAGAAAAAGAGAAAAATGCATTAACATAAGAATAATATTTAAATTCCAAATTCAAAGAAAAATGTTTCTTTCGAAATACAGAGATTATATTATGAATAATTAAAGCATCAATTACGACAGCAAATATCCTAATTGCCAACTTTGAGTTTGCAGTTTAATTACTATGAATCGTGTTTTGCTATATATCTAAATATATGTTTTATATAAAAAAAAAATTTCATCGATTCCCTAAATATTTTGATCTTACTTGAATGTGCACTTCTTTTTCTTGCAGCATCATTTGTAATCTTTGGAAATCACCATCTAGAGACATTCTGTGTAATTCCATTTCTGTTGCGCGAGAATCGCTGTGGCGAATTTCCTTCTGAAGATTACGCTTTTCCATTTCTAATCTATTCAATTCGTGTTTCATTTTCTCAAATTTATCCTATATAAGTATAAAGTGTTATACACATTTAGAGAGATTATAACAATTATGAATATTTCTTTTAAATAATACCTCGTATTGAGATTTTTCTTCTGATTCAGTACTGATTTTTAGATCTAAGATTGTCAATTTTTCACATAACTGCTCGCATTCTTCTGTTTTTGTTGCAATGCATCCAACTGAAGATAAATAAAAATTAATGTCTTTTTAGGTGTAGAATGTGTAAGATATATAAAAAGATATACCTGTGCTTGATAGGCAGACTGTTTTTGAGTTAGCTTTGCCTCCAAAGATTTTCTGTCTTCCTGAAGTGTACGAATATTGGCCAGAAGATTATTGACCTTTACATCTGTATTACTTTGATTCTCTTGAGACTCTTTCATCTGTTTCTTCAAGCTACACAATTCCGTTTTGTAATCGTCCTACAATTGATTGAATCATAGATTTTATCACGACACAATTCAACAGTTTAATGTATAAATCGATTTATAATTGTCGAAACTCAACATACTCTCTCGCGTTCGATTTGGGCGACTTGTTGCATAAGTGATCGCACGCCCTTTCTAATAGCTTCGGGATCGACATCCAATATGATATCTCTACCAGAGTCACCGTGATCTTGCACTTAATGTAAAAATACACGTAATATATTAACTGCATGTCATATCATCTTATCGAAATAACACAGTGTCTCGCACGAATTAATATAAACTTGAAATTTTATTTTTCATAAATTACCACGTGCCGGACTCCACCTTCTCGATGGACTCATCAACTTAAATGGCATATTCACGCTCCCGTCCATTTGAATACCGGCGATACGGCGAAGTGTGGAACCTACGCTGCTCAATTTCTGCTCCACTTCCTTTTTCGCGGTTTCCAATTGCGACAATTGAGCATCGAGAGCTCTCACTCTTCCTTCAGATCCTCCAAGACGCGCCTGATGACATAAGCACACTTTGTAATCCACGTATGCGCAAGTTGTATTTTGTCATATCTTTTTATTATCCTTCAGTCTTTGAGAATACCTTCAATTCTTGCAACTGCTGCGTGGCATCGGCCAAGCAAACTTCCAGATTATGCTTCTGATCTTCCAGCTTTCTCTCGCGACAGCGACTGTCCTCAAGACGCACCAACAATTCTTGCTCCCGAGCACGCCATCTCTCATCCTCCTCGTCCGCTCGCGTGCGTAATTTTCCCAGTTCTTGTCGCGTAACTTCCAAACTGTTATCCAGATCGACAACCTATCGGATCAAAAATCTCGCGATATACATTAACCGAATCGAATAAAAAAAATCGTGTAAAACATGTCTATACCTGTTTCTTCACTTGGTGCAATTGCAATTGTATACGCTCCCTCTCTTCAATCTCGTTAGCTAATCTAGCCTGCAGTTCCTTTTCCTCGTTCTGAGCCTGGGAATTGTTGTCGTGACACTTCTGCAATTCGTCCTGCGTGAAGCGAAGTTGTTGCTGCAGTTGCATCGCGTCGCGTTCCAGATCTCGCACTTGCGCTTGCAAACGAGTTCTTTCAACGTCCATGGTCGCTTTTGCATCCTCCAATGCTAAACACAGATGTTTTAGCATAATGAAATCATTAATAATATTTGTGTAAAAAAATATAATACCTACTTGCTATTTTTTGGTACGATTCTTCCAATATTCTTCCTTGCTCTCTTCTTTCAGTCTCGATTTGTTTAACACGTTCCCGTAATTCTTTGTTACTGTTATTATATTTCTCTTTTTCATACGTCGAGTCTGCCAATTGTCTCCTTGTATCCACTAACTCTTTGCGCAATGTCTCATTAGCATTGTCAGCTGTAATTATATAAATCGTAATTATGACAAATAATTAAAAATAGACTGAGTGGAAGAAAGAGTCGATTACCATCTTTAAGTTTTCTGATAGTATCATGCAACTGATGTTGCAGTCCGTCTACTTTATCCTCAGTCATGTGTAACTGAACTTGCAGTTCTTCAACTTCTCTTTGCGTGGACTCTCTTTCTTTCCAGAGTTCCTCTATTTTTAAATCGAGTTTCAGCTTTTCTTCGTTAGCCTTCAACTTGGTCTCGTCCAGCTTGGTTTTAAGGCGATTTAATTCGTCGCGCAATTGATTCGTATTATTACGTTCTTGTTCAGCGCGTGCTGCGGCCTCCCTTTTAACACGTTCCAAAGTATTTTTTTCTTCTTCCAATTCACGCATAATAGCATCAATTTTTCGATTAAAGCCTGTTGATCGTGATGAGCTGCAACAAATTTGTTGTCAAATATTTTAAGATACGAATGTATTAAAAAATATATATAATACTCTTGTGAAGATTGAATTAAGATTTAATTAAGAATATTTAGTTATACATACCTATAAGAAGTGCCTGTTGTTTATCATTTTCAGCTCTGAGAAGCGCTTCCTCGTGCTGCTTGCATAAATTCTCTATATGTTGTTGCAACTCTTCTATTCTCTGTTGCAGATTATTGATTTCCTCATTTTTCTCTCCCTCTAATTGTGATACGGACTGTTGCAGCCGTTTCTCTAAACTTATTCTTACTTGCTCCTTAAGATCCAAAGGTAAGATGCAGAGAAATAGACAAAAAATGAAAACATGGATAATAACATAATATAGCAATATAATAATTGAACATAATAATGTATTAAACAGCTAAAGAAAAATTCTATAAAATAATAAGAACCTTTTCATCACTAATTTTCTTCATGTTATCCTCAGATTGTCTCTTCATATTCGATATAATTTGTTGAAATTCTGCCATTTGATCACCACTCTGTTGTGTAAGTGACTGTTTCATGTCTTGCGCACGTTTCTCACTATTTTCTAATTCTTTTGTTAATCGCGTCAACTGCCCTTTTAAGCTTTCCTGTTTGATTAATGTTTCTTTTTGCTCTTTCTCCAACTGTGTCTTCTTGACATGTGTAGCTTCCAAATTAGTTTGTGTATCGAATAGTACTCCTTCTAATATTTCTTTTTCAGTGCGCATTGATGCAAGTTGCTCTTGCATTCTTTGAAATTCTTTCTCATTTGTTTCCAGAAGCACCTATAGAAAACAAGAAGAGATTATTTTAATAATAATAGATCAAAAAGATATATAAAATAAATTATTCTGACCTGTTTCTCCTCATTATCTTTTACAAGATCTTTCAAATTTCTATTTATCCGTGCATTCATTTCATTGGACTGTTCTAGTCTTTGTCTAAGTCTCATGAGCTCTTCATTTAATGTTTCTTTCTTTCGCGCTAAAACCGACAATTGATTACTCAAATCACTGCGTTCGCGACTCACTTGACCCAATTCTATTTCCACTTTCTCCTTTTCAATCTCCAAAAATTTAATTTTCTCATTCAACGTAACTTTCTCAGATTCAATGTCAAGTCGAGTTTGTTCAGCTTGCAATAATTCTTTCCTTAATGAATTTAAATCCCCTTGTTGATCGATACATTGACTCGTAAGTTTGTTTTTCTCGTCTGTCATCTATAACAAGTTATAATTAATATATAAGTATAATTATAATTAATATAAAATATACATTGCTACTAAGATTAAATTAGGATTACCTTTCTTAATTCTTCTTGTAATTTCTGTTTATCATGTTCATGATTAGAGCACATTGTTTCCAATTTTATCAAAATCTCCTGGACATCTGATTTTTCTAATAATATTCGTTCCAATTCCAATTCAAGATCACCTGAATTATTCATATAACATTTAAATTATTCATATATTATTTATATATAACTTGTAAGAACATATAAAATACCTTTGTTTTTTTCGATTTGAGAGATTAATCCATCAGTTTCCAATTTTTGTTGTTCCAACATATCCTTGGCAAGATAAGCTTTATTTAAATCTTCTCGTAGTGTCAAAAGTTCTTCTCGCATTTTACTACATCTACTCTCTTCTGATCGTAAACTCAATTCTCTGCAATTTATTTAGTACAAAATTATATTTACTCTCGTATATAAATAATTTAACAAAATTAAAGCGCGATTTATAACAATATATAATTATTAATTTATTTACTTTAAATCAGCATCCTCCGATACTCTGCTAAGCTCGTTTTGCAAATACAATTTTTCATCTTCCAGATTGTCACATAGCTTTTGTAACTTATTATTTGCCTTTTGAAGTTTTTCATAATTACTTTTAAGAGCGTCTAGCTATAATATAAATATCAATTAATGCCTATAATTGTATTAAGGACCGTGTAGAAAAAATTCGATTAATACTCTGAACCTTACCATACTATTGAGCTCCATTTTATTTTTCTCTAATGCATTTTTCTCCAATTTTACAGAATCGAGACTTGTCTGCAGCATCTCTTTTTCCTGACTAAGCTGCGTGCATTGCGAACGACACGTATCCAATTGAGATATAAATTCTGTCATTTTGGTACTTAGCGACTGAGCGTTTGCCTCCGCGGTGTCGCACTGCTTGCGTATTGTTAGAAGCTGTTCCTTATTGGTTTGTAATTTTATCTAAGTTACAGAGAAAACATTTGTAATTGAGGATATGTAGAATGTATATTTTTTCTCTATATAAACATACCTGTAATTCACGTATAGTTAACTGATATTTTTGCAGAGCTGCTCGTACTGCGCTTATAGTACTCTCGGCGAGTGCCGGTATAGCGCTGCTTCTCGCACTTCTTTTCGGCGATCTTTGGGAGATTGGTCCACCGGACGACAAGTGAATATGTGGAAGTGCCTGCTTGACGTCGCTCGCATCCCGACTCTCGGCATCTTGAATCACAGCATGCGCGATATCTCTCAATGCGGATTCCAGCACTTCGATGTCCTCTTGCATACGCGCAGTTTGACTCACTGCCGCTTCAGAAACTCCACATCTTTCCTCCTATATAGACATCGAAAAACGTGTAAGTTTAAGTCAAAATTAATTTATTTATTTATTAGATATGAGATAAATTTATATTTACCAAATTACGAATTTCTCGAATAAGTTGATCTATTCGATCGTCTTTTGTGCGAATTTCATGCTGATAGGCGGCATGTTGTTGCTTAAGTGCTGTAATTTCACTTTTCAAAACCGTAGTTACAGTTTGTTCTTCCTCTTGCTGGTCTCTGGGATTCTCTGAAATTCTATGAGATGGCTGAAAATAGAGTAGACAAGAGATAAGATACACTATAAAAAGTATCAACAGAATTATAGATAGAAATATAGATAATTATTAATATAATTATAAAATGATTTCACTGTTGAGTGCACTGCAGTTGTTTGTAGTTTCATAGTAAAGCTTGTACTGTTGCACGCCGATGTCATTTCATTAGACGATGAAATCATTTCGTTCCTCAATTTGGATAGATCTCGTTCCGTAGCAGATTTCATTTCTGCAAACAATCTCTTAACAGACACGACATCGCGCCACAGGTTCAATAATCTGTTGTGTTCGGAGATGTAATATTCATTGAAGGCCTGTTCCTCTTCCTTCCATTCGTCTTCCTTAATAGCCAATTCCTCGCGCAATACATCCCAATCGTTACTTAATTTTTGCAAATCGGTAGTTAATGCTTCATTTGTTTGATGAGATTCTTCGAGTTGATCTTTCAGAGATGAGTTTAGTTGCAAAAGTTCTTCACATCTGTGATGGCAGAAGAAAGCATCTTTGTAAAATAAAATACAATCTATATGTATATTTATTAACTAAAAGATATTCATTAAAAAGATAGGAGTTTTGTATGCTAATCTATGGAAGTATTTCCAAAACATACTTTCGTCGTTCTTCTCCAAGTTTTTGCAAGGCAGTGTCCAGATCATGAATTTGCTCCTCACGTATATCCCTGAGAGTCTGATGAGCAGCCTCTAATACAGAAGTAGATGATACTGTGGCAGTTGCTGGTTTGCTAGTATCACATGGAATTGTTTCTGCCATTTGATTTTCCAGTTCTGAACATCTCTGTTTATATTGCAAAACCTAAAATATATGTTCAATTATTTGCTTGTTGCTAACAAAGTTATAAATTATATATCAGCTTGCAATTAAAAACAAAAATAGAATTTGAAATATTTACCTTAGCTTGTAAACGTGAGACAAGAGCAGCTTGATGTTGCTGAGCCTGCCGATAAGTGTCCAAACGTCTCTTGTAACTTGCAGCCTCCTGTTCCAAACGATGACGGAGCTCATAATTTTGTCTAACCAAAGCATCCGGTGACAGATCTTCATCACTACCCTGTTCTTCTATAGCACCCCCACTGCGTGCAGAATCCATCTTTGTTTTACTGCCTCGTTCTGTCTATAAATGCATAATTTTCTGATATATTCCACTGTTATATTATCATCATAATCATATCCCAATGTTTTTTTCAGAAAGTTAAATATTTTATATTTTATTACCACAATAACATTTCTCCAATTTTTCTTAATACGATATCAGTGTAAATGAATGACAGAATGTGCAAAACCTATTAATCATTTTTAATTTTTTTCTTACTAAACGTAAATTTTTATTACGTACTCTTTAAATTACTTATAAAACTTATTCCAAATTATTATTATTAATATGTACAAGAATCACATACACAACACACACACATATATTGATAAAAGGTAGAAAGAGGTACAAATATCTGATAAATATAAAGGATGGTCTGCTATCATCAGAAATAAACATTACAGTCATGTGCATTTTTTTTTATTAAGAAAATGTCTTGAAAAATTATCTAGCATCTCGATATTTAAAAATTGTTTAATATATTTTTCTTGTCTCTTTGCAGTAAAATCATACACCATCACTTTAAACGTTTTTATTTTTTTTGGTTAGAATTTTGTTTACTATATGTATTCCAGGTTGCCATGACAACCATGTGACATATCATATTCACGTCTGCTTATGACTTATGAATCGCGTATAGGTAAAACACATTTTTTATGCACATTATATCATAAAATAAAAAATTTTTCTGAATCTGTTAAATTAAAAAATATATATAATTAGTAATTAAGAAATATATATAATTAGTTCACAAAATAAATTTTAATTGCACATACAATTTACATTATATATATTATATAGCAAATTAATTTTTTTTAATTAAAAAACTTTACGCATCACTTACATATCGCAAGTTCTTATCTTTCAATCTCTCTTTCCATTTTATTTAAATAATTTTTATAATACAATAATATATATATCTCTTTTTACCTCCTTGGCTTTGCTGGAAGCTCTGAGAAACGGTGGCCGCCGCCTCTCCATCTGTCCCCGTGCCGATAATTGAGATGTTCCCTTCGAAATTGGCTGCAACATGTATAACTTTGATTTGATTATATTATTCGATATTATTTTTTTCTTATAAAAAATTTTTTTAGCAGTGTCACGATATTTAATACATTTATTTGATTTATATCTTATTTTTATATATATCTTTTTGATATATATGTATAAGACTTTGAACGTATATATAATTATAATATTTTCCTTTCCTCCCCAATTTCTAACAAATTATCTCTTTGCGTTTATTCCCAGTGAGAAATTATATAGTTAAAAAGACGTCGAATCAACATCTTTTACATCAAATTTGATGTAAAAGATGTTGATTCGACATCTTTTTAACTATAGTGATTTCTCACTGGGTTTTATCACAATTCTTCTCTGGTTGTGGAAATAAAAATCTGTTTTTTATTCAAGATAAACTTAAAAGCAGATTAAAACTAATTAAACGGTGAAACAACACGATTAATCTATATTCGTCGAGCTTCGTTTTTTGTAGATCCTTGTCGGTGTAATAGTTGAACCCGTGACCCATGCTGAGAGAAAGTCATCTCGGATTTGTTTATAGTTATGATCAGCTTGTTCGTTGATTACGTTGCTGTCTTTTTGCATATGATACCAAAATACTTTGTTATCGCGATATGAAGACGAAACAAATTGGGAAAATAGAACTTCTGAGTGCACTTTGTGTGTTTTGTCTCCACATTTGTTATTTTTAACTTTAACTATTATTTTTTTCTAATATAATCGTTTTCAAGTAAATGAAAACTATCCAAATCACTATTTTTTTGTTTATTTCGAACATTTTAAATATTAATGTTAAATAAATGAAAAAAAAGAAGAATTTGTTATCATTCTACAAATTATTATTAATTATCTACGTTGCATTAATTGATTCAATTTCGTCAAATGATTGCATATAACTATATATATAAAATCAACGAATTATTTAATAATTATTACTATTGTTTTAAATGAATATATTGTTAGCTGATGTTGATGCATATTCACCTAATCGAAAACGCGGTTTATCTCTTGAAGCGATTGTTAGCTCAGGTGTGTGAAATTCTCATATGGGGTGATGATAACTGCGTTTATAATCGCGTGAATTAAACGTGCTGCGAAATCATACACCGGAAATCAACATGTAGAATCGCATTAATTCACCGTTTTATCCTTTGCGCTTCGTACGAATAGTACATCGTTGTAAGGAAATAGTTGGTTATTTAATCCTCGATAAATAACAAAAATAGAATCTAAAAAGATTTATTATCCACAATATTTTATATAAGTTTTAATATAGAGGTGTTTAATTAATTTTACACGCCTATTCCAGATTGTGATCATTAATATAGAAAATTGATTTGTGAAACTTAATGTAGAACTAGTTTTTTGAAAAAATACATTCAGCATATGTCGTTAATTTTGTAATACAAGTAGTAACACGATAAATATAAGACGCTCAATGGATAATCATATATATCCCAAGTAGCAAACTGACGTCATTAAATGTCAAATTACGTCATTTGACGTTGAAATGACATACACTTGCTACCTGGGACGTTATAGATTCTCGAAGAATACTTCCTCTTAATGAAAACTGCGATCTAGAATGAACTCGTGAAATTTATTGAATGGATAGAAAGTGTACTTTTTAGGGATGATCGTTATTCAATGGAGAAACTCTATGGCTTCATCGTAAACGTATAGCTGATTCACTCGGTAAATTTCAAATCATCGTGGCAACTTAAAAGTACAAAGGAAGTATTCGCACTCGCGGAAGTTAAGTCAATTCGTATTCGGCAGTGATATTCTGAGCATATATCGATTGGTGCCATTCAGTGCCTGGTAGTAAACTCGAGCTTCTTCTACTTCCCTTTTAGATGTTTGGAAGTCCTTTTAGTAGAAAAGACAGAAAATAAACGCGGACTCAAAGAAGAAGAGGGAGAATTCAATTTTCTGGAAAGAATCTAATTGTTTGAACTTTTCTTTCCCGATTTATGTAGAAAATTTAATTCTGCAAAACAAAGCAACAGTTCTTGATACAAAATTATTCCAAAACTGATAGAATGTGCAAATATATTTCTTTTTTAGTATTGTATATATACGGAGAATTTTCTCTTAGAATTTACTCTGAAAATTATAGTAATTGTAGGACAATATATGATATTGGAAGAGTTTTGTGAGTTTTTCTGATTAATATTTACCACAAAAAAAATATGAATATGTACATAGTAAAATTAATCGAACATATTTTTATCTTATTGTAATAGATATTAATATTTTTTATTGTGATAAATATTATTCAGAGAAATTCTTATAAAATTCTTCCAATACCACATTGCCCCACGATTACCATGATTTTCAGGATAAATTCTAAGAGAAAATTCTCTATAGTTGTATTGAAAACGCATGTTTCATCGGTAGTTTCCATTCGTCTGGTTTATTGAAGACGATATACGTATGCTAGGAGATTTTAATGCTTAGCATCGGACTTTGAGATGGACAATAATTTCGCAGATAATTATATTTGTGACAAATGAAGTGCGGAAATCGGTCAGATTCAAAGTACAGAACTTCGTTTCGGTATCAAATGCCGACCCAGACGAGCAGACCAGACTTCATTAAGTTGTCTTCATTTATTTATTACGCATCGCATACGATAGCGTATCGCGTAGGCAATAGCATATGTTTTATAATATATGGATGTATATAAAAAATAATGATTCTTTCGAGTCGTGTCATTCGCGGTTCTCGTGCTAATCGATATAACAGCGTCGGAAGGACGCAAGAATCTCTTTGGAATTGAGAATCAAGTCCCAATTTCGCGGATGATTAGTCGAATATCAGGTCAAATTGAGTTCTGTGTCTGTCTATCTGTCTATAATATGTATGTACACATATCTCAATGAGTTTTTGCAGACTGTGACTTCATGGGTCATTGAGACTACAATCACTTTTCCCCTTGCTTCATCTCGTAACGTCGCGAAAAACCATGGATTTTTCACAGAACGTGGAGCTTTTTTTATTTCCAGAGAGAATGCAATATTTATTTCGAGAAATTTATTTATTTTGAAAAAGACTTACATTTTTCTTATGTAATAAAATTCTCATGATTAATATATAATTGGAAGATTTCGATGATTGAACTCGAAACGATTAATTGCGAAAAAAATGTAACTATATACGTATTAAAAAAATCAATAAAATAATAAAACTCTGAACATGGGGGCTAATAAGAGATGAAAGTGTGACGCAAAAATTCCTAAATAATTTTTTAGACACTATTTATTAATTTGAAATTAAATATTTCGGTCTCACTTTAAGCCATCTTCAATAAATTAAAAGTGGATAAAATAAAATTTTTTTTTTTTTTAAGAAAAAATAAAAAAGTAATATAATAATATTTAAAATAAAATAAAATTTACTTTTTTTTTTTTTTTTTTTTTTTTTTTTTTTTTTTTTTTTTTTTTAATTAATAATTAATGCCTAAAATTATTTAGGAGTTCTTTTTTGCGTTTGGGTCTTATTTGATCTTTTTATATTACTTTTTACTAATTCGTATTAAGATGCCGCGGGATTACTCGCATCTTTAATCGTATGAAGGAATTCGTGTCAAATCATATCCGGATATATTCGCGATCGTGTAGTTTCATAAAGGAATATACACTTATCTTTACCTTGATCGTGTGTGCAGACTGCACCAATTCTCGTTTCGCATTATCATATAAATGTGTCGTGAACTTTATTAAGATTAACCATTATTATCATAAAATTGAAAACCGAAAGAGTTATCTCCCCTGATAACATTTCCCGACATGTTATCACTTGTGACATTCTTAAAAAAGAAGAAAGAAAAAAATTGCAAGAATTTGAGATTAAACGGAAAATCTCTACGTTTGCATTCTATAAATCGAATTAATCGTGCGCGAAACGTGATTTTGTCTCATGCTAACTGTTTTCATAACAACGATGGATTATATATCGATAATGTTTCAAAACACACGTATTAATTCGATTTTTACTCGGCATGTCCTCGTGATAAATTTCGTCCACTTGTAAAAATGTATTATTCACATTGCTTACAGATTTTGATATCGCCGCAACTTCGACCCAGCGATTTCGCAATTTCAAATTTTTGAAATCTGGAGAGGCTGAAGAAAATAAAATAATGATGAAGATTCGAAGTTTAATTGATACATATATATAAATATACCGCACGTTAATCGCGCATTCGAACGCGAGATCGTAAGAAATTGAAAGTAATAGGAAAAAGCTGTTAATTACACAACGATTTACATAAATGTGGAAAATCAAAGATATTTGTTTGACTCGAGTGTCGATCAAAAAGTTGCATCAGCATAGTCGATGCGATTATATAACGATGATGAACATTGCCCGCAACGACTTTATAAATTGCAGTGCTTTCAGAATTATGCAACATATATATATTGCGAGGATGAATTTTACGAGGACATATATATATTTTGCGATCTATTTTAAACGTAAAATGCAATTCTATGTTATTCTTATCTCGTAGAAGAATTTCTGATAATGAGATCAGTCATCGGAATCTTGTGCGAGAGAAAATATCTCTCTCTTCTTTCTTTTCTTCTTTTTTTCTTGATATTATAAAAGAATTTGTATGCATTTTCATTGCGTACATCGTCGTATATCGATCGACTTTAGCGAATAATGTCGGTGCACGCGAATCAAAAATACGCACCCCCGGGAGTTGCATATTTCATGCATTACACGCGTAACATATGTCGCCTATTTTTCTTATCACGTCAGTCAAACATGGTCCGAAATTACTCTTCATTTGTATTTACATTGCGAGTCATGTCGATGTAACGATTTAATCTTGTTGATATGTAAGAGCTTATTATTTATGCTTAATAAGAAAGAAAAATATTTACTGTTGGTACGTGTGGAGCAATTGAACAATTTAACGCCTAATGTGAGATACGAATACAAGTCGAAATTTATTTTAGTATGTCAAGACAGATATGTAGATAAAGTATCGATTTTACGATGTGTGTGAATACGGAATCAATTATATAATTATATATAAATATAATATAAATGTGAATTAATATAATATAAATATAAATTATATTAATATATATTTTCTAAAAGAGTTTTGTTTTATTTCTATAGAAAATACATCTTAAAAAAAGTGGACACTAGACTGCTGGTGAGTGAGGTTGCGACACGTGACAGAATGAACCCTACGTCCGTATGAATAGATTATTATGATTTTATGTCGACACCCCGAATGCGTCATAGCCTGTGAAACTGTCCAGTCTGTAAGTCTATTTTTTCTACAACGTATAAGTTTAGATTTATCGTACATATTGTAATATCGAAATATTTAATTATCAATTAAAATAGACACAATTTTTTCACGAAAAGCAACATATATTTTTTTCTAGAAAAAAATCCTTCATCAAAAGTTTTTAGAAATCTAAAAATTTACTTAAAAACAAGATTTAACAAAAAATGATAGATAGTGATATTTTTCATTCATATTTTTTTAAACGAATAAAGATAAGAATTATTTTAATAATTGTATGACATATTGCGCGATAGATAATTATTCTCTTATATTCGTATATGATAAATAATTTCACGAAATAGAGAAGAAAGATAATATAATATATATAATTATTTTTATTAATTATTTCTATAATTAATTAGTTTTTACATTTATCAATTGCATCCCCAGAGAAAAAATTGACAATGTGTTTGGATCTCTTTTTCATCGAATCAATGTTTCAGGTAATGAAAGGAGTCAATCAACTCTCGCTGGGTGCGAAACTAGTTAGTCGATGCTACTAACGATTTCATTTCTACGCGAGAGTTAGCTAAAACCCCCTTACAGGGAGCCAACCCCTTGTTTGAAGACTTTGTCGATCAATTGTGCGATAAGAGCGTCGTATGCAATTAGGTATCGAGAATTGATGCTTCTATATATAATCGAGAATTTAATCTCTTTCGTTCTTTTCTCTCTCTCTCTCTCTCTCTCTCTCTCTCTCTCTCTCTTTGTCTAAATTAAAGAATTTTTAATTGATATAATAGATATAGAATTTGAGGGATCATTTGTCGCATGCAATTATAGCATATCTGGGATTGTCATTAATATTTTTAATAATTTAAACAAAATCGTGATCGAAGTTGTGATTATAATACTGATCACTTTGAATATCTTTCTTAAAATATTAAAAAGAATACTGATCTTAGAACATTTTTATTTATTTTATAGCAGCATTTAATTCCATCAAGATAATATACTGATTTGTCGAAAAAAACATCTTTAGCTATTTTGTTATAATAAATATATAAATAAATAAAAAATTTAATATAAATTGCATATAAAGATAATAAATAATCAAATATCTTCACGATACAAAAGAAGATATAAAATAAATATATATATATATATATATATATATATATATATATTATAAAATTATAAACATGATATTAGATTTCGCAGCGTAAAGTTGAGAAAATAAAGTATTATTAGAACAATAGATTAATTATCTCTGTTTCGTGATAAATCCGATTTATTAGGTTATCAAAGAGTTTGATTCTCTTTTTTCTTCTTTTTGTCATATTTACTTGCGTACATAAAAAGTATATTAAAAATATTTATCGTAAAAGAGATCAGTTTTATATCATTAGACTCTCATTATACTTTTTATTTTTTCTCGTATTGCAAAAATATTCATTTATTTATTTATTATTTATAAAATGCATTTATATTTATTTTTTATTGTATATATTATAAAAAAGTAACTAAAATAGCCAACAAAAGATGTCTTCTTCGACAAGTCAGTATAATATTTATATATTTAATATATCTTGACAGAGTAAATTCTAGTATAAAATAAAAATATTCTGACATTAGTATTCTTTCCATTATCAAATAAATTAAATATTTATTAATTAAGTAAACATTAAATAAATGAATTAATTTCATGTAAACTAAACTAACTATTGATATTAACTATGGATATTAAATAAATATAACTCACCCGCGGCATTTTATCTTCCAGATGTTCGGATTGCGATGATTCTCTGTAAGAGAAACGGGAAGCGGAGCGTTTCTCTTCGGCGATGAAGGAGATAGATAGGTTGGCGGCGATACAGTTTCCTCAGGGCTTCTCGGCCCAAACGGCGGGGGTGCTTGCGTTCGCCACGAACGGTCGGCCTTCACTGAAGCGCCGTTGGCGTCGGTGTCGCGACGCTTCTATTCCTGGGGGATACACCACCCCCGCTCGCAGAGGGTGGAAAGGACGATCGCGTGCCGCGAACGCCTGTCTGAACGCGGTCCCCTTTGCACCATAAGTCGGAGGAACATTGGAGGAGAAGAGAGAGAGAGAGAGAGAGGAGAGAATGGGGGTGAGTGTCTTACACGAGGGTATCCTATCACTCCCTATGCGCCGCGTGAATACATTCGCGGCGCCGCGCAGGGTAAAATATCTCCGAACTAGGAGAATCGACGTATATATTTATCATATACGTGGTTGCATGTAAATGTAGACATCATATTTATTTTCGTATGTGAATTTCCATGAACTATTATGCAGTTGTATTATATAGTTTGATGCGCTTTTTGAAAAGAAACGATGGTTTCAGATAACGATATGAGATTTGAAATAAATCGCGCTTAATGAATAATTGACAAATTTAGGAATAATTGCTTCATTGAAGAATTTTTTATTTATATAATACATAATTCTTTTATTTTCTTTGAAAGTATATTATTATAATAATTGCATCTCTGAGAAAAAATTGAAGCAAAATGAAAAAGAAATATCAATATGTATATTTAATTATACATATATAAAGTACGACAATGTTTATACTCATAAAAAATATAACGTAATAACTAGTTGATAGTATAACAATTTATATAAATTTAATTAATTTTATTTAATTTTATTGTCGCTAGATAGAGAATTACGTATTATATCAACACAATTAAAATGATATGCGAGCTTTTATAAGCTTTTATTTCTAAAACGAAGGAATTGAAAGCTTGATAGATATCGATAAATTGTGTTTCCATATCCTGATAAACGACGATGAGCAGGAAATTCCTTCCGCCATCCCGTAAACCGCTCGACACGCTCGAAACCGCTAGCCGATCAAACTTTTTCCGTAATTGCCCGAAGGAACGGCGGATATCGTTTCGCATGTTCGACCACGTAATTATTTCCTGCACGCAGGGAAAATATATATTTCTTTCCTGGTCTCGGTCTCGATGGAGGCAATCCGCGGATGGTACCCCTCCTTGTAACTCCCATCCCGGTTAGTTCATATTATGCTTTTCCAATCTAGAGAGGAAATAGTTCCCGCACACCTTTCCACGTGGAACCCGACGCGAGCTTATCGCTGCGGTCACGTTAGTCTGATTTCGGAATTTGGCCTACAAGCCACGATGGATGTATATACATATATATGTAGGTTACATGGCACTGCGCCTGTTTGAAAACGATAAGCCACCCTCTCTCTCAATCTCCGAACCCCGCATTTTCGAATCATTAATTTTATCTGAATTACGGAATTGATTATACGGAAGATCTTATTTGTGTTTCGATTTTTTAAATTAATTTTTTTCTACATTTTTGTGACTAATTTTTTTGAATCTATCATCTTCTCTCGGTTACGAAAGATTTATTGCATTATCATGCACGAAATATGGCTTAATTAGATAAAACGAATAATTATTGCAAAAAAATTAGAGACCGTTTATTTATGTTTGTATTTTTGTAATTTTTATCAAGAATAATATAGAAGACGGGGTGAAGAGGAGAGAGAGCCGGACAAATTTATTATCGGACTCCTTTATTTCTTGCTACGAGACGTTTCTGTTCGTATATTATTGGAACACGCGAAGGGTTAACGTCCTAAATTACACAACGGTGGTAAATCTCCGGATTTATTCCGACAGCGAATGACAGCGTCAATCGAGGATTCGTATACAGTGGTACAAATTACGATGATTGTATTTAAGACAAATCGAAGCGCGTGCCATATTTAATCTTTCCACTGTGACACGCAAATGTACATATTATCATATTATCTCTGTTAATAATACCTTTTCTTCCTACTAAATAAATATTTTTATTCCAATAAAACTAGTGTTCTATGCTGTTACAAATTTTAAGCTTTTTTTGCAAATGCAACAATGTTAAAAAAATGCACACATTTAAACAGATTAAATATCTATATAATTTATAAAATAGCGAATGAGAGGATTAAATATGGTGAGATTTGCGAAGGTTTCAGAGAATGACGTCATGAGGATAGCGAGCCTCTTCTCGACGTAGGCTGTCCGTAAACGAAGACTCTGTAGTGAAGGCCCCGCGAAAATTTGGATCTGAATTTTAGCTTGACAAAGTCGTGTCCGATTCCGCCGGAAGTAATCCATATCGCCCCGTTATCTTCGTCGGACAACGAGTTGTGTCGTATGCATGTGATTCGCACGTTCGTCGGACCGTAATCCGCTTCTACTTCCTATGGTTACAATGAAGAGAAATGTAATATATACGTTTGTGTGTGTGGGTGTGTGAAGCGGATATCGATAGAACAACTGTTATTAGCAGCTGGACAAGATGATGTCGAGAGAAAAGATACAAGCAAGATTCAACGAGAGACCCACAAGCAAGCAGAATACGATGTGATTGTAAACGCACTTGATAACCACCGATTCGATGCGGTCTTCTGACGTCATACTCCCAGATCAACTCGTCGTCGACACCCTGATGTTGACAGTCCTCGACTTCTTGCGCGATCGCGAGCGAGAGAAGAAGCAGAAGAAGCATCGGCGATCGGAGCCGCATGATTTTTCCTCTCTTAGTTTCTTTGATTTCACCACCAGGGAATAATAGAGTCACGAGAAGAGAAAAGAGGACAATACGACAATTTTATAAATAAATATAGAGATACCGATTAAAATAAGAATATATATGTACGAATAAATATAATCTTTACTCGGTGCGATATTTTTCCAGGGATATTTCCGGGGAGAGACGACGCGTTTTGGGTTTGTCGAGCGACCGGAGACTCCGAATAACACTAACCGGAGCGAACGGTATTAATAGCCGATACATCGACCCACGCCGAAAGTATCCCCTATTGGGAGTACAATATTTACTCGTCGCGTTGCATACGTTTCGCCAGGGAGATTAGATACAAACGGACGGTATCGTGCATTGCAACCGAGGCGAGGCTGAAGCGTGTTGTTTCAAGGCGAAAGATAGAGAGAGGAGCGGATATCGCGACGAGGAAGGCCTATAATCCCTATTACGCAACACACTTCCAAATTGGACGTATCGTGGATTCCGTGACGAGTGCTCAAAATGATTAAGCTCTAAAACCGCGCGAGCACCGCAAATTACGATTAGACGAGTTAGACAACTTCGATTGTGAATGCGTGTTCTGCACGCTCTTTGAAAATTTTCATGTAATTTTTCCCAAAATTAAGTCATGTTCAATTATCGCGTGATTCGGATTGCAATTAGCAAGAAATAAATCGGATAAATTGTATAATTTATAAAAATAATATTGTGGCTTTTAGAAAAGTAACGTAATCTTGCGAGAAAGATTTGTACAAATAATTACCTTAAGAATTTGTAATTGCAATGCTTTTAACACTCTATAAATTTGTAATTTTGAAGAAAAAAAATCTCATTGATGAATGTACGATGAGACGTTTTTTATAATTTTCATCAAAACATTTTACAATATTTCTAATCGATAATTCCTTTGTATTTCCAGAAATGCGACTGTAAAAATGATACTCTAGTCGCGATCAACATCGCGCAAAATCAACGTTACTGCCTGACCCCGTCGACAAATATCATCTTCTGTAAGCCGTATGGCACCTCTTGGTTATATTTATTCTGTGTATGTAAAACGCAACCTTATCTATTTGACAAAGTAAAACTGTGCAATATATTAGTTTCAAAGAATTAATAGGAGAGAGAAAAAAACAGAGAGAGAGAGAAAGAAAAGAACATTGCAATTTAACACATTAATAATATACAATCAAATTTAAATAAAAAAGATAATAAAAAATAATATACAATTAAAAATTAATTATTAAACTATTATTAGCCTGTGGAGAGATAATAATGTTTAAATTAATTTATTAATATTTTTTATTGTATTTTTTATTGTTAATTCCTCTGTATATTTCTCTTATATATTCATATAAATATATGCAATATGCTTATTCATTTCTCTCAATGATTAATTGTGATAATGTAATCACGAGGACAATTTGAGAGATGTTTGCTGTAGGAAATGAGAAATTACTAACTGCGGAAACTTTTCTGACAAATCGAAGTAAGAGAGGGAAATCTTTATTGCCAATTGCTCATGTTTTCTGTTGTTCTGATAATATAACAATTATATATATAATAACATAATTATATAATTGTTTTATAAATTACTTTAAATAATATCGCATGCTGCATGTTGCAACAAGAGTTGACGAATCTATATTGTATAAAAATGCCGATTATATATCGATATTCTTATTTCTGTAATAGAACTCTGCTTTTTTCGGTTTTAGATAATAATGAAAAGAGGCAAAGCTTCGAACGTGAAGGAAGGACGCGTCGTGCATCGGATTGTAAAATATTATTGCCACCAGCGAATGGCAGCAAGGATGAGTATGCGGCTGGCGGTAACTAGACCATCGCTATCCCACCAGGTGAATCGGTTCCCACAAAATGCCGTGCCTGGAACCACGCGGTTCGCTCATTGCCTAAGGAAACGACTTTACTTCTTGTTCCACGACGCCTAAACTAAGTTAGTGGACTTTCAGGTCCTTTTACGTTTCATTACAGCGAGAGATTCGACTTTGTCGAAATTATCATTTTATTACATCAAAGATAGGGGGGAGAAATCATGTATCATTATGCATAATATTATCGAATAACTCTCATCGTCAGTCTCGAGGAAGTAGAAATAGATACAGAAGCGTTGGCGAACTTCACTGCGTGAATGAATCGCTCATGTAGGTCTGGAGGAGAAAGATAGACGTCTTTATCGCGTGTCTCTCCCGAAGGAGAGTAAGAAAAAAAATTAAGAGAAGGGAACCGGCATGTATATCGATTTATTTTACTAGCCGTCGTCAAGGAACTGCATTTCAATATTATCGCATGATAAGCTTACGTTACACACTATTGCTCCGTTGTTCAAATCTCTCCGTGACTCTCGTCCTTAGAAAAAAAAAGAAACAACTCGTATTTCCGTCACCGCTTGTGTAAGCTTATCAAAAGAGTGAACAGAGATATCGTGTGTCGGAATAAAATATTTGTATTTTGTAAAAGGTAACCATATTGATACTTAAGACTTACAGAAAAACATTAGAGGTCTTGGTGCGACTTCGTCTCGGCTAGTTTGATTTTCGATATGCGGCACGTGGAGGAATCATTCACGATAAAACAATCTCCAGACAGTTTTTGTATCTTTGCGAGTCTTATCAAACCAGAGTTTTCCGTTTACTTTTTATGTTTCTATTCGCAAATTTTTTTACGGCCAAAAAGCGGTCCAATATTTTCTTCCAAGAGTCTTAAATTAAAATTGTTTTAATTGGATTCGTAATAGCTCCGGATATATTAAGTGTAGAAGTTCGAAGAATATATCAAATGAAAAAAAATACAAAAAATTATATATATAATAATTATTTTTCTCTATCATATGAATATAACGAAGTGAAATGATTTGTTCATTGCTGAAACTAAATCAAATACAAGGAGTCGTAACAAGCGATTATAATTATACTAGCCAAAGTCGAAGATGGCCAATTAATTTGACGACAAAATTGATTGTTGACGCGGATATTTATCTTCTCGAAGAAGAGAAAGCGATTGAGTGCAACACATCTGGAAGAAGAAAGAGAAGGGAGGTGAAAAAGGAGAAGGAAGACAGATAATACCGGCAAACTCTTCGATTTCTGTCTCTCTCTCTCTCTCTCTCTCTCTCTCTCTCTCTCTCTCTCTCTCTCTCTCTCTCTCTCTCTCTCTCTCTCTCTTCTCATTCTATTTTTCCACGAACCGGCGACCCCGAGTTGTCAAAGTCCGTCAGCATATGTGTTGCCCCCGGGTCATTCTTCCATCTATAAACGAGGCATTATTTACAGCTTTGCGTGTACATTGCGTCGCGAAAAGATTACAAGTTTCACCAACCAACCAGCGAAGCTCTTTCGCGGGACACCCTCGTTGTATGCAAAACGTAGCGTTACGTCGCGCGAGCAAACAATGCGCTTTCCAGCGAGTGATCAAAGTCACGTAATCACTGTTTCCCTGATAATATATAGATATAGTATATCGGAAGGTTCTCAAAGATTTGACAAGTCTTGAGGATCTCTCTTTGCTTTTAGATTTTTTTTTTATAAGAAAATACCACGAATAGTAAAAAATTATAAATGCTGTTTATGCGAACTTTTTATTTTTAATTTTTGTAACTTTCTTTATATCAAGACTTTAATAATCGATCTATTTTACATTCGATAAATCAACAAAAATAGAAACATCCATATGTATTAGTTGCAAAATTATTGCGGAGACTATATAATTGACATCACGCAGAATCATATGAGACGACGTACTTTATAGTTTCTTCAAAGGAATCCCAGATAGCAATCGTATGTCATTTTGATGTCGAATGATGTCACTAAACATTAAAATTACGTCAGTTTGCTGCTTGGGTTATTAAAAATATATACATTGCATATGATTTAATTACACATGAATGTTGCTTTAAACATTTATTAACGAAACATGACTGATGATGCTTAATATTATATTAAAATAATCGAAAGTTACATGGTGAAAATAACTTATTCAGGGCGAACCTTGATCGCCTTGTTAAGTCTATCGCTATTTCAATACGTTCAATCCCAAGTTTCCAAAAGAAACATTTGAAAGCTTTTATCGAGAATGAAAAAAATAATAAATAAATATCTATTTTGTCGAATGAACTACTTCGGATACATACATATGCATCAATGATACGAAAGTCATTAAATGTAACTGAACGTAAGGAATTAAAAATGTACCGATACGAGATCTTGTAATTTTTTTTCTTGCGCGGCGCAAAAGTCTCTCGTTTAACGCAATCAGCATTGATAGCACGTGATCTGTACATATGTTTTTTTGTCATCTGTATGCGTGTGTTCGCGTTCCTTCGTACGTCTTCCCCAATCGAGCAAAGACGACACGGGGAATCGACTTTTTAACCGATACAGCCGAACTTGACCTTTGTATCTTTATTTTTAACTCGCTTTAACTTTCTTGTTTCATTAAAATCTTGGAGCAAACGCGATTACCGATTTTCCATCTTTGAGGAGTCTTTAAAGAGTGTCTTATCGAGTATTTTTTGATTCTCGTGGATCATTCTTCTCTTCTTTCTCTCTCGTTCTCTAGGCAAGATATTAATTATTGTATTATAACATTATTACAATTGTTAATCAATAAGTAAAATGAATACACATACATACACACAAAAACATATAAGCTCTCTCTCTCCCTTTTTTCTCATACTCTATATGCATCGTGTATAATCATTAAAGATCCATATTCATTTATGTTACAGGGTGATGTGTAAAGTAACAAGGGAACATGTAGCTCTTTGCTACCGATGAGTTTCAAGCATGGAAAAGAACGGATATCGCTTCTTCAATAAATAATATATCACACTCTGCACAATCACTCACAAAAAAAGTAAGTACGGAACACCTCGGATCTCTCTTCTTTGGCACATTCATTTATTCTCGGAGATACGATCAAAGATCTGCAGAGATTCAGACGCAATCTTGACAGGGAATCTCTAGTAAGAACTTCTGTCGTGCTTGTTCCAACAAGCTCTATTGCACCACCGCTAGGGGTGGATTATGCTGCGTCCTGATGACTCCGGCGACGCGTCTGAAAGGTAACTGGAGGTGATAATAGGCGCAATATGGTAGAGGATCCCAGTACACGAAGAGAGACTCCCTCTTGTCGAGCACTGTGCCCAGGAGATGGGACGCCGTCTGATCGCCGGTCACCGGTTGCTTGAGGGCGCTGGCCACGGCGTCGGACAGCGATTGCCTGTCCAGGGTGCTGGATGACCTGACCGCCGAGTTCTGCCTGGAAAAGTGCCGGCAGGGTTTCCACACCAGGCGCGGATGTATCCCCGTATGGCAGACGTAGGGCAGACCCACGCCCACGCGACAACCTATGGACACGAGCTCGCCCGTCTCCTCCGAGACCGCCAGCCGGAAGCTCACGTGGCCGTTGGTTCTGCCACCGAAGGAGCGCGCGAAGAAACGTTCAAGCCACCGCGCGATCTCCGGACGTTCCTCGGGGACGAGGCCGCCCCGATCCTCGTCCACGCGACACGTCACGTTCGCCACGATCCGCGACTCCTTCAGCGTGGTGCAGGTAATGAAGTGATCTCCGCCAGGATCGCGGATCACCACCCAGGGTCGCCTGTCGCTGATCTCGTTTTGTCGCTGATTCCTCAACTCTTGGACGGTGGGTGGTAACAGAATCTTGGCTCGGTCGCGCATCCCAGCGGGACCGGCGGCCAGCATCATGTACCTGCCGGTGTGAAAAGCGTTTCGCTCGTAAAGCGCGAACAGGTCTTGCTGCGATCGCAGCAGAAAGTGCTGCGGAATCGGGAGACCTAGTAGGCGACAACGTCGCAGCATTTCCAAGGGATCGTCCAGGGCGGTCACCTCGCTGGCGTCGGGCACGAAGCACTCGCAGCCGGCGATCTCGAGATGCGGCTTCGCCAAGGCGTCGTAGTAAGCCGTACTGGCAGCGCTTACCGGTATGTAGTAAGCCACCTTTTCGCGTTGAACTATGTCCCGCAACGCTTTTATGTACTGAACAACGTTTCTAGGTCCGGGCCGTGGTATCGTGTAAAACTTGGAACAGGCGGTGGAGAATCTGGCCAGGCCAAACAGACCGTCGAACTCGCACACCACTACCCGGGCGCCCGCTTTGTAAAAGTTCCGCGCCAGATGAACCGCTTGCACCGTGCTACCACCGCTGATGAGGACGCACCGCTTATTGCGAGATCTTTCGTACGCCGGGGTGTGCAACACGGTGATGAACCATTTGAGTGCGGTGAGTGGAAGTTGCAGAATCACCCAGAACAGGTAGACCCAGGCCGAAGCCCATAGAGCAGGCGCCCAGACCACGTAACCGATGACGTTGAAGACACCCCGAAATAGGCTCGACAGCAGACCAAAGTACCAGGACAGAATCCACGACAGAAAAAAACCGCGATTTCGCTCGATGTTGCTCCGACCTTGATGGATCGTCTGCTGCTGCTGCTGTTGACGTTGCTGCTGTCGTCTCTGGGAGATTATCACCGTTGGCAAACTCGAGGTCGATGACACCCGGGAGAGGATAGCCGGCGGCGGGTTGGACGTCGTAACGTGTATATGCGACGTTGAACGTTTCAACATGGACACGGGCGACGACATTCGCGGCGGCGACGTGGACACCGGTGAGCCTGGTGCTAATGGTGGCGACACACTGTTGCTTCGCGACATCGGTGGACTGGTTGACCATAATGTTGAGGTATTCTCGCTCGAACAGGCGGGCATCTTCCACTTTTGTTCGATCTCACTTTAAAAACCTTCTTCCTCGAAGAGAAAGAGGTTTTACGAATAAAGTGGCCAAGCCGATTTGTAGAAATCCTTATACCCAGGACTCATACCTCTTGAGATCTTGAACCGGTTGATTATTTCAGGAAAGAATAGGAAGATACGAATGAAACGAGATTGAAGAGATAGTTTTCTGATGACAAATCAATTTTTCTCGCGTACTATCCCGAGTATATTTTTGAACAGATTGTCGCGAATGCGATTCTCGCTACTAGCGAAAGAAACTATTCGGGGTAACATACACAATGCAAGAGCGTCGGTGTCGTGAACAGCAGATCACGCAGAAGAAGTGACTTCGTCCGCTAAATCTGCATACACAGCTTTAACTGCGCCTGGGCCTCGGTCATCCCGGTCTCTTATGAGGTCTGCATCTCGAACGTACTATGAACCGGAGCCTTATCTAATCATCACGCTTCAGACACAGCGACGAAAAGAAAAGAGAGTCGCAAAAATATGCCGTGTCTGTGCTCTCATTTTTTTCTTTTTATTTCAATTAATTTTGCGAGAAATTGATCAATTTGTTCAAAAAAATAAATGCTTATTCTCCGATGGTGCATCGATAAGGAATTTGATTTATCTAAAACATCGAGAAGAGATTTTTTGTATTGCGCTATTACAGATTGATGTGTACAAGTGCTATTCATCGAATTTTTATCGATTGTATTTTATTATAATCAGTTAATCCTTAGATCATTATCGTAATATAGCCAGAGTCTAACTATAATCAGTTAATCCTTAAATCATTATCATAATATAGCCAGAGTCTAACTATAATCTTATTAATTCACAGTGAATCGATATCAATATTTTGTTTGAAGAATATTATTTTTATCTTGATAGGTAGTCCAATCTGCATTAATATTTTGTTTTAGAATATTATTTTCTATTTTAACAATGCCTCTAATCCGCAAGATTTTAAATCCCTTGTTGAACGATTATTATTTCGGTAAAATGTTATAAAAAATAGAAGTAGTCAAATATTATATTCTTTCTCTGGAATAGCGAGACAATCTTGACATTCAATGTGATATTTATGTGCTTTCCAGCACGTACACAGAACACAAACAATTACAGAATACTAGTAAACACCGAAAAAACAACAAACGTCATCTATCGCATATATAATTAGACTTAATATATTAATAACATTGCATCAGTATCGACTAACGATATGGTCGGTTCATTAGACTGATCGAAACGGGATTTCAAAGTTAAACATGACATTTCTATCACATTTCGTGATTCATAACTTGGGGAAGAGAAGGCAATTAATTTTTACTGTGAAATTAAAATAAAAATATCCTACAATTTGAAAAATTCTCAAGAATAGTATGTTCTTTTTTGAATACAACTTTATTTCATACATTTAGAATATACTTATCTCATAAATTATATAATACGTTATGGTCTTATATTTGGCTTAATGAAATACAATAATTTGCTGTCTTTAGAATTTGTTTGTTCTCTCTTTGCTGTGTCGCGGCACTTGAGCCAGTAAGTATAATCCCGACCACTATTCTAGAGATAAACGAAAGTACCAATTCTGTAGAATTTTCATATTTTTATCCAAAATTTCAGTAAAGAGACAGTTACATTTCTCGAGGAAAGTCCGTCGAAAGGCAAGACATTGAATTGACTTTCTTAATGTTAATATATATTTAGTTTTACGTGTCTGTTTTAGTCTCTGTTACTCGCATACGCTGATTTTGTATAACAAAGCAAAGAAGTAAGATGCACGCAAAACAGAGAGAGAAAAATTATTATTATTATTATTATATCTAAAAATATGTAATTCTTTTTTTTCGATCAACACCAAAGAACGACGCGGCGTTAAAGAAAGTGTGGTCTTGCAATTTAGTTACAATGTCCAAAGTTACGCATCCGACATTTAATAAATTATTATATTTCACTCATTAGTTAAATAAAGACGCGATTTTCTTTTACAACTTTGGCCCATTCAATATAATTTATACCAATCAGAATCTATACTATACAATGTTATATGAATATCAACTAACGGTACACAGTCGGCTCTAGCTACTATATTTATATATGTATAATACGATTGGTATATATATGTATACACATAATTCCTATGCGCACAGGGGTGGCAAATGTATACACACGCATAAACACATTCGTACATACACGCACACACACATCCGTCACATATGTCAGGTATTACAATATATTTTATATATATATACATATACATATATGCGTACATATATATGTATATATAAAACTCTCTTTCTATATGATCTCTCTATTTTATCGTACATTTTTTAAGCAATAAATATCTTTAGAGATGCTTCTCTTTCGTTCTATTTTTATATATACAATTTGCAATCTAACTGTATAATGCACAGTTTTCTTATTATTCTATCAAATCCATTTTAGTGGATAGCAATAATGTAGTATGAATGAAGTTATGTCGCATGTCGTTTTAATGAAAATTTTCTCTGTACGCTATTTAAAAAAATATCGTGAAAATATATAAATTTGCTAATACACATGTTGTATAATGAAACGATTATCGCCATTCTATAAGAGAAATTGTATGGCTGTTATACTACGTATACATATATCGTACACATATATCGTACACATATATCGAAAGAAGTATATCTTTAGAATTCTAATGATAAAAATAACATTTCTTTTGTTAAAATAATCTACATAACAAGTTACTATAAAGTTTTACATACACCAAAGTCATATTGTATTATACGTGGAAATTATTTGCATTGTAGTATAACAACGATACAGTATAGAATGTTCTTTAAGAGCATCGCACTCTTATTCTTCTGGTAAACTATATAATAAACCGTATCCAAAAATCTATGTGGGGTATCCAGCGCATAATATATTCTATTTGTATAATAATTATAAATAATATTCTTCGCCATAATATAATAAAAAGTAAAATCTTTTCAAGTAGAAACAACTTCATCTGATATATGACTAGAAATTATAATTAAACCTAAAATGTAATGCCATTGTATATTTTATGATTTAAACTATACATACTGCGTTATATAATTATATATTTTTTCACAATTTTTCGCTTAAATATTTAATTTGTTCAAACGTTTATAATCCCTTTGGTATATTTTTTTCAAAAGATAACAAATATTTTTCATAAATATTATTTCAAAAGAATAATAACATATATATTAAACTATTTTTCGGAAAATATACGTCAAAAGTTACACTTTCGTCCAATTTTCTATAAAATCCAGTTATAGAACAACAGATCTTTTACTCGAATGGAAAACAATATATAAATAATTGACGATGTATAAGTTGAACTGACATGCATAGGAACGCAGATATTTTTTATGCATGAAAGAGAATGATTTTGACGCGTGCGTGCAATTCATATATTTGAGTGTCAATATTCTTTCATATATTATCATATCATCTCTCTGTATCGTCTATATTTCAACTTTTTCTCTTGTGTACACTTTCGTTCAAAGAATACCTGACAACATTGTGCTTATATAATATCGATTTGTATTAACGCAATGTTAAAAATAATCTGGTAGAAATACATTTGTCTATAACTTGTGATTGTATCATTCACTTCAACTCATGTTCTTTATAAAATTTGTGCTTTTAAGGAAGTGGAGATGTATCGTTACAGAGAATACGAATGGTGGAATCGATTATTCGAATTTTCGCGATTGAAAATCAGCCTCGGAATTTTTTCTTTTGTAAAACTTTTCAACTGTCTCTCGTTAACATTTGGCTTTTTTTAGTATTTGGTAAGAAACTTAAGCTTTTCGAAGATACCCGTACTATAATACGTCGAATGGCGTGAACTATATAATTTTTTATATAGGGATCTTTAACTCACATCATGAGAAATCAATCCCACAATTACTTCTATACACAAGGATTACGATACATTGATTTATAATCATTTGTATTCCACATTTGTCACTCTGCTAAAGACATTAGCTGGTGTAATTTTTACCTATGGTTTATTTTGCCTATAATTTTGTTTAAATATCCTATAATTAATAATAGATGTTACATAGATACGGTATTGTCTATTATAAAGTTTATGACTTCTATGCCTTTGGATAAAAGGTCAAGAGTACACATTGCAATAATATACCTTTTTTTTTGTTAATCATGATACAGTCCTTAAATAGTGTTTCTATTATTTATACCGTATGTGGTAGAAAAAGTCAAATGTACTCTGGTTGAAAGAAAAATAATTGTATCAGAAAGAGATACTTTTCAAATCGGCATCCTCTTTGAGGACAATTAGCACAATGGAATAACAAATGTATAAAATAAGACATGGAATTGTCTCACGTATCATTTAAATAAAAAAAGTTTATATCAAGAAAATAATATCTTAACTTTTTTTTGTATCTCAAATAAATGTAAATTTAGTTGTAATCACACTCACACACGCATATATATTCAATTTTAACATATAACGTGAAATGGCGTTATGATATCTTTCATTAATAACTTAATATAATAATTAGGATAACAATACCGATATAATAATATAATCAGTTAATGTCTATAAAGCCATTAATTATTCTGGCTAAATATAAAAAAATAAAAATCACAGAAATTATATACTTAATTTTATAAATAATATTGCATGATTAATGATAATTGGTAACATTATCCAATGGATTGATTAGAAATAGTATAAATTTTGCACGTCATATCATTTTTTTGGCATAATGCATTAGTGTTTCGTGCATTAGTACAATATGCAATATGCAGTACAGATACAAGAGTTTAAGTCGGAAAATTTGGAAAATACATCTTATGTTCCCCTCAATCTTATGTAACACGTGTTTTAATTTCCCTATAATTTGTTTTAAAATATAATGAAAAAAATATATATACATTTTATACAGACCTGTCGAAAATAAAAGTTAAAAAGTATATATTAATTATATAGTATTTTATTACATATTGAAGGAATTTATTTCGCATATAAATTAAATTAGTTTTATGCATGATTTGAATCACAATCGACAGGAATGTATAATCTAACAAATGATCCATATGATAATCATACTTTGTTGTTCACAATCAGTCATCTTAATAACAAAAATGTTATCGAAATAAAAAATGCAACAACCTTTACTTATGCAGATGCAAACGGAGTCATGACTGCCGCTAACTCATCCATAAAAAATGCAGTAAATTGCGCGTAGTTCAGTTTTTGCACATACATACACACACGCCACATATCTTTGTGTTGTTCGTGTACAGAGAAATTCAACTAAAAGGTTATTAGGTACACACAAGTATTTACAATCCGCTAAGAGTTTCCTGTATAATTTAACGATTTATATATATAAGATAAGACTCCCATGTGTACTGTGTACCATATTAAGTGTTACTCTCGGCGGAGTTACTCTGAGACCGTAATGACGAATAACAGCCCTGACAGACTCTAACGGGTTTTAAGATACCAAGTCTGGATATCTTCGACTCGAATCGGCTGCATCTGTACGTGGAAATAATTAACTCGGCTAAGAATCAACGAATCAGTTTTCTTTTCTCTCTCTTTTTTTTTTTTTTTTTTTTTTTTTTTTTTACATAATCACACTTTATTCTAAGAGACTTACCTCGAGCAGAATACTTGTCCACAGTTGCGGCAATGGTGCCTTCTTTCATATAAATTGAATCGGACGCCGCAACCGACGCAAGAATCCGCTCCCTCGTCCTTCAGCCAATGATCGGCGACCGTGCGTCCGGGTTGCTCGCACACGCTCCATGAAAACACTCTGCCACGTGTGTCACCCACGTACACTGTTCTATGATCCCTATGAATCGAAACACAATGAGACGAACGGTAATCGATAATTTATTCTCATATAATCGCAGATCAACAGATCATAAATATATACTCAAACTGATATAGTTGTATGCTAAATTCAAACGTCGTATTAATTTTAAGTTTATAAATATTTTTTCGAATTTTATGAATAGTTTCTGAATTTATGTATACTTAGAACTGTTCTTTTCAGCTGAACGAGCTAAATTATCCTTCCAATGTGAAGTAAAAAAGATAATTCTGAACTCTATTGAAAAAGATCTATATTAAAAGATAATTTTGAGAGAGACTTCTAGTGCAGTCAGTTCAAGAGAAGAACAAACTTTTATAACAAAGTGATACATAAGAAGGTAATAGAAATCCTTTAGATTCAATTATAAGATTTATCTAATATAAATGTAACACTTTGCAAATACCTTGATACTGCTAAAGCTGTGATAGACGCCGGTTCTGCATTGTCCTTACGATCATAGGCGGTATGCATCGTTAATTTACTGCGAAATACCAATTGTCTTTGCCATTTGAAGCCGTCTCGCAGGATATTTTGCGGATTGATCTTTCGCGGTTTTGTATCAGCCTCGGTAACCATCACGAAGCTGTCGGTCAAGCTGGTGTCGCTCTTGCTAGCTCTCAACGCTCCTTCCGAATCTCCTGGGTTGCTGGTAGACTCGCTGCGAAAAATTTTACAATCACGTAAAATTTATACCAACTTGTATTCACTTATCTTGAGATTCAATTACCTAGTCTGCGTGCCCTCACTATCGGCACGTCCACCGCCTTCGCTCTTTCTAAACATCGGATTTCCACGACTCTTCCGACGCAATACGACTAAAGATGCGTGATTACTCTGAGGCGAGGGTTTATTACTAGAGCCGTTGCTCGATTCGTTATCAGAGCACTCTTCCTTTTCCTCGTGAAGTCTGGAAGCCTCTTTGGCATTTTCCGTCTCGGAGAGACTACTCTCAGAACCGCTCTTCATAAGTATACCTTAATAAAGAAAGTCAAAATTTATTAGAAACAATTTTGTTTAAACAACTTGTAATTTATTATACATATAACGTATCACTTACCGGATCCCTCGGCGGATATACTCATTTGTTTAACCAATTCTTTAACTCTTTTTATTGTTGTTTCAGTTTGGTTTTCCTCGGTACTTTGTTTCTCGTTCTTTTCTTTTTCGGCAGCCGTCACTTCTTCGGGCTTCTCTTCTTCCGCGGGTACTTGCACGTAATCCATCGACCACATCTGCAAAAACACAGGCCTGTCTATTAATACCACAAATATTTTTCATTAAATTTCGCTAAATATGTATATATGCACCTAAAATAATCTACTATTCTATATTCAAATACCTAAAGCATTGTAGAAAAAGACACATCTATCTTACCCGAGCAACACCATCGGTGGAGCCGGTCATAATAACATTCTGTGAATCCCATTCATGGGTTTGACTGAAAGCGACGCATAATATCTGTTGCATCCTGTCGGCGCGACCGACACACGTATTAACGCTCGCCAACTCTTCCCCGTTGATACTCCATACGTGTAACCACGTAGCCGCGCATGTAGCTATGTCTCCCTATTTATGTATAAATATTTTATATGAGAATAGATAAAACATTTAATTCTATTTGACTATTTTTTGTATATATATATCTTATATATAATTTATATACATAAAATGTATATCTTATATAAATACCGTTAATTCATTTATGGCAACTGCAGCGACTGGTCCAGCATGTCCTCGAAGCTGACGCACAAACAAGCATCGGGATAAATCCCATATAATCGCTGTACCATCTCGCGATCCGGACACGATAACGTTGTACGCGGGACTGGACGATAAACACGTGACTGCATCGGTATGTCCGTACAGGCACTGCTTTATAGAAAGTTGTCGCTTGGCATATTCCCAGACAGTTACAACCTAGACAAATATACATGTTTAATATGTCTACTAGAGTTAATAACTAAAGTTTAAAAAAATAAGACAAAAAAAGTTTTGAATAACAAGTTTTTACCCTCTTTTTCCATCTTCTTAATAAAGAATCGCTTTTTTCTAAGTTTTTAAAGAACAACAGCTGATAGACTCTAGTATTATAATTTTGATCCGAAAAACTCGTTATAGATTGTCGCGAGAAAATTGTTATTCAGAGCTATTTTCGTGTTCGCGTAACAATTTCTCTCTTCTGGAAGACTTACAGAACTGGTGCCAGCGGTAACTATTAATTTGGAAGACGGACAAACGCACGCCACTATCTCTCCGCTGCTTTGCATCAGAGCCTCGCCGACAAAGATTGCTTTATCGCTGTCGTAATTCCCTATTCTGAGAGAATGATCAGCGAATCCCCATGCCACATATTTGTTGTAAGAGGGAGGAATAAGTGTCTTGTTTTGTTCCACCGCCAACACGGCTTTATCGACGTGCAATATCTGTCCCACAGGACCCTTTAATTCTGTAAACGATACAAATTTTATTTTTAAAAGACAAAACTTTACACAGCTTTTATTAACGAAAAATTCGGAGATGCGAACCTTTAATGGGCTGCAAAGAAGGCTTCAGATTATCGAGATTATGGAAGAACAATTTGTCAGATGTGGTGATACTTAATCCAGGAGTGATCGGTCCAGGATCGATCACACTAGTTCTTTGCGTCATTTTCTTCGCCGGATGCGGCTTCTTGAATAGCTGCTTAGGTATTTGGCCGAAATTATTGATGAAACCGATAGTCGCGTTCTTCTTCAACGGATCGTCGATGCTACAATTAAAAGATAAGCAATTTTTTTAATTGAAAAGTTTTTACTCCAGATAAATGACACAATAGATAAACGCTATCGATATCTTGAAAATTATAACTGCAAATCATAAATTTACTTGTAAATGTCAACGTTGCCTTCGTAGAACAAGTGATGGAACACATTGACAGCTTCGACGGCCGCAGGACCATTTTGCTTGCATCCGAATATTAAATCGATCCACTGATGAAGATGCTGCGAGACATAATCACATTCTAACGCGAGTCTATGTACACGGATAAATTCGCGAGGATCCTGCTTCGCCCAAGGTGGAAGAACGATATCGCCAAGTTGAACACCGCTTTGTTTAGAGCCTGCGAGAAAATATAACACCATGATATAAATACAATAAAGAAACAAAAATAAGGAACTACGCTCAATAAAACGCTCTTAACTGACCTAAATCAAAGTGATTCGAATTGTTAAGAAATTCCGGGAGATAAAAAAATTCCGGAATAAGTTCCTTCACGTCTGCCATATTATGTTTGGAAGCTGACAACCATGCCTCCTTTACACTATTGAACATTCTATCGGCTAAATCGAAATGCCCACCCTACGAGAACATTTTCAATTATTCATACATGTTAGAACAAGAATATGTTAGAAATAGAGCTATCATATGCTCCTGCAAATCTTCCGTACAAACCTGTAATCTGAGAAAATGTTGTGTGAATGGTTCCATTCTCACCAGATAGGAGCATACTATCATCGCCGATGAATAATGCGTGCCGTAATGATAAGGAGGAGTCTCTCCGTGCGGATCATCCCATTCCTTGTATCTGGGAGGTTGTAAAACAATAATTATCATTTAAACATGATAAATATTCCCATTATGTATATCGTTACATGTAAATATATAATTTTTCTATACCTTTTCTTAAATTGCAGCAATCGTTCGGGACTTTGCGCGCCCATAGGTTTACCAAAATCTCGAAACGTCGATGAATCCGTAAGATCGAGCTCCTCGCTGTCATAATCAGCCAGGATCCACGGAAATATTGGATATTGCATAAGATCGTTGTAACTACGACCCGCCAACGTATTCAGATGCATCAGGTATTGAAAGTTCGATATTTCTCCTCTCTATACGCATGAAAATACATCGATACTTAACAAGAAGTACATATTTTAACATTTTTCTCGCATTTGTTATGCAGATACTAACCACCCATCTTTGAGTGACCGATGTTTCTCCTATAAGATTCGAGAGTAAGCCAGTGGCCTGTTCGACATTCGCCGTTCGCCTTTGGCCGGCTACGGATTGCTGAGCGCTGTCGGCTATCGCGGTAGCGAATGTCATGAATCTTTGATAGACCTTGTTCCTGACCTTTCGTGGGAATGCTAGTAAATAGTTTCTACCATCTCCGCTGAACACTTCCAGCGCCATGGGTTGCAACAGGTATCGTCTCTTGTGTACTTCCCTGTGGATAACGCAAAATTGTTCAGGTACTGATTCAAATGTTATGCAAAAAAGAGATAAATTTGTATCTTTAATATATATACCTGATATCTTCGTAATTAAACTTAGAACACTGTCTCATCGCTCTAGATCTTCTGGGAGATCCCGGCGATGGCAAAATGGGTTCGTACGCATCTGGCAAACTTTCTATATCCCTTATCTCTCTAGACTTCAGCAACGTAAATCCGTCGATCACATAGAAATGTTCCTTTCCGAATAAGAGAAGACCCTCGGTCGTGTCCAAACCTTGTATTCTTGCGCACCTAAACATGTGGCTTATCTGAAACATGTAAATAAAAGTATGATGAAAAAGAAAGAAATGTGATCGAGCATCATATCGATTGTATGAGACAGAAACCTTTTCATGTTCCTCGAGGAGACGTAACAACGTCTGATTGTCCGGAACAGCTTGATTGTTTTCTTCCTCCTGTTCGTTATCCTCGGGCGCTTCATCCGGTTCACTGGCGTGACGTTCTAGCGTGCACGGAACCATCGGTGGTTCGCTCTCTGTAGAAGCTTCATTGACGTTTAACGGTGTGTCGTCTATAACGGGATCTCGTTCACGTTCAAACATTCCCGATGAATTACCGAGCTGCTTCAGATAGTACTCCTTACTATCCATACTCGATGCTACTTTGTACTTTAGCTGTTTCTAAATGTAGATAATAGAGATCAATGTATTACGGTAAACACGCGCTTATGTTTAAATTTTGTTATATTTCTAATGCATATCTTGTGTAAACTCACATTATCAGGATGCTCTAATTCAGGCCGATATGGATAATGTATGTAAAAGAGTTCATTCTTCATCATCTTCTTTCGCATTCTACACGGTCCTTCCGTCATATCCAACATCCATTTGTCAAGGCTAGTGGGTATCGGAGGTCCCCAAAGACCGCGTTCTCTAGTCAGTTCCGTCTCGGTTTGCAGCCATTCCTACAAAATAAATTAATTTTTTAGAATATTTTTTAATCTCAATTTAAATAAATAACGCTATATATTGCAGTAGAAGAGTAAAATTACTAAACAGAAATAGATAATGTCTTACTTGATACACATAACGCTGAGTGTGCAGATTCGTTTGTTGATGTTGCAAACGCCTCACCGCAGCGAGCTCTCTGACTAAGGCAACATGTTGCTCCGTCCACTGAGCAACCGTGCTTTGATGTAATCTAAGTCTTACGCGCACAGATTCTTCCTTTCGCACCTTTGTCCGGCTCGCCAATCTCGTCAATCCTCCTGTCACCTTTTGAATTTTCTGCAATTTTATATAAATTTCCAAATATATACGTGCAATTCCTTTTTAGAGTAATTAGTATCCACTTATATTTAGCATACTGAATTTTTACATACCGACTGGATCTGATTGTGAAGTTCCCAGGGAGCTCTGTACGTGGCTCTTCTTTCCGAAACTACGTAGTTTAGCCAAAGCTTGGATGCGGCCTCGTGAACTTGTTCTCTCACGACCGACAATTCCGGTGCGCGTTCATTGCTCACAGGTGCCGGTAGAGTCACTTTAAAAACTTCCTCTATGGCTGGTTTCTTACACACGTAAAGTTCCTCCCAAACTCTTGTCGCCGCGACAGCCATCAAGTTATGTCCCTGATGAGACGTCAGTCTATCATCGCTGGATTCCACTTGAGGATTAACATGCCATGTTGTTTTCATGTTAGTGTCCAACATAATCTTTATATCAGCTGTCAGTTGCAACAGACAATATGTCAAACAGCCGATAAATTCTAATTCGTGATTGCCAGCGCCAAACACCAATAATCTGAGAATAAAAGTTTTTACGTGATTATATATATATAACTTTGCTCTATTTTAGGATTTTAAACATACATATATATTATCCAAAATGCAACATCATCGTACAAATGTGTACGCATACCTATGAGTAGTAAGCTTATGCAATGCCTCCAATACAGCCATTTGATCAGCAATGGAATCAGTCGCACGTGACAGTAAGAATAAAATTGTCCTATTCAGGCAGTGATGAAGGCCCTCCATGCTGACTGCGCCAGGACGCCTTTTTGCTTGGCCGATTAGTTTTACAATAAAATCGAATACTTCATGCGGATCTTTTGTCAGAGCACCTTTGTGACACAAATCGAATCATTTTTATTAATCTTAATTAATACACACCGCGCGTCAACAATTAGAGAGACTATATTTACCTTGCCATAATTTGTCAACTATTCTGGCTGCCACGTAACAAACATTGTTAGTTATATTGTTGGCTGATCCTCCAGGAACGACGGGCAACGCGGCCTGTTCCCCGATCAATACATCTGCGGCCAACAGATGTTCCATCAATATCGACAACACCTCTGTCTGATAACGCATTTGCTGTCCCGTTGATGCATGTTCCGGCCACGCTTCCAGGACGAGATCTATCGCCGGTGACTTGGCCGTCACCGGCAGTGAGAGCGAATCGACGACAATAACTTTAAAAAAGTCCATCACGAACTTCTTCGCGGGGTGATTCGTCAGTCCTACGTCTTTCGACGGTGATCTCACTAATACCGGTTCCTGCTACAATAATGTATTTATCAATATTAATATGTTTCGGTCAATTTTAACGTAAAGATTACTTTATGTAATTTTACGTAAAATTGAAAGCATCTTAAAAAAAAAAAAAAATAAATAATAATTACCTCGTCAGCTGGGGTACTAGCACCGCTGCTATCCTGACTAGAACTGACGGGTTTCGGAAACAAGGTCCCGGCTAAGGCACCCAAAACTTCCGCGGACATAAAGACCTGCATAAAGTCGGTGAAGTTGCGATAAAGGAAGAACAAGAATTGTATTATTGTCACCGGATAATCATTTAACCATGCTGGTAATACTTCCGGGCTGTGAAAAAGATTAATTTATTATAATGTGTGTAATTATATATAAATAAATATATCTATAAATTTTAAAAAATATTCTTCATTATATATAACACATTAACTCACTTGCTCGAGTGACTATTCAACATTGTTCGCACCATAGCTAATAACGTGACCATCGCTTCAGGACAAAGATTAATTCTGCTAGTAAAAGACGATAACGTGTGATTTGCCGGGACTCCGAACATAAAGTTCCAAACATTATCCAAATCGAGCTAATGTGTAATCGTAACAATACATATTATAAAATTGCTGTTCTTCATATATTAACCATTTTAATATAAAAAAGACGCGCAATTAATTCTATTGTTTACCTTGGAATCCGTAGGTAACAATTTCACAGGTTGCCCCATCATAAGAGCAATAAAGAGAAAATAAAGTTCTGGAACAAGATCGATATGTTGTGGAAGTAACCAGCCCAGATGCTGAAATCCTGGTACGTGAAGTCCAGATGGCTTAATCTCACCAGTAGACATTTGTTGGTGACAACCTGTTATAATTAATACAGATTATATAGACACTATAAATATATATTTTTTATAAATAGATTAATACACAAATAATATCTGTAAAATATAACAAAGCACAAAGGAATTGTTAATATATGTACCGAGTGCTAGTGCCATTTTATTGTGATCAGTATGTCGCAGCCAACCACCATTGCTTGTACCCTCTTTGAATTTTTGCAAGATTGATTGCACTGAACATACTGCCACGAGTATACGTAACCCCCAGACAACTGTGGTACTATGAAGATCAGATTGGAGGAACAATAGTACCCAATCTAGGCCCAGAACTTTGGCTACTTCTTCGCACATACTGTAAATTAGTACAATCACAATTATATTTCATATATGTATATATTTTTGACACACGTGTTAACATATATAAATATTCGTATAATTTTACTAACTTTACATTAATTTTGGATCCGTTAAACAACAATGAGTGTAAGAGCTGTAAACAACGATTACGTAAAAGTATACTCTCTCCTTCCCCATCTCTGTTTCCTTCTCCTTCTCTAAGCACTAAGTGTTTTTCAGAACATTGTGGTAAGGTTGCTACAATAAATTGCCCAAACCTGAATAAAAATTAAAATTGAAAATGAATATAAATGTGTGTATTTATAATATTATATAAATAAATGATAAGACTAACCATAGTAGATCAGCCTGTCGTGGTTGACTCAATAATATACTAAGAAGCGCTAAAAGGACTTGTCTGGTGCTGCCTAATTTCACATCACTCAAAATATGCAATAATTTATGTACTAATTGCAAATCTCTCATTAATCGCAGATTAGTTCGCTTTTCACTGGACTCTGCTATTAATTCGTACAGATGTTCGAGAAGAGATCTCAGTAATTCCCCGGGTGCTTCGTGCCAGACCTATCAAACCAAAGTACAATTTATCATAGTAATTAATTCGTTAAATCAGAGTTGTCTAATTAAACGTTTCTCTTGTTTACTGATTCGACATAATGACATAAGACAACTCTACATATTAAATAATTAACTTTTCTAGACTTACTTGTAAGTCACATAAGAGATCCTGAAACGCTGTGACATTAGGAATCGCACTAGTTTCTCTACCGCTATCGACCGTACCCACAAGACTAAATGTCAAGTGCAATATATGACTGTTTAAGAGAGGACATTTTCTTCTTAATAACATAGCTAGAGTCTGATATCCTCTTCTACGATCCATTTCTTGTTGGGCCGCTTGATTGGATCTCACTACGCAAACTAATGCCTTTACAGCTGCGTACAAAGATTCTACATCTTGGGCCATAGCTATTAAACCTTTTAAACAGATTTAAAGATATTTTTAGTTCCATCTCTCATTATTACAATACATATAGGCATTGTTAGTTGATTTGCAATTCGTACCTAATAACACTGAACATCCTCCTACATTATCAATCATAGTAGCTACTGGTTTAGGACTAAATACACGAACACCAAGGTAACCAACAACTACACCACCTAATGCTCTAGCTGGACCGCTGAGATGTCCCGCAGAATTATGGAGAACCCTGATAGGTGTGGCGTTCTCATGAGATGACATACCAAGCTGACAAATGCAAAGTAATCAAATTAATATAAAATTATTTAGTTATAAATTTTGCTTTTTCATTCTTTATCTTTAATAAAAACAAAAAATTAAGAGATATTCATACTTGTTTGGCGATTGATTTATTATCAGCTCGGCTGTATACTTTTCTAATTTTAGCTAAAGTCAATTGCGACATGGCTTTTGCATTCAACCCAAACACAACCTTTTCCTCAGCCACGAGAGGTGCTAGAGGTTCAGGACCTGTATACACAATAACGTATAATGTTAATATTTATCATTTATAAAATTGTTTTAATAAGAAAAATCGTCATAGCATATTCTGTACCACTCAATTGCGGAGCTTGCAGGCTTCCCATGTAATGCGGTCCTAGTTTAAACAAAGTGGCAATGTTTTGAGAATTAAAAACTTCCTCCACTAAGTGACACGGTCCTTGTTTCCACGTCAATCTGGAATATCTGCGCCAACAGGGCGGCGTACCGATGTAGCCGTAAACCGGAGAAGCCACAGTCAAGTTGGCAGCTCCACCACCAGGAACTTGCGTGATGTAATGAAGCTAAAAATATAGAGATATTACATTATGCGCGAGATTAGAAAATTGTGTGATTAATAGATTTAGAAAATTAATCTCAATGAAATTTACCTTTTGACTATGGATATGCTGACCGTCTAAGTATAATGAAAAACTTGAATTTTTAAGAACCGCGCGATTTAACACAATAGCTATGTGATGCCACTGTCCCTCGTGAAGTAAATCAGGACACCAGACTCGAGCGCCGCATTCACCCGTTCCTTCGGGTTCCCATTCACCTGTATCTAAGAGTGCGCATTATGTCGCTTAATTTTAATAACACTATATGTTTTCAAAGAGTATCACGCTTATACACTTACTTTGCGGAATGGGAGTCTCCTGAGTGGAAACAATAATGGCCTTATCTCTAGCACTAAGAACAGCAGTCAGGCAAATTAAGTCTCTTGCAGATTGTGGGATGCGCACCAAGGTGAGTAATCTCACGCAATGAGGATCGGTTCTAGGATCACTAAATTTGTCAACGCATATCCATGTGCTATACGTTAAGCCGGTCTGTGGTGGGAATAATCTATCGCCTAAAAAATAATTTTTCATAATATAGAAACCGTTATTCGACACTATCGTTACATTTATTATTCTATTCAACTCGCAATATCGACCATTATATAACATTAAAAATAAATTGCAAATATAATAATTATAATTAAAATATGTCGTGTACCTGATCCAATTCCTCCCAATACACTATTGTCCGCAGAGACAACCGTAGGAGGTGTCGTGCTTTGCGGAGCGACACTCGGCAAGTACAAACACGCGAATCCCTCGGCGCTCATATCCAATTCCACGAAAGGCGGCAAAGTGCACGAACCGTGAGCTCTAAAGTCCTTGGGTGTTGTCATCGATACTAATGTCTTGATTCGCGTTAAAGGAACCGGTCCTCCCCTGGGTTTGCTATGATCGATATTGTTCAGTGAAATGCAACATAACGGATCACCCAAACGTAAAAACTCTCTGGAAGAATTAAATTGTGAATTATAAATGGAGACAGTTTAAATATTAAATATCTCCCAGCTTCTTTTTTCTATTTTTTCTTGTAAATAATATTTTCTTTCTTATTACCGTAAATCTCTCGGTTCGAGCGATTGCGCGGCTAGTCTCTCTATGATGTATTGCAGAGGTTGATGAAGCGGATGTGTCTCGTCCTGTAAAGCGATTCTACCCACGGATAACAATTCTCCGGCCATACCAGCTTCGCACATGACCTGCTGATTTCTTTCCGATCGTACCAAACTCTTGATGATCTCCGCCACGTACAATTGTAATGCCAGCGCCATTTGTGGATTAGATGATTCGGATATAGATGGGAGTAAGTGAAGCATTCCCACCACTATACCGGGATGAACTACAATCGGCTCGGGTGTGGGTGGGCTTAGGTTTAAAGAATTTATAATACATCTCTTGCTACTTCCGGGAGAATCAAATGATCTCTGTTGCTGAAAAATGACGCAAGATAGAGTTACCACTTTAATTAATATAACAAAATTAAAATTGATTAATAAAGAATTATACCTCCACGCTATTTTGTTTATGACTCGGAGATCTTATGCCTACATTAGCTAAATTTGGTTTGTCGAAGGAGTCAAGCGCTACGTCATACAGCAAACGTAATAGTAAACACGCGTATCCCAATGTTTTTGGCATATCATCTGGAAATACCGGTTCCAATACACTCCCAGTAAATAACGACACTAGCATGTTATGATAATTCACAGTCGGTATCATATCCATCTCGGTGATTTTCGTTTGAGTCGAAAAACAACCGAGAAGACGTAAAGTATCACACAAACTTGATTGGCAGATCTGCGCAAAATTAATATTATTTAATTGGTAATTTTTATACGATAAATTATACAATTACTAATGATATGCCTTCAATTTATTCACCTCGTGATGGAAAAATTTCGCATTCGCTGGCTCGAATCGCATCGCCGTACTTATAGTATGAAACACTACATGCAACAATGTCAGCAATTGGCTTTCGTCCTGCATAGTCCTCTGCACGATATCGTTGCAGGGTTCACTCTTTTCCGATCTTTGCGAACCTAATTGACCCTCCAGGGATACCAGAACAGACATTACATAAACGAAGCCTCCGACTTTTCGGAAAACCGTTCTAGTTCTATGCGACTCTCGTAAACAGGCTAGCAATGACTGGAAAACAATATTACAAATCGTTAATAGCTCTTTACGAATTTATAATCAAGTATAGAATATAAATATACGCGAGACTCACTTTTAATATATGCGTCTTTAGAATCAAGGCGTTAGGAGGTGCCGAATGCATAACTCCCAATAGCGTAGCCATGTCGTCGTCACCACCCGCGCTTAGTATCAATTCTCTAACGATACCGAGTGCTTGATATCGGCAATCTACGTAGGGCACTAGATTGTGGGCGCAACGTGCGCCCCCGCATTCTCTAAAGACATTCGCATTTTGAACGTTACTCGCTAATAACGTTGTTAAAGCCTCCATTACTAAGGCACCCAACCGTTCATCCTCGGGACATATCGTGTATTCTAAAACAATTTATCGAATTTTGTCGAAACTTGTACATACAGACTTATGATGTCAATATTTAAACGATCTCTTTGACAAAAATTACCTAATCCTTGATCGATCGCAGCTTGCTTATCCTTGAGTAATGTTGCATATCGATGAAGACAAGTCACAAAAACCTCCAACATACCAACTTCTCTATAAACGTCTTTAAATATAGTATTGTGTCTAAAAAGGGAAGTTATATTTAAAATTATGCAAGTCCTTATACTCATATATTTTGAGATAAGAATAGCGTTTTTCGAGAATTACCTGAGTATATTGAGGAGAGTCTCCATACACATGATACTGCAAGAGATTGAATTGTTCGTTTTCAATAAGATGGATAGGGAGATGAGTTCTTTACACGGAACAAAATTAAGTTGGAAAACTATAAATTCCAATAGCTGAAAGAATTTTTCTTGTATCTCTAGATTCTTCAAATGAATTTTCTCTGCAAACTGAGACAAGGTATTTTGTCCCTCGAGAATAAAATAATTCGCATTGTCGCTATGATATACACTGGATATCGCATCCAATATAGTGCAACATAAAAGTGGCGAATTAGATTTTATAAATACAGATTGTAATACTTGGAACGCTTGAATGTTTCGGACACTTCCTCCTGCAATACAAATGTAAAATATAACTGTTGTATATTTTCTCATTGAGTATATACAGCATTTTATTCTCTATAAAATTACCTCTGTTACTAGGTTGGGGTAAGGTAAAGCCGAGCATTTGAAATAGGGATCCCATACTAGCTTGACTTGGTTTCAGCTCTGTATGACCACACATTGTTAAAGATGCTAACATTAGTACCAAATTTCGGATAGCGTCTTGCGCTTCCGCTCTACTATCTTGCTCTAATCTTGACGGCGCATGTCTATACATGGAAATTTGTTTTTTTTTTTTAAATTATATTAATTATATTACACATTTTTCATTATCATCGATATTTCGTATATCTACTTATGATATTTACTTACTTTAAGAGAAACTCGGATAAAAAGATATAGCCCTGACAAGCACGAAAGTCATCTAGCAATGTTTGAGAAACCTCGCTGGAATCTTTTAGAAAACAGAACACTGTTACAAACATTTCTACAACCTCTAATGGTGCCAGCTCAGGTACACGTTGCATATTATCGATACAAAGTGCTATGCATCCTTTATCTGTAAGATAAATTAATAACAAATTTAAAAAATATCAAACAAATAATCTTTACGTGTTATCAAAAATTTGACAAGTTATTAGTAATTTAAAATAAAATGTTGAACTTACTATGAATATAAGCTACTACATTTTGTGTAAGACCATGTCGAGACAGCGTCATCAAAACTTCGGCGGCACTTTTACGCCACATAATATTGTACTGTGGACACCAACTGGTTATTGCTGAGAACAGTAAGGTAAGATCGTCCTTACGGGCGAGTTCTTCTGCAGGATAGGGGTGACTGCATAATCTCACCAACAACTGTAAGTATGTTTGTGAAAAAGAATCAATTAATCAACAAATAATAAATGATTCAATATACAATTGTTCTAGAATGTGAAAATCACCTGAACAAATATTTTTTGTAATAATATCCTACGTTCTCTAGGAGTAAATTCACTATTTGCATCTGTAATATCAGCATCTTCTTCGTTCATTTCAGGTAGATCAAAGAACAGATATAAACATTTTACCAGAGTTGATGGAACTGAGGCAGCAGTCATGGCCTATAAAATAAATTTAACAATACAAAACAAACTCTTTTATATAAAATATATATTAAATATAAAATATATAATCAACTGAGAAATTCAATTTACTTGTATTAGAGAGGTATCGCCTGCCGCCAACAAATTCAATGCGGACAACAGCATCCAGCCATTACTCGATTCTTCGCTATTCTCAATTTCTAAAAACTTGACAATGGCACAACTTGCTGTCTCAGTGCTCTGGTTGCTTGCTCTTCTCCTGATTTCAGATACCATAAGTCTTGATACTTGTTGCGTGAATGCCAAAATATCCCAGAACTTTTCATTCATATCTCCCGATGGACTAGATCCAAATACCTTAAAGCACACAAATGCTTTTTATAGTTATAATAAAAATAATACAATAAAAAAGAGTAGTAGGTGTAGTAACATTATTTAAGATTAATTTTAATATTGCAAAACAATTCTCACATATTAAAACATTTATTTCTACTTATATATAAATATACTTTACCTTGCAAAATAATGGCAACATATTATACAATTTATCATCACGTTCAGCATCGGAAAGGGGATGTGGTGGATGAGTATATTCGGAAAACAGTTTCTTCAGGTGCATAAGCCCCAGAGCAGTGTGCTGAGGATTTGTGCCTCCAGCGCTATCGTCCAAACCACCAGTACCACTCGAACCCATACCTCCAACGCCGGCACCCCCTCGTAATTTACGCATTATGTTCATTCTTGAAATTTGCTGAAAAAAAAGTTCCTCCTCAGTTTATCTTCCGATAACTCTGTTTGATGTTTCTTATCCTCAACATTTCAGAAGGCGAAATATTTTCTTGGTTCAATTACAACATAAGATAAACTTGTGGCATATATAATTGTAACAAAAAATATACATGTTCTTTTAGCAAGATATTATTTTTAAACAATGTCAAAACTACTGTGCGCCAAGAAAAACAAAAAGAATTATGAAAATAATTAAAAGTAAATCCAATTTCACTTTCTGAAAAAAAGTTCCCCTTCAGTTTATCCTCCAATGACTCTGTCTAATGTTTCTTATCCTCAACATTTCAGGATGTGGAATATTTTCTTGGTCCGATCACAATATAAGATAAATTTGTGGCATATATAATTATAACAAAAAAATATACATGCTCTTTTAGCAAGACGTTATTTTTAAACGATATCAAAGTTACTATGCGCCAAGAAAAACACAAAAAAGAATTATAAAATAATTAAAAATAACTCGTACATATCTGATATATATATATATATATATATATATATATATATATATATATATATATATATATATATATATATATGAGAAAATTTGTAAAGTGACAAAAATAATAATATGAACTTGAAACTCCAGCTGATCAATACAAAGTTCTGATCAATACGAGTAAGCTATTTTAACGAATTGACGAAAAAGTCAATGCGCCCAAAAGGAACGACGCAAAACGAAGCACACATATACACACACAGTTGACGCTTATAAAAAGATATACGTTCGATCCAAATTTAATATTTGGAATTGATAAGAGGTGATACATACAGACAGACAGACAGACACACACAAACACGCAAAAGAGAAATAAAAGTAAAATATGCTTTACATGCGTAAAAAGTAACAACCGTACGACACCGTTCAGCAAATACGCTCGAGCATTCGTCGTGCTGACATCGCGAGTGTTAACATATCGGTGAAAATGGCACGACGGCTTCGCGGAAAAACCGACGACGGCCCCGGCATCGAGTCGGGCGGCATTCGTCGACGACGATCCCGGCTCGGCGGAGTCAGGGCATGCAGATCGATGACATCGCCGAGTATCCGTCGAGCATCCGGCTCAATATTTACGTCCGTCCGTCCGCGAAACGTCAGACCGACGAGATGTCACATACCGCGACGCGGATGTGTATATATACACACGTATACACATGTGTGACACATACGTGACACACACACACACACGTCGTGAATCCGCCCACGAATCGCCGTCATCCGAATCACGGGATCATCGTCGGGAGCTTTTGATGAGCGCGACAGCGTGGTCGAAATTTACCTGGCACGCGTCTCCGGCTTGAAAAATTCTACATTTTCTGTCGGCAATTCACGTCGATTCTCACGGCGGGAGAGACTTTAATATTTCAGTGGCGGCAGCCATCTTCGTATATTTGACAGTCGCTCGACCTACACGGCTAACGTGATACGTCGATAAGCGGTCACGTGACTCCTGTTGTGCGATCGGTCCGCAGGAGGGCGGGCTTTTTAAAAGGTCGACTTGATCCCGCGAATAATTGAAGGCGAGATACTGTTAACAGTACCTCGTCAGTGTTGAAGATTAAATAAATTATAAAAGATAAAAAAGATGTGAAGATATTTTCACATAATAATCATTATCATGTGATGATTTACTCATGTATTATGATTTACTCATCATTTTAATCATTGTATAATCCAATATATTTCTCTTAGCTTAAAGAAGCTGTAAAATACTTTCTTCCTCTTATGCATTTTATTTTTTAATATTTTATACAATAATAAATACAATGAAATACTGTTTTTAAAATTATAAAAGATAAGATAAAAAAAGATGTGAAAATGTTTTCACATAATAATCATTTTACACAGAATTTTATTTACATTTTCAAAATTCAGAAATATACAAAGAACGTTGACAATTGTAAATAAAAAAATCTGCAAGAGCAAACTAGTATTCTGTTGAAAAAATGATTGTTCGATATTATTCATGATATTCGTTGAAAAAAGTCCGAGATCTTTGTTTGACCGCTCTTCCTTGGAAGTGATTTTTGTTTTTGCGATTCAGGAACAAAACAGTCTTTTAAGATTTTAATAGATTCGGTGTCGTTTAATTCTGACGATTCCAACGATAATTCGGGTTTAATCTTCTTTGATGTATCTGGATCGTCCGAGATATTTCTTTGACCACTCTTTTTCGCAAATGATTTTTGTTTATGGGATTCCAAAATAAAAGAGGTTTTTAAAATTTCAATAGATTCACTTCCGTTTAATTTTGCCGATTCTAGCTCGGATTTTATATTCCTTGATTTGTCTCGATCGTCGATAGAATGTGGAATATTAGTCTCTTTCAAACTTGAAAAATTCACATCTTTGCTTAATTTATAAAATACTTTATCTTCCTGATTTTTGTTCTCTGCAATAGAATTATCTACAAAATGTTTCTCTACAAAATTTAAATTACTACTTTCATTAACATTGTTCGCTTCTTTCAGATTATTTTTAATTTTCTCATTACACATGTCCTTTGTATCACGTTTAGCATTATCGTCGTTATCGTCATCGCAACTTTCCAACCAATTTATTATCTTTTCCTCTTCTGTCATTTCACAAATATGTTTGTTAACTTCTTTATTCAATGCCACATTTTTGCTTCTTTGAGATAACGTGACTTTCGAATTTTTGGCAAAAATATTGGTCAACGAATTTTTACTCTTTGTCGGAAAGTATTTGCTCAACGGCTTTATCCTGCTTTTGTTGTACAAGAAACAATAAAAATCCGAATGGTCACTTGATGCAGATTCTTGATGATATTCTGATAGCATTGAATAAAGTCGCGCTGAAAAGATGTATAATTTATATACAAATAAATGTATAAAATCTTATCATATATATTAATATTTGAATGAATTTAAAAATTAATACCTATATCAATATCATGCTGAACTAGATGTGCATACATTGCTGCCACATCATCTCTCAACTTTGTATCTCCAAAAGTAAAATAAACCATAGGTCGATCTGCAACTGCAGCAGCCATTAATTGTATCAATACTTTTAATTTCGGATTTCCACGAAATGCTCCGCATCCCCAATTTCCCGTTGCAATAGCTGATAGATTATTCTTATAAATATCAGATCCGACGAATCCAACATAAGCCTATAAGAAATATTTCTTTATAAATAATTTATAAAATTTAATAAATATATTTATAAATTAGTTATACATGTACATATATTTAAAAATTAAATTTTATCAATTTCTACATATTGATAAACTTTTGAATATAAAATGTTCACATTACACTTACGAACCTTATTGAGTTCGCGAGTTATATTGTCGATTTTGAATTGTAACGAAGGTTGCCTAAAATAAAGGGCATCAATGGCAACGATTGACGTCATACGTCTATAACTATCGTCCCTTGGTGTCTCATCAACGAAATCTCCTTTCCATTTAAAGGTATTACTATATCCTTCATATTTACTGTATCGCTCAATACCACTGACGATAAGGGCCTCTGTGTCATCTAATTCTTCCGTAACTAACATAGTGATCATAAGTTCTGGACATATAACAAATCGTATTTCCTCTTGTACGCATCCTAAGCTTAGCACACCTCCGCCTACATATCTATAAGATGATTTAAGATGAAAATAAGTAGTATATCTATTAAAGACAGAATTAATAAATAGTAATTTCGAAAAACAAATTTTGTTTATATATTCTATCATTTTATATTTACATAAACTTGCGAGTTTATAATAGAATATACAGTAAAGACTAACTTGTTTGCAAAGTCCACTTGAAGCAGTCCAGCTCCTTCATTTTCAATAGTTCCTTTACTTGTTATATGCAGTGGTGGCAATTTTTGATCCTGTAAGTTCCATTTCGGACAATTTTCACATGGAATGTAACGCCGTTCGATTGTTATTACACCTTCAGGTGCTGCTCTATGTAAAAAGTGTAACATAATTTAGATTTTGCATCTAAATTACTCTGATTCATTATTTAGCTGTCGCATGAAAATGTGTATTTATTATATAAAAGAAATCACAACTATAATGTACTTACCCTTAGTTGTGACTCTCCTAAAATAATGAAGAAGACACTTAATTTTTTCCATCACTGATTGATTATATTTTTCCTCGAAAGCGTTTTCCTTATAAGAGGCAAATAATCTGAAATATGCAACCGAGATATGCATCTAAAATCTACTAATTAAAGAAATCCTATATTCTCTATTATGTATAATAAATGTAATATAAATGATTTATGTTAACCAAAATATTACCTATTAAAATTAATATATGGATACGTTGCATATTCCGATTGTGGATTACTGGAATTGCGTCTAGGAAATGTACAAAAAAATGCATTTGCTAGTAGCGAAGCTACTTGCAATTGGCTTAAACTAATAGAGCCATTAGTGTGACGTTTCAGAAGAGGTATTGCACCAGTTAACAACATAGGAAGTTGCAGAGCAAGCTGAACCATTTTTGGCATTAAAGTTTTAAAGAAAACGGCCGTTTCTTCCGAGTCCAAGACCTTCGTTTAAAAAGATTTTTTAGTCTTTTTAAAAATCTTTTTAATTAGACACTTTTTAAATGACATAATGTTCAAATGTAATACAAGTATTATCCAATATACCTCTGAAAAAAAGTGATGGAGAGCTGTAAAATTCCAACGTTGTGCATATATTTGATTATAAAAAAGTATAGCACTTTCCAATTGCTGACTGGAGAGAATGTTTCTCAGCAAAGCTTCCTGGATCATATCCCATCTATTTCGACAGCTACGATCTCCACTTCTCTGAAATATGCAGTCTAATTATACATATATTAGTAATTATCTGCTCATCTAATTAGATCTGCAATTATAGAATATAACAAGATAGCTATTGTTACCTAAGTATCTTATCATATCTCTTAAGTATCTCATCAATCTAGTATTCTTTCTTTTATACTCCAAAAATCGCGATTTTAATGATAAATTCTAGAAACAAATTTAAAATTAACTTTTCCTTAGCAAAAATATATTGAGATAATAACAATTATAAATAATTTTAGTCTTTTTTATCAATTAAACTTAAGAGACAAATTCTAGAATTACATTCATCATCATCTAATTTAAGATCAACTCTAATATTATATAAACATATTTTGAAGCTTAATTATAAAAATATATATTAACAATTTTACATTTGCAATTAATAATTCTCTTTTCCAATTTTTTTAAGAAAAAATTGTCAAATTTGTTAGAAAATTTATTATCAAAATTGTGAATTGTATAATAATCTATACATACCTGATCTACAGGATAAAAACAATGAGCAGAACATGGCAATCGTACATATCCATGGCTCCACTTGTCTATTTTATGTGTCGGATAAGGCTTGGGTGGTTCATGCATAGACAATGGTAACTAATCAGAACAAAAATATATATATGTAATATAAAAAATTGATAATATCACTGTATATTATTTAAGTAAAATTATACCCTAAACAAAACTGTATGCTTAGCAGCTGGAACAATTGGTGGATGTTCTTGATATTCATATGTGCCAAAACCTTTACGTATATCATTCATGCTCATACCCTTCCATTCAGGTGTGTCATCAGAGAGTTCTGGTTCGTTAATATAAACAGACATAGAATCTGCTGCAATAAAATATTGCGATAACATTAAAAAGGTAACATAAATGAGAATGTAAAGAATATACGAGTAAATCCTTACAATCTGAATTGGCAATGTCAGTACTTAGGTTTGTTGGTGATTTTACATTCGTGAATAAATCTGAAGAATCTTTCTCATCAATTACCATGTCCGAGTCTGACATTTTATTCTCCATAAATGTCTGAAAACGCATAAAACATAAACAAGGGTAGAAAGAAGAAAATTCATAAAGAGATAATAATATATATTCCTTACTTGCAGTGAGAGAATATGAAAACAATACACACTACGATATAGAATAACGAAAGTAATTAACACAGCCACGCGCACAGATTCTTCTTCCTCTTCTTTTGTTGAATTTACATCCACTAATAGAACAAATTATCACGACGTAAGCTATAAGATCAAATTTAGATTATTTAAATAGCCTATTCACAGTAGACCACTAATAATAATACTAACCTGACTTGTGCGTTCCGTTATTCACCGCCAGTACTGGAAATATTTGTTTACCCTAGAAGAAAGTTACTAGAGGAAGGAGTTTTTTTTATCAAACGTCAGATTGGCACATCTGTCTGCGAGCAAACATTTTGCGGGCAAGTTCAGTGCGCGCAGAAAAGCAACCTCTCTTTTCCATGATGGCCGAGAGTGCGATAAGGATTTTGTAAATTTCCTTCACCCTAATATCTGAATTTCTATATTAGAATGACCATGATATCCAAAGCTGCGGTCGGGATTGCTGTCGGCATCGCTGGGATTTTCGTCGGCTACTGCTTTTACTTTGATCAAAAACGCCGCAGCGATCCCGATTTCAAGAAGAAACTGCGCGAACGTAAGTTCAACGATTTCTTTTTTTCTTCCGCTAAATTTGTACGTTCTTTCGTCACGTGCGATATTTTATCTCAGTAATTCACACATTTTTTAAGTAAACTGATGTTTTTCGTAAAGAAAAATATTTTTCCTAATCACAACGTGTAATTCTGATCATTACGATAATTCATTTTACTGATATATTTCCTATATATGGAAAATGTTATTTATGTATAATATACTATAAATTTTATGATTATGTATGATATTGATTGAATGTATTATGCATGTATATACAATATTATGTTATACAATCTTTTTAAATTTTATATCACTGTTTATTCTTAGTGATAAGTTTTAATTTTCATTGTTACAGGAAGAAGAGCTAAGAAACAAGCACAAAAAGCTTCTTCAAAGATCCCAGATTTAAGGGATCATGAATTGGTACAAAAATTCTTTTTGCAAGAGGTAAAAATGTTTTGCTTTTACATTAGATTACTTACATAAGATTATTTTTATAATAAATTTATATGTATATAAATTTAATTTTAAAGTTTACAATGTACCATATTGATTGTGACTTAGGTTCAACTTGGAGAAGAAATGCTTGCTTCTGGTGAGATAGAGGGTGGAATTGAGCATTTAGCTAATGCAGTGGCAGTGTGTGGACAGCCAGCACAATTACTGACAGTTCTTCAAAAGACTCTACCGCCGCCAATTTTCCAGATTCTAGTGCAGCGACTACCTGTAGTCGGCCAGGTACACAAATTTATACAAAAGAAAGAAAGTATCATCATAACATAAAATAATATTTTTTCATTTTGCCTGCTTACAGAAACTAGTATCGCAAACTCAAATGACAGAGGAAGATGTCGAGTAGACGAATATAAAGTTTCGAGTCTTAAAATCTGGATTAGTAAATGGTCTGCTCATTTTTGCACAACACATAAACGCGAACACAGTTTACATCTAGGAAAATTCTACAATTATATAATTTGTCATTCTTTATTGAACTTCCATTTTCTTTGGCAAATATGTATTATATATACATCTGAAATTTTTATGAATATTATGTGTTTTAGTTTAACTAAGCAGAGACAGATATATTTTCATTTTCCTTTGTTCAAATATATTTTAATCAAACAATGATTCTGACAACTTCTAATAAAAGCAAAGCTTACAAAATGATATTCTGATCAAATCAAATCTATCAAATTGAGATCTAGTCCTTTAGTAATGCCAGTGACATTGTTCTTTAAAAAATGAGAAACATTCTAGTTGATACAAGGCTCTACTTATTTGTGTATGGAAAAAATTGCTACAAAATTTTATATGTCATTAAGACATTTATAGCTTTTAATGGATATTATTAAATCCATTAAATGTGATGTTATATCACATGTGCAGTTATTACTCACTTATATTGATTTTAATTGACTACATATTTTGAGAAAAGAAAAAGATAAAATGTAATTTATCCTTGATACATTCATATATTTGCTTTCATTAATAACATTTTTGAAATATAAAAATGTGTTATTGTTTTCGTTATTTCACGATATTGTATATAAATCTATATCGTCTCATTATATACATATATAAAATTTAATATACTAATTATTACATAACAACTTCATCAAAACATGAATTTGAAACAGATTACATGTAGCCATTGCTTTAATCTAATTCAATGCAACATATATAAATATATATATATATATGTTCAAGAGAATTGACATTAATAAAACAAATCAGAAATATTTATTGTGTGCTTCAATTAGCTGTGTTCAATAGAAGAACATACTGTTATCGTCACACTTGCGATGCTGACGAGCGTTGCCTTATCTCGGTGTAGTAAATGTGGAGAATAGCAACTTGTATAATTATTACCTATGGATCTCTGATTGTAATCTTTTAAACTATAATATCTAACTATATAACAATACACTGTACCTTTATTGCAAAAATAATATATGATATGCTCTAAAAAGTATATTATTGTATTCTGTGAGCATTTACAAATACAGATGGAAAGCAATTATTGTAAATTCTATATTATGTGTGTTACTATAAAAATGCACAGAAATATACATATTTTGTAGATAAAATCTAGTGTCAAAAAAATGCATTATTTTAAACATCGGCATTACTTGTAATGCTTCAACTAATATATAACAAGCAGTTTACATATATATATATATATACTTTTGGTATAAGATTATATTCTTATAAGGATGCATTAGTCTAAAAAGAAAGAAAATTGATTTTAATTTTTAGTATAACATATATTTGAAACTGTATACGCGAGCACAAACTGAAAAATAAAGTAAATAAAAAAAAACGTTCATCTCTTATAATTCAAAGGTACATTTTTTACAGAACTATAAAAATTGTTATAAACTTACTGATTTGGAACAAGATAGTCGATGATAAAATATAAACTTTTTTTATTAGTATTACAATAGTCTTATGTATAAATGTTCTTCTGTGATAACCTAATATAATTCTACATATATAATTAATTTTATAATATGTGTATATATATATATATATATATATATACATAAAAACATCTTACAAAATATAACATTTTCATGATTGATACATTATAGAAATAATAGAAGTCAAAAACTCAATAAAAAGTAACAAAATTATATATACATAAGTCTTTTATGATACTTAATAATAATTTTATACATGGCATTCATGATCTCAAGACACAAAAATAATCATAAAAATAAAAAATGTCAATAATCACAAAAATAAAAAATATCAATTTTTATAGCCTGTTAAAATATTCTAGAAGAAAATTTGACACAGAAAATAAAAGATATATGTGATACATATATATATACAGGGTGTCACTTAATTGGCGCCCAATATTTATATAGCGATATTCTTCATGGAAAACTGAGTCGAAAAATCCTGTACCATTTTTTTCAGTAAGGCATAATAAAATAGTGATTATTCAGTAATGTATTAATGTTACTGAATAATTACTACTTACTACGTTAATACGTTACTGAATAATTACTACTTTATTATGCCTTACAGAAAAAAATGGTACAGGACTTTTTGACTCAGTTTTCCACGAGGAATATCGCTATATAAATATTAGGCGCCAATTAAGTGACACCCTGTATATATTCATGAGATGTAATCATGCTTATAAATTCTCTGCAAGTACAGACTCTATCATAATTTGTTTAATGCAAACGGAAATACTGTCACACTATTATTTATTCTATTATGGCTATGCTTTGCAATAGGCTAAATTACATTCAACAATAATAAAATTGTTATATAACATTTTTGTTTCAATAATAACAAATTATATTAATATAACAATAAATTAAATATACATATATAATATTTTTCATACTTCTCTCATGATTATCATACACATTCATCAAAAATATATTAATACAAAAACTTTATATATATGATATTTTACAGCATTTTTCAATATTAATATTAATCAAGAGACATGGCCATATAAATTACGTGTGGTAAAACGGACTGTTACATCCTGCTTTGTACTTTTTCTGATTTATAAACAGGAAATAGATAAAATATACATGATATGAATGTATAAAGCAGAGTGTTCAGAAAAAGTATATATAATACAATTTGTACTCTGATCTATTATAGTTTTTTACCTTCTGTTCTATATAAACAGAACTCTATCATGAATATTTACACAATCATAAAAAATCGGGAAAATAATCGTTGTCAGTTGGCATTAACATATTTCTCGAACTTCAAAAACATCAAATATAACCCAACTAAAAATAAACTATAACTATTTCGAATCCAAGATTTCATTTCTAGCTTGTGACATTACGTCAAGAGCATTTTTCTCTATAAGTTTTTTAGCTAATTCTTTACCAAGCTGCTCTGCACCATAAAGACTTATACTGCTTACTTTGCCAGGAGTAACGCTACAGTAAAGGCGATGTTCTTGATATGGACATTTTCTATATTTCGAAAAGAAAAATATGAAATAATTAAAGAACTGCTCAAAAATATTAATCAATAATATAGTGTAATACTATTAGCACTTGAAAGTTACATTCAACTTACCGTGGAGGCTCGCCATCGTCGTCGGGTAAATATAATGTACTGTTATTAGTATCAGTAACTAAAGTTTGACCATCTAGAGACCATACAGCACCAGTAATTGTTAGCTTATTCTCTTCTAAAGATGAAGATACCGCGACTGGTGCGGAACATCCGCCGCCAAGGGTTTTTAAAAAGGAACGTTCGCATACACATCTCAATGTAGTTTCTACATCGCACAATGTTTCTAAAAGAGAAAGTATTTTCCAATCTGATTCTCGGCATTCAACGCCTAATGCACCTTGACCAATAGCATAGAGAGCTTCTTCAGGTTCCAGAAGCTGAAAGAATACACATATATATTAACATAAATTTTTTATAAAATTTAATATAGAGAAATCTATATGAGCAAGATTCATACTTGACTTATTCTGTCTTCCCAGCCCAATCTCTTTAAACCAGCAGCAGCTAATATTATTGCAGCATAGGAACTATTTTCATCATCTAATTTTTTCAATCTAGTGTTCAAGTTTCCACGAATATTTTGTACTTTTAAATGAGGCATATTCCGAGATAGTTGCGCGGATCTACGTAAAGAACTAGTACCTATGACACTACCCTTTGGCAATGAAGATAATGTTTCACTTTTGTATTTTGTCGACATAACTACTGCATCACGTGGATCTTCACGCCTAAAAGAAATTATTTATTCATATTAATAAATATTAATGTAATTTTTTCTTTTCAATTGACTTTATTCAATCATTGTGTTGTCTAGGACACAAGTACATATTTCATAAAAGAAATAAAATTATTTTTTTATAAGCAAAGTTGTACATGTGTAAAGTTCCATAATTATTATATATTATATTTTAATAGTACATATAAAAATTAATTAGAAGAGAAAGTTATTATGCAAAATATCACAATAATTTGCAGTCATAAATAGTTAAGTCATAAATAATTAAAATTTTCACAATAATTTGCAAGTCATAAATAATTAAAATTGATCATTGCTATTGTATAGAATTTACAGTGTCCTGATTAGAATATTAATGAAGAACTAATAAAGATCTTTCATATAAAAACAAGATGTTTCTTTCATAAGAATAATGCTTGCACATTTAAATTTAAAATATGTATCGCCATCTTGGAGCAACAAGGATATGAGCAAAATAGCAAAGTCAGCTCTTTTGATAAGCAACAAATTAACACAGACAAATATATCATATCAAAATAAAATTTTAATTTAAAATACAAAAATTTTTTTAAAATTATATTAAAGACAACTTACATTAAGATTGCACCTAGTGCCATTCCTGCTGGCAGTGTTGTTGGTAAGTCTTTTAAGGAATGCACCACAAAATCAACACGACCATTTTCCAAAGCTATTTCTAGCTCTTCTGTGAACAGTGACTTTTCGCCAATCTTTGGTAAAGATTTGTCCAAAATCTTATCTCCCTTGGTATTCATTGTTACTATATATGTAACATTTATACATTTCGATTACAAAATTTGAAATAAAATAAAATTTCTAATTTAGAAAATATACTTTGAGAGATACATCAAAATATTTTCAAAATGATAAATAGACGTAATAATTAATAAAACATTTCATCATACGCAAGGCATGAAATGCAAAATGCAATGACAATTGAAAATACCTGTGATTAAAAGTGTTTCAAGTATATTATGTAATCTCAATAAAGAGCTAAAACTTATCATGTGTATCATTCATAAACCATTTGATAGAGAAAATATTATGTAAACTTAAACTTTTTTAATACAATAAATTAATTATCGATATCTAATAATTAACGTAATAAATATAAGACATAACTCCATATTTGCTTACCTATTTCAAACTCTTTCTTTGGATATTCTTTTTTTAAGCATTGTATCACATGCTTAGTTTGTATCAAAGCCAACTATGGAATCAAAAAATCTTGCATTATTCATCTATGAAGTAACATTTTCGAAGTAATGTTACATCGCAACATAAATTAAACATCTGTTCTATGTATGTAATAATAATTTTAGAGCTAATAAAAAATAACGTTTAAACAACACTTAATACCTCTTAAGTGAAATCAATTAAATATCCGATTGTTATTTGCAAAGATTAAAAAACTGCTGAGTAACTTTGCGTAAAATGATATAGTCCGCACAATGATTAGGCAAAATAAATCTCTCGTGATATAAAATAATTTATACTTGGCAAAATTGATTTCGACGTAACTAGCAATTTATATTCAAAATAATTAATATTCAAGAAGTCAATGAAGGAACAAAACAGATACTAGAGATCCTTAATAATTAATAATTGCATAAAATTATCCGGTTATATAGCGGACAATTTTAAAGTCACGTTAAAGTTAGCGCAAAAAAAACTCGTTATGGAATGATAGAATATTAACAATTTTAATTAAAATATAAGATCATAAAAAAAAAAAATATGTATATATATTCGCGCGAGTCACGAATTCCCCCCGGGGAGGAATTTGCTAATTAAATCTTAAGTAAAGTGAAAGCCGCTCACCTCACTTTTCCGAGAGCCCACTCGGATTACGTCACTTTTCTCCGTATTCTCTCCGTTCATCGCCATGTTCGACGCACCCGGTATATCTCGTTATCACTCTTATATATTGTGATATCTCGATATCACAAATATCAGTGGGAAAGAGAAAATGAATTTTGGAATGTATCAAAGCGTGAACATTCGACGACGAGAACATGAATTGGGTCGAAGGACATGAACACTTTCACCAGATCGCCAAGGACTGCGCCTAACCTTTTAATGACTTTATACACGATATCGCTATTCTCGAGGGAATTACAGAATGAATACAAACACGTTAAGTAGATTATTAATGCGTCGAATTATTCCACAGTCACTGGCACTGCAGCAGAATGTGAAATTAATAATTGAGAAATTTGGAAGAACGGTGACGAACTACAAACCCATTCTGACAACGCGCAACGCGACTGATGAGATATGAGAATGAGAAGAGAAAAATAGCAGCATAGATTATAAAGTAATATTAAGAAAGGCGTCACGCGAGTCGAAAGTTTACTTTAACCATGGTTAAATATTTTCTAGATGCTCTCATGTACGTGAATTCTCGATCGAGACGATTGACGCGTCATCTTTCGGGTATGACGCAGTAGCTGTGGAATGCAGCACGCAGTTCGGTGTGAAAAGGGAGAAGTGGGATGGAGCGAGAGTGGGGAGGAGTGGGAATAGAGCGAGAAGAGGGAGAAGTGGGGGAATGGAATGCGACGCGGTGGTGGGGGAAGGTGACAGCTGACGCGTCAATGGCGCATTATTATTTCATTATTTTGATCATTTTGATTAATTGATTGTGTGTTTTAATTAAATCCTATTGTAATCTTATTTTATTTTGTGCGTACGATATTCAATAAAAAATCTGTCGTTTAAATCTGGAAAAATTACTAGCTAAAGTTACTAGAAAGCTAGGTCTTTTATTGGATGGATCGAAAATTTCTGAAGTAAGTTCTTGAATAATAAAAGCAGAAAAATAACTTGAATAAAAATTGACGCATATTTGTGTTATGCAAAAGTGTTTTTGCTTTTGCCTTTTATGCAAATTTATAATTAATAAAGTGACTTTATTTAAAGTGATTCTATTAATGAATAATAGAATCTTCGAACGCATTCTACGAGAAATGTCTCAATTTTGAATGAAGTTCAATGTTATCAATGGAAACAGAGACCACGTGTTCAAGCGCATTGAAAGAAAAAGTCTAAATATAAATATATACAAGATAACTCAAAGTTGAGAGCACTTTTAAAAAGAAAAAAATGAGCGAAATTAAAAGTTTCTCGGATTTAAAACTAAATTCTTGGCTACTTACACAATGCGATACGATGGGTAAATAATTTTTTTATATTGCCTAATTTACACGAATTGTTTCCTTCCTTTTAAAAATAAAAATATTCATATTTTTTAGTACTAAGCAATTTTATGACAATATAGCAGCTGTATTTTATATTTGTTTTAGGTTTAAAAAATCCCACTCCAATTCAGCAAAATTCTATTCCCCGAATATTAGCAGGTGAAGATTATATAGGATGTGCCAAGACAGGTAGCGGCAAGACTCTTGCATTTGCTCTGCCCATTTTACAAAAATTGTGCGAAGACCCATATGGCATATTTGCTCTTGTCTTGACACCAACAAGAGAACTAGCTTTCCAGGTGAGATAAATATTTTATTTCTTTCACTCCCTGTATAAATTACCATGCAGTTAACAAAATATATTTACAATGTGCGAGATATACTTGTAATTAATATGAATTTTGTTAAGTCTAATTTAGTTGGTGTTTATTTTAGATAGGTGATCAATTTGCTGCCATCGGCAAAGCTATCAATTTAAAGAAATGCGTAATTGTTGGTGGTATGGATATGAGAGTGCAAGGATCGGAATTATCCAAACGGCCACACATAGTTGTAGCTACACCAGGCAGACTGGCAGATCACTTAGACAGCTGCGATACGTTTTCTCTGCAAAAAATCAAATTTCTAGTGTTGGATGAGGCCGATAGATTGCTAAGTGGTCATTTTGATGAACAACTTAAAACAATATTTGCTGCAGTACCTAAACAGAAACAAGTATTATTATTCAGTGCTACAATGACAGATGCCCTTGATAAGGTGAAGCAAATAGCCTCCAGTAAGGTATGATTGCTTAATAGTACATAACTATAATTGTAATTAAATTACAGAAAAACTAAAAGTTGCAGCTTTTATTCTAGGTTTTCACATATGAAGAAGAGGATGATGATGGTGTCGCCACTGTAAGGGAATTGGATCAACGTTACGTATTATGTCCTAAGGATGTACTTGATTCATTTCTAGTAGAAGTAATTAGAACATTTCGTGCTACAAACAAGAATGGCTCTATTATGATATTCACGGACACTTGCAAGTATGACAATTGTTTTCTTTGTACGCAGCAGATTCCAAAAAGTCATTTGCAAATTTAAACTTAATTATATATATGTAACTCTATCATATTTAGGCATTGTCAACTATTGTCAATGACACTGAATGACGTTGGATTCACAAACGTGGCTCTTCACGCGATGATAAAACAGAAAGAACGTTTAGCAGCGTTGAGTAAATTCAAATCAAATCATGTACAAATTTTAATCGCTACCGATGTCGCAGCGAGAGGTTTGGACATCCCGACAGTAGAATTAGTCGTTAATCATATTATACCGAATGTACCGAAGGAATACATTCATAGAGTCGGCAGAACAGCTCGCGCAGGTAGAGGCGGTATGGCGATTAGCCTGATAACGCCAAACGATATCAAATTATTACACAAGATAGAAGACACCATAGGCACTAAATTAACAGAATACAAAGTAGACGGTGAGTATTTCTATCTCATATTTCTTCTTGATAAAAATTAATCAAAATTTAATCTGATTGCTCTTAATCAATCTTAGATAAGGAAATCGTTACGATCTTGACGCAAATATCAGTGGCGAAACGAGAAGCGGAGATTAAACTAGATGAAACTGATTTTTATGAAAAGAAAATGATTAATAAACGAAAAAAATTAATCTTAGAAGGTAAAGATCCGGACGAAATAGAAGAGCTTTTAGAGGAACAAAAGAAGAAGAAACATAAAAAGCTAAAAAAGAAAGAAAAAGTAGAACAAACAATTTCGACGTGAAATAAAACTAAATGTATATAACATAATGTAAATGAAATTGATACAAAATATATATCATACAATTATGTTAATTTATATGTATGATAGAATGATAAATGAGACGTTATTGTTTTCTCTAAATAATCTAATATATCTCGCTTTATTCACAAAAAAGATAAGATTAAAAAATCGTAATATATATGTTATTTATATAAAATTTACATTTAGAATATTATAATCTATTAAATCTATCTAAATAATTATAAGTAATAATGCATTTTCCCTTATGCGAAAGGCAGTTGTCAACTCAAAAATCTTTTTCAACATTTTTAAAGACCTGATTTTTTGTGTACCAAAAACCTTTTGATTACTTAGATTATATAATTTGATATACAAATAGTTTGTAAAATATAAAAAATTATTTACTATATATGCTATAATCTGTGCATTGCATACGGCATACGTGTATCAAACGCTAGATATACTACAAATATTCGATGTAAATTATGTAAAATATCACTGAAAAGACAATTTTATATAAAAAATACAATTGATCCATAATCCGAAGTGCCTTTAAAATAATTACAGACGCGCTTTAATTTTTTCTTCATTTCGTATCAAGTTTAATTTTTGTAAAAAGGTATAGAGTTCGGCAACGTATTCCTTTGGATACTTATAGAAGTGGGCAACGTGCGGCGATGATTCGAATACCTTCACGTAAGTCTGCAAAATAAACGTATACATTTCTCCTGTAATTCTCTCATAAACCAACAAACACATTATACACAAATCTTACCTTTATTCCTGTAGATTCCCAATTGTCGCGTAAACTTAAGTTGCTGGATAGAGTGCCAACAGGATCAGTTTTACTTACAAATAATAATGCTGGTACACGTATACTGGAGGAATGAAATACTTGACTAGATCGAATATAATGTCGCGTTGCTTTTTCATGATTTATCTTCATGTGATATCTGAAGGTAATATTATTTTGTATTAATTATAACAAGTTATTTCTCTATATTGACAATCTTCCTCTCTCTTTCTCTCTTCTTTACTTACTCCAACAATGATCGCACCAGTTTTTGCATTATCTTATTCTTCGGAAATACTGCAATGGGAAAACCTATTGGAATTTCAGTCACATCAGCTATACTGTCCCACACTTGTCCAACAATCCTGTCTGCAATGCCACTATACTTTTCCTTGTTACTTTCCATTATATCCAAGACCTCTCCCCACATGTAACCACCTACTGAAAACCCGTGTAACAAAACTTGTTGATAGCTTTCATTTCGTTTTAAGAAAGTTAACAAATCTGCTGCAACTAACTGAAAATAAGTTTTGAAGATTTTGTAATAAATAAATTAAAATTTAATTCTATCATGTAATTACTTACTCTGGAGCCTGTTTCAGGCCACAAAAGTTGTCTAGGTGTAAGAGATACCACTGCCACATCAAAACCTTGTTCCATATACAAGTTAACAAATTTCATAACATGCTGTCTCTTTGATAACAACCAAGTAAGCACAACTAACAAGGGACGATCGTTTGCCGCATTTACATTCTGTATGATATTTTTAGATGATGTAACTTGATTATCCTGTGTAAGGAATTCAATATTCTTCGAGACATAATGGGATGATAGCAAACGTGCCATTTGTCCGATACCCTAAAAAAATGGTATAGATTTAATATAATTTTATATTTTATTATAAATAAGAAGTGGGAAATACTTATAACATAGTCATACACCTAAACAATGTTATTATCATGATTACAGATAAAAGAATACACTACCAAGTATTGATTAGACTTCAATAGCTGTGATTGCCCATACAAATTAACTTGTCTTCCTGCAAAAACTTTATGCAAAGTCTTGATAATCATTGTGATAAAAACTGTCTTTTTCTGTGTATATACCTATATTATAATAGAATTAATTATTTTAAGAAGCAAATAATATCACTTATCCATAATTAATCATTTATTAAAAATCAATAATTAATGTTTATCACACAATTCTGACACTTACTCAAACGTTCTGCCTGACTTTAAGTAATCCAAGACACTGTATGAATTTATTATGATTATAAATGCACTTTAGTGATTCTACCGACTCTGCATAATGCACGACTCAGGATTGGTTTGCCAATTATTTCTCATATAATTAACTCATCCCCTCTTCTGTTATCCCTCTCTTCGAACGCTGCGAAAAGATCAAATTCCATTCAGTCAGCATATATAACATGTGATTTAGAAATTAATGTTTGATTCCTTACTTTCTGTATCAAAATACTTATTGAAACGGAGAAACAAGGATCAAAATATTATGATCAGGTATGAGTAATAAAAGAAGAATGTGAGCGATTATTTTTAAAATCACACATATATACTAATATTCCTATTTGATTATAGGCCAAAAAGAGTGATATATTTTTATTATCAATAAAAAGCCTTAAAGTCCAAGGTCTGATGTCTCTTTGTCATGAAAACATTACGTTAAAACATTATGAGTTCCAGTATGAATTCCTGATAGCGAATATTTAATTATGACAAAATGTCGATGTATCTTGAATATTTACCGAGATCACGATAAATCAACACATATGTTACGCACATTCACACGCATACTGAAGACTAAACTCTTACTTTTTCGGAGGTAATGAACGCTCTTCCGTCAACGTCCGCGACTGCGCGATTAAAGCGACGTATAACAGGAGAGGGAGAAGGAAAGGAGAGGGAGCAACAAATATATATTTACAAAACATTGTGGATCATATATTAAAATGCTATATACTTTTCTAAATTTATTCTTTTAATTTTTTTCAATACTTTTATCTCATTTTTCTTGTCATCTGTACATTAAAGATATATAAAAAGCATATATATATGTCATTTTGATATCGAGTAATGACGTCATAGACATTAAAATGTAATTTTAACTTTTGACGTCATTTTGACATTTGATGTCATTTGCTACTTGGGTTGTTTCTAAATTAAAATAAAATAAAGATAAGAAATTAATCTAAATAGGAAAGAAAAAAAAGAAATACGAGCCATTTTTAAAAAGATATAGAAAATGTGTAGCAAGAAGATTCTATATATATATATAAATTCCCTCCTTTTCTTTCTTCCTTTAAAAAATATAAATAATATAAAAGTGAGAAATGCAATGTTTTTATATAGAAATATTCTACATTTTGAATCGATCTCTCGTTTAAAAAAATAAATAAAAGAAATAAGAATGTGAAGAATGTCCCATGCAGGAAGCAAAAAATCATTGCTACAACGTTATTATTGTTGAAATTAAAGTTTTAAAAATATTTTATTAATATTTTGAAAGCAATATTAAATATTTTTAAAACATTTATAAAACATCAATTAAAATATTTTCTTAAATATTTTTTAATATAATATTTTAAACGTATTTATAAAACATTATATCATAACGTTTAGAAAATTTATATAAAATCAACATTTTTAAATGTTGATTAAATATTTCTTGCTTACTGGGGTGTTACGACATGAATCAGCTGTTGTATCACCTGTCATGAAGAAGAAGCGAAAATCTGAACTTCTTCGCGTCCTACTACCTTATGGTACTCGCGGATTCGATTATTCTTATTATTAGCAAAATTTGCAAGCGGTTATTCTCCACGGTCTGTTGATTTCCACGATGAGCATAAATTGTACATACGCATAAAAAAGGAAGCGCGCTTACGTTATGTAATGAAGTATAAAAATAAAATCATAATATAATACTCACTCCGGATGTCACCCCGGTCGATACCTCGCAATCTGTTACAGCCAGTCGGTCAGCCTAGCTGGCCAAGCAGGCTTTTGTCTGGCTTGTCTCTCTCTCTGTTCTTGTCGCCGTCCCCTCTAATCGCGTGTCTGGATTATTTAATGCGTGAACGCAGCCATCGCATGCCTTTTACACTTTACGCCTGTCACTTCTCTCCCATGTGCGCATGACATTTCTTCTTTGACCATAAATAAAAAATAAAAAATGATGCTGACTTGCACACACGCATACATATACATATAATATATATATATATATATATATATATATATATATATATATATATATATATCAATAGCAAAAATTTTTATAAGTATATGATATATAATTTCAACAAGTTTTATAACATGAATAATTTATATTAATAGCGTGTTGGATCTCCTTTGCTATAAAATTATCAGGTATATACATAATTATATAATTAATAAACTGTGTGTGTAAGAGATAAAATTTAATTTTTTTGTTAATGTAAAGTATATCTGGTTTACCTATTTTATATTACCTTTAAAATATATGCGTTACATTTCCAAGTATAGCAAACAATATTAAACGTTAAAATTACGTATACTTGCTACCTGGGTTATCGCTATTGTGTTGTTTCATTAAATAAATTTTTAATTTATATTATTTTAGTACTGACTACTATATAATTTTGATTTCCACTGTATATTTTTCTTGATAAATGCTATGTTAAAAAAATGTTTTCGAGGTATCCCATTTCGAAAATGCTTATGCTATGAAGTATCTTGACGAAATGCTCTATGTTTAAATGCGTAAAAATATCGCATTTATTTATAGTTTTATTTTTTACAGACAATACCTCTAATACATAAATGCAATACTGCGCAATGCTGTTCAATTATCATGTGTAAAGCAACAAAAAAACACGCAAGTTTATCATCGTTTTTCCTTTCAAACCGGTATAAGGTTCAAGATTTTTCCACAAATCATCATAATCCAATGACCTAAAAGACCTCAACCGATTGAATAGTACTAATAATATGTAAATCATTTTTTTTCAAAACGCTTTAAAGACATCACTATTTCAAAGGAGCACACATAAATCATATTTTAAAAAAATCTAGTCATGTCAAAAAGTAAACATAAATTGTATGGCTGTATACTTCTATATATGGATAAGAATATGCTAATTTAGAAAACAATTCAAATTTTATTACAAGAATAATATAATTATATTATCTATAAAATATTATTCATTTTTGCTAATCTGTTTATGTTATCAATAATAAATATTTATTTTTTAATACGTTCCTTTATTCTGAATTTAAATGCGAAAATCGAAAACAAATAAATATAACATTTCAGAAAATATAGAAATACCGTTTTGTATATAGAGAACTGTAGATTAGTAAAAATCGTCAATAATTTTCATAAAGTCCCGACACACATATAACTGAATTGATAAACTCGAAAACGCACTTCCACGATAAAGATAACGACTAGCTATCGTCTTAGACATAAGTAGAGACATGAGTAACAATCGTATATATATGTATATAGTATATTGTATGTAAATGTAGGTCAAATATCGAGTTTCAAGAAAAGAGCCTTCAGCATTTATTCACTTATGTTTGCTCAGTTTCCGTCCCTGTGCAGTTAACAAACAATTCAAATATATAAAAAAATATTTAAATCATATTTTATATAAAATTACGAATTACATATTCCTCTTAAGAAGCAAGAATTTTGAACGGAAATTAGTCTAAACCTTTAAACATTCGAAGTAATCGTAGAATAAAATGTCAATGCAAAAAAGCGATGTAAACTAATAATAATTATTATTATGAGAAAGATGCCTTTAGTTCTTCGTATATTATCTGCAGCAATTTATCAAGGACTCAATTTCAAGCATCAGATTATTGATCGATTTCATACAAGAAGAAACTTACACGAGACAAATGTATATACATATATAACACAGTTCAATTAAGGAATGATGTAAGTTAGTATAAAAATAAAAAAAAAAAATATATATATATATATATATATTTGTTTCTTTCATATAACTAACTTACGTAATTCCTCAACACAATTCAGACATTAAAAGCATCACCTAAGTTAATATATAAAGAAAATATGTATTTTTTTCTTCATATATTAACTTATGTAATCTCTTTACCTGAATGATGTTGATATTCTATTGTAACAATTATTCATGTGTGGTTAAATAAAATGTAATTTAATAATAATTAATTTCACATATTAATAAATGATATAAAATTATAAATGAATTATTTGATTTGATAGTGAACAGGAAATAAAATTGTGTTAATATAGATTATATATACTCGCTCTTTGTGGTAGCCACATGAAGGATTTATTACAGATTTTATATGTTATATTAAATATTAAATGATACCTATTTATATATGTGTGTGTGTAAATTATACGCTTGGACACGACATCGACATAGATTTTTTTTGTGTTGGAACATCATTACGTTAGTGACAAAATACCGAATAGCGTAAGTATAGCATGTAAAGGTAGTAATCGGTATATAATGACTATTCTCTAAATTTATCCTTACGAAAGAAGTGCTAGAAACACATTTGGTCTAAACAAAGGCTTTTGACTCTCCATCTTACATTCTCTATGCTACCTATATTATTTGTTCTGCAATCTAGTACAGATTCTGACTTACGAAACGCAAGAGAGCCATTGTCCTTACGTATACGAGGATATAATGTAATTGTATCGTACCGCCGCGGGAATCTCAGATATTTTGCAGTAATAACATATTTACAAGACCTCAGATATTTTGCAGTAATAACATATTTACCACAGAGACGTTTGCACATATGCACACATTGATTTAAGACTATTGCCGAGAGCAACACGATGTCAGTAAACACATTTGCGGACTCTTGTGTACGAAAAAATGAATGCGCCGATGGCAACGATGTGTTAAATCAACGATACAGTATGCGAAGAATGATTTTATACGAATAGTGTTCGATTCTTGCACATGCACAATACACATGTAATGATATAATAAATTTAGTCTCTCGTTACGGTCATACACCCTACCCACAGCAAACAGTATCCTCTCTTTACACGAGCCATTATATTGATAAATTATTTAAGTGTACATTGTATATAAAACACATATGCATATGTCTGTATATAAATAAGTTTCTACATAGTTTTTCCCCCAAATATATGTATAACGTAAGAAATTCAATCGTATAATTTAATCATACAACGAGAGGTCTCAAAGACCGATAAAAGATTTTTTATACCTCAAAGGAGGTTTAAAAAAGCTGTACGAAAATGTATATTCTTACATATACTTATTAGGGATGGATATGCAAAATCGAAATGCAAAACATATGCAATACATTGTGCGTGATGACATTTGACTTGAATAATGCAAATGCGATAGAGTATATAATAATGATTCGAATGATACGCGCGAATGAACACAAATAGATAAGTATTTTTTTTCATATAAATACGTATATATATTATTATAGTATATTTTATTTTCTATAATTTTTTTCCGATTTTTTCCTAAATATCGCGTTACAAGTTACAATAGACTGCCGACTTTATTACAGCATGCCCAGTGTGGCCCCTCGCGTAAAAGAGTGTAAGAGATATTTTTTCTTCTGACTAAATTCTAACACTCGATTAAATTCGATTCTACCTTCGATCGGTTTTCTCTTTTTTTTCGCGCCAGATTATGTGACTGATACATAAAAAAATATATCCAGCCACCTTTCATCCAGAAGAATCACTATAAAATTACAGCTTTCCGCATGATGTATACAGACATTCAATATTTCTAAGTCACATTTTATTCGTATTCGTAGACTTTATCGATATCAGTAAGTTTCAGTGATCTTGTCGATAATCCTTTCTTTTTCTCTTTATTTTCCCCGATTTAATATAACCGGAGAAATAAATCGTTCATTCACAAGTTTGCAGGCAACACTCCTTTGTCGATCTCAAAGGACAGAAATGGACGCTTTCGTTATCCTTTGTGCGATTGTTGCGCGATGAGAACATAAACGATTGTTCTATTTTGCTTTGCATTTCAATAAAGACAATGAAAATCTTCATATCGTAGAATTCTGCAGATCTTGAAATTATATTTACATCTTATATGTTGCGTGTCAATTAATTAGGGATACAGAACTAATAACGTTAAAGTGTATGTATTTATGTTTGTGTGTGATTTCATTAAATTAATGATAAATAATCTAATTACAGAGATGGAAAGCTGTATATATAAGTAAATAATCTCTGTATATGTACTATTTATATTTTTGCCTTTATAATATGTCGTGCAAATACTATATTTGTGTTTTTATTACATTTTATTACTTCGTTGTACATAAGATTTTGTCTTTATTTTCAAATGACATCTGCAGTCTCCTACAATATCAAGATTATAATAAAATTATAATTATATGTACAAATGTTATTAAATATATCCATAATTAATATAAATATATGTTTATATAAGTGTACATACGCATGCATATACATATCAAATTAAAATTATATCGTGTATGTATGTTTCTTGCTCACGGTTAAATTTGTGCAATATTTCTAAATTCAATCATAATGTATAAATATATATATGGATTATGTATGTGTAAATGTTAATGAATTGAGCATTTTATGTGTATGTATGTGCATTTTTTTGTATATTTATATATTTATGGACTGTATGTACATTAGCTTAATGCAAAAAAACATTTAATAATATATTTAAAATTGAAATTCTTTCTGCAATTCAATATAAACTCTAAATAATTTGCAAAATAAATATAATGATAATTGCAATTAGTAAAATATATTTCTCAACAACGCATGTATAAAGATTTATAAAAATTGATAGTGTAAAATTGTTTAATAATAATAATAATAATAATAATAATAATAGAAAATAGAGAACGTAACAAAACTCATATAAATATTGATCACTAATTAGACAATGGAAGCACTAATTTATTTTGTATTTATGTCAAACTATCAAATAACTAATTCCTCGTCAATGCCATGGATAATTGCGTATAATTTTATAAATTAGAAAACAAGTTATAAATTCAGTTATAAAATGGTGTATATGTATATATGAAGTATATAATACTACACCAACATTGCGCGTATCAAGGCCATTCTCTAAATATCTTAGCTAAATTATCTACAACAATCCAAATTTCTTATTACAATGGAACATTTTTCTTTGCATGGTATATCATAATGGATATACCCGTTAAGAAAAGATTTTTTTAATTTCCATCAGCCATTTCCACACACAAACACACTCCATTTTTAAACAAGACTATCAATAATCAAATGATTGTTTAGAATCAAATGACTGCTCCTAAAAATGTTTGTTTGTTTGCAAGCTTTTGTGTATTTTTCCTTTTCTTATAAAACTAATATAAACGCGAGTCATTAAAAATGTATGAGTTAATGAAAATATAATAATGATCAATTAAATGAGAAAATATTTAAAAGTTTTTATAATAAATTTTCTAATTTTTTAATAAAAATGACTTTAGTTCTTAAATGTTTGAAAAATTAAATAAATATCTTTTTAAACATAATTATTCTGATTAATAAACTGATTAACAATAGCATATTAATGAAGCAAAACAAATCAAAATGTTGAACAACAATATAAAATCTACAATCTTTTAAATAGGACACACAGGCCAATATGAGCCGGTATAAACACAGATATTTATAAAAACGAGCCAATTCGTTTCTCACTTATTCCATAATCCTATTTTTAGTGTCATGAATGGCTTTACGTATGTATACTTATTATACATACATATTACACAACTCATATGTAATCTCTCTTATATATTATGGACATATTGAAGAGATAGTAAGTAGATTTTTAAAAATCAATAGCCTTTAAAACAGGAAACTAATATTTTTCCTTTACCTTCGCAAATGGCAGTAACGTCGCGCATAATAAAGAATTCATCATTTCATTACATCAGCCTACATTACCCAATGGCAGTATAAGTTTTCCGGATAATCTCAACACGCACATATAATATGCGTTCATAGACTACCCATTGTCTCATTTCATTGCATATTTATACATAGAATATGCATATAATTATTTTGCACTAAAATTGTCCATTACATTCACCGCGTTAATACGTTCCTTAACTTGACGTTATATCAATCGCTCACTATCTGACGTATGATAATTCGTCAAGTTCGCGGTGCATAAAGATGATATTGTTTTGTTGCTGATTTTCTCGTCATTGCACAATAATTTCAGCGCGTATTACATTGCACAGTCTGAATTACATGTATAATTGATTTAAAGTCAATAATAATTTCTAAAGTTCAAGAAAATCTGCAACAAATACAATATGGCATGCTATACACGTAAGTTTCGTGTCGGGATGCGATTCCTGTCTTTAAATATATAATATACGGTACTTACGCAGAAGGCCGAGTTTATATACAAGTTTCTAATACTAAGCGACTTTGCGTTGGGTCTCAGAAAGCTTCCACAAAACTTGCCGGAAATAGTCCTGTGCGACCGGTGCGTTGCTGTGTACCCTTGTACCATCCGTCATCACGCTTCTTATGCACGTATATTATGTCTCCCACGCGGAGCTCCAGTTCAAATTCGCTATTAGGTGGATACGGTACGATACAACGGAATCTGTACACCCGATCGCTGAAATTAAGTACATTTAATTATCATTAAATATTATATCATTACTCATAAGTAATAAGAATTAAATGTATAATTAACAAACTTTAACAAAACTAACAAATGGAGAAATGGAGTAATAAGTTTTTATAATCGACGACGAATCTGAAAAATAAAATGATTCTTACCGTTCGCGTGATAACTGTTGCTTTGTTTGCTTTCCCATACCAGCGTCCAAAGAGTTACTCTTACGATGATGATTTCCAACAGTGGGACATACCATTGCACTAGATTCACCGGATCTAGATAAGAATAAAGAGCTAATGTAAATAATTACGTTTATTGTTTCAATATACAATAATAGAATATTTTTATATGAATATAATGTGCGTGAAATATTAACATTATACATTAAACACAAATTCAAGACACAAGCACATATATAATACACAAGCACATATATAATATAAATAAAATATATTTAAAATTATGCCATATTCAATATTATCACAATAAATTTACCAAACATGCAACATACATCTATATATGTATGTAATCAATCTTTAATTCTTTCTAAATTTTACTTTACTATTTATACATCTTTATAAAAGCTAAACTTTATCTTGCAAGAATGTTTAAAATTTGTGATATATTATATATTAGTTATATACTATTAATTAGACAATAATATAAAATGCAAAAGTAATCTCTCTAAAAGTTTCTAGGCTTACCTGAAACTGAAATGCAGTTTCTACCACAATCAATTGCAAATGCTAATGTGAAAAATACAAGTCAGATATAGAATTATACAAAATTCTCAAATGTGCACATTGACTTATACACAAAGCATGTTTTTGCCATAAAATTATAAGAATATATAAATTAACATAATAATTTTAACTTTAAAGTTTATCACTTGTTGAAAATAATTGTTATCCTATACAATAGCTTCCATAGAATTATATATATCAAGTATTTATTAACATCATAAAATGTAGACGATATACTGTATTTCTAATTTTGTCAAAAATATGCATATTTTTTTGTATTGTATACTTTATAGTTCATTTATAATTTATCTGCTACTCTTGCATCGACACAAACGACTAACCTCTGAATTACTGACACTGGTAAGGAAGGTCTCTCTTTGTATTTCAATCTCTGTGAAGATGTGGCGTGTCCTTGCACAGAGCCTGGACATAAGCGGTGTTGGCTGTTTGAAGCATTTAATTCCTGTGTAGGTGTCACCTGTAGCAACTGACTTGGACAAGATCCCGATCTGCGATTGTCGCCCCATCCCCCAATACAATTTATTAGAGAAACATTTCAAAGCGTGCAGTTTTTATGTCATGCTGTGCAAAGCATGATGATAAACATTGACATTATTCATGAACGGTTGCTCGCCACTTTTTCTACATATGTGCATAAATATGCATAAATATAATGCCGCAATCATCATGCAACAATTTTAGCAACAAAAAATAGCGTTTTTGCTTGATCAAAACACTTCGATAAAAACATTCGTTATACGCGCACGTACATGTCAAAATTGTGCATTAATGTGAAGACATTATTCTCGTCGTGTACACATAATATATATACATGCGGAAATTAGCGTGGCTTATACACGTAAAATTAAATCAATTGACAGAACGTGCAAATTAAAGATTAACTTTTGTTGATTTCGACCAAATTATAATAGAAAATTATGCATATACGTATCGATAAATTTGCGATAATCGAAATTACTCACCGAACGTGCATTGGATTGACGGAATTACCGTCGTCGAATACAGGATTATCCATCGAATATGTCGCTGGTGGAGGTGATTTGGACTTTTTAATATTGGTCAAGCGCCGCATCAAGGAGACACATTTGTCCTTTTTTTCCTTTGGCTGTAATTTATAGTATACATATATGAGTAATACTGTGTGACATTGGCAGAACGATGCTGACTGTTTCTCAGCAAATAGAAATAAAATACCTTTTCCGTGGTTCTGTACGCAGCTGCAGTTGCATTCGAGGATGCGGTAGCTACTATACGCAGAGTATTGTTCGGACTTCTATTCATATCGCTCGTGGAAGAAGAAGAAGCGGAAATAGTAGCGCTGCTACAGCCATTATTAGCGCTGTTGAGACCCACAGGCGGTTGTAGCGATGAAGAGACCGTAATTTGTTTGCCAGGCGAAGCTAAAAAGATTTATTATAATTTTTATTCGTGACATTATTTACTTAAAATACATACCGATATTTTTTTATTTGTTGGTTGTTTTAATTAAAGTTTAAAATACTTTTATTGATTGCAAATTTATAATTTATAGAATAGTTGTTTTTAAATATATTTAATTAAACGATTAAAAAATTAGGCTCGTGTGGATTTAAAATCAACTAATTAATAATAGGCCATCTTAACAAGCTAGATTAGCTTAGGATGTTAAATAATTTTTTTATTAAACCATAGATTGTATAATGTTAGAACAAATAAATAAACGTATACGTTTCGATTGTACGACAGTCTTTTTCAATACACAGAAATTTTGCGAAACAGACGTATACGTTTATTTACTTGTTCTAACATTATACAAAATCTATGGTTTAATAAAAAATTATTTAACATCCTAAACAATCCAGCTCGTTAAGTTGTCCTATTATTAATTAGTTGGTTATTTTTATTTTGATTAGTTTTCAGCCCTTTAGTTATAGTTTATAAGTGATTAGATAACCAAGAGGACAAGAATAGAAAAATAGAATGTGAATGGATGTGTGAGCTTTTTAAGTTAAGATAAACCAAATCTCTTCCTTGACGATAAGAAATAAATAGATAGATATATATACATACGGATATTTGAGGTCATCACTACGCTGCTATGACTGCGTCCAATCGGATTGGCGGTCGCATTTTGGTCATTGTGTCGCGGCGGACTAGTTTCCTGATTCGATCCTTGACTCGGTTGACCTGCGCTGCCATGCCAGGATGAAGATACTGTCGTCGAAGAGGGACTGATAGCGCGTGGCGGTAATTCAGGCGGCGGCAGTGCACGAGGATTGTACGAGGGTTGCGGCGCGGGACCTTTGCTCTTCGTGTATGTCACGGCCAAGCGTGACTCGGCGTTCGATGCTGCATTTGATAATGGCGAAACTTGATGTTGGCTTGGAGAATTTGGCGATCCGCGACACAATCCGCGTTGACATCTGTAATTAGATATCGAAAGTTTGATACACGGTTATATTAGAATTGATTTTCAGGTTTGAACCGTGTAGATTTATTTCAATGTTTCAGCTTACTTTATTAAAGAGAAACAACCTGATACTTATCAAGTTGTTACAGTATCAGGGTATTGTGCAGAAAGAACCTGATAACAATATGACAAGTTATTCTTCCTGATAAAAAAAGATGAAATGTTCACAAAACACTAGAATCAAACAAAAAGTCTACATGGTTCAAACCCAAAAATCAATATGGTTCTATTATAGATACGTTTGTGATACACAGAAAGAAGTAAACGCACTTGGCAGGTGCAACGTAATTTCCAGGGAAGACTCCGCATTTCTGGGTGCGATTGGACGTTCCTTTGAACCATCCGTCTTGACAACGTTCCGTCACCATATAAATTCCACCCTTCCGCAACTCGAGCTCGTCCGCCTTTTGAGGCTTGTAAGGATAAAGTGCTATGTACGCCGCAGGTAAATGTGTCGCGCCAGATACGCTGGAAGTCTGATTAGCGGGTGCACTTTGCTGGGCAAGAACGAGGTCGCTGCTACCACTTCGTCTGTGTCGAAGATTGTGATCTGTACAACTATTGATCTAGAAAAGAAAGAAATTTCTTTAACATAAAACTCTTATAGATAAAAAAGAAAAAGAAGGAAGACAATGAAATCCAAAAAGATAATCATAGATTGACCAACATAATTGAATTTATGTATGTAATTATTTATGTATAAATTATCAAAAAATATATATTTTCTTACTTGTAAGGAGGAAAACGATTCATTGCCTCCACCATTATTGGCGTTATTAGGGGCACTGTCTATTGGAGGACTAAGTATCTCAGCGCTGTGTCTGTGATGAGGATGAGAGTGATGACCTGTATTGACGGCAGTGAAACTATGACGTTTAATATTGTGTCTATTCCCAACCGCGGGTGGTGATGTCGCGGGACTGCCAGGACTGCTTGGAGCAGTACTGGAACTGCTGGACGTGGTCGAGCTATTGGGGGTGTTTGGAGTAGTTGTTGTAGAGCTGCCACCAGACGAGACGTTTGAGACAGAATCAGATACTGGTAACGCGGCGTTCTGCACGATACAAAATCCATTTACTGAGATGTACCTCAATCTTAACAATTCAAAATATCGTATTCAAAATACATTTTAACTTACTTGTACCAATTGCGAGCGAGACTGACTGGTTGTTTGTACATTACGCGTATGATCGGTTGGTATTAACGGCGTGGTTTCCTCGTTCGTTGGAGTTGGTGGAGCTAATCTCGACGGTCCTGGCTGTACACTGAGATTAAACGACTATATTTAAATATACAATTCAAAATATAATGCTATATCAATTAATTATTCTACTTACTTAGTGGAAAGTTTCATCAGAGCTCTGGCGACGCTATTCAGCTCTACAAAAGCTAATGGAAAGATGCCAATTCTATCCAAAAGTTTACCTTCTGCCCAATTTTCGTCTACTCTTCTGATAACACTAATGACTTCTCCCTAAAAATATACAACATATTTTTTGTGCACATGTATGTAACAGAAATATGAAAACGGCAAGATATTTAAGAAACAAATGATGCAAAACTACCTTGTTAAAAGTTAAACAACCGTCCTCATCATCATTTGTCATTCTAAAATCATATAGTGCTTTACATTGAGGTACATGCGGCGTCAAAGGTGTCATCACCTGCAAATGTCACGACAGAATAAATCACAATAAATTGAAGTAACAATAGCAAACAGAGAATATTTGCGACTCGTACCTGAACGTAAGAGAGTGGAAAGACACCGTGATTATTGCCGCACTCTCCAAAGTACCAATTCTTGTCAATCTTCTTTCGAAGAATGACTATGTCACCCTTCTTGAAACTCAAATCACTGAAAGAATAAGCAACGCTAGAATATTAAAGTAAATCACAGATATACAGGATATATCTGAATGATTTGTACAAACTTTAAGAACAAGGAAATATTTCCATGTTTGTTTTGGTTTCTGAAATGTATCTGAAAGTTTGTCCTGATCTTTCAGATATCCTCTGTATATGAAACGTATAAAATATCAATAAAATATCACGTACCCTGCCTCCTTAGAAACATAATCGTAGATCGCCCTTCCGTACGCCTGATTGTGCAGGTGCACCTGCTTGGCTGCAGCGTTGGAGTGCCGTATCGCCGGTTCGGAAGCGATGGCGATGGCGGGGGCGAGACTGGCGGTGACTATGGGCGCCGGGGCGACCTGGTGGCCGCCGAAGAGCCGTTGTGGTACGGCGGTGCCGCCGGAAGACCTGGACAAGGCAGACTTGATCTGGTTCTTCGGCGCGGCGTTGCGCATCCCCTCGAGGATCCGCATCAGCAAAACGTTCGGCGGCAGGTCGTCCACCTTCGCGTCCACGAGGACACGGCATTCCGGACAACGCAGCTCGCGATGAGTGCTCACGATCTCCTCCAGACACTTCTTGCAAAACGTGTGCTGACACGGCAGTACCTTGCTCGAGGTGTCAAGTCGCTCCAAACACACCGAACACTCCAACAAGTCGTTCAGCATGCACTCGTCCATGGCGACGACGGAGTACGCCTCCTGGAGTCGACCTCCCCGAGGATGATGCCCGTCCTACCTGTCTACCAGCTCCGGATTCCTCGTCGCGCTCCTTCTATCGAAACGTACTCCCTCCCCCGCATCTAATACTCCAGTTTCCCTCTCTCTCTCTCTCTCCCTCTCTTTTTCTCTGTCTCTCTTTCTCCTTTCTGCTCCACGCCTTCCGGCGATCCGTTGCACTCTCGTTCTCGCGTGGACGGCTTCTTGCAGTTCCGGTGTACCGTGCGAGTGCAAAAATTTAATTCGTTTTTATCCTCCCTTCTCTTTCCTCTCTCCGTCTCTCTCTCCCTCCTCCTTCGTTCGAATGACACGAGGGAAGAAGCGCGCTTATTCGCTCGGTAAACCGATGACTTGATTAACGTCTCGGCGACGCAGCACGACATCGATCAATCGCGCGCCTCGATTATTCTGGCAGAGGTGATGAAGGATGTCGTCATTTTTGTCGAAGCACGATGAAGCCTGCTGACGACGACGACGACGACGGTGACGACGACGTCGTCGTCGACCGTTGTTGTTCCTCCGAGCCTCGATCAACCTCGACTCTTCCGTTCCTCGACCGCGTCGTTTCCACCTCTCGACACGCTTTTAAAAAGTCATCGAGGATGTACATATATCATGAGAAAACACGAGATTGTCACCCGCGCCATTCGATTTTTGACAGCGATATTTTTGGACGTGAACGAAAAAACAAAATAACAAATATTCGTAAAGAAAATTCAATTTAAAAACCGATGAAAATTATTGTAAATGGTTTCGAAGCGATTGAAGCGCCAAGTAGACCCGTATTTGAACACTTGCTGATTCACGTATGATGCGATAGAAAATATATGGGGTGTCCCATTTTAATGTCCCACCCTAAATAACTTATTTTTGATTGTAGAAGAAAATATTTTAGACAAAAGTTATATGGTTCCGGAGTTTTGAAAACTGAATATTTTACAAGATATTTTTTACATTTCATGTCAAGAAATGGATAACATCGAACCTTCATAACTCAAAAAGTACTTGATAAAAAAATACTTTATTATAGGATTTTGAAAAGCTCTTGAGATGAGCTATAAAAATATCCAATAAAAAATAGATGGTTCCATTTAAAAAATCGAAGGTAACCTTCGCGTGACCTTCAAGCTATTCAAGGTCAAACTAATAGTACCATCTTATGTCCCCCTCGAAGTCATACAACTTTTGCCTGAAACATTTTCTTCTACGATCAAAAATAAAAAAGTTATTTGGGGTGGGACGACATTAAAATGGGACACACTGTATAATTTACGTCACGTGAACTATAGATTTTCTATGGCGGATCGACCAATCGGGAGAGAGGACTTGAATCCTACCTCCCTTTCTTCACCTATTGGTGACGGTGACAAGAGTGACCAATGTTCCGTATCTATGTATTTTCTACGTCTATGGCACATATTTTTGCGCGCATGCGCACTCCGTTTTGACCGAACGCTCATCAAAGGGGCCGACAGGGTGCAGCTGCAGTTTACGCTGATGAAAAAGTTAGTGGCGTGTGCTTGTGATAAAATAGATAAGTGTTTATATCAGCGATAAAAATTACACAACTTCATAGAATTGAAGTTAAATATATTCTTCGATTGTTCTTTTTTTATGGATATTTATGCTGTCACATCATTGAAGGCTAGATTATATAAATAAGTGTTGTTATTTTTTTAATAAGTAAAGTTAAGAAAGAAGGCTCCAAGAAGGGGAGATAATTCTTGGCGTCAGTTATGTTCAGTTACGGGTAAATGTTTTGTTTGATCTCTTTATACTTAAATTTTGATCGAAATAAATTTGACCTAATTGTTACATGTTGCAAGATTAAAGCTATATTACGCATATCTTATAATCAATCAATCACAAATGACTGATATCTTTACAAACTAATGAAGTAATCAATACATTTACAGACTGCAATGCTTGATCTAAGTGTATTTAATAAATTTTGTTATATTGCAGATATTTCTGATGATTTTTATTGTATTGGCTACTGAGTGTGTTTATGTATGAAGAAAGCATGCTTGATTTTTTTCAAGAATTAAAAATCCTATTTTCATATACTTTAAGCGTTGAATCACAAAATGGCAATTTAGGATATGCTGTTGTCGAAATACATTGATCAAAGAATATGAAGTGATTGTAATAGCTGACCCATTTGTTTTATCTTTTCTAATAATATGGGTGAGTATAACGCAGTATAACTATCTAACATTGCCTTTGGTAACTGAGAACAATTACTGAAATTATTTGAAACATTTTCAGTGATGGCAGGAAACGAAACTGCGTCAAGTGCCTTGGCAGATGACGCATTATCCGCAAGACTACAATGGCTACGTCAACGCCGAGAGGCCCTACAAGAGAAACTTACACAAAAGAATAATGAGTTGAAAAACTTATGTGTGGAAGAGGCAGAAATAACAGGAGTTTTACCTCCAGAAATACCTCTGGAACCTGGAGAAAGTCCTCCAACTTTTCATAAGAAAGTTGCATTTATATATCCACAAAAACCAGTTAATGTACTGAAGACAGCTGATGTTGTAAGATTTTTAAATTTATATATATAACTTGTATAATGATTGATAAATATGTTACATTGGTTATTGTTTGTTCATTCATAGGAAGAGTCAGAGTTGGAATTGGAAAGGCAGGTACAACTCGGAATTGTAGAAACTGCGTTGAGTATTATTCATGATTCTACAGAGAGCAAGGCTACACGACGCAAGCATAGACTTGCTTATCAGCAAAGTCAGCGACGACTTCAAGAATTAGAGACAGAATTGAACTTCATAAGACAGAGTCGTGGAAAAGGACATCGACCGACGCAATTACCGACTCACACGGCAAATTATAATACGCAACCACATTCACACGTTAATGTAAAACACAGGACAAAAAAACCACGACCACCACTCGATAGCACAGGTATTTATTAAACCACTAATTAAATATTTTTAATGTTACTTTTTAAATAACATTATTTGAAATAATGTTAATTAACATTTTTTATTAGTTAAATAATAATAACTAACGAATAGTCTTTTAATATGTTACACATAATTATGTATAACAGGAAATGAAGTAACTACTCCAAAATCTACTGGAAGAGGTGTGCTCCATGAACCTGGTATTAGTCTGAGTCCATTGGCAGCTGAAGACAAACCAAATACATATTCCGGACATGGTTACGAAGAGCAATCGAATATACCAAATATCTGCAATCATCATCATCACAGTAGTACTTATCCTCGTGTAAGCCCTGTGGATCATCCAAATATTAAGATCGTCGAGCATGATCACAATGATAATCACAACGTCTATATTTTGCCGGATCAATACCGTGCTCGTACATATTCTCACGGAAGCAGCGGATCTCGGGGTCACTATCCGGACACCGAGAGAACTTATCGACCTTACGTGCCGAATACCTACACTGAGGACGAGCGTCAAATGCGGTATCGGCAATTTCAGCATCTGCAAAAGCAACAGCAGTTGCAGGAGAGCCATAGATCACAATATACGGGTTCTATTGAGTACAAGCACCTGGATAACGCAGATATCGTGCGGAGAACGAGCCAGGGAACTTACGACAGAGACTTTCGTGCGTCACATTATACGCCTATCACTGATTATCAGATGTATTATAAAAATAATACGCAATCTCAGCAGGCTTTACTGAGGCGAGATCGCGATTCGTCTTCGACCGGGGGCAAGAATGTCCCGCGACACACCACTATCAGCAGTGCATCGATGGAAACACAACTGCTGTCTGGCTACTGGGTGCGTCACAACGATGACATTCACTGGGTGAGTGTCGACGAGCCTGACAGATTCGGCAGTCTGGACCGTAGACGACGGAATGCTCATCACAACAGCGTTGGATCACCTTCGGATGTGCAATCGCGTTATCGCACAGTCGCCGTAACGGGTGTTAAAGGCTCGCCTGGCAGCAGCAACGTCGTCGCGTCGTCCATATCCAATCAGCACCACTCTGTTCATCTGTTACCACTAGTCGAGCAACAAATGCCGAACAATCACAACAAGATGCTGCTACGTACACAGTCTTTGGGAAGCGTCGAGACCTGGCAGTCGGGTTATTCTCACGATTCCCACGATAGCAAGGACACGACGGCTGCGGAATACTCCAATAACAATAATAATAATAATAACACCAACAACAATCGTAAGAGTCGTCAGAAGGAATGGTACGAAACATCTGTGGACTCAGGAGCAAGCTTGGATCGCAATTTAATTGCCGCTCATAAGAATACGCTCGTTTATCAATCGAGTCCTCCGCCAATTCGCATCAAGACAGTCAGCAACGAAAACGGGAGGAGTCAAACGAGCGGTGGGTCGCAGCCTAATATGAGTCCGGTGACCCGTCACAAGAGGGACAAACCTGAGGAATGTCGACAACACACAATACAACAACCTCATTACGAACAGCCTGCGACGAGGCCGAAGGTCCTGGAGATACCCGCCGAATCGAAACCTTCTCTGGACGTCTGCGACGACGCGTCGATACGACCGTCAACCTTGGGTTCGCCGCAGAACTGCACGGTTGTGCAACCGGGGAAGTATCAGCCATACAGAGAAGTGACGAAGCCCTTCGAGATGTCGGACTTTTACAAATATTCGACGAAATTCCGCAAGAGGAATGAAGTCGCTGCGCAATCTCAAGCCGGAAATGATTCCCCTCTCCAGGAGAATCGTTCCACGGAAATTGGTTCCAACGATTTGTCCAGGAATCCCAATACCTACAACTTTGCGCAAAACATCGACAACGTTACCGCCAGTCCAGTACAAAGAAGACTCTATCAGCCAGTGCAGCGCATGACTTGCCAGCCTTATCGTTGAGATAATAATTGGCATAGAGCTTATTTGTGCTATCACTATTGTTAGTTATTATTATACACACGTATAAACACACGCCTATGAAATTTAAACGACGATAGGCTGGTCCTATTGATAAATATATCTTTTTTAGTCAATGCACTAATATAATACATATCTACATATATAATAAAAATTTCTAACAATTTGGTAAAATATGTTGACATTATCAATTTTTGACTGCAATTAATTACTGTTGCATTGATAATAATTAAAATTAGTATTGGCATATGTAATATAAATAATACATTTTTAAAAAATATTTATCGAAAAAGAAAATTATGCTACTCGAAAGCTGTTTTAATATATATACATTTTACATATACATCTGTATATATATAATAATGAGTAGAAAAAAGTGAAAAACTATAGATGAATTATGAAAAATCTTAATCAATCCCAATGTCGATTACTAATATTGGAGCTTAAATAGTGCCTTTTATTAATCGAAATGTCAAGTGGATGATAAGTATTTTTCATTAGTATATATCTTGAATTGAAATTGATATTAAAAACTATCTTCCACTTGTCCATTTCTATTATAATTATATTCATAATTATGTTCATAATAAATTATATATATTTTTTCTATAAATAATATAAATGTGGGATGAAATTTTTGAGAAATAATTTTGTCACGAAAGATTACTATTAATAAGTTATTACTATTGGTTGTTAAATGCAGCTCCCTTTTACAACCGCATTCTTAGGGTTTTATAGACTATCGATAGTCTCACTTATGATTGAACACAAAATATGGTTTGAAAGAAATATAACATTTCCAACACTTCTATACAGATAAAAAAATCATAAGAGTGGACATGTGCGTTTAATCTTAGGACAATGACAATAAACAAAGAGATATGTGAATAATCATAAATTGTTCATATGTTATATATACGTACATATTATATTTTATCACTCAGCGTATATTTTAAAAAAATAGCATAAATTTCGCTAGATTTGGTTTGCCACAGTGTGTTCGCTGGAAAGTTTAGTTTTATTTCATACCTAATTAAGCATAAACTTAGTTTAGCTTCACATTGAACATGTTAATTATGCATTATTAGTGCTTATTACATTTGTAATAATATCACAATTATCTTTTTGAAAAAGCGAAAAGTCTTATATATGCTACTGTATATAATTCATAGTTATTTGAAACGATTTACTTGATTCACACATTGAAAAAAGCTTCAACATCACAGATGTAGAAAATAACAAACAGATGTAGCCTTATATTAACTGTGATTAATTATACGTTGCGTATTGTGTATGCTATTTTTATGAAATCTTTTTGTAATGCTTTATACATCAGTTTTTCACGTGTTAATAAAATTGCTAATTTAATTATATGCAATCACGGTATACATATTTTTATTTTATAAAGATTTAAACAATTGAACACAACGAAAGAATATCAAAAAATGACAGGAGCACTCGATTTCAAAAAGAGTGTTTTAAAATATATAAGAAATCGTGTTAAGCTTGTAATATATGATTACATTATTTAAAAAGAAATGGATGAAAAGGAGGCTGATCCATTTCTGGTACAAAATCCTGAAACAAGCCAGAAAAGTGAAGGAACCTTAAAAAAGAAAATAACTATTATTGTGGATGAGGATGATCCATGTCTTAAACAAGATAAAATATCAGAGGAGAAAATACCGTATGATTTTCGATATAATCCGGGTAACGATCCAAGGTATGCAAATAAATAATTATACAAAATACATGAGAAATTAATTCAAAGATTGAATGTATAAAGTGCCTTCTTAATCATATTTCTAATCAGATTTCAACAGCAAAATCAGACACAACGATGCTTCGTTATGTATACTGATTTTTATCGATGCGAGAGTATCTTAGGCGAAGATTCCGAAGCTTGCACGTGGTTTAAGGATGTTTTTACGTCTATCTGTCCAAATGCTTGGGTGCAACATTGGGATGAACTTAGACTTACAGGCAGATTACCTTGGCATAAATACAAAACACAAGGTGCTTTTCCTGGTAATAAGTATGGCGAATAAAGATCTTTATCTTTGCATAAAAATATTGTAATATTTGAAAAATGGAATAATTAAACGATAACCATTGAAAAAAAATAATTATTACAAATTATTTTAACATAATTATAAAAATTACAATCAAGATAATAATTACACTTTAGAGGAAACTTATACAAAAGAGATAGGAAAATGTGTAATTAAATAAATTTACACTTTAGATACGAAAAAATATTCAACTTTTATTATACAAATACAAGATTAATTATATATTATGAGGTAACTTATATATCAAAGTACGAAGTTAGAGTAACTCGTGCAATTGTTCGATGATGATCTGCAATTGCCGGTCTTCTTTTTCAAATATTAATTCTTCTTAGTATGATAAATAGACTCTTCTTCTGTCTTTATCACACTGTTTGCTCTTGCAGTTTATAACACTTTTCTTATAATTTAAAAAAATATACACTTGTAAAAATTCTCTGAACTTTCAACAAAATATGGCTGCTGCTTCATAGCACAATGAAAAAAAAAGTCTTATGCATAAAATATAGAATTTTTTTATAAAACGATAATTTTTTAGGATTGTGTGCACTAGAGTCTGCCATGGGTGAAGACAACTTACCGATCTTCGGGTGTTGCCTCTGCTTAGCTAATGCAATCTCATCTACATTGATATTTATATTTCCCAGAATAATCGATACCTGCAAATGCAAAAGCAAAGACATTTGTTTGAAGGAGACAATTAAAGCTACTTTTCACATTACGAATATTACTAATCTATCGCAATAAAATGTTCAATGAAAAGTAGAAAAAGAAATCACATTGCAATGGAATCTTTTGCAATTACAAATTTTACACGATTTTACAAAACTATAATTCCTTCATGATTCTCACTTGGCTTTATATACGCAGTTTAATGTCCTTTTAATTATATAAGTGTATATTATATATCATTTGTGATTGAAAAAAAAGAATAGCCAAGAAATAAAATTTGTGATTATGCCATTTTCGAATTCGAACATTTTCTATACTTTCGAAGAGCTGTTAATTTAAATGTGCAATTTGCACATTGACGTTGAAAATTTAGAACCACCTTACGTATATCACGTTGAAAAAGTGTATTCAGCAGTGTTATTTCAGGTTTGATTCCTCGACTGATGAATGAATTGACAATCTTCGTCCCTGCAAATGCCCATCATTTCGTACGGACACAGGACTCCATGGGGGTTTGTGTTCCTGATAAGAAAGAGTAACAGAAACCACACAAAATTGATCATAACTTTTAGCACAGTTTACAGAAAATGAACAATCTAATGTTGCAACAACCTTTACATTTAAAGAGAGAGACCCACCTTGGTATCTTTAAATGTGATAAGATCGATTCATAAGGCGCAATCGTTGTCGTTGTCGTGGTCGTGGTCGTCGTCGTCGTCTTCACCATCGTTGTTGCTGTCGTCGTCGTCGTCGTCGTCGGCGGCGGCGATAACGTCGGCGGTAACGTCGGCGGTAACGTCGATGATGACGACGTTTTCTTATTATTTTGTTCATTGTCTTGACATAAAGGATCTGCCGTTAATAATTCTAGCTCTGAACATGTAGTCGAATCAGATATACTACAATTTATTTGTGTAGGTTTCTTATTTTGTTGTACAGGAGTACTTTGGTATAACTTTGGTTCAGAAGCATTTTGATTAGGAGGTGTAACTTGTTCATCGCTTTGAAGCTCTAACACATTTGTTAAAGCTTCTTTTCTCCTCGTCGCAGGCGTCAAATGATTTGGAAGCGTTTGCAAGAGATTTAACGTAGAAGAAGATTCTGATAAATTTTTATCCTCACATTCTTTCAAGCCACAAGCGTCATTCTTTGATCCCGCTACCTCAGCTGCATCGTTCGCTGACTGTTCTTGCGGATTTTTTTCAACGCATGTTTCTTTAAATAATAAGATTTGTCGCAACAAGCTAAAATTATCACCAAAATTTTCAGAGACATTTTCATTAGATGGAACCCGCTTCTTCTTGGTAAATTGACGAGTGTGATTAGCAACTTCCTTAAGCTTATCACTCAAAAGTTGACCTCCTGCCTCTGGTAATCTAAAAGAACAATTTCCTCATAATCAAAATATCTAAAAAAAAAGAACATAATCTATTATTATTAACATAAGAATCTATTATTCTTTGTTTGTATATATACCATATGTAATGTAAAATAATTTAATGTAATGTAGTATATAATCTACATAATGTGTACAAAATAATGTTACGATGTACATGTCATGTTTATCATTTTTATACTTGCTTACTTGTAGGTCTTCCCCATGAGCCGGTTACCTAAAGTCGAACAAATTTTCGACAATTTAAAACATTCACGACGTCCAGCATTGATCTTTTGGCGCGCGGTCGAAACCTTCGGGCCCATACTATTAACACGATCCCGCTGCAATTGCAATCTCTCTTCAGCTATCTTCAATTGCTCCTTGAGTTTCCTCACTTCGCTGGCTAGACTACTCTGCAGATCCTTCTCCATATCCCACTGACGAAGGTTCCCTGACATTTCTGCCAAATGATCCAAGACCGTATACCTACACATCACATATAAGCAATTTTTATCGCGTTTCTATTGTTACCTCTTATTTTCTGTGTTTAAATCACTAACTATGTAGAATAATTACCGTTTCGCAACTAATTTGTGTTCGGTATCTCTCAAATACTGCTCTTGCTCCATTTTTGGAAGATTTGTTATAGTATCTAACTCAATTTTCACATTTTTTTTAAGCGCATCCCAAACATCATCCGTATTACCTTTATTGTCGACGTTTTCAGAATCAGATTTATGGAAAGCATTACTCTTATTTTCCGAAGATAGCGACGTTGAGGAATTACTATTAGATTCTTGTCTTTCTGCCTCATATTGAGCAAGCGGTATTGTAGTTTCCATCATGATGTTTTCATGTTCTTGTTTGTTTGCGCTCGAATTGACGGTGAGGTCTGAAAGCTTCACAGTAGACGCGTTGGAAAACGCGTTAGTGTTATTATTTTCATTGTTTTTATGTTTCTCTTCTAAAATCTCTACAGACACGTCAAGTCCGACTGGCTTCTCGTTTTGGTTGACATTCGTCGTAGCATCGGATCGCACAGCTGATCTATCATTTATAGTAACGACTCGCTCGCTTATGTCAGACTTTAATAAAACTTGAACATAATTGCGATTTATTTCTTCTTTGGTCAGTGTTCTCAGAACAGGTCTACTATTCTGTTGATTATCGCTTGCGGATTGCTTCTCGCTTAAATTCTCGACCGTTCTACTTTCCGCTCCGACGTGATTCGGCGCAATCTCATTGGTAATCCGGATGCTGAGATTGTTCGGTATCGTCTTCTTAGCTCCTTTAGCTGTCGAATTCGCGGAATTGGTATGCTTAACATTCACCGAGGGGTTTTTGTTTGCGGACAAGTGAACATTTGATATTAATATATTTTTCGCCGCATTGACACTTCTCTTTTTGCTCTCCGCTGGTGCTTGAGAAGTTTTTTCCGGTTCTGTTGATTTATCTGGATTCTGTTTAACGTGCATATTTGTCTTTTCAGATAACTTTGCCGCAGAACTCGCCACCACATTAGTATTCAATAATTTATTATTGTTAACGCCATTATTATCTGCTACCTTCCTCTGTAACTTCAGCTTCTCGCGCTCTAAAATCTGCTGCTTCAAACGACGATATTCCTCTTGTTGCGATGCAGGAAGATGTCTCACGGCCTGCAACAAAGTAGAAAAGCCTGTAGAATAAAGTAGACAAGTTTCTGCAAACAGTCAGTTTGCCTTTTAATAATAAAAATACATATATCTAGGTAATGTTAATTTTTTTTTCAAATACACCTTATTCTCGTCTATGTAAATTAATCACTCTAATGTAAAATGCCTTACCAATGGTGTGTGCAAGTTGGATGAATTCTTAGTCAATAGCCCATTTCGTGCTGCCGCAGGTTTGGCCGATTGTTCCTGTTCCTTCCTCACGTCTCGCAGAAACTTGTGCAGACTCTGCTCGAAATCAACACCAATATCCTGCGCTTGAGGCTTTTCCAGGGTAGAAACGAGGACGGAGTCTTCGCGCTTCTCACCGTCGGACTCGCTGTCCGTGTCGGATTCCAAGTTTATCACAAATCGCTGCGTATCGGACACGTGCAGCGACGTCTTGGACGGATTAGCGTTGGACCATACGTTCTCGGTAGACTTGGTCGCGCTATTATCGAGCTTTCGCAGATTCGATCTTCTCTGGATTATCATGTTCTGATACTTCTTGGCGTTGTTCACTACCTTTGTGCTCGCAGGAATAATCGACTTTCTCATGACTTTCTTATGCGGACCTTTCACCGTGTCCATGTTGCTAAGTCTTTTCCTGTTGCCATTTACAAGCAATGAAGTAGGTACGCGATTGATCTTCTCCTCTGATTCTCGCGATTGATCTTCTTCTCCTCTGGTTTCTGATGAACTCAATTTTGTCGACGACGAGACTTTACTGTTCATCACCGTTGCATTAATTCCCGCGGTGTCGGTTAACGTTTTCTCTTTAGATGTTGAAGTGTCTATTGCAGTACTGTTTGTAATAATCGAACTTGTTGAAGAGCTATCATTAATGTCCGTTAATTTCGTTCGCTTCAAAGAGGCTAGTAAAATAGCCCGCAGCTCATTTTCATCCTCGTCGACGCTTTGTCTCCTGTTATCAACGTCTCCCGCTTTGTTGGATACATCAGACTCAAGATTGTCAGATGTGGAATTTATTAACGAACAATGGGATTCGATATTCTTTTCTTGCGGACGTTTAGAGGAAACTGATGATGTAGAAGAAAGATCGCTCTTCTCAGTAGTTTTATTTTCTGCCGTAATATTATCTAAGCTATCTAACTCCCGACTATCAACGTCAATCTGCAATTTCGATTCTCCATTCTTCATTAAACTCTCCTGCGCTTCATTGTCATCGTTAATTTCTCTTAGACCAGATTCAGCAAATTGTCGTTTAACAGACACGATATTTATATCCTTATTTATACTGTCATCCAAGTTGTTTTGTTTCTCCGCTAATTGCGTAGCGCTATCAAGACTCTTGCATCGATCTTTCTTGACACGTTTCCGTTTTTTGCGCGAAGTAATGTCATTATTCGCAGCTGATAACGTACGCACCGTTTTAGCGGTGACTGAACGTTCGATTACCTCGTGATTATCTTTAGAGGGGTCTTTTTGCTCCTCTGAATTCTCGTTTGTAGAATTATCGAATGCGACTGACGTGGTTAAAATAGGCGCGGACTTCCTTGAAACTCGTAATTTTATGGGTTTGAAGCTACAGCCGCCTTTCGCGCTCTGAGCATTCGAGCTAGCGACGATCACCGGCTGCATCTCGGCGCTCTTGAAACTCGGCTCCGAAACCGACAGCGTCTCGCATTTCTTCGTGGTCGGCAACGGCTGCTGAAGCTGCTTGTTCGACTTTAAAATAGGCGCTGGAACCAATGTTTTATTGATTAAGGTGGGTATCTTATTTGCATCCTTGGTGACTTCCGGCACACCCTGCATGTATAGAGGTTCCTGGTGCAACGTTTCTCCCTCGGCAGCTTGGCATGGCGTTACCTCTTTCAAAATTTGATCCGTGGTCGGTAAGTTTTTATCAGCAACAACAGGAGAACCCGATGGATCCGTCTCCATCTCTGAAAGATCATCGATCGTCACCATCGACTCGTTTGGAGACATCGGCTCGACATATCCTGCAGCGAAAGCAGACGAAGAAGACGTCGTAAGAGGACACTCGGGAACCTTCTGCGTCTCGTAAGTACACTTGTCGTCTCTAAACGTCGAGTTTGTTCTCGCAAATTCAACGTTGTTGGTAGATTGCTCTGCAGACTTATCCTGCTGCTGAGTTGCTTTCGAAGAAGTCGGGAGAAGACTGGTTAGAACCGGAATCGGCTGTACATCTGGCGTCGACTCGATGTCCGTCGAAGAATTAACCTGGCAGCAAATACCGTCTATCAAGTCGCACACGACATTACTGCCCTGACAGTTCCTGAGTGGATCGGCTAGTTCTTCCGGTTCGTTGTTCAAGTCCGAACCGAGGAAGATCTCGGTGGACCGCTGCGACGGCGAGTAGGGACAATACTGCGACGCATAATTATGAGACGTTAAGTAAGGATTACCGTAACATGACGAGATGCTCGTGGTCGATACGTTTTCGACCCTCTCGGCTTCAGCGAAAGTCGAAGACTTGTTTGTCTCGTTTACGTTGATAAACGACACGTCGGACGGCTCGAGGCCGAGCAACGAGGTGTCGATAGGCACGTGCGTGGTGATTTTATCGGTAGGTGAATAAGGTAACTCTCCCTCCTTCTCGCCCTCGACGTCCGAATCTAGTTCCATGTCTTCGATGCGATTGCTGTCACGCAACGGCGTGCACGGCGGGGTCACGAACTTCAGCAGCTCGCCAGGTACAGGTATGTCGTCGAGGAAGCTCTGACTAAACGGACTCTCGCTGCGAGAAGGTTTCTTGTTCGTTCTGATCCCACGGCGAACCCGGTTCTGATGCTTCTTCATCACCGCAGAACGAAGAGCGATCATGCGCAGCTCCAGCGCTTCTTCGTCCTGATCGTCGTTCCTCGAAGCAGGTTTCTTCTCCAATTTCACATCCGTCGATCCATGATCCGATGATCTATTAGACTTCTTCTGTTTCGTCTCCAATGCCTTTTGTCGAAGTAACGCCAAATCTTCCTCGTCGTCGGCGTCGTTAACAGTATCGGGTTCGACATTGATTTTCTCCTTAAAACGCGCCGCACCGTTGTTGCTACTGGAATGTTTCTTCAACATGTTTGACAATTTCTCTTTCAAGGACGGTTGATGATGCTCCTTGTTCCGATCGACGCTCGATTCCGATGTGAGGACACCCATGGAATCCAGATGCCTGACTTTCTTCAGTAACTTTGTTACGTCGCCGTGTCTGTTGACGTATGAACGAACAGAAGGTGATGAAGTTATTCTTGATGTTCTTCTGGGTGTCCTGACAGGCGATGAACGATGCGGTGAGATCCGAGATTTCGGCGATCTAAGCCTTCGCGGAGATTTCCTCAAGATCGGCGACCTGACGCGATTCAACGGAGATCGAGATGAACGAATGGGCGATCGAGCTTTTACGAGTGACCTGTGTCTTCGAATCGGTGATCTCGAGATCACCCTCGATCTGCCGCTTCTGCGAACCGGACTCAATTCTCTGTAATGCGTCTTCAACGTACCAAATTCTGTTATAGGCAAATCGACAGAGCTCGGAGAAATCAAGTCATCGATGGTTATAACGTCGTACTCCTTTTTCTTTCTCTTTTTCTTTTTTATTCTAGCCTTTGACCGGTTGGACGTGTCCGTAAGACCGACGATTTCCATATCACTGTCACTCGAAATAGGTACTAGGTCATCATTCTTCTCTTGCAGGGTTGACGTTATATGTTTCGCAGATCCAACTTCTCTCACATGGTGACGGTTTTCCTTTCCTTTGACTGGATCTTATAAAATAATATCCAACTTCTACTCTTCTACTTGATTACAATAATACATCAATATCAATATATGTATCTAATTATTTTATTTTAATTATTTATATATTTGTCTATTGAGAAACATATCTTTTATCATATTCGAGTCATAATAAGATATTTTAGAATGTTTTAATTTATATCTAATAATTTTAAAAAAATTAAGTATATTTAATTTTATTGCAAGTTGATGACATTCACACAAGAACTATAGACTGTTGTATTAATATCAAAAAAAATTATAACGCAACAAATTTTAGAATTGTCATTTCCTCTTTATTATTTGATATGTATTTAGAAAATATATAAAATTTTAGAATGTTTTATTTATAATTTTAAAAAATAATTTAATAAAAATTTAAAATGTTTTAATTTATAATTAAAAAAAATTTCTCTCACAAGTATATTTAATTTTATTGCAATGTTGATAACATTCACACAAAAACTATACTGTATTAATAATAATCAAAGAAAATTATAGCGCAATAAATTTTAGAATTGTCATTGCTTCTTCATTATTTTATACATATCTAGAAAATATATAAAAATGTTTTTCACAAAGATCTCAATAAATAACATTAATAAAATGTAAAGAGGAGAAATAATTTCACAGTGCCTAAATAAAATATACTGTATCTTGAACAAAGGATATAATCTAGCAAATTTTACCTCTCCTGCTCTTAGAATGACACATGATTGTGCACCAGGATGCGCATTCGCCCCATGATTTGCAATTTGGACACGATCCTCGTGTCCTGGTGAAAAGACCGTAATTACTGGTCAGATGGCCTATTCCGCCCTCCTCGGACGAGCTGACGTCCTCCAACGAAATCTCACCCTCCTCCTTCTCATCGTCGAGGATGTCTATTGTCTCCATACAGCCGCTCGAAAGGTCGCTCGCCATTTTTTCTTTTTTTTTTTTAAACTTACCCGGCGACGATTTTACGTTTTCTCGATCTCAAAACGAAGAAGCATGAAAATATTCCAACAATCCGTCACGTGATTCACTTCTTTAAGGACCTGAGGTTAGTTTCGCGAAGCACTATATTAAGAATAAAGGACGGGATAACCTGTCCCGATGGATGGATGAAAGATAATTCACAGCGATGGAGGAAAATCATTTTCTTATCTGACCTTCGCAGGAATCTCGTGTCGCGCAGAAAAAATTGTTTTCGTGTGGGGAGAAAAAAAGAAAACGTCCGACATTCCGGAGGGGTGGGGAAGAGAATGAGGATTTAATAAACGCGTTGATAAGCGCGCGATTAATTACCGTGTCTCAGCATTAAGCAATCGCAGCCTTGATTAAATACCTTCAACCCCCACTGTCGACCGATCAACGTCCAACTGATCGACGATGTTACGGGACAACAGCGGCCATATTGCGTACCAATCATCTTTGTTTATGTATACATAAGAGCAATATCGTATCTGTCATACGTGGCCACTGAGCGCGCGCTGATTGGACCTCGGCTAGGAAATTCCTAGGGTCCCGAAAGTTTCCCGCGATGTCAGCCAATCACTTACTTGCATCTGACAATTGTGACAAGACCCTAAAACCGAAATTGCCGATCAAAATTCCACCAACAGAAACAGAGATCTTTGTTCTCCTTTTTATTTGATTTGACATATTATTATTATTATATTATTTCTATTATATAATTGTAATATATTATATTTTAATTATATTATATTATATGATTATTATTAAAGTCACAATTAAATATATATTTCCGTCAGTTTGTGCATGGAATATATTTATAATTATTAATATAATAAAATACATTTTTACACAATAAAATATAGTCTTATTTAATAAAAATAAATCAATAAATTAACTTGAAGGTTCATGAACTGAATTAAGCATTGAGACATTGTTTACAAAATAAATAAAATTAACAATCAAGAGAAAAAAATGCACATAAAATTGAAATTATTAAATATATTTTATATAATATATAATTATTCTACTACATATTATGTAATAAAAGTCTGAATTATTAAATAAAAATAGTAATTAGCTCTGTTAAACTTAATGATTGTAAACAAAAAAGGGGCTATAAGAGCTATTAAACAAAATGCAGTTGTCAGATGATATTAATAAAATTCATTTAAAACGAGAAAATAAATACATAATAAATAAACATTTATGCAAACGTTTCGGCTGACATTTCAAACCTTCTTCAGCGCAATACAAATATATTTTAATTATAAATTGAATTTCAATATTAAATATTAAAAACGGTAATTAACAAAGTCAAGATAATTACCGTCTTTAATGTTTAATATTGAAATTCAATTTATAATTAAAATATTTGTATTGCGCTGAAGAAGGCTTGAAATGTCAGCCGAAACGTTTGCATAAATATTTATTTATTATGTATTTATTTTCTCGTTTTAAATGAATTTTATTAATATCATCTGACAACTGCATTTTGTTTAATAGATCTTATAGCCCCTTTTTTGTTTACAATCACTGAATTATTAAATTTATGTAATATAAAAATTTGTGAATGAGGAAGCAAGTATATTTAGGTTGAAAATTCGACAACTTTTAAATTTTCAAAGGTCGATAGTGTATTTCATAATTTACTTAAAAGAATATAATTAGAGACAAGATAGCGCATATCAAAACTCGAAGCATTCTAAACGCAAGAACTCTTTTTCGTTCCTTTATATTTGCATAATTGATACACATTGTAAGATACTTAGAATCAGCTCTAAACATATCTATTGATATATCCTAAAATAATTCGATAAAGTTTAATAACAATTGTAATAAAGCTATCATTTTCTCTGCATGAAATTGTTTTTGGTTTGCAGCTTTATAATAATCACGTAAAAAAATTTTATTTGTATCTAGAAAATTATTATCTTCAAATTTATATTCTCATTAAAGTAAATTGTACCAAAATACAGAATATTATGAAATTGTAAACTGTTCCATTTATTGTCTCAATTTTATAACAAAAAAGAAACTAATATCAATTTGATTTTTTATATACTGCAAGAATGTTTCATTACATAAACAAAATTACAATAAATCATAAATATGTCATTGATTTATTGAATTAGGTGAAGGATCCGATAGTTGATGTGTATTATTTGAAGGCACAGTATTGATAGAAGGTTCTTGCTTTACGTTACAACTGTTAAGATTCATGTTGATCACGGTGCTAGATGTGGGATTTTGCATATCTAATTGACTTTGCGCTATATCCTGCAATGCAGCTTGAATTCGCTGAAGGAGTGCTTCTCCTTGTCTCACTACTTCTTCCAATTGCTCACCAGCTTGCTGATTTTCTTGCTCGAGTCGACTAAGACTGGCTACTTGAAGTTCCTGAGACGATTCCTCACTTGGCAAACTCTCTATCAACGTATCTATGTCTTTTGCACATCTTGCAATGAGATTCGCAAATAAAGCAGCATAATCTAAAGCAGATAAAGGAAATATATGTTTAATACTACAATATATATGCATGATCATTATTAATCATCATTATTAGTACCTTCTTGAGGTTGATGCGGTTGTGGAGTGCCAATGCGATCAAACCCAGGGAATTTGCTAGGAGTAGAATACTGTTGTAAGATACCAACACTGTTGCAAAAGTGTTCTGCTTGCTAAAATAACAGACATTAACATTGTCTCCAATCAAATTACAATTCTGGGAGAAATAAACATTCAGTAAAATAAATACAAAATTTACCTGGTTTATAGTATCTTGTAACTGTGTCAGACGATCTGCCATAGTGTCGAATTATTAACTCACACTTGATTTGTATATCGTTTCATATTCAGAATGACTATTAAATGAAAGCTTAATTGTCATCAATAAACACTAATGATTTCGACAGTTTCACAAATATAATACACATCGTTAAAACCTCACTTCTCTTCAGTTTTTCAGACACGTTGTTGCAAAGTATGGAAACTTTTGTTCACACTGATTTATCTTCTGTTTATCAGACGAAAAATTCTGGGGCGAAAGATCTCACAAAACTGTAGGAAATCATAACCTAACTTTCTCTCCCCTCCCTTCTCAAATATTAAGCCTGTATCAGACTTGTGAAAATTAAAAATTGGAATTTGACTAATCAGAACAAATCGAGCTAAAGCTACTTTATTCTGATTGGCCACATTTCAATCTCAATTTTCAATGCAATACGGACTTTATTATGTGAACTCGCATGTTGAGAGGTTGGATTGGTTGTTTGACATAGAACATGTTTTTTGAAAATAAATTTTTCGAAACTCCAAATTCTTATTTCATATTAATTTTATAGAATTGAATTATATAATATCTTATATATGCGATAAAATACAAACATTTTGTTATAATTATATATATACAGGATACACATAATATATACATTATACATAAAATATACATGTAATTGTTAGTATATGATTGCACAACTAAATCCAAATGTTATCCTATTCTTTTTTTTTTCATCATTTTATGTGACCGACAATAAATACAGAAAAATAAAACATTTAAAAATAATTTTAATACGTGATGTGTGTGATGGTTCATATATTTGTTCTCGTATGTTTTCCAAGTATTAAAATTCACACACTGGTTTTCAAAGGGCTCTCATAATAATAAAGTAGGAAGAACGGATCTTAACATAATTTAGTATTTTTTCCATTGCATTTTATAAAATGTTTACATGGGAAAGTATTTACAAAAATATGAGTAGGACGCGATGAAGTGTAGAAGACAGAGAAAAGAATAAACAATTCAGTTGAGGGTACCCCGACACTGAGGAGCTCCACAAAGGCAAGGGATTTTGTCATCCTCCAATGGGAATTTATAATCGTATGTAATTTCTTCATTAACTCCTATTGGCTGCTTACTGTAGATTACAATCTTCTTTTGGCTTTCAATCGTGATCACTTTTGCATAACAATTTGGCTAAAAGAAACAGATTTGATAAATACACCTTTTACCTCTCTCCCACTCTAAGATTAATTATACATAATGATATATATAGATTATATTAATTAATTATATAATTTATTATTTTATATACATATAATAGAGAGATTTTTATTCATTTCTCTACCGATTCATTAAATCAATTTTTAGTTTAGACTATATATCTTTTTTTCATACAGAAAATGTGTTTATTATATAGCACAGTCAATCAATGTTATAAAAATGGATAATCTTAAGTGACTCACATTGCAACTGTGATTTATGAACCTTGCCAAATTGCCACACTTTGTCGCATCGATAATTGTATCTAAATCGATGCGGAAGAGGTAAGAACTACCGATTCCGGTAGCTTCATATTGGGCTTCCCGCAAGTCGGCGACAACTGGTCTAACCATTTGTCCTACATACTCGATAACCATTTCATCGGCCGCGATTGGTTCCATAGCAAACAAGCCCCAATCGTGAATACCAGATTTGGCAAACTTTAATTGTTTTTTGCGGAACTAAAATGTGTATATTGAAATAAATTAGTATATATAAATTGTATACGTAGAATAAATAAATTATATATAAATTTTAGGTACTGAGAATATGCATTTTACCTTTAATTGATTAAATTTAAGAAGATCACTATCCGTATCAATTCCAAAAGCTGTCAGTAATCGTCGTTGATTGCTTCTTGCCTCACGCGACAGTGCCTGCATTTTACCAGTCAATGCTTTCGAATTATTCTTTGGACCGTTCATAACGCTATCTCCTCCAATATAAGAACCGGCGGTACTGTCCTCCACATCATTACTGCGTTGTATGCTTTGAGCATAGTGATGCTGCAAGAACAAGTTTATTACTCACACATAATTCACATAAAAATGCTATAATATAAATTGCAATATTTCTACGAGATATATGTTAAAACTTTAAAATTTCAATTTATTAAAAAATTATATCAAATATCCAATTGTTTACTTTGTGTTTAGCCTTTTCTCTGACATCGACTTTGTAATATCCTTCCGTTCTAGCACTTCCACTCGCATGTAATCGAAGTTCGTCTCGTTTCCTCTTTTTCGCAGGACTCGGTATATCTGTCGGTGGATGATCAACCCAATGCGTATCATTCAACCAGTAACCTTGAGTATCATCCGCTAATAGAGCTTCGTAACTCCTTCTCAAGTATTCTGCATCTTCTGCATCTATACCCCTTGTTAAAAACTCGTACAAAATAGCCATTTCGGATATGAGATCTCGCTCTTTGTACGTGACTTTCGATTCTACAATCGGCTTAGGTAACTTGTCATATATATAATCATTCTGGATATTCTCTTTTTCTCCCTCGTGATTCTGATGACTATTATGCACTTTTGTATATTTCTTGGATTTTTGCTTCTCCACTTTATGAGTCTTGTCCTTTGATTTCGATAATTTGACAATCTTCGGATGTTTCACTTTCACCGAAGTTGACGGTAGACGTATCATCGATTCCAGGGGCTCCGGTTGCGCAGGTGGCAATGAATACGAATGTTCCATATACACTTGCGAAGCCTGAGAACCAGGCGAACTTGGTGTCTGCTGCCCATTTAATCGAAGATCCGCCTCTGCTTGATACCTGTACAGAATATTGGAATATTTCATCGTTATTATAGAGCGATAATCTTACACTACGTATGCATTATATTGTGCACACACAATGAAGAATTATTTAAAAATTTATTAGTTGAACTGATCACTGACCTTAATCTTCTGATTTCTAAGCTTTCTTCTTCTGAATCCGTTGTGGGAATTTCGCTGAACATCTCGATCTTTTCGTTCTCCTTTAAAATAGGTTCGTCATTTATGTATTTCGCCGACATCGTCTGCAGGGCTCTGATAATATTAGGTTGTATAGAACCCGGACTCCTATGACGTATAATATTATCGCGCCCAGCTAAAGTCATCAAGGCTTCTGCAGCCGAGTTCTCCATCTTTTGTATATCTGGTAATGTTTCTTCCTTTACTAGCGTTATCACTGATGCAGGTTTCGATTCAATCTGTATTTCTTTCTCCTCAGTAATCCTTGGCACATCCTTCGATTCCTTGTCCAAAGTTCCACACACATCGACGAATGGCTTTTCTTCCGTGGCAGGCAATTTCTCGGAAATTGTCTCCTCTGCCTTGATGCTCTCGTATCTCACAGGAGAAGATAATGAGCTAATGAGATTGTCATTGTCGATCTGCGGGAATTCGTTGGAATTTTGATCTTTAATTTTGATATCTGGTACTGGCGTTTCTCTACCAGTCGGCGTGGGACAATCCAATGACTTTTGAATTGCGAATTCCATCAATATATCAGGATCCTCACTATTACAAGCCAGTGGTCTGTGATCAGACATGCGGCTATCTGTGTCTTGCTAAAAAAAAGAAAAAAATTAAATCAATTTTAATCCATTTTTATCAATGTGTTAGCTTTTTAAATCTTTGCACTCATCTGCATTATATATACCTCATCCTCAAAGCCAGCTTCTTCATCGGAACTTTCATTTGAACTATCGGAAGATTCACTGGAACTGATTTCTTCACTACTGCTTTCGAGAGACGAGGACGAAGACGATGTCGAAGAAGAGACACTCGGCAAAGAAACCATCGCTTTCTTCGTTTTTTGTGCCGATGATGTATCCAAATCACTGTCGCTTTCGATCGTTTCCATATCAGCATGACCCGATTGTCGGCTATCCTCATCCTGCGGTAATGGACTTGGAGCTTTGATCTTGCGCTACGGGGAAAAAACAAACATGTAATAATTGATGTTATTGAAGAAAATATAAAACAATACAAAATTCTTACCCTGAACGAAGGCATCTTTGGCATACTAGCTCTAATACCCAAACCAAATCCATCGTAATTGAGTCCTAATGGTGTTGCTTGCTCTAATAAAGATGATAATCCTTGAGTTTTTACGTCTTCTTTCGCCGTGTTATTGACAATAGCATTCTCGCTGCCACCGTGAGTTTGACTTTTCTCAGACTTCTTTTCATCCCACCAAACTTCGAATAATTTGAACGCTGTATTTTCTATCATCTTCTTATTAAAGTCCTTTTTTAGAATTTGCTTCAATTCATTCACTACTTTGCTCAGTACACTATTGATAGTAGGACCCTAAACAGAGATATTTTAAATATTTTTCTAACAAAAATGCTTTTACAAATAATATATATATATATATATATAAAAAAATGAAATTTACAGATTCAATCTTATATCAATGCAATGCAATTATCTTGCCTGTGGATCTTTTGTGATGTTATAATTTGCCATAGCGTGCAACCGCGACTGAAACGAAGAATAATAATTTGCCCCTTGATGATTTCCGACTGTTGCCGAGAAAGACGCTGTAGTAGGTTGAAAATGGCTTTGCAAGTAAGTTGCTCCATAAGGATAAGGATATTGCGCCGGTCGCGGCCAATTATAAACATCATTAGGATAATGAGTTAAATTTCCTGGATAACCAGTTGGATACAGTTGACTCGAAGGCTCTGTTTGTGCTACCTATATATTAAAGAGATAATTATACATAAAATGCAATGTAAACATATGTATAATTAATGTATAATATATAAGTAAACTCACTTCTTCAATCTTTTCATCTCCTGAACTCAAAGGACTCAGAGACATTCTGTCGTCGTCAGGTGGAGGAGGTGGAGGTGGTTCTTTAGGTGGTTCTGGTTCATTGTCATCAGGTGCTGGACTATAACTTCCTAATAACGCTTCGTCTTCACTGGAACTTATAACACTACCCAAATCTTCGTCCACAGAAAACTGACTAATGCTATTCTCATGAGCTTTTCTTCTTTCCTTATTTCTTTCTACCATTTTTTCAAAACATTGCTTATAAATTTCATGCGACAGAAAGGGACTAGGTGGCTCGGACAACATTTCACCGTCGCCTTGCAAAGACTTCTTGTCATCTTCCGAGTCGCTGCCAAATTGTAAAAACGGAGGTGCCATTCCACCCGCTTTGTCCTTTAATAACATAGCAATTCTTGTATCTAAATCTAATGTCTTGCGAGTTTCGTCGGGAGAATCACGCGGCGCACTTTTCGTCGTAACCTGATTCTCCTTTTCCTTTTTAGGAGTATGATGTAGTTTTGCATTGGAAGTCTTATTACTACTAATCTGTGTTATATTAGAATTAACACTGTCCAAATTGGTCGCGTGCGGTTGAATCGGCCAAACGGGCGCTGAAGGTGTATATCCCGTTGTTCCAGAGTTGTTACTCCACCAGACATTTGAATTTTGTTGAACCGGTATATTCTGCGATGGTACATTTTGCGGTATGCTAGTTAAATAGCTACTTGGAGGTTGATGATGATAACTGCCATAGAAAAAATCATAATTCGCGGCAGGAGTAGAGTTTTGAGAATAATTATTAGAATAATTCAGTTCACTGGGCGCAGTTCCATAACCCAAATCACTGCCTGTACTGCCGCTTGGTGTAGGATAATCCCTGTATTTGTTATACCTCGAATTTTCTACATACGGCTCTCTGTTCTTCTCTACAGGTAGAATAGCTTTTTTACTACTTCTAAAGTCTTCCCTCTCCTCGAGTAAAACCTTCTCCACAGGTGTTTGATGTTTTTCTTGCTCAATCTCAGGCTTTACCACCTCTTTCTCTATCTTCTTCTCCGGTTTCTTTTCCGTAGTCAACTCCTCAAACATCTTCTTGCACTCCTCCCCGAAGGAATCCAGAAAAACCCTCAACACTTTTCCCATCACAGATGTATTATTCAACTTTTCCACACATGCCTTCGACGCCTTGGTTGATTCAAACACTACTCTTGCTATACCAAGGTGTTTATTAGTCATTGGATGATAATAAATAATAAGTTCCTCTATAGATCCAAATTTCTGAACCATGTTTGTCAAAAATGTCTTATCGATATTATCATTTAAATGGCAAAACGTTACTTCTAGCGGGGGCGGCTCTCCGCAGTAATTCGAATCGATTTTAAATCTAGGTACAGGTAGATCGAGTTGTTCAAGCCTGGTCCAGATCCTCGTCAATTGCGATCTGGGATCACGAGGTTGGACCTGCGGATACGTCGGGTCTCCTGGAACAGTTCCATCGTATCTACATAATTTTGTTGCTCCTTTAACTAAGAACGGGTCGACGAGTAACTTGTAATTTCTCTGCTTTGGAGTCACTTGCGGCGCAGCTGTGTCCTTCTGCGAGTGTGTTACGTGACTGCTACCGTGGCTATGCTTCGAGGCAGGCTGACTCGAGTTTTGCGACGTGCTCTGAGAACCGCCATGGGAATGACGATGACGATGCGAGTGCGCGTGTGAATGTCCATGTCCGTGACCATGTCTCTCCATGCCGTTCATCGCCTCCAAGCATCATCCATTCATGTGAACTTCTGTCGCAAACGTTTAAACCAAACTTTAAACAATATCGATAACTAAGATGGATATATAAATTCAAGTTCTATTTCACATCCTTCGAAAGACAGTATTCGAGGATGCGCGATTATCAACATGTAAACAACAAATTATACATGCGTGCGTCCTCGTCAACTGAATTGCGAATCAATGTAACACAATTTTTACACATCACTATCTCTCGCGTGTCACTTAAAATTAATTAACTTTAATTACAAAAATATCGAATATTCGTTGTTAAAGGTACCGAGTGTTCGATATACATTGATTGTATCAATTACATGATCCGAGTGTTCGATAACCACAAAAATTAGCGGCTGGATTAATTTTGACAAGCCGTCAATCAGCGATTTCTCCCTCTTTCTCTCTCTCTCTCCCTTTCTTTCTTTTCTCACTGCGACATTAATTACGGTGTTAAAGAATAAACAAAATCGCGCGGAACAACTTTTGACAGCTTTGTAGATCGTTGCGCGAAAAATGCAGTTTTCTCTCTCTACCGTGGAGAAGATGCAAAGCGAAATTCTTCTTACTTATCGGATCGATACGATCTTTCGAGCGGCCTTATTAATTACAGCATCTTTAATCAGACTCGAAAGCGCGTCCCGATCGCAGACTTACGATGCCAGTTTCCTCCGGTTTCGCTTCGGATCGCTCGGTCTTTCTTCGCGCGAGAGGCGGAAGAGTACGTAGTTTTTCCCTCAACAACACATAACCTCCAATCGCGTTTCGCGATTTTTTTTTTCCCAAAACCGAGTTACCGTTCGCGATAACGATAACCCACGTTGTTGAAAACTATCTCTCTCTCTCTGTCTCTCCCTCTCTCGCGTCTTTAGTTTCAGTATCCTCCGGTTTAAAGCGTCTGTCCCTCCGTTTCTCGTAAGCTACGTCGAACTAGCGAGTTTCACTCTCTCTCGTTGCTCCTCTTTTCCTCTCCGTCTTCCTTTCTCCCTGCCACTCCTCACTCTCGCCCCCTCTCTCTTTCTCTCTCTCTCTCCCACTCGCTCTCTCTCTTTCTGTCTTAACTAGAACCTTTAGACCCTTATTCAGTTACGTTGCGCTTTTTTTCTGGCAGAACGCGAAACTCTTTCGTGACGTTTGAGTGCGCGGGAGACAGCGTCCTTGTCGTTCCTTGGAAAACCGATCCGTCCTCATCGGCGAACCACCGATGACAGATTCGGCGAGGGAAGAAACGTGCCGAGTCTCCCGCGCGCGTGCTCCGCGATGCAGATGCACTCTCTTGCAGTTGCACTCTCCTTACGATGCCCCGGATGCGTCTGCCCCTACGTCCTGGAATATTTTCCTGACGGGACGAATGTGATGGAGAGATTTTACTGATTCTGTCATGTTGAGGATCGCTCTCCTTATTTATTTATTATTACTGTTTTTTTTTTTTTTTTTTTAATAGACCGTATCTCTCTTAACCTCTTTATTCTTTCTTATTATTAATCGAGCGTTTTTCGATTTGTTTAGCCTCTTTCATCGTGTGAATTTTATTTAGGATTGTATTTTTGTATATCTATGTTCTTGTTGATGTTCTTTTAATCGAATAATATTGACGGAATAAAGGTTTTATTTCCATCGTCAGGGAAGCGAGGAGTCGCGGATTCACGTCTCTCCGTTTTCATTATATTTGACAGATTGCGTTTTTCTGTAATTTTTGTAATGCAATTAATAGAAATGATGTAAAACCGGATAAAGTGTGCATTATTTACATTGGAAAATACATTCGTGATGCGACTGTCACGTTGTGTATCGACTCGAAAGAGTCCGAGAGATAAATAATCACGTTTTCACGTGCACGATTAGCCACGAAAAGTGCAGAAGAAAATAAGTGCATCTGTACTTTTTTCGAAATAGCGCGTGAATTTCAAATAATACGCATCTTTATTTTCATTTTTATATTTTTCCTTTTCTTTACAAACTCGCATTTTATTTTTGAACACATTTGAATAAAATATAAAAATATAAATGATTTTAGGAAAAACAAGAGGTTGATTGACCATTTTACAGAGTGTGTTCAAAATTCTGTCATCAGAATAGGATTTTTGATCCACCAATCAGGATAAAGAAGCAGAGATTTGAAAATTTATCAATAAAAAAAACTCACCATAAATTAAATGTCACACGATTGGCTAACAAATAGGAATTTTTGTGACTTTCTCTATTTTCCAACCAATCGCGTGTCTGCTTGCGCGAAAACTTCCTTGATTCTAATTGGTCAACGTCAACACAGGAGGCACATGATCGATTTTGATAAATCGTGAGATTTGCTTCCTCTTCTTGAAGTTCAGATTTTATGGTTATTGTTAATGGTTAGCTTTTGCGGAGTTTTTTCCGAAGGAAAAATTTTAGGCTAACCGATCTTGAATATCGGAATATCTCTAATAAAATGTCAATCGTACAGAATTTTTTCAAACGTTACTTGCCGGTGGTGAAGGCCGACGATGAAGAATTGGTGGATCCGCAAAAAGTACTTCGTGTAAGTGACACAATCATTACATAATATTGTTTTTTAAATGGGGATGCAAATGCGCATTGTTAATTAATTTATTAATTAATTTGCGGAGTAAAGATGTATTCATTAAAGTTCAAGCATTGCTTGAATTACACTCTGATTAATTTAACAAAATTGCCTAGTGAAATCTAATTTTATAATTCTACATTCACAAAATACTGCAAATTTTATTTCATAAATTAATCACTAATTAATTGGAATTATAAAAATTTTTTCTTTTATACACATGCATATTTTTCTGTAAAAGTTAAAAATGAATCACATTAATCAATAAAAACAGCATGTTTTTAATAACTCAGTATTACTTTACGCGATTATTTTAATCAATAATTTTTCTTACAGGAGGAATGTGCTTTAGAAGCAAAATGTGTCAATTTGCAGGAGAAATTGAACACATGCAATGATCGTGTTAATTCGAGATCCAATACGGAAGAAACTTGTCTAGAGGAACTTCTTGATTATGTGCAATGTGTCGATCATTGCGTCTCAAAGACTCTGTTTAGCAAACTTAAATAATTGTACGATATTCCCATATAAAGACCCAATTGTTGTTCACAATGTTGAAACTTAATTTCTCAATTATTGTATATATAATCTAATGCTAGTAAAATAAAAAATTAAGTTATTAGATATGAAAATTATATTTGACACACAATCTTTCCATCATCTGTATTTCTCTATAATTCTATGAATTAGTTTTAACAAATCTTAATGTGAACAATATACAATAGGATACATAAAATATCAATGATATACGCACAGACTTTCAATTCATATATATATGTATATATATGTATATCTGTTTTCCTTTCATATAAAAAACATTGGAATGATCTATTAATTTTAAAAAATTTTTAACTATGAAGGTTGAAGAGAACCAGTACCCAGCAATACGTCAAAACATATGTTGCATACACGTACTGGCTTGTTTAAACCAAATTTCAAGATCGGTACATCCTGACCTGAACACTTGCTGCATAAAATTCGTCCACAATGCCGACTAAAAAGAGAAATAAAATATAATGAAAACTGTGCTACCTTGATATATTCATTTAATGTCGTTAGAGTACAAATCATTCATACCAATGATGCTTGCGCATTGTGAGAGAGAATTTTGTTCCGCATTCTAAGCAGCAATCTTTATCAGACCATGGCGCTTCTTGCGTTAGAGAATCTAATAGTCTATATAATAGTTGTTTCGTTGCTACTTGATAATTGAAGATTGTAATTCCATCTTTATTCATCGAACCTAAGCATGCTCCGGCTTTTACTAATGTTCTACAAAGATTGCCATTACCCTTCATGTATGCAATCAACAATGGTGTGTTTCCATCTAAGTCTGTAAATAAAGACTTTGTAAAACATACGCGTTTTGTAGAATAATTAATATAATTAAAACAAATTACAACATTTTTCTTCCAAAACAATTTTAAATTTAATTAATCTTTTTTAAAAAAGAACATTTCTTGTACCTGCGTTATTGACTGGATATTGTGACATGCATTCTAAAAATAGTTCGCATATCGTTGCAGCATTGTCCCTCGCGCATCTAGCTAACTCGTGTAGAGGATTACGGCCTTTGAGATTCACAGCTTCCGCGTCCAGCGTACACTCGGTCAGTAACGTCCTGACCACTGACACATGACCTTCTCTTACAGCTACGTGCAACGCGTTATCGCCGTCCGCATTTACCGCGTCGAAATTAATATTATTCTATACAACAAATAATCCATTATTTAACAGGATACCTTAAATGCAATAAAATTAGGTACACCGTCAGGTAGGTATTTAGTGGATTCTTTGCATTAAATAGCTTGTCTCTTACTTGCAATAACGCGGAGACAACAGGAGCATGTCCCGCTTTAGCTGCCACATGCAGTGCGGTGTTCCTATTTGCATCGGTATCATTAACACGAGCGCCTGCTAATATCAAACTTCGCACCAACATCTCGTTTCCTGACATCGCGGCAAGATGCAGCGGAGGCGTTTGTGTAACGTCATGTATTCTTGAATTTACGTCTACCTGTGACAAGAAAAATAGAACTACTGTAGTTACAGTTCTTCACAGTGCATTACAATCTATAATAAATTAAATTCAAGTACTTGTATCGATAATAAAAACAGAATGCTCTCCATGTCACCCTTCTGGATAGCAGTATGTAAGAAGTTTCTGCCCTTATTATCGTATTGTTCGGCGGCCTTTGGTAATCTCTCTAATATCGCTTGCGCAGCTTTGTTGTTACGGACAGTCAGAGCGGTCGCGAATGGCGTAAGTCCTCTCTTATCCCTCTTGTTCAGATCTATATTCGGGTGACACAGCAGAAGAGAGATCAGCTGCGAATGCTGATTCTGTATCGCTACGTGTACAGGAGTCTTTCCCTCCGCATCGCGGGCGTTCACGTCGGCTCCGTGTTCGATGAGCGTTTGCACAACTTGCTCCAATCCCCATTGGCAACACAAATGTAACGGCGTACACTCATCTCTCGCCTCATCTCCGCCGGCACCGTCTGGCCCAAGTCGTCTCGGAGCATTCAAATCACATCCACTGCGATATAAATCATCATTTAAAAGAGAGGAATAAAATAATGACAAATTTACAATATTTTACATTGTAATCATATCTATATACCATCACGATATAAATTAAAAATAAAAAAATAAGATAACAATTTTTTAAATATTATTTTCTTATTTCTGACAAATGATTATTACTTAAAAACTTTTTTTAGCAAAAGAATGCGGATATCGCTACCTTCTGATCAGAAATTGTGCTATATCTTCCTTATTATCATCGATCGCTCTGTGTAGCAGCGTTTGCTGACAACCATCGGGTCCAGAACCCCAACAATCAGTATCAGCTCCGTATTTAACCAAGATTGACGCGGTATCTTCCTGATCTGAGTCTAGAGCATCCCATAATGGGCATCCTATTGAAGTGTCTACACCTCGTCTACAAAGAGCTTCCACTACTTCGCCTAGTCTACAATGTACGCACAGTTGTAGCGGCGTATCTCCATTGGCTGTTCTGCACATATTGAAATACGAATATATATTAATAATATTGAACTTGCAATTTTTATACATATCAATTTTTGTAAATTTTAATAAACTCACTTTGCATTCATGTCAGCACCATTTTCCAGCAGAAATATAGCGGTAGCTGAATCTTCCTTCAATATTGCCTTATGTAACAATGTCAGACCTTCCTTGTTACGCTCATTTACATCAGCCCCAGCTTTTATCAGAGCTAGTACGATATCTTTGCCTTTTTTAAACGGTGCCTTTATAGCTAGGCTCAGAGGCGTCTCGTTCGCTTTATTTTTAATAGTCAATTGCTCATTAGAGTTAGATAAATCTAATAATTCATTGACTATATCTGCATATAGATTCGAGATAGCGAAATGAATCGGTGTGTCACCAGTAGAAAAGGTAACGACATCGGTTGGAAATCCATTTTTAATAATGCCCGAGACAAATCTTTTAAGCCGACCTTGCACACTTCATGTAATATCGTGAAACCTTCGTTGTTGGTTTTTGTTAAGTTATTCTTACAATATTCCACTAAAAATAGCGCCGCCCCTTCTCTACATTCTCGCGTCAAGACGTGAAGCAACGTATCCCCAGTGGTGTTATAAATTGGATTCGGTATAGCGCCTTTAGTTAATAATTTAGACGCAAAGTATTCGTTGAAGGGATCCGTCTTCATCGCGAAACATAATGGTGTGTCATCTTCGTTGGTGGTTTCATCTATATCTATACATTTTGCCTCGAGTAACAAATCAAACAGCATATCGTTTCTCTCCGAGATACAGCTATGAAGCGCAGTCCTGCAAATATAAATAAATGTGCAAAATTATATTTGATACTTAATTACATAAAAAAGGCTACAAATCCTATTTTGAATTCCACAGATACTTATTTTTAAGCTTTACATTATTCGGAATGTAATGTAAATCTTGAAACAGGATCTTGAAGGAATACAATATTTACCATCCTCTATGATCTTGTAAATTTGGATCAATTCCTGCTTGAAGCAATCTTGATCCAACTGCTAACATGCTTTCTGTATTATGCTTCGCTACTAGATGCAAGGCAGTACAGCCTTCCAGTTGCTTAAGATCGGCTGTATTTTTCGCACTCTCAATAATATTTACAGGCTCACATAACTTTTGCACATTGCCGTTGTTTTCCAGTTGTTCGATTATAAATTCAGATGAGTAAGAATCTCCTTTCAAAATTGCTGAATGAAGGAGAGAAAGACCCCTTGCATCCTTCGCACTCAGATTCGCTCCATGTTCAACCAAAGTACGGGCCAAAGATGGTTGACGACTTTTCAGGGCAACTTCTAGAGCTGTTTCTCCTTTGTGATCTACAGCATTGACTGCTTTTGGAAGCTATAAAACACATGTTATCGTTAAAAATAAGAAATATTAGAGTATCCTTTTAAATTATTATAATTAATAATGGCGCACGTTTGAAAATAATTAAAATATTAAAATAAAAAAAATAATTTTTGAATATTTTTACTATATAAAATATTTCTTTTTAAATTAAGAACTTACTCAGCAGAAAAATCAAATATAACTTTAAGTATGATAGAGAAACATGAAAAATGATCTAAAGAAAAATTATATATTCAGTGATGTTAAGTTATGTTAATTATTCAAATATGTTAGTGTTGACAGAGAGAAGACATAAGTTTTGCAATATGATTTTGCATATGCAATTGCATATCTATTTTCATTATAATACATTTCATTTTTCTTATTGTCTTATATACTTTTTATTTCATTTTTATTTAAAAATATATAATATACATTTAAAAATATATCCAAATTTTTATTTCAAAATTATATATAATATAAATTTTAAAATTTACAAATTATTGTGTGCATATTGATATATCATAACAAATACAAAGTGATTCGCCATAAATAGTCATTTTTTTATTTTTGAAAGACGGATAAATATATACATATATATAAAATTAAATAACAAACTGAATAAAAATATAAAAAAAAAAAACAAATTTGAGAACCACTGTCTATATCAGCGCGTGCACGATGCCGCGATACGTGCGTTAGTGTATGTGTGTATGCGTATATAGGGGGGCTAATGATCAAGTCAGTGGAATGGCACGAATAACATCGAGTTGGTGTGAAAAAGCGTTTACGGAGGAAGTGTATGGAGATTATTTTCTGATATACATGGAAGAGGACGCAGAAGTATTAAAGAACCGCCGAGGCAGATGACGTGGCCCGGCTGTAATCAGCCGTGGAGCAGTCGCTCTCGATGTGTTTCGAGAGCGAGAAAGGCGGAGAGAGATTTTGACGACGAGGATCGCATCATCGTGCCTGTGTATCGCGAAAAATAAATCGTTATGATGCGTTACACGATGCGTGCGAACGTTGTAATACTGTGATAAAAGTGTACCATGACTGTGTCTTACTGTATTTGGTAACGGAATATGTATATATAGAGTATTGACGGAGATTTTGATACGTCAGTTTATCAAGTTCACTTATATTAATTAAGAAAATAATTAGAGCAGAAAATTATAATTTAGAAACTTGGCGATATAAATAAAACAGGACTTTCAATAGTGAAAGCTGACAGTTTTTAATAAATGTCAAAGAGGTATCTAAGAAATATTTATATTCATCTTGATATTAAAAAAAAGTCTTACATAAGATATAAATTTAATTATTTTTTATGAAATTTCTTTGATAATAAAATTGCTTTGTAATGAATATAGATAATTATAATATAAGAATAGAGAAAATTTGGAAAACAGTTTTTAAAAATTTAATTAAAGACAGAATTAAACTTCCTAAATTTGTATAACAAGAATAGAGATAAAATATTTCAATTTCAGTACAATTCTAGTCAAATATTAATTTTGAACATTGTTTCAGATATTACTGCCGAAATAAATTAATCGTACAAATATCTCATTGTTGATTTAATTAAATAATTATTTCTCGATGAGCTAACTATTATTGCAAATAAAATGTACAATTTGAAGTCAAATCTACAGATTATGATATTATATATCAGTATTTTGTCATGTATGCATTTCTTTTATACTTTGATTATTGTAATCAGAGAAATCAATAAAACTTAAAGATTAATATAATATAAAATTTATAGACATTTTACAAGCACAAGCAGAAGGCATTTCATGTTTCAAATGTCTCACAGCGTTGACAAGACCAGAAGACACACATTTGCTTTGTTCCCATTTTGATGGGAGTGCCAAATTTCAGACATTCTGTCCAACTTCGACACTTTGTATGAAGAGAACTATTCAATATAAATCTAAAAGTAGGTTGGCAAATGTTGACAGAGTAACCATTAAATGATAATGACCTAACCATTTGTTTGAAAATTTTCTTTTAGCATCTGTAGTTACTACTGTTCAGAGAGACTGCGCCCCACAGAAATATACCTCTCGTGTTTATAATGAAGCCGATCAACAGTGGTATAAAAAGGAAGAGATTGTAGCAACTGCTTATGACGAAGGTTGTTTTATAGGTGAACACAGGGGAGCACCGACCGATCCACCTGAATATTGTTTTTGTAGTTTTCACTTGTGCAATTCATCTCCTTTACAATTTGGGATATTTAACAAAATATATGGAATAATCCTAGCACTGCTGATTGTAAGATTAATATAGAATTTTTCAATTGATGGCACACAATGTGTTACTTAAAAGAAAGTGTTTCATATATAAGATATATAATTCTCTCTGATAATGATGGGAGTACAAATGGAGCCTTTACAACAAATTGCAAGTATTGTATTATATAATACACAAATATTGATGTCTATCCAATAATAATATAAATGGCTATAAATAACTAATTTATTTTTAAAAATTGTTAAGTTATTTAATTTTAATTTTTACAATTAGAGAGAATCTATATATCTATTTAGAAATTAGAATTGAATAAAATAATTGGATATTACACACAAAGATAAAATATCTTTTACTAGTCAATTGTGAATCATCTTGTTACAGATTAGTTCTAAATTATATTTATAATTTATATCAAAAATATCTATTAAAAATGATCCAGAATGTTTCTACTTGTAAGTTATATTATATTAGGGACCAGCAGTCTTAATCTATATGTAATTGATCAGAAATAAAACTGTCACTGCTGATTACTAAATAAGTTTTAACATATCAATATTTCTAAAGGCTTGGAATTTTCAAGCAATTTGACTTGTTGTCATTGTTTAAACTGCCTTTTCGAATAATCTACTTTGAACTATTCAAATATGTTAATCATACAATTTGTTCTACTCTCTGAGTCTCAACAATTATATTTGTAAACAAATAATTTTTAACATTAATAAAAGTAACCCAAAGTAACTAAGATAATATTTTTACTAGCAAAAAATATTGTAAATGTTAATGTTTTCAAGTATTATAAAAAAATAAATTAAAAGTATTGAAAAAAATAAGTTACTTATCTTTTAAATTAATTTAGATTTTATGTTTATAATTAAATCATTTTAGTTTATGCAATTACTTAACATTCAAACTTAAGCTGTGAATATGTGTGTAAATTAATTAATATATTAAAATATTAAAAATATATCTTATAATAACAAACACAGAACACATAATAAATCTCCATACATTAATAGCACAATATTTTCATATTATGTTTATATATTGAAATAAAATATATAAATAAATATATGAAATATAAATTGTCATGTATCAAATTAGGTTTAATTTCAATTATTTCAATAAAATTTACTTCAATACATATTACATTACGTTGTCTTTTTATCAAAAAGGAAGAGAACTTACCTCGGCGTTATTTTCCACTAAGTATAGAAACACGACGTCTTCGCGCATCAAGCGTACGGCTGCATGTAAAGGATATTTGCTCTTAGTTTGCAACAACTTATATAACAGAGAACCTGGCATCTCTTTGAAATCTTCGCCCGTTAAATCTTCCTGTAAGTTATATTAATATTTTAGATATAACACATACAGACAATAATGTTGTTATTGTCAAGTGAGATTATTGTAATTTTACCCAATGTGCTGAAATTAAAGAACTGCAATGCTCCTTTAACTTTAAGGTACCCAATTCCTCAGCTGCTGAATATAATCCCACACAATCCTTCAATCCCACTGTCCCAATTAGATATCTTTCGCATTGATCTACCATTTCTGACAAATGAAAGCCAGCTGCTGCTTTCATCAAGTCCAATGTTAGATCTTCTTGAGACACCTTGCCAGTATAAATCCATTTTAACAACACTAATGCAACACTGCTATTTAAATTGCTCCAATCTAAAAATAATTATGCAATAAATATGTAATAAATATAATCACAATCTAAAAATAATTATGCAATAAATATGTAATAAATATAATCACAGATATAAATAAATAGACATAAATATATTACCTAAAACAGTCTTTTCAACAAGGGCTGCATCATTGAAGAAATCAGTTCTGGCAGACAATACAAATTTATGTGCTGGTATTTCTTGATCAATCAGTTTTATATTTATATCACTAAAAATAAATAAATAAATTTCAGGATAATATTCATTATAAATATTATACAATTTTATATTACATTTTTGTATAAAAAAACATACCAAATTGTATATAAGATACCTGTAACGATGTTGACAATATAAAGATGCTATAGTTGCCAGAAGCCTACTGACAAATCCACCTTCTTGCTTCTCAGCTGTAATGATAGCATACTCCTTTTGCAATTCTATGTTTGCATTGTACAAATTGACATATTGCTCTCGCAACAGGGATAGATGTTGCTGCCACTTTTGCGCTTCTGTAGAATCTTCTGAAAACAAATATACATATAATTATTCTTCATGAAACTGTTCAATGTTATCAAAAACTTACCCATAATTAATAAGAATTATTACGTCGAGAGCGTTTGACAGATTGAAGAAAAATATTATTGCATGATGCAGTACATGTTCATCTATACATGGATCTGTCAAAGTAGAAAAAAAATAGAAGCTACTGCGAATGACACGTATCAGAATCAGTAAGCGGGCGAATCCGGAGAGGATTTATTATTATTTCAAAGGAAGATCGCACGAGCCGGTACTCGGGAGAAAACACAAAATATCACGCACATATATCACATATATACGCCCACGCTATCAAGGAACCATTACGGCATCTGTCATATCCACACGCACATAAACACGCGCGCGCACGCAGCGTTTGATAAAAAGTGCCCACAAATATCTCCTCTTCGAGGAATCAAGTCCGAGTTTTTAAATCACCCCTATATTCTACGAATAGATAACGAATAGATAATATATAGCTTATAGCCCTGCCCCTCCGATTTTACCGCTCGATTCCGCAAAGTTGCGGAAAAGAGACGACGAATGGAATGCATTTAGAAGAAAAAAGACAAAGAGAAACATATATATGTGTATGTATGTATGTACGTGTGTAAATAAGGACGAGGAGGGGAGACCGGCGAGATCGCGTGTACTAATTGGTTAATGAGCTTTAAATTCGAAGTCACAAATATCAGATGAATCGTGAATCGGATAATCAGTGAATGAACACGTGTTCTACAAATAGAAATTGTGTTCAATCGTGCAATTGGCTGTTCTAAGCCCTGAAAACTATTTGCATCGAATTAAAGGTCATTCCACGATAGATCGCAAACGCTCCGGTTGACAGTTCGCGGATTGACCAATCGGAGCGAAGCAACTGTCAGCTGATTGGTTAATCCGCGCAGCTCCAAATTGTTCGCTCAGATTTTGTCCACGTCACCCATTGGCCCGATCAGCACGGGAGTTTGCGATTGATCAGTCTAGTGGAAAAACCCTAAACACCGATTAGTGTGAATAGTGTATTTTTGCGTGATGTTTCTGCCTGGACCAAAAAAGAACGAATTGTCACAGCTGAGCGAATTGAAGAATATTTTCTAATAAACATGTATATGGAAAATAATTTATATTTCGTGATACGTTTGAAAAGTGGAACAGGTAAAACTGTCGAAAATATCTCTGACTTGTCAATTTATATACATACTTATATATATAAATGTATATGTTAAATTTGACAGATTTTTTAAAAGCTGTTGAACAAATGTGCTGAACACATAAGCGTAGATGTGTCTTTCGAATTTATATCTAAGTAATAAAAGAAGTTAGAGTATATTCAGCCTTCGGTAGTGTTTGATTAGTAATGATGATTTGGCATTAATATGTGTGTACTGATAATTAAGTACGATAAAAAGGAACTGTTGTCACAATGTTTTGCCAAAATTTTGTACGTTGAGATTGTGTAAGAAAAGCAGAGAAATGGGAGGAATAAGTTGGAGCGAATTATTTCCGGGAAGATGGAGTTCTGTTATATTTATTTCCTATATAGCTCTATTTATAAATCAAGGTACGTTGATTTTACATGATTATATTTTGTCATTATCAATAATAAATGGACAAAAAAATGTTACACATTAAACAAAAATATTAATTATATGTTAGTCATGAAAAAATAATGTCAGAATTCATGACAATATTTTTTTTTTTGCTGTAGGTATTCTTGTGACATGGTCTCAAAGAAGTGGTCGCTATGAGTATAATACTGTGGCAGTTGTGCTGATGACAGAAGTTTTAAAATTGATAATATCTACAGTACTTTATTGCAAAGAGTAAGTAAACAATTTGGAATTTTAATTTGTGCAATTGGTTATCTTAATTTTAGTAATATATTTTTTCATTTACAGCAATAGTATTTTAACTCTTCTTCAGGAGACAAAAAAGAATAAAAAGGGTGAGACCAAAATAACAGATAAAGAATTCTAGAAATTTGTATTATAAACATTTGATGCAATTGAAATTCATAAAAGGCTAAAGAAAATTTCTGTCTATTTTTTAGTGCTTCTACTGTATATGATACCTGCATTTTTATACTGTCTCTACAACAATCTAGCATTTGTCAATTTGGCTAGATTTGATCCTACAACTTACTATATCTTGCTGCAACTTCGTGTTGTGCTTACCGGAATCATATTTCAAGTATACTTAATATTGGCACACTTTTTAACATAATAACAAAATAGCAATAAATGTTGAATGAGTCTTATATGTGAGAATTCTAATTTTTTTCAGGTTATTTTTCGCAAAAAGTTGTCTGCGATACAGTGGTTTTCATTAGTGATCTTGACAGTTGGTTGCATGGTAAAGCACTTTGATATCCATGTCTTTGATGCAGAATTCCATGTAGATATTTCTCTATTTTTAATTCTTGTACAGGTATATTGAATTTTATTACATAATGATATTTATATGACTGTATGGTTATTTTCTAAAAAATTTCTATTTGCAGACAACATGCTCTTGTTTAGCTGGCGTTTATAATGAGTACTTGCTTAAACAGCAAGGTGCTGACATTGACATTTTTGTACAAAATGTATTTATGTATATAGACAGTATTTTCTGCAATATTATAGCAATTATTTTATTAACTACATTCAAGAACAATGTCAGTGATACATTCAGTAATATTGAAATAAGTACAGCTTTGCAACCGAAAATAATATTAATTATGTTAAATAATGCAATTGTTGGAATAATAACAAGTTTCTTTTTGAAAACTTTAAATTCTATATTAAAGACTTTTGCTAGTGCAATGGAACTGATTTTTACGGCAGTGTTATGCTGGATTTTATTTAATATAGTTATTAATACAAACACTGTCATTTCTATAGCTATGGTAAGTTTTGCTATTATTTTATATTCAAGAAATCCTGTACAAAATACTCAATCTAAGGAAACGATAGAAAGCAGAAAACAATTTTAGTATAGGCACACACAATTAATAACAATATTAAATTGTTTAAATAATAAATGTGTGTCTACAATCAAAATTATGAAACGAAGTGATAGTGTATTAACCAATAATATTGTTACAAGTTTTTTTCTTGTGATAACACGCAAGCTTTACATAATTCTTAATAATTATGTTGTATATTGTGTAAAATTTGATATGTTAAGTTTATAATATTGAAAAATCAAGATGTTATAATTTTTTTTAACAAATTGAATCTAACATTCAGATTATGATAAGATCCGAGTAGAAATATTTAATTCCTTTGGTATTTAAAATTAGTAGAAATTGTCAAATTACAAAATTCAAATAACTTTATATTTTTTACGTTTATCTCTTTAAATATATTCAAAAATATATGAGTAAATTAAGATATACAAAAAATATATATTTATAATATATATTTATACAAACTTGTAAATACATCTTACATACTATAATTTACAATTCAATAAAGGAATATAAGTAATGTGTAAAATAAAGGATTACTTTAAAATCTTTTTTATTTTATGTATGTATGTATATGTATATATATGTGTGTGTGTGTGCAGATATTATTTTTATATATATATATATACACATAGCCTTTTCATTTATATATTTATACATACACACCTTTTCAATTTATTTATATACACACAAACCTATAAACAATAAATATCTAGAAATTGTCAAGCTTTATATACACAATTTAAATGTTCAGTTTCTTAAAAATCAATTTTTGAATACTAATATAATTCATATGTAATTTATTTATATTCATAAATTTCCAAATAGTCTGGAAGCTCATACATGGAAAAGTTCTATCACATATACACACAATGTGTACTACTACATATCAAGAAAGATGGAACAAAATTATGTACATATTATATATAGTTACTAGCAAATTTGTGGTAAAACTACCAACAACATATATGTGTATATATACATATACGTATTCTTTAATCCTTTAAAAAATTTTCTAATTTGTAGATATTCAAATTGCTTTTTATATTTTAATAGGTTTTTAATTAGTTTATATAAATGTTATGAATAAATGTAAAAGTCATTTTTATTATTATTAGATTATATTTAAATATAGCAACTGCAAAAAAACTTATTTATATTTATTAATAAAACATATATGTAAGGAAACATTATTTCACTATGACTGATATCAGAAATTATAATCAGAATTAATATAATTATAAATTATTACAAGTTTTATATATATATATATAAATTACATTTTAAGTGCAAAATTAATGTGTTTCTAAAATAAGTCGCCAGAATGTGAGATTTTATTTACTTAAAATTTGAGGAACACTACGCATATTTTTGCGACTAATGACTTAAAAAATTAAGTACCAATATTCACAATGAAATATATATATATATATATATACACATATATAAGATTTAATCTTTTCTCAAAGCATTCTTTTTTGCTATAGTTTTTTTAATCTTTGAAAAATGCTAGCAATTAAACAAGTGTGAAAGATATTATTTGGTTACAAATATCGCACTTATTATAATAATTTGCATAATTACTTAAATAAATTTGTACAAATAGATTTGCCTTACAAAAACACAATATGGCAATCTACAAAATGCAAATTTTATGTAAAGTACATACTAAATATATTAAAATCGAATTAGGACCAGAATTGCCAATTAGATTAATATTTTAAATTTATTTTTAATATTTATTTACATTATGTGTATCACAACAAAAGAACACTTAACAATGTGCATTAGTTAGGCACATATATGTTAAAAAACAATATTAATTGCTAGTTCTTTCCTCTCTCTCTCTCTCTCTCTCTCTCTTATATATATACATATATCTCTACAAGATTTCAGTCTAATGAAATATGAAGCTTTAACTGTCATTAAGCACTGTAAATTTTATGAAAACAAAAAATTTAAGGCCTTTAATACTTCTAATAAAAATCTGAAATGTATTCTCTCTTATATGATTAATATAACAATTATATATATAAATGTGATTACAAAGTTATGAACGCATTAGTTTTTAGGTCAGTCATTTCACCCTGATATTGAGAAAAATTATAAAAATCTACATGATTGTACATTTGAAATGTACACACAAAATTATGTTAATTAAATAATTAAATATAAGAAATTATATAGAATTCAATTTATCTGTTCACAATATTATAAAAATCATGATTTCTCTATGTAAAACAACCAACTAATCAATATATTTTAACACATTAACAATCAGATATATTAATAATCGATACTTTTATATTAATTTTGATAGCTACAATATATACATAAACAAAAATCTAAATAACTGTACAAATAGTTAAAGTACCTTTGCATATTGTCAAAACTGAATTTGTTAGGAAAATTTTTCATCAAAAATTGGTTTTTATACGATTTCTGTACAGTAACTCGAAATTTTTTTATAAAATATGTATCTATGATATTTAGTCTGATGTTTTTAATTGTTTCATGATTTGTTGCGTAATTAATTTAGTTGCTTCGCTTGCATTGGGTATAAGAAATTTATCCATATCGGAAATAATTGTATCGTTATATTGTGTTGTACCATATTTGAAAGTTATCAGATCGGCATGTCGCTTTCTCGACGTTATTTTAACGATACTCGTTAGGGGACGTTTCACGATTACATGTGCAGCACCTTTTCGCTCCGGGATTTCTCGTAGTACTATAAGATGACTATCAGTAACCAGTAGTTGACTGAAATAGAGGAAATACGTTTGTAAATGTGATTGATTTTATGTCATTTTATGATAAAAAAATTTTGTTATGTTATACATTTACCTATCACAGAGATCACCATTGACTTTCACTTCTTGACATTTAAAGGAATGTAATAATTTAGGATCTTTCATCCATTGCTGTATAGATACTACTTCAATAGGCTCTTCACTTTCATTATTAGTCATAGTCATATCTACAAGAGATTTGTCATATAATTTATAGTCTTTTTCTTATTTTAAACAGTTTATATGAAAACCATTTAAAAATAATTCGAAAAATGCCCACCTATCTCTTGATCATCGTCTATACTAAACACGGGCGCGGTTTTCCTTTGACGTTTAATGTAGTCTAAATCTTTGCCATCTCTCTTTTCTGTATTGCTATTAACATTCGCCGTAGGATTAACAATATAATCAAACAGCTTCCCTTTTACTTCTTGGCTTTTTAATTTCATAGCTAATCCAATTTTCCCTAGGAGATCGGAATTGTTATTTTTCACTTTCACCGGACTCGCTTCGTTTGAATTTTCTTCCGACATGTTAGTATTACACACCAAACAATGCTGCGAATTGTGATCGACGAGACTCGATACTACTTCATCACCAAAATATTCATGAATAGCTGAAAACAAATTATGACATAAATATATGATTTATTATTAATTCTTTAAAATAAAAAATTAAATAAAAACAATTTACCTTGATAGCCAGAAGTGACCATGCTCACATATTGTGTATGCTTTTGTAAAAAGGATGCTACTACCATATGCGTATAACGATCTTCCTCTTGTCTACCACTTCCTAGAAAACAAAGATGTTCTCCACCAGCTTGCGAACCAACAGCTAGCGCTTGACGTTGAGCTTGCAATAAACCTTGCACTGCTGTGGCAAATGCAGCAGGTTCTTGAAGCATCTAAAAACATACAAATATATTTAATCTTTATTTTCAAATCCTAAACATCTTTTTTTTGTTTATTTAAATTTTAAATATATATGAGAAAATTAAAATACATACAAATATATACATCATTCTAGTAAGTTTAAAAATTTTTTTTAATTGGTTTGATAAATTTAAAGTCATAAAAATATTTGTGTAATTAATATTTACCAAGTTACAATCAAGGTGAAATGCTGTTGGTAAATGACCTGCATTATATTGTTCTGCAGGTCTACAATCTACAAGAAAGAATCTAACAGCCTCAACAGTATTATTAGATATGGATGGAGCCTCAATAGCATTTTCTACTAATTCTTGCGCCGATACTGGTAAGCATAATGCGTGAGATATTGATTTCTCGTCAGAATTTTCTCCGAACATTATAGGATACAAATCCTGTTTAAAAGACGTTGGCGTTTTCATCGCATAGTACTGTGCCAATGAACAGAAATCGGTTACATCCTCTGCTTCTAGAGCACATGGCATTATAGCTATGGCATCTATTATATTTTGCTTATCCTCGTCCTTCATACTTAAAATTTGCTCTCTACAAGATGAAAATTAAGTTATATAATCAGTATCAACAAATATGATAAAATGCCATCTTATTTAAAATTTACCTGGCATTTATAATCATAATAAGTGAGAGGAACAGCATGAAAAATGGGTCAGCTTGCATAAAATATAGATCCCACATAGTACAGATTGCTGGCAATGAACAGACACCAGCAAATAATGTATTCATCCATACTTTTGTATATTGATCAGGTGATATCCTTTTTGTATCCAAAAACGAACACAATTCTGGTTCATGATAGAGTAATAGTAATCTTAAAACTGAACTATATGCTTCACCTCTAAAAAAAGATATACTGTGTGACAAAAATTATAAATTATTTTTACATTAATATAGTTCTCGCAAATAAGAATACTTGCATTATATATATACCTTGGAATATAGACATCTCTTATTGCCTCAAAAAGATTATAAGTTGCAGCACGTGGTAATTTTAAAGCTATTAAAGGGGCCAATAATTCTAACCATCCATTTCCCCTTTCATATTGTTTGCATTTACTTTTACAATAAAATGTTAGTATAGATTCAAGATCAGAAACCACAGAAACTTTATCCTCATCCTCATTGCCAAGTTTTGCTGTAATATTTGAAAATAAAATATTAGTAAAAATATAAATAAAACTATCTATTAAGAAATCTACATAATCCTTTCCCATATACTGACCTACTAATTGTTGACAATCATCACGAATTACATTTTGTTCAGGTAAATCATAAACTTCATTAAACTGGCTCAACTGATCACGTCGATCAGTAACATATAAACAAGCCTGCCAAACATCTGGCCTTAAATTTGTAGGAATTGGTTGGCCTTTACAAATTGCATAAATATCAGATGCAGATGGTGCTTCTGTATCTAGAAGCGCTGCTTCCAATTCTAGTATCCTGAAATAATAAAAAATTAACACAAAGATAAAACTAAATAATAAACATTATTTGTAAGAAAGTATATAAAAATTAAAATGCATACAAAATATTTGAGTACAACATGTAGGAATGTTGTACAATCTGCATGAACATAACACATTAATTAGCACAATTAGCAAACTGTGAAAAGACGTCATGTCACACTTCTCCGCTACATTTTAGTGCACTCCGTATATAAAAAATTGTATATGTATCTTATTTGTATATGTAACTTTCAAACTTTCAAACTTTTTATATACAAATATGTTATTAAAAACTACACAACACATATATATATATATATATATATATACATATCACAAAGATATCACAGATCTTGATTTGCATATGAATGATTCATTAATTTTACATTGTATGTTAATAAAACATATGTACGGCAAAAAAATGTCATTCCTCGACGAAATAAAAAAAAAAAACTGTTTTTATCAGCTTACCAGGTGTTTCGTCCTCCTGTAGTGCCATCGTAGTAAATGTCGCAGCGAATAGAATTCAGATATGTACGAGAACACGCAAAAATTCGATGTCCGTGAAAATTTTCTACGACGAAAAGAACACTTTTGGTCGTTTAGCATGCTTTGAGGCGAAAGCTTTCATATTTTGCGAATTTCTTCGGTCGCAGTGGGTTTAGCAGTTTTGGCATATTTGATAAAACGTAGCTGCTGTTGACAGATCGTCGCCATCTTTCCGGTTAGAGATGCTTATCGCCAGTCGATTTCTCGATTATCGATAATAATAGAAAACTTCCGTTTCTAAATTCCAAAATATTGCTAGTTTAATCACTAGAAAACTAGCTCTTCTATTGGATAAATACCGGACGTATTGTAAATCCTCCATTAGAATTCGTAGAAATGGAAGTGCTAGTAATTTTCCTAGGAGGATGGGGGGATTTCTTGCATCTCGCCACGTGTGTAATATGAGCTTATCACACAAAAATTTCTTATATTTTGTTTCTCAATTTTTACGAACTACATCTCGTGAAATTCATAGAAATCTATCTCGTTGTATTAATATATCATTATTTATTTTTTTCAGTATCTGTAACTGCGATTGCAAATAATTCTTTTTAATCAAATAAATCGTTTTATATCACACATCAATTAGTATTTGTATTTTTCATATAGAATTATATATACATCTATATATTTTACTACTAGCCTAAAATAAAATATTAATTAAACATTTTTAAATATAATATATACATATATAAAAATTTATAAAAATATATATAATATATATATAAATCTATATATAAAACATATAAGCTTATATACATATATGTATATATGAACAATATTTTCCCGGGTGTTTCTTCGTGATATTTGCCGAGAGGGCGCGACGAGTGTTTCTATTCTATCTCTCGCGAGCCGTCATGAAATAGCACTGCGTATCCGATAAGATTCACTTCGTCGGTGTTGATTCGTCGAAGACGGTCGAGAAGATCGTGTGCAACGCGACTTCTGGAATAAAGAGTACGCGTTTATCCGCATGATCGTCGCTCGGACCAGGAGGGTTCTCCCTTTGCGCTCTCGCCAATTACGACGGTAGGAGGACTCGTCTTCGTCGCGGTGGTGCGCACCGGGTACGTACGCAAGTGTTTCGCGTCATCGTGATCCTGTCCGGGCACGAACAATAATTTCCGATCGACGGAATTATGACCGCCGCGAGCGGCGTGGCCGGCAGCAGCCCGCTGCCGAAATGGCAGCTCGCCCTGGTGGTCGGGGCGCCGGTCGCCCTCGGCCTCGGCTACATGTACTACAAGAACAAGAACAGCAGCAGCGGCGACAGGACCAGCAAGTCAGGACGTGACGACTTCAGGAGGGACGCGAGAGCGTCCTGGGAGAACGGGGCGACCGCCGACAAGCAGATCTCCATCGACAGCGACTATCCACCGAAAGTGCCTTCCTCGGCCGAGCCCAAGGTTGATCATCCATTTTTCAGTTGCTAAAAAATCCATTTATATCCATTTAATCCATTTAAATTCATAACAATTTATTTAATCCATTTAATTGATTAATTGAGGAGGAAAAAGTGAGAAAGTGTCTTCTACATTTTATTTGTTGGTTTTATTTTGATTGTTGCACAGCGATAACAATACATTTGATATAAGTTTTGATATATTATACCCTGCTAATGATGATGAGTCAGAATTCCATTGAGTTTATGCTGTTGTTATCACAAGTGATAATTTTCAGTAAATAGAAATATCAAATGTGCAAAAGATATAATTTAGTAATTGATAAATGAGAATTTTGCACATCTTATATTTCTATTTACTGAAAATTATCACTTGTGATGACAACAGCATAAACTCAATGGAATTCTGACTCATCATTATTGGCAGAGTATAATATATCAAAACTTATATCAAATGTATTGTTATCGCTGTGCAACAATTAAATTTTATAGTTTATTATAAATCAAAGATATATGTATATATATAAACCATAAAAGATAGAATGATAGAGATAGATAGGTAATATAAGAATATAAGTAATTCATGCAAACTTTTATTCTAGACTCCTTTACAAAAGGCGCAAAAATACAAGAATGAAGGAAATGCACAATTCAAAATGGGAAAATATGATGAAGCCATAGTACTATATAATAAAGCGATTGATGCTTGTCCAAAGGAGAATACAGAGGACCTAGCAACTTTTTATCAAAATAGGGCAGCTGCGTATGAACACTTGGTAAAATTAGTCACAAAAATATATATGGATATAGTATACAAAAGTGTATTTGTTAATTGTCTGAATTAATTATATGTATTATTTAGTTCTTGTACGTTATAATAGTAAACTTGCAGAAAAAATTTAGTGCTGTAAAGGCAGATTCTACAAAAGCATTGGAATTAAATCCAAAATATGCAAAAGCTTTATTGCGTCGGGCACGTGCTTTGGAACAGTTAGAAGATTTGGAAGCTGCCTTGGAAGATGCCACTGCTGCATGTATTTATGAAAGCTTTTGTAATCAGACTTCTCTTGCAATGGCCGATAAAATCTTGGCAAAGCTTGGTCAGTTACATACATGTAAAACATTTTAATATTAAATAGAATCTTGAACAAAAGAAAACTAAAAAATAAAAAGATAGAATATAAAGTAAAAATTATTTTCAGGAAAGCAACATGTTCAGGAAAATTTAGCAAACAAAAAATTTATAATGCCAAGCAAACATTTCCTTAAGACTTATATTATATCTTTTCCTAATGATCCAGTATTTACTAGACTTGAACATCCAGAAGATATTCCAAAGTAAGAATTAGCAGAAGAGTTTCTATGTAATTATGATGTTTAATTAAATTAAATTAATAATATTGTTATTTTATCACACAGATTTTTCAAGAAACCATTAGAGGCGTTGAAGAACGAAGAGTACGATAATATAATACCATTGTGTACAGAAATCATTGAGAGCTTGGAATTTAATACATTACCTTCATCTAAAATGGAAGTACTACTTTTGCGTTCTACATTTCATCTTCTCTTGGGTCAGCATGATGCTTCGATGAAAGATTTCAATAATGTATTGAATAGCGAAGAATCGTCCAAAGATGTAAAAGTAAACGCCCTAATAAAAAGAGCGACGTTATATATGCAACTCGACATGCCACAAATGGCTTTCAACGATTTTGAATTAGCTATTAATACGAATCCAAGTTATGGTGATATTTATCATCATAGAGGACAGGTATTATACATTTTTTCTAGTGCATATTTTTATGTGAGTAGACTAAGATTATATACCATAAAGTAATTTAATAACAATGATATATTTTCTATCAATTTAGGTGTATTTACTTCTGAATAGAATATATGAGGCAAAGAGCGATTATGATAAGGCAATTCAATATAATCCAGACTTTGGTGTTGCATATGTGCAAAAATGTTATACAGATTATCGTTATGCAATTTGCAACAGAGATATGGAATCAGTTGAAGAGGCAATGAAAGATTTTGAGAAAGCTTTCATAAAATTCCCGAATCGTTCTGATTGTTATATGTTGTATGCTCAGGTATGTAGATGCAATTTCTTAATATTAAATGAAATAGTAAATTTACAAAAAAGAGTAAATTATTATTAAAATTTTTACTATTACTATATGTATTCTGATTGCATTGATTAAATTTTTAATGATTATAGATGATGGCTGAAACTGAGCAATACGACAAAGCAGATATGTATTTTACTAAAGCAATAGAAAAAGATCCAAAAAATGCAATTGTCTATGTACATAAAGGCTTATTGCAGATACAATGGAATGGTAATATTGATAAAGCTGTGGAATTCTTTCGTAAAGCGATAGAAATAGATGACAAATGTGAGCAAGCATATGAATCTTTAGGAAGTTTTGAAGTGCAAAGGTATATTTCTTTAATGTATTATTTCTCTGATTAAAACTTGTTTCATGAATATATTTTTATTATCAATTATATATATTTTTTCTTATAGAGGAAACATAGAGGAAGCAATAAGGTTATTTGAAAAAGCTTTGGAACTGTCTCGTACAACTATTGAACTCACACATTTATATGGTCTGAGAGATGCTGCAAAAACGCAACTTAGTTTACGGAATAGATTGGGTATGGACATCAGGAATTCGTCCCCCCGATTCCCGCGTCTTGTGTGTTAAATTATCGAAAAATTAAAACAATAAAAGAGTATGCACTGTTACCAAATCCAAAGGATCAAATTTTGTATTACGCGTATCCATCTTCATCACACAGGGTATCAGAAGAACTGATCAGGAATATATAAAAGTAGTTTATTCTATATTATTTTATATTAAAAGACTGTGTGGACCTTATATAACAGCATTTTATTTCTAACTGCATTTAACCTTTTCAGAAATGATTTCTTGAAGTTGGAAAAAAAATTTTTTTTTAATTATATATTTATTCAAAATTTATTTATAAATTATTAAATACAGAAAATTGAAAAATATTTGAAAATATTTAAAAAAAAATAATGTATGCATATGTAATCATTATGTAATAAGTTGATTACTCATGAAAAAATTTCATAAAACTTTAAACCACGGTGCTTTAAACGTACACGTGTGTCAATATCACTGAAGAGGTTAATTTTTTATTTACATAAAAAAAGTTAGTGATATAAAAAATGCGTTTGCATAAATCATCAAAGCTTTAAGGTGTTGATTATAAACTTTTTTGTTTTTGTTTTATAAGTATATTTGTTGTGTTAGTATATGCAAACATTAAAATTTTATATGATACTATATTTAAATTACGATTTTCAGATTTTGAAAGTGTAAAGCACATATTTATTAATCCACTTGCTCAAAGCACTTTAAACTGAAATAATAGAGACAGTAGCCTATTATTAACAACAAGAATTTTTTGTATTATTTCTGGTATATGGAGTCTGGCAATAATGTTTTTAATTGAACTATATACAATGTTTATATAATAAGAAATTTATATAGAAAGCTGTATTTACTTCTTATTTTTTATCCTATAAGAAAAAAAAAAATACATTACTAAATATTTTTAACATATTTTAGTACAGAAAATGACATCATATAACTTGAAGAAAGACCTACGAAATTCTGTAATAAAAAGATAAAAGAATTATGATCACATACACACATATATGTAAAATAACTTTAATAAATTTGTAATTTACAATATAATTTTTTGAGAAATCTTTATTTGCAATAACTCTCTATTAAAGAGTAATATAATCTTATATAAACTGCTAATTGTATAAATCACTCAAATATGTACATCATATTTTTTATACATAAGAAAATATGTAATTTTACGTTTATTTAAACGTCATAAAATATGGAAGCTAGAGGATATCTAATAATAAATGCCAATATACTGCTAATAATCTGAAAAACAAATAAGTTTGTTATTTTCAAAATGACTTATAAATGTACTTATATATATTCACTAAAAAATATATATTGTTACCTGAATTATTAATAGGATTGTTGTTAGTGTTGACTCTTTTAATGGACCAGTGTTGATCAATATAAAATTAATTAAAGTTAGATTATTGCAAGTTACAAAACCTTTTCTGTTTTCTTGCCACTTTATCAATTTAAATGTTTTTAGTATCCACATTGATAATCTTCCTAGAGTAAAAAGAAAACTGGAATTTAATTAATTGTTATATAATAGTAACATATAAAATATCATAAACACACACAATTTCTTTACTAATATATGAGTGTGTCATATTATAAATTATTATTGTACCAATTGTGTTAAGTTCTGATTTGTAAAATACAGTTATACTAGGCTCCAATTTATCAGTTTCTTTATTATACCTATAAGTAAAAAAGATATGTTTATATTATGTTGTCATCATAAACTCTTTAATAGAATTATTTATAAATAATTCAGCTATCTCTAAAACTTACTTTGGTAATCTGTGTCTAGGACATGGTACATAATGAAAAAGTTGTAACATGCTGTACAGAAAATTAATTATTTGTGGGATGAAAAACAATAAAGTCGTTTTGCTGAAATGACCTACGATACCAACTACAGCAAAAGTCATTCCCGAAAGATAACAAAACGTATCACCCACAAAAACCTGCGATGGATACCTTAAACACACAAAGTTATTTCTATATATATATATATATTATTTCTATATATATATATATATATATATAATTATTAATTCTATTATTACATATATTAATTTTAAAATAATGATATATATGTATATATATATATATATATATATGTATTACTATTTAAATGCATCCTAATCTGCATCAAAATTGCAATCAAAATATTAATTTTAGTTTTTGCTATTTATAGAAATCTGCTAAATATTCTAAATATGAATATGAAAATTCCTGAATATATGAAATTATACATCATCTGCTGAAGAAGTCAATTCGAGATACGCCATTGCACGACTATAAGAAAGGATGAGAAGAACCACCATGATGACTATACAAGCACGTGAGTGCATTTGAAAAGCATATCCAGCTAACCAAGAAGAGGGAAGCTGTGTAACGTCGAGATTCAGCTAGTTTCGTTTCCTCAACTACATTCTCATCGAAATAATCCGAGCTCTGAGTCATAAACGATTCAGTTGTGCCCGATAACGGGGATGATGTATATACATGCAGACGCAGGCAGTCAACGAGATGCCTCTCTAAGACGCGTGCGCCTCGCGAATAGTCACGATCGCGTTCACGACGAGAGTGTGTGCATGTTGGTCGACGACAGCCGGCTGGCTGGTCTGGTTCGGCACTCGGGCGTGGTTTTTCAGGCGCGGTGTGTCTGTGTGAGCTGCTACCCGGCCTAGGAGAGACGAGGCACCCCCCGAACATCTTCGAGCCCTGATCAACCGGGGGACCGACCAGCCAGCTCAGCGACTGTCGACTAGAGGGACTGGAAGGATCGCGGCGTTCACGCCGGTTGCCGATCGTGTATAGTCTCGAGTCGTGGGATCCATTAAGTTCTAGTCTCGTAGACGACTACTGGCGTAGGACGATCGCGAGGTCACCGCGAGTTAAATGATACATCGCGACGAGGCCCTGGACCATCGAAAATCCGTCGACAGATCGCATTGTGAGGAACGCTTTATTACGTAATATTTATTATCGTAGCGGTGTCGATGACACATGCGTGCGGGGAGGAGCTGCCGGGACGTTTAACTCGAACCACGAACCCGATCGACGAAGCTATCTCGCGACTTTTACCGCAATGCGGTTCATTTGCGCAACGTCCCTTAAATTTCGCCGAAAAATTACAATTTGATTACATATATATACATACATATATACATATATATATATATATATATATATATATATATATATATATATGAAATATGAAACTGGTGAAATGAGGTCAATGAATTTTCTGTTAGACAGAAGTGCGCGATATATATATATATAAATTGTGTTGTGCATTTAAACTGAAAATTGATTCCAAATAAAAATGTAAATTGAGAAGACATGTTCAAACAATTATATATTATATTAATAATAGTGAAAAACTAATTTGTATTCTGCTTTCAGATGATGCTGATGGGATAAGACTAACGAAAATGTCTTTGACAGCCAGCAAGCTCTTTCTCCAGAAACATAAAATGAGATATTAGACGTTTCGTGCACAGGGATCGGTGCCATGCAGGTCCGCCTAGATGGGAAGCTGGGGTTGCTGTATACTCTATTGGTTTTGCAGGTTCTAATTGTTATGATCTATGTCGCCACAACCCCACCAGCTGAATTGACTGCGTCAACGACCCGTGCATCTGTCAGTTTTGTCAAATTTGAGGCGTCGCAGGTATAATTAATGCAGATTTAATACACAAGTGATTCAAGATATTCTATAATAGAAAAACTAAAACTTGCTTTCCTCTGTTAAAGGAACTGCAAATAAATCAAGGCAATCATAAAAAATCACCAATTTACCAGACAATCAATGGGGAGATAGTATTGAAAGATGTCAAGACTTTTAGGCTGTTTGAAATATATAATCGCACTGTATGCTGGAAATTTGGAGTAGATGAGCATAAAATGAGAAGCAATGAACATCTAGAAAGATGTATTTGCAATCAAGGATGGCACGGCTGGGACTGCGGACAGCCCGAAGTCGTATGGAGGGCGATTATGGCGTCGAAGCAGAACATTAGTCTAAAACGTCGTAAAACAGCTAGACACATTATCCATACCTTCTTTCTGAGCGATTACAATTCAGGCATCGCCGAAGTGATAGTAGAGGAACTCTACAACGTGGTGGATCTTTTTGTGATTTGTGATTTTAACAATGCAGAGGATAATTTCCGACACAAACTGTCCAAGGGACTGTTACAACGGGAGCAAAGAAAGATCTTATACATCAACGTAGCGACTAAGTCTCGCAAACCATCGAGGATAGTATCGAAATACGTCTGGGATAAAATCAAGAGTGTGGTACAGAATTTAAAGGACGATGACATCTATGTAATGACGGAACCCGAACAGATACTGAACTCCAGGGCATTAATGTTCCTTAAAGTGTACGACGGTTGGGCTCAGCCTATCGGATTTAGATTAAGATGGTCGGTATACGGCTTCTTTTGGCAGCATCCCCTCAAAACAACGATAACGCTCGGCGCATACACCGTCGGTCTGATGCGTAACGCCTATCAATCTAACTCACTTGTATTGCGACAGCAATTAGACGGAGACACCAGCGAGAGAGATATTTTAGGATTAGTCATAGGAGATTTAAATCATTACGGCGGATGGTACTGTAATCTGTGCCAAGCGCCTGCAAATATTATTATCGGTCTTCGCAACAAGGTCCGGTCTAAGGAGATTCATATCGAAAAGACTATAGATGTGCCGTTCGTTGAGGATCTAATAGGAAGCGGACTATGGTTAGATGGTAAAACCAGTCTTCTGAGAGCTTCTAAATCTAGAGATTCCTACTTTGCGCCTGAAACGATTCTCAATAACACATGGAAGTACGATTGGCTAATAGAAAATTTTTATGCTAAACTAGATTACTATTGACATACTGGTCGCACCCGACTGTGATATTAATTTATACTCGATACTCAATGTACACTAATGTAATATTATATACACTGAATTTATATACATTAAATATTACGTTGATGAAATATAAACGTTAAATGGTTTATATATACAAAACTCATATCCTTAAAAATTTAGAATCTTCTATGTTTAAAAATATTCCTTTCATATATTTAAATTTATTATTGTAATGTCAAAAAAGAAATTATTATTATTTACATTTTATGTAAAAAATATACTTTTTCTTTCAAAATATATTTTTCTTTTTATATATATATATATTATCTAAATATAACTTACCAATTAAATTTGAATAATGCAAGGGAAGTTGCTATGTAAGGCATCATAAAGTATATTGAAAATTGATGCGCCTTCCATTGACTGCCAAATAATTCTATAATGTTGAAGATGAGAATGCTTGTGGCAATGATTAAACTTTGGCCAACCTCCAAACCATTGATTCCAGCTAATATATTTATCGCATTTGTACAGAATACAGCCAACATTCCCATATACACATAGTAAAATATCCACAAATCCAATGAGAAACTAAACCATGGTCTCAATGGTTTTGGTATAATGATTACCGTGGAATTAAAGTTAACATAGTAAACCATCAATAATGGCAAAGATGCTATAGTAGGTAAAAGTAACTTGTGTCGCCAACGTAGGTCCAAGACATCATCGGCAAAACCCAAAAGTAGCATGCAACATATGGATAGTAACGCGGCCAGATATTCAACAAACTGTAATACATGGAAAGTTTGTACTTTGTATTATTTACATATTTATGTATTGTATATTCATCTTAAAATTAAATATATAATAATATCATAAACAAATATAAATATATCAAATGAAATAAGTTCTTAAAAATATTAAAAAAATGTCCATCTAAATTGAAAAAATTTGTTGACATTAGTCGAAAGAAACAGAGCATTGATTAAACTACTATTAACGTTTTCTCACCGTACCGTGTCGTATGGAAACTTTTCATTTTTTAGTATATGATTTGTAAATGGCACTGGAATAAATAGGAACATTGTTATAAGAAACACACATCCAGTGACAACGCCTATCGCCTCCGGTCTGCAAGAATAACTCGGCTATGTACACGCGATTCATTGTGGACAGCGAGTTAAAGAATACACGAATAAAATATAAAAATATTATATGCAAAATAACATTAGATTCGAATGATTTTTTGAATCTAACTTACATCTTATCACTGATTCTCTTATTCATGTCAATGCCGTAGAGGTTAGCTTTGACAAACATGGATTTTATCCTCGGAATTACGTGAACAGTCAAGTAGTATGCACTCACAGACATTATTGCATTGATACATATTGGAAATAACAATACCCACGTTTCGTCTTCGATGTTCATCTTAAAACTTGACACGTGTAACTCCAGTTTTAACCACGCACACACATTCACACAACCGAATCAACGTCACCGCACAAGCTACAGAAGCTGGTATCTATTCCGACACGACTCGTTACGTGGACAACGTAATTGCCACATAATTTACATTGATAACATTTGATCGATCAATCAATTTACGATTACTGTAAAATAGATTATTCATTTTTAGGTTCCGCGCGTAGACGCCGCCAGCCGCCATACGGACTGATTATCGAAAATCGACATATCAATATATCGACCTATCGATATCGATTGGCGACCTATCGATGAGTAAAATTTCTGAACGTACCTTATTTGATCAGCACTTGTAGCAGTAGAAGTAATCAAATTATTGAAAAAAATATTTAAAAAATGATTGTATTATATATTATTTAATAAAGCAATATATATATATATATTTATTTATTTGATAAAAATATAAAAGTTTTTCTTTATTTATAGCGTAAACAGAGTTTACTTTGTATATGTTTCATTGTAATTATATATTTATAGTATTTAATATATAAATATATGTATAATAATCACAGTGTAATACACGCACATATAATATGTTAAATAATATATATACATATATATATTTTTTTATCATGTTCACACATATGTCTTATTATCTTATCATATAATATACTATGTTTAATGCAGTGTTGCATTATATTGCTCAATATTTTTAATAATGACTTGTTCATTATATCATCAACTCGAAAAAGTTACGTCTAACGTAAAAGTCAAAGGCTATGCGCATGTGTCATTATTAGCAATAGTTAAACACAGACGCATCTTGATCTTATTTATTTAATAAAATACTACTCGGAATCACGATTTTAATTCTCGTCTAAAAGTCTTTTTTCATGATTATTAAAATTAAATAGTCTATTTAAGTATATTTTCTAATATATTTACTTCGTGACACTTCAACAAATACATTATTTGAAAAACCGACGAGGGCATAACCTCCGTGAGATGTCATCGACCACATGTATTGTTTTTGATAACTAAATCATAAAAAAAGTATCACAATCGATTGCGAGGCTTATATTTAATTCTGTATATATTCAGCTTTCACTTTTGGTAAGTGAAAAAAGTATACATTTGCTAATTTTAATTATCAAATTAAATAAGAAATACATAATCACAGTAATCAGTTTCATCTTTTTCAGTCAATGGACTACGAGAAGCAAAAGGATGAAGTTTCTGCATTGCAAAGTATCTACAATGAAGAGGAATTTTTATATTACGAAGAAAACGGTCAATTTAACTGCACTTTTAAAATATTCGTAAACCTTCCAGAACAATTTCTTTTGACATACAAGGATTTGAGACATGAAGCGGATTCTAAGCAAGAAGTACAGATATCGTATTTGCCACCTTTAACATTAAATGTTACATTGCCAGAGGATTATCCATCCGTGTCTGCTCCTACATTTACATTATGTTCCTCTTGGTTGCGTCCAGTAATGCTGTCAAAGCTATGCAAGAAGCTTGACTTGTTATGGGAGAATAGCAAACAGGAAATTCTGTTTACATGGATGGAGTTCCTTCAAGACAAAACGCTCAAATTCTTGAAAATAAAAGATCATCTGGATATGGATTATATGTATACGTCGTACAAAAAGACATTGGAAAAATTACAGAATTTGCAAGCAAATAAGGAAATAGATGAACAATATAATAAACAGTGCAACAGTGAAGTTAGTAAAGAGAGTGGTGTATCAAAGAAGAATAATGTCATTGATAAGAGAGCCATTTTAGATTGTTTAATTGGTAAAAATCCTATTCAGGTATTGATTGATTACAATGAGAAATGGAAACAAATTGAATTCAAAAAAAGGTTTTATACATGTAACATCTGTTTCACTGATAAATTGGGAGAACATTGCACACAGTTTTTGCCTTGTACTCATACTTTTTGTAAAGATTGTATCAAAGGTTACTTTGAAGTAAAGATTAAAGAAGGAAGTGTACAAAATATCTGTTGTCCTGAAGAAAAGTGTAAATTTGAAGCTACGCCTAATCAGGTAACTATTTCACATTATATATTTTTGTTATTTAATATTGAAGTTTTGTGTAAAACTATTGCTGGATATATTTACAGATAAAAGACTTAGTAAGTTCAGAGTTGTTTTCAAAATATGATTCCCTACTATTAAGTACTACATTAGACACTATGATGGACATAATTTACTGTCCAAGACGACACTGTCAATATCCAGTCACTCGTGATCCCGATGAGTATATGGCAAAATGTCCCGTTTGTCAATATGCATTTTGTGTTCGTTGCAAGATGGTTTATCACGGAATAGAACCCTGTAGGATTAGTTCAGGTACGTATCCTAAATCTTACTTTTAAGACGATTGCATTCTATAATATCAAAACATCTACATTACTTATTTTTTGTGTTTAATCTTAAAAAATTTGCATTAAAAATATATTAGATTTTATAATTTTGATTTGTTAATAGCTGAGAAACAACGATTATTCAATGAATATCAATCAGCCAGCAACGAAAAGAAAGCAGAGATGGAAAAACGGTACGGCAAGAGGCAACTTCAAACAATGATGGAAAATGCTATGTCTGAAAATTGGATCAATGATAATAGTCATAATTGTCCTCACTGCAAGACAGCAATCGAGGTATTTAATTACGAAAAATCAAGCTTGTTGCAATCAATTATACGATACAATCGAATTGTAATCTCGATGTTTTATCATTTACAGAAATCGGATGGCTGCAATAAGATGACCTGTTCACATTGTGGCACATATTTCTGTTGGTTGTGCGGCACGCGGCTCAATCCCGAGACGCCTTACTTACATTTTCGAAATCCGGAATCCAAATGTTTCAATATGTTGTATCGTGGTGTAATACCCGATGAACCGGATGACGATGACGATGACGGTTTCGATTTTCACGCCGAATATTTGGATTATTATTCCGATGATGAAGAATATATCGATGAAGATTTCATCTTAGAGTTCGACGAATAAACTTAAATTAAATCGTGTATATATATATGTACATATGTACACCTTGCTTCTAAAACAGGAGTCGGCTACGCCCTAATTAGGCGCGAGTCATTACCGTGTCTCTTGATATATTATATGATCTTTAAATTTGCGAAACAATCATCGATATGTCTCAGGACACGGTTTTCTTGATTGCTGTTTATCATAGTTAAATTAGATTGTTTTATGCACTGTGTTGTAAATTTTATTTCTATTGAACTTGAGAAATGTTTTTATGAGAGTACGTGAATCTAGTTTTCTCGTAATTGCTATTGTAAAATTAAATCGCAAAATAAAAATTATTTTTTTAATAGTAACTTTATATATATATGAATACTTTGCTCTCCCTTTAAAATAGAAAAAGATTTTGTCACAGTACAAAAAATGATAATAATGTCTTAAATTATTGTATATAATGAACATTGATATCTTCAATTTTTTATATATTTAATTAGAAAAATTAAATTAGACAAAGTTATATCTCATGTAATTGCGTAAAAAAAAACATCCTTAACATAAAAGTGCGTATGTATAAATACACAGATTAATTTTTGCAATAATTTAATTTCTTATTCGAGAAAAAGTATAGGTGTATCAATCAGTCATAAGCTTGCATTGCAAATTGGGTTGCTCTATTTCAAAACGTATGGAGACATTTTAGACAAAGCTGCAACACAGGCAGGCAAATGGTATTCGCGTCTTTTAGTATTCCTCGGCGCCTTCTTCACCCTCGCCTTCCGCGGAGTCCATTCCGACCTCTTCGTAATCCTTCTCCAGTGCGGCAAGATCTTCGCGCGCCTCGGAGAATTCTCCCTCTTCCATTCCTTCGCCGACGTACCAGTGCACGAATGCACGCTTGGCATACATAAGATCGAACTTGTGATCGAGACGAGCCCAAGCCTCCGCGATGGCGGTGGTGTTCGACAACATGCAGACGGCGCGCTGAACCTTTGCAAGATCGCCACCCGGAACGACGGTCGGTGGCTGATAGTTGATGCCGACCTTGAAACCAGTGGGACACCAGTCGACGAATTGGATAGTACGCTTCGTCTTGATAGTGGCAATCGCTGCGTTGACGTCTTTGGGCACGACATCGCCACGATAAAGCATGCAGCAGGCCATATATTTACCATGGCGTGGATCACACTTGACCATTTGATTAGCCGGCTCGAAGCAAGCATTTGTGATCTCAGAGACAGAAAGTTGTTCGTGATAGGCTTTCTCGGCCGAAATGACGGGTGCGTATGTGACCAGAGGGAAATGAATTCTTGGGTAGGGTACCAGATTGGTCTGGAATTCCGTTAGATCGACGTTTAGGGCACCGTCAAATCGCAGAGACGCCGTGATGGAGGACACGATCTGACCGATCAAGCGATTGAGATTCGTATAGGTCGGTCTTTCGATGTCCAAGTTGCGACGACAGATATCGTAGATTGCCTCGTTGTCGACCATAAATGCGCAATCGGAATGTTCAAGAGTGGTGTGCGTTGTCAAGATCGAGTTGTAGGGCTCGACTACAGCCGTGGAGACCTGTGGTGCAGGATAGATAGCAAATTCGAGCTTCGATTTCTTTCCGTAGTCGACAGATAAACGTTCCATCAACAGGGACGTGAAGCCAGAGCCAGTGCCGCCACCGAATGAGTGGAAAATAAGGAAACCTTGCAAACCAGTACATTGATCTGCCAACTTGCGGATGCGATCGAGCACGAGATCGACTATCTCCTTGCCGATCGTATAATGACCGCGAGCGTAGTTGTTTGCAGCATCCTCCTTGCCAGTAATTAATTGTTCCGGATGGAACAATTGACGGTAAGTTCCAGTGCGAACCTCATCTGTGCACAAAGATTCAAAAATTATAGTAAAATTTATTGCACATTTTTTAAATTTTTATCAAATGAGATAAAATTGTTGAAAAATTGCATGGATGAAATACATACCAACTACAGTAGGCTCCAAATCGATGAAGACAGCTCTGGGTACATGTTTACCAGCACCAGTCTCGCTGAAGAAGGTGTTGAAACTGTCGTCTCCACCTCCGATAGTCTTATCAGAGGGCATTTGACCGTCCGGTTGAATGCCATGTTCCAGGCAATACAACTCCCAGCAGGCATTGCCGATTTGTACACCAGCTTGGCCAACGTGGATTGAGATACATTCACGCTAAATAAATATAAATCACAAACATTAATGTAATGTCAAAGTTTTTCATTTTCAGATATAAATAAGTAAAACTAAGGTTGTGTCTCAATGTTAGAAATGCTGAAAACTTTATTGATCAAACAAGATAAAAAAATTTTTGCTTTGATTGCCAAAATATTTCATTTTCAGATATAAATAAGTGAGACTATAAGGCTGCATCTCAATGTTAGAAATGCTGGAAACTATTGATCAATCAAAATGCTTTCATTACTTGCAGCGTCGAGACAGACGCAGCACGAAGCCTGAAATAAATCAATACAATGAACTTTCCAAAATGGCTTATCCAGGTCAATGTCCTGAATATTCGTACATTAAAATATTCAAATAGTCGACAAACTTATGACCCAAATATTAATATAATAATAGTTAACGTAAATTTATTAAGATTAATTACTCGTACAACACGAATTGTCTTCAGACAAAGGGATGACGCTATCTAAATTTAGCCTTAACCGGCCGGCGTTTAACCGTTAACAAAATGGCCGACTTCTTTTCAAGAAAGCCGATGGGCGACGTCAACGAGACAGATTGACGATTCTACGCGAAGGAGCGAACCTGATAAATTATCGACGACTCACCATTTTGTATTGTAATTGATTTCTTGTCTTCTCTTAGAAAAACAGAGCCAAGTAGCCGCCGCAGAAGAACGATAGTTGGCGAAAGCAAGTAATGGAGCTTTTGCTAACAACTACGGTACGTTCGACGTCCGAGCAACTATTGGGTATTGGGCGAGCGACGCCTAACTGCGCCCTATTTATACCCCCTGGAATCGACCGTTCCAGCGCGCGCTGATTGGCGGACGGTGACGTCATGCCGCGCCGCGATTGGTTCACCTGACCGCGGCACTCTTCCCTCCCGATAGCCGTTTCTACGCGCCGACGAAATAGCTCCGCCGAATAATTGACATTCGTTTGATTATTTTCTTCCATAATACGCTTATTTCGCGTCCTACAATTTATGTAAATTGTCGAAACGCGCGGGAATAAATATTTCTGCGATTATTCGATGAGAATGCGACTTTTTGTGAAATTTCACGTTTGACATTTATATATGTATATATGTAGATGTACATGGTGTTGCTAGGCAGGAGCGAATGTATGAGACATTCGTGTCAATTGCACCTTATTTGGGCCGCATCTTTCTTGAGGCATGACCGAATCGTTTTCTCCAGCGTTTCTTTTTTTGGTAAAACGGAAACCCACCGAGGGAAACGCCCATATCATTCTGATTAAGGAAATGATAAAATCGCATTTGACAGCAGATATCTCGTTTGACAAATTAAAATTATACCCTATTTAATCCTGGTAATTTTTTATTAATATCTGAAAAGGATTGACGATTCTGCATTGAACGTTTTATGATTGATTAAATTTTCATTCGAATTCATGTACATAATCATATACTTCAGACGATGATAAGTACAGTTATGTTGCTTGCATGCAACGATGACTCAGGCTCACTTATGAGTCAGTGAAAAGAGTGTACATAGAAAATATGAAAAAATATAACAGAAAATATTATTCTTTTTCTAATACATGCATGAATTTTAAATTTGATAAAATACATAATTTGTAAGCACAAATAAAAAAGAGAAAATTATTGTATTATAGAATATTACATGATATTTCTCTCTTTTCATCTTTTGTTACACGACATATATTTTAATTAATTTTTTTTTATTTTCTTGCAATCTTCTAATTAGAAATCATTTGAAAACATATATTGAAATATAAAATAAAATTAGAAAAATATACAAACTGCTCTGCAAACTACTGCTCTATATATATATAGTTGGAGGTATATTATTATTGTTCGATCTGTTTTTTAAATGGTTTTCGGCATGCAATAACCACTGAAAGTTTCACGTTCAATAATATAATTATACAAAGCATTAAATGTAGATGCAAATTGCCCAAATTGGAGATGCTTATAACCTTCAATCCCCCATAATTATCAGTCTGACAAATTAGCATTTTATTTTCAGAAAGATCATTTTGTGTTTGAAGTACATTAGTAAAAATAATATATGTTATTAGTAAAAAGGAGCAATCTGAATAATATAAAAATAAATATTATTCGTCATACGCACATCCAGATTGATTTTATATATATATATATATACCAAAATGTTAAAATATTTATATCAAAATTATATGGATATGAAAATATATTATACGCATATACAGATATATTACTCGTCTTCTCCAATTAATATAAAAATTAATGATGTTACTTTTTTGTAATTGATAAGAAAAGAGAAATTTATATTTCTATATATAGAAATACATATTGATATATATATGTGTGTGTGTGTGTACTTTTATTGGACGTGATTTGACGTGATTATCTGTGACAGCTATGTTTTGACAACTGTATGTAATTTTATTGTGAGAGACTGAATAACATTACATCTCGTGGATTTTGTTACATTAAAAAAAAAAAATATATATATATATATATTTGTGCAGAGCATCGAATCTGATCAACGTAAATCTAAATTTCTCATCTAATCTAGATTTTTTTATATCAGCTGTGATCTAGGATTCACTGAATATTGCTCAATATATGTACTTTTCAATGCATATGTAAAATAACGTTAAATATTAACCGTTTGTGCCTATATTTTTTATTTTAAACAAATGTGTCAACGATCGAAGTAAATAAATGTTAGGTTAGGTTAATTTCACATTTTATATATTGACAACACACAAGATGATTAAAATTATTTATAATAATTAATAATAACTATACATTTGATGTGACAACGACCAATTTTAAATTTCATAAAAATAAGATAATAAAAAAAAAAAAAACAGTGCGAATGAAATAACAAATTTAATTGATGCAAAATGCAAGCAGAAGTAAACAGCATATTGAAAAAGTCATTGCAAAAAGCTAGAGAACACAACAGAACTGGAAATGTTGGAAAAGCTTATGCATATTACACTATTGTTGTAGAATTATGTCCAGCAAAGAGATCGGAAATTGAAGAAACATTTACAGATGTGCTATGTAAGGCGCAGTATATATATTGTTTAACATTCTTATATAGTTGTAATAGTGATAATATATATAAATGTTTATTTTTCAGGTGAATGGGGAATACAATTAGCAGAAGACAACAGATTTTCAGATGTTATACGCTGTTATAAACATTCTTTGGATATTTATCCAAATAATGCTCGTATGCTCAATAATTTTGCAGCACACTTGTTACGGTAATTTTATATAATATATTAATACTAATTTTTCACTTTATATTTATAATAAATTGTTAAAGTTATTGTTTTTATATATATTGTTAAAGGAATAACAATCCTATAAGAGCACTACAGTATTTAAGAAGAGCTTTGAAAGTTGATCCGAACTTTCTACCGGCAGAACGAAATTTGCAAAATGCATATAGTATGGCAGTGGACAGATGGCACTTTACAATGCTTAATGACAAGTGCAGAAACAATGCTTTTGAGAAAGCTATATGCAAGAGAATTAATCAAGGATATGATACAGTGTTGGATGTTGGAACTGGTACAGGTCTTTTGAGTCTATATGCCAAAGCTGCAGGAGCCACAAAGGTGTATGCATGTGAATGTTCTGAAATAATGGCGCTAATTGCAAAGAATGTATTTGAATCTAATAATGCAACTGATATAAAGTTAATACCAAAACTGTCATTCGATCTCAAAATACCTATAGACATTTCGGAAAGGTATGCAACAATATATATATTATTATATATTATTTTAATATTCTGTATTGATTTAATTATTATATTAAATGCATTGATTAATATGAAAAACACATATTATTCTAGAGTAAAATTAATAGTGACTGAAACATTTGATGCTGGCTTATTTGGAGAACTTGTAGTACCATCTTTGATTAACATACACACGAAGATTTTAGATACGGATGGTATGGTAATACCTATGGGTGCGACAGTTTATATAGCGGCTATTGAATGTGAACATATTAGATACAGATCATCGGTGGTTTTTGATAGGATAAAAGATAAGAGTACTTTAAATTTTAATAAGGTATCTATATTATCAGATGATGAATATTACGATACAGAAAATCTGGAAAAAGTTCAAATTAATTATGTAACAGAACCACAAGTTCTGTTTAATGTAGATTTTAATAATTTGTTACAATTGCAAGAATTCTGCAAAGATGGAATAAAACAAATGTTACAAACAAAATGCAGATACGATGGCATCCTAGATGGTTTAGTTGCTTGGTTCAAGTTATATCTGGATGAGGAAATTACGCTGGATTCTTCGGATGGGAAGACTTGTTGGCAACTTGCTGTTTTTCCGGCAATACCGATTATATGCCATGAAAGCGATATCTTGACGATAAAAGCGGAAACATTGAAGAGTAAATTGAAATGTTCTTATAGCGCGAGCAATGCGCAATCAAGCAAGGATTGTAAATTTTTATATCGCTTGCCAAAAGAAGTAATTGTCTTTCTAAATGACTTTAATTATATCGAATTGCTCACAGAGATCGGTAGATATCAAGAGAATAAAGAGATGAAATATATTTTGGATACTTCGCCTTTTCCAATTTACGGGTTAACACTATTAAAGGAATATAAAGATAGTAAAATTTTATACTACAAAACTGACAACGAAACTCTTCGTTTTCTGATTGAACAAGTAGCTCAAGATAACGGGCTTCGAGAAAAAGTGCATATAATATCAAATTATGATGAAATTCCATATTCTTTAGATTCTATATTAGTTCATAATTTTGACATTAAAGGTGAATTGAAAGACGATCGGGATAATTATTTATTTTTCAGGTATCATACTTACCCATTGTATATAACATTTATATATATATATATTTTTTTTTTTTTTTTACACTTTATTTAACTGTATTCTGATCTGTTATATCATTTACGTTTTGTTCCAGGTACTTACTTAAAAAACCAAATGGTGTGTTATTGCCAGAAAAAAATTTTCTTATGGGACAATTAGTGTACTCAGAAGATTTACCAAACATGGTTTATGTGCAAGATGTAAATCTCCAGAAATCACCCAATAATCCTATTTGTCTTGATATAGTATGTTACTTTTTTATATAATTTAAATTATGTGTATACTATGTATATTCAGTGTGACAAAATATCAGAGATTAAAATAAAATATTTATATGTCAAGTTACAATAAACATATTTTTTAGAGTTCAGATAATAAAGACAATCTACAAAATAATACAACCAATAAAGTAAATAAAAGTACAAATTATATAGTTGCAGAACATATTAATAATTATAAGGTAAGTCATTTAGGATTTTATACAAAGTTAAATTATTATTATTATTTATATTTTTCGTTAATTATGTTTATATTATTACAGATTAATCAAATATTTGATTTGAACTCGAGTTTGTATTCATGTGAGATCATGTCTGAGGTACAAACACTAATAGAAATAAATGAAATGGAGACTACCGAGGCAATCGTGAATTTCGGGCAAATAAATAGCATAAAAAAGAAAACTTTACCAAATGCCTTAATATGCTGGTACAGGGTTCAACTTAGTCCACATCATATACATGATACAGAGAAGAATGGTTCTTTTATGAATCATACCGCAATCGTTTTTGAAGATGAACTCAAAAACATTATTTTGAAAGATAAAGAAGTAAAAATTAAAGTCCATCAGATGAAAGGTTTAATAAAAATCACAGTACTAAATTTGTGAAATGTATACAAAAAGAATAAACTATTTTATAGTTTTGTACAATTTCTTGGAATATGATTTTTACAAAATAATACCTCTTTTATTTCAATACATTTTAAACTATTTTATACACTTTTCTACATAATATATAAATATATATTGCAATAACTTACAATATATATTTATATGTTGAATTTACACATTAAAAGAAAATATTAATATAGTTATGATATATTGTACAAATAAAAAAAACTATTTTTGTCAAGTTGGATAATAGTATTTCAAAGTGTATAAAAAGTGTATAAATGCAGTATGAAACCTTTACAAAAAAATACTGATCATTTTCTTAAGAAGAGTTAATACATACTTATCTCTCATGTAGACTGTCCTATAAATCATTTTGTCGACAACAAAGTTTAACGGATTTGTTTCTTCAATAAATAAGGAAAATAATTTTTTGACTGATATAGAGCCAAAAAATCTATGTAAGGGTTTCACATATATAAACATATAATTACACATTAAGATATATATTATATATTAGATTATATATTGATCAACTTTAGGGTATTTTTTCATGTTTGAATTTTTTATAATTTTTTAAACTATAACTTTTAGAAAACATCGATTGTCTTTTCGTGTTTCAGCCTATTAAAAATTTGTAGACGAGCAATTCATTGATGATATATCTATAATTTACTAGAATTGCTACTAGTCAATATTTTACATACAAATGGTGCAACTTTTTCAGGATAATTATTGTGAACATCATGATTTCCATCTATGTTAATTATTTCAACTTTGGTTTTAGGATTGATTGAGTTCATTGCTATTTCAAACAGATCTTTATATCGACTTAAAACACCACTTGATGGACGAAGGACGTATATTGGAACTGAAAGTCTATTATTTAATTCAATTGCCATGTGTGCAGATAAAAACATAAAAGGTTGATTTTTTAATCTTATATCTCTATTATATATATACTTTTCATTTACTTTTGTAACTGCACGCTCAAATAATTCATCAGCAGCTTCTGAAGTTAAAGAAGCAAATCTCAAATTTTTAAAAGCATATAAAATTTCTTCTTTAGTATAAGATGTTGGTTCTATATTTTTACCCATTTTTATTGAAAGTGCTGATGCAGTCTTAAAATATGTTACACTGTCAAATCCATCATAATCTATAATAAATCCGTCTATAGCAATTAATTTTTGATTCTATGAGGCTGAAAGATACTAAATATTAAACCAATTTGTACACCCAAACTATGCCCTATGTAAATACAAGTTTTCCATTGTAACGCTTCTAAAATGTAATGTATTATATGTGCATAATCTATACTGTCTATTAGTAGCCAAGATGGAAAACTTGACGACCATCCATGGCCGGGTAAATCTATGCATACATAATAAAAAAAATTTTTCGGTAAATAGTTAATTAATTTATTAAAAGTTCCTGCATTATCTTGAACACCATGCACCAGTAAGACAGGTTCTCCATTAGATGGGCCATATGTTTTGGCAGCAACATGACCCCAAGGCACGGTGATCTTTATTTCCTTGTGTTTTATTTCAGTCATTTTTAATGATTGTTCTCACAGTGTATAACTTGTTGGACAATGTACAACAATCTCGTTCACTGAAATTAGGAATTTAAAAAAATGTATTCTATATGTATGCTAATATAAAACAATTGCTAATGTAATACAATGCTAATCTAAAATAATATGCTGAATGTATGCTAATATAAAACAATTTATATGTGGACCAGTTACAAAATTTAGAATTGCTAATTTATAATTAATTTTTTTACAAATGTGCTTTTTTTAGAAATATCTCGTCATTTAAAAAAATTTATTATATTCACATGCTAATTTTTGAATATTTTTTATTCAGTAATAAGATTCAAATTGAAATTACTATCAAGCATTATATTACTATCAAGTATTATATCAAACAGTCAAATTTCTCAAAATAATAATTTTTTCTTATGGAAAAGCTTATTTTTATATAATTACTTGAACTTGAATATCAATTTTAAACAATAGTTATAAATATAAATTTTAAATTTACAATATACATTTTTTACATGCAATATATGCAACATGTCATATCTTATTAATAGATTAACATTCCTTTTCAACTAATCATCTACATAACATTATGTAAAAATACATAAATAACATAAGTATAATAAAAATATCTATTTTATCTTTCTTTTTTCAATATATCACTTTTATTTTTGCAATAAATATATTTTCAAAAAGCATTACAAAATTTTATGCTTAACGTCTTGAAACGCTTTGCCATGTTTTAAACTATCTGAGAAATTATCTTATTTATACAAGTATTTCTAGAAAGTTGTTTCCTTATTAATTTTGTGTAATGTTTTTCTTAAATATTAATTTCTAAAAAAATTTTACATAGCAAAATAAATGATATCATTCTGAAACATATCATAATTAGTTAAAATCTATTCTTTTTTTAACTTATTTTTTTACATTTAAAGCTAAATTTTTTGACAAAAGTAATAAATAAAAGAGAAAAAAATAAAACATAAATAGAACATACCTTTTTATGTATCTTTTGCGATATTAATACCGCATATAAGTAAATATATTTACACTTCTGCAATCTACATGATGCAAGTTTCAACTGTCAAGTTATAGACTGACTGTGAAGAAATATAATGAGTATGCATATTTGCAATTCAATTTTTTTTCTTCAATATCATGCTTTTTATCATTCTTCCTCCATCATACTTTGTTATTAGTAACTTATATTTTATTATTCATGAAGGTAATCTCTAAAAACAATCATTTAAATTATACTAGTATAAATGCAAATCTCTCAACATGATTATCAGTTTAATAGAATTTTAAATTAGTTTCTTTTCTTATGTAACATCTCGAATGCAAAAATCTACAAAAAAAACAACGATCTAATGTTTTTAAACTAGTTTTATTTCATTTGTTAACCTAATACTTGATATTATGGACAAACAACTATGGAATTTGCATAAAAAAATATCGCGGTCAACAAGTTATACCAAAGAGAGAAACAAATTTTCATAAATCCTATGTATATCTGTAAAAGTAATTTTTATTAATATATGTAAATAGGAAGGAAAACAGAAAAATACAGAAAATTAATTAAGTTGCGTAATTAGATATTAATTATATTCTGCTTTTCTTTCTTATATTTATTGTTTATGTATTGTTAATTGATCACAGGAAGATGAATGAGAGAAAAAAGAGAGAGCAATCAGTTTTGACTTTTGACAGTTTTCTCACCTTGCTATTAAAGCATGTGGCGACATCAATCTAGGAGTTTTCAAGATAACATAATCTCTCTGACATAAATAAAATATGATACAAATGGCTATCGAATAGAGAATTTTCAGTCTCGAAAATATTTTTATTTGAACCAATCGTGTAACAGTATTTTTTGGAGTTTGAAAACTATTGGTTGTGTTCCTTTTCAACGGTGAAAGCGTCAAAAGGAACGCAGCCATTGCTTCAATTTAGGAATTAAATTCCTTGTTTCTTATTTCTCTCATTGTGTCTGAGTCTTTATACTTACTTTATTATAATTATAATTTTTATGCTTAGGTCAATTATATCATTTTGCTACATAATATATAAATAAGTAATATAAATAAGCAAATAAAAACAAAATTTTCAAAATTTTTTTTATTTATACAGGATGTTTTATGCATATTATTTTAATATTAAATACATAAATTTTAAAAAATTAAATAAAATGTATCAGAATTATTTTAATACATATTAAGATTATAGAATTAAAATTATATAAATATGTAACAGAGTTTTACATTTCAGTAATTTTTTTCCTTAACATTTACATTTCCGCAAATTCTGTTGATATCTCATCTTATTCAAACTAATTAATTGTATTAAGTTTGCAATTATTTAAGCTATAGTATTAATATACATTAATAATAATAGATAAAGTACATAGAGGTACATTACATTATAGTTAAAATGAAAATAATAGTTCTGAGACATCCTGTATGTATGAAAAAATTGCATATTTTTTAAGAAGCTAAAAACATATCGTTAATTAAAAATTAATAAGCAATTATTTATAAAAATATTATCAAGCAAGTCAAAAAAATCTCTGTGGGATTTGTATACAATATCAAACTCGTATTATTTTTAATGAGAATAAGTTCATCTAGTTACAATACATCCCATTTGTAAATCTATTTCAACAATTTTGCATATATCTGCAATGAAAAATAAACTATAGATTCCCTTTATTCTCTGAAACAGCTTATGTATGTGTATGTATGCAATTTTTTTCTATAAATTAGAATTATTTTCTTAGATTATTTGTTCACTACACATTTGTCACATGAGTATGTGAATATGTTTAATAATAAGAATAGGAAAATGAGTGAAAAATCGTATAACATTTTCATTCTTGCATACACATAATTAGAATAAAAGATCTTAGAATAGAGCAAAATAGAGCTCAGTCTCAAAGATTTAAGAAAGAGGGGAATCTACAGTATAGAACAATATTTTATTTTTATTAATACGTATTAAATCATATAGAATACATAATCGGAGTTACTTAATACTGAGCACTATTTTAAGAGGTACAGGTGGAACCATAATATCCAAGCGCTTTCAAGCCGAGAATTATTTTCTTCATCTACTATGACGAATATCGTCTTTGTCGATTAGCATTTTTCCTCTATTAGAACTAGTACTCGCCCCATTATCAGTAATAGCTGGTATATGACTGTCAGATGTACAGTTTGGGCCAATTTTGTCATTTTCATCGAGACTTTTGTTCTTCGTCGTGGCTGTATTTGCACAGCTTTTTGTAAATTCAAATTTCGGGCTCGACAAAATCGTTGTGTCACGTATGCACTTTCTTATCTCGTGTCCAATTGCAACTCCTAGTGGCGGTGGTACCGCATTACCAACCTGTCGATGCTTATCGAGCAGCGTACCATAGAAACGAAATGAATCTGGGAATCCTTGGGATCTCGCACACTCTCTGATACTCACAACTCGATTTTGCGCTGGATGCAAAACACGACCCTGGAAATTAATGTTGTCGTGTTTGTAATTCATCTAACTTTGTTTGTTGAATTAAAATTATAGCAAATATTATGGAAGAAATCGCGCAAAATACAGAAGTGTGTTGTCAACTTGTGTGATTTTAATAAACTTATAGAAATTGTGTAATAATCTCGTTTATTAGTTACTTCGGATTATTATTCTAAAATATATCGTGTAAAATTGCTACTAGTAGTATATATTTTTATCTATAATAATATAAACTTTTTGTAGTTATTGTATATTCCAGATTAAATTATATATCTACACTTTCACTGATTTGTATCAATTTCATCAGCATACCTGTTTACCCATCGGTTCTGGATTAGTAATAGTTGTACTGAAAAATCCATCCCATTCGAGTCTTCCATATAAACCTGACCAATGATTATGTCGATTCCCGGTGTGCGGTAAACACCATGGAATTAAAGTATTAAATTGCCTATCAGTAGGATCACATAGTTTACCAATACTGCAACTACATACTCCACGCAATGCGCCTGTTGAACTTTTTCCAGCTCTTTTATCATGATGTGTGTATTCCCTAGAAAAAAATTTAAATATGCTAATATAATTGACTAAGATTTAGCGAATTAATTATAGTGTATGATCAAAGAAATATATATTAAAATATATATAAATATATTATGTAATATATTATACATATAATAAATATAATATATATATGTCGTAGACAATAGTTATTTTCAGTAAATAGCTTTTGACTAGTCACATGTTATTTGTTGAAAACAACTATTGGCCTATGATTCCCCTCCCCCACCCACACCCACATATTCATAAATATAATTCATAAATATATTGTATAGTATAAATTTATAAGAATAATTTAGAACATAGCAAAAAAAAAGAAAGAGGTATGTACTTTATACATACAATTTTTTGGAAAAGGTACCATCACTTAATCGAACTGCGATATTCGGTAAATCACGCCAATCCGAACCAGTTGCAGTTGGAATATGAGACATTCGTGCCTCCACAAGTGGAGCCATTTCTTTACATATATGATCTCGCAGTATCGGCGTATATTGCTTTCCTCTCATCTGAAATAAATAAAATTTTAATAATTGTTTTCAAAAACGTATTAAAATGCTTTTTCTTTAATTACCTTTCTCTGGAAATGTGTTAATGGTTCACTACCATAAGACATCTCCTCTTTGTTCCAACCATTTTTAATATCTGGTAAATCACACATGGCATCCTTCACAGTGATAGTTCTAAACGGAGCAGAATCCGTCCAAACACAATTAGAGAAATACTGGAAAAAAGAAAGAAAAACATCTCATTATCAGACAGTATTATATAATATAAAAATTATTTCAATATATATATAACAAGTATAAAAGATATAAATATGAATAAATACCCTTTTATTATCCACCACAACATTTACTGAGCAACATCGTTTATTGAACACATGCATTGGTTCCGGATATTTTGGAAGTATTTCTCCAGGTGCAGCAGCTAAAATTATCATTCTAAAAAAATTGATAAATTATTTTTAATAAAAAAGTCTGATATCGAAAAACATTGTAAGAAAAAGGGACAAACCTTCTTCTTGTTTGTGGTATCCCATAATTACCAGCTTGAAGAATACCAAATGTACATTGATAACCCATACGAACAAGGCACCTTAAGGTCAATTTTAGCACCATATATTTTTTGTAGAACACAAAATGTCGCACATTTTCCATTATAAAAAATTTCGGTCGATAATAGTCACAATAGGATAAACACGAAACGACGAGAGAACTTTTAAATAGTGAGTATTGCCGCGAATTAAAGCGATTCATGCCACTGAAACCCTGACAGGGTGGGCCACCACATAAAATTTCAACTTCTCCTTTCAGGGGAAGTTTTTGACCATTATCATCTGTGGAATCGCCCTAAAAAAGAAAATATATTTTTAAATTTCATAATTCTAAAATTTTTTAAATTTTATTTTTACAAAAAGAGTAATCAAGTAATAGTTTCTACTTCTCTCTTTTTTAATATAAAATCTTTTATAATTGATAAAGAAAAATTATTTTTTTTAAATTTATTAAGAAATATTTTAATACCTTATGCAAGAATTAGAGAATGTAATGTAAAACTTACATTCATCACTTTTCGCAACAGCGTGTTGCAATCCTCTGAGAACACTGTAGTCTTTGGATTATTTAAGCGATATGCATATGCTGCTGGTTCTTCTTTATCAATTGCCCATAAATTTTCGGCTATCCCGGCTTGATGTAATCCTTCCGATAATCCTATTAATGTATAAAGACAGTTATTATTATATTTAATTATATATTTAAATACATAGCTTGTAAGAAATGTTTCTACTTTAACAAAATATATTTACCTCCACAACCAGCAAAAAGATCTAATGTTCTTAATTTTCTTGTCATAACAAGATAATCTACAGGTTTGTCAATAACTGGTTTATTTTCAGTCTCTTCTACCTTCTTTGCTTTTGATTTGCCTTTCCCTTTCCCTTTTCCAGGTTTACCTATATTAATGATATTATAGGGTGGCTCATCAAAGGTTTTTTCTTTAGCATTATATGCTTCAGTAAAATAAAATCTGTTTGGACCACCCATAGACCATTCTTCAACAGATTCACTCAGATTTTCAGAATATGCTAGATAACATTTACCAGCAACTTCGGAGAATTTTATACTGCAAACTGTGACAAACAAAACATAAATTTTAATTATTTTAAAAAGGTATAGAGCTTGTTTAATATAGACGTGTGAATGTTATTATGTATATGTTTTTGTACAATATGATATAATGTAAATACATCGACTTGATCAATAATATTAATATGAAACATGAAATTTAAAATAACACAAGGAAATAATGTCTTAAATTAGTATAACTTACTCTCGTCACTCCAATAAACCATGTTAAGATCTGCTTGTTCCATTAATGTTACATCTCGATGAGTATTTTCTGGTCTGTACATTTTGTTTATTTTAATATAAATGTCTGAAGGCGATACTATTAAATCAGTTGTTCTAGCATAAATTTCGTTTATATAACCAATGTGGAAAGGTTCAGGTGTATCAATATTTGAGAATTTTGCTTTTTCCGATTGAATTTTCCTATAAAACTCTGGATACATATCTTCATTTACAGCTTCTTTCTTTGGTTTTTCAGCTTCTTGAAACACCTGTTTATACTTAAATTTTAAAGCACTTGGGTATAAAAACACTGCACTGCCAACTCTATATTCCTCATCTTTATATTTTATTACTCCATAAATCACTTCCTTACTGCTCTTTTCTTCTAAACGTTCAAATATCTAAGTAAACAAAAATGAGACTCGTTAGAGATTTCTATAATTCAGATTTTCGAGATATTAAGAATATAACTTTTTATTAAACATTTTTTACCTTAGGTGTATTGTACTTTTCTAATGCCCTTAGTCGAGCACAAGCGGGACAAAATCGATGATTGTTTTCTTTCCGCGGGCATTCCGGATCCGGTAATGGAGTTTCAAATCGAGCAGTTTCAGGAGTATATCTCATTTGATAGAAGAATGTTTTACCATCTATATCTTTTATTTCATCATCTATATCCATATTACCTGTATTATAAAATTATATATTTAATTATGAAAATACAACAAAATATTAGAAAAATTAATAAGTAATTTCGTAATTATCTAACATTCTTACCTAATTCAGCCCAATTGTCAGACATTTTTTTGTGGACAACGGTTGCTTTCGATCTAACAGATGTAAATGGTACATCATCACAATCATCACTTAGAAATAATTCTATAGGATCTGAAGTTTCACCAAGTATGGTATCAGTACCTCTACGTAACCAATTTGCATGAAACTTTTTTACTCCGTTCTTATCCCACATAAACATAATTTTATAAATATGTAAAGGAATTGCTGGATTTCTTGGCTCTACCAAGACATAATCATTTACTTGAATCCTTTCATTTCCAACTATGACTGATTTATAATATGTTTTTTGTCCATCAACAATTTTATCTTCTTCTTCCCATACTATATCTTTTTTGAGTTCTTTAAAATCTTTCTTCGGTTTCTTTTCTACTTTTTGATCATCTACTAGATCTTCATCTTGCTCTTCATTTTCTGGATCAGAATCATCTGCTTCCTATATATATAGAAATTTACTTAATTAAATATTATAAAGATATAAAAAAAGATCCATTTTTAAATATATATTGTTTCTATATCACTTTAGTAACAGGTGACTATATTGTAAGATACAAATTTATTGTTAATTGTGTATTAAATTTGATTTATATACTTGAATTGCCATATTTGGACATCTTCTCTTGATACACGCTTGCTTACTTCGTCCAGTGCCTCCAAATTTCGTCATATCTTTACAAGAAATACAAATACCACAGTCAGGTTGTTGACAGTTTTCACAAACACCACATCGATGCCTTTTAGGTCCCTAGCAAAAGAAAAAGATAATTCTCAACTTCTATTTTTTTAATTATATAATTTTAGTAAATTAATAATAATTCTATTTTTTAATTAATAAAAATAGCAATATACATACTGCCGGCAGTTTATCATCATGCTTAGCAAGTTGATCAGTGAAAATGTTTTCAAACATATTGCTAACTAATTTTGTTGTTGTAGCCTTTGTCCAAGCAGGCTTTTTAACTTTTTGATCACGCCTCGTCCGACGAATTGCTCCTCTCTTACCCAATGTGACGCCAGCGAGATTTGCAAGAGCTCGCATACAAGGAGTTGTAATAAGAAGACTATCATCAGTATTGGCAGAATCATCAAATGATGAAACTTGATCACAAACAAATTGTGCATGACGCAATAATGTATCTTCTGTGAATTTTGTCATACCTTTAGGAGGTACCACAGTCTGCAATAATGAAAGAATAATATGAGTATTGAGAAAATAAAATATTAAAATATGAGATAATAAACTCACTTGAAGTTTATTTAACAAGTCTTCATAGGTTGGACTAAGTTCATCCAGTAAAAATTCTATGACTAATTTGCTCATATATATTTTTTCTTTAACAGCATCCATGAACGGTGCATATGCTTCAGACGGCTCCATTAAAATATATTCGGCAAATGCAGTATTAAAACCTATCAATGCTAATTCTCCTCCATCAAATCCAGAAATATACCATTCATTTATTGGCCCCATATCTTTTGTTGGTACACCTCCTTCAGGAGAAGGATCTTCTTCGTAAATAGCTTTCATGTATCCAGAAAAATACAGCATTACATTTTTCTCTATGAGTCCAGTGTCAAAGGCACATAGATGCCCATTCTTATCATAAACACTAAAAAAAATCATCTTTCCATTAGTCTGTATAATATCGAGATGCTGTATATATATATATACACACAGATATATATACATATATATAAATAAAATATGTATAAAATAAATAGTAAAATACACAAAACTCACCTAAAATAAGTTAATTTATTTTGCGGTCTTTCATCACTTTCATGTATAAAAGATTCATCTCCTGTAAATAAACACAATTTAGGATCTGTTAAAGCTATCTGTTCTTCCATTGCACCATTTGGATGTCCCTGATACAATTTTGTTTCGTCATCTAATTTTTGTTTACAATAGTCACATCGTTCAATTACAGGAAGTGTTTTCTTAACTTGAAATTTTAATGGAGATATTTCTTCATGGTTTTCCATTTTTATTCTCTTCTCTGCATTTTCTTCTTGATCTTGGTTTATTTGTGGGTTGTGATTTTCCTTATTAAATTCTACTGTATCATTTTTATTCGTTTCTACATTTGCTTCCTGTTGTTGATCAGACAATTTTGCCTCATGGCTTGTTTCAGTGTTTAGTTTTTTTCTTTTCGCTGATTGTTTAACAAATAAATCCAATACAGATGGAGTTGCATTAGTGGTCGAACCACTTGCTTCAATTGATTCTTCTATATCAACAAATTTCCTGCTACGAGACATTCTTCTATTGTTGGAATCTGGTTCACCCTCTGGCACAGTAGGTGGCATGATTCTAAATTTGTAAAAAAATATATTATTATCATTCCTTGTATTATTAAAATATATATATATCTTTAAGTAATTTAATAAATATTATAAACAATAATTTTATAGTTTATAAATGATTTGTTGCACAAAAATTATATTAGCAGTACATAATCACATTAAAAAAAATGAGATATGAATAGATATGTATATAAAATTATAAAAAGATAGATCTGGATGTTGAAAATGTAAAGCTTCATTGAATAATTTTTCTTTCTTAGTTAATATATTAATAGTTAATATATTAATAGTTAATGTATTAATAGTTAATATATTAATAAGTTAATATATTATTGCTATATATGTGTATTGTACATATTACTAGATTGGCAAACACAGTAACATCAATAAATATATCTTTGTAATGTCACTTAGAAACACATATTTCTTTGCTTCCTCCATTACATGTAAAAATAAAATATGTTTATGAAACTGCAATTGTTCTCGCATATGGCATCAATTTACTCACTGCTGTCAGCGATTGTCACTCGGTAGACACAAAAACAAAAAAAAAAAATGCGAGACAAGTGATGAATCGCGTGACCAGCTGTCGGCTCGTGCATCAACGGTTATGAAAAATCTTGATAAATTAGGACGCTCGTCTCGCGGTTGACATCGCGATCGATGGAACGTCGTCCGAGTTTACGGATTACGCGAGGACGTGAGTTTTGTCGCGCGTGAAATTTATGCTGGAACCTGGAAACCACCTGGAACGCGATTTCATTAGCGTCAAGCTCGGCGGCAAAGTTGTATACGCGCGTATACGGCACCGCGTGCCTCGTACGTACGCTGATTCTTAAGGGACAAATATTGCCATCGGTATCACGAGCTTCGACTCGCGCGATGAATGACAAAAGTTGCTCACTTTTCACAAAAATCACGCGTATACACGCATTCGTTCGCTGTTACGCACTTCTACGCCCGTATGTCACACGCCGTGGCGCTCAGTTCTACTCCATTACTCCATTCCCGCCAATGTTCCCAGATAGAAAGGGATCATTTCCCCTTCCTTTTTCCCAAAGCGACACACGCAGTTTTAACGCGCGGGGTTTTATGCGCATGCGCACGCCGGTTTCGCACGCATGCGCAATAGACACGGCATCAATAAAGTACTTAGTGCGAGCAAAAAGAGAGCTTTTCTAAAAATTAAAAAAAAATGTTTCTTTAACCTTACGCTCTTTGTACTAATTTCTTTTGCCACCAAAGAATTCATATTATTTAAATATAAATTGTACAATATTAATTACATATATATAATCTCACTTGAGATTTTTATGTATCTGATCTGTCTATCGAACCCGCCAAAATTTTCGCGCGCATTCGGAAACGGAAATGTGCATCTATCATATGCATATAAATCTATGTGTACACATAATCGATTATATATGTAACATTTTTTATAACGATTATATACGTAACGTTTTTTATAACAAACATACATGCTAGTATAATATTTGTATAAATTTTACTTAAATTTTGCATGTGAATTTTCTATCTTTATTTTACATATACTACTAATGTGTCAGTGATAGGTGACAGGTGACATATGATATGTATCGTAAACAGTGCCATGTAGTTTTGCACGCGATTAATAATAAATAACAGTTTAAAAATTTTAAATAAATAATCGAATTAATTAATAAAATAACTCGATAAAAACGTGATACTCCATTACTTGTAATTATTATTGTGCATGTGTGATGCTATAAAATCTCATTACATCGTTTAACTCCAATGTTTATCAAACTTGTTTGTACATGATATCTGTATAAAATAATATAAACTAGTAAACCATATAATGATACAACATTTGATCCTATGAGGCCTAGGAATCAATTATAACGAACTTGGGGTCTGGGTGGGATTCGAATCTGCGTTAACACTCTTACTCTTCGCCTCAGGCGAGTTTCGGTGACGTAGCGTGCATGGCCACCCGCCGCCCATATAAACTAATAAACAATAAACAATGTTGTTACACTGTAATATTGAGATTTATGATAGAATATTATCGTCACGTAGAAAATCGCAACGTTCTATATTAACGTACGCTAAGGTTAAGAATGATGTATACTTTCGTTTATCGACACGGTCAAACAAGCAAGGAGTTCATTACAAGGTAATATTTTATAGATTTAATTATAAATCATTTATTTAGAATTTTTCTCTAAAAATTATGTAAGCTAAAATAACTGCAATATTTTGTAATTGTTTTTACAACCTCAAAATTGTACGCAGTTTGCTTCATTTTTTAAGAAATGTACAATAGTCAAAATAATCTTTTTTTTTTACTTTTTCAGATAAAAAACAACATAAGACAAGTGTTTACGAAATTTATAAACAATGGCAAAGCTACAATAAGCTTAATCGGACCCTGTCATGATCTAATAATTCAGAGCGATGCTATTCAGATGAAAAGCTTTCTTAATGTATTAAAACATATATGTAAAAACTGTACAATGGATGGATATTGCAAAGATATAGATAAATATATTAGCTCTTTCACAACTTTCAGTTCAAATCAATTTTTTTCATTGAACAAAGTTGTGGTAAAGAAAAAATCTGAATATCCAATTTTACAAGGATTCCCAAAAACGACTGAACAACTTTTTTTGAGTGGATTGAATAGAAAATCCTTTGATCGACAAATTCTGACATTGCAGAGTTTAAGACTTTTAGATTTATCAAACAATGACATTTCTTTCTTACCAAAGGAGTTGGGCACTTTGCCTCATCTTCAAAGTCTTAATTTGTCGCATAATAAACTTGGAAAATCTGCTCAATCTAAATGGACTTGGCTACAGCAAGTCGCACTTAAAAACAATTTATATATCCTAGATATTAGTGATAATTTGGTAAGTTATGTATGCATATATTATCATAATATCATAAAATTAACTGATAAAATCAGTTTTAGTTATAAAAGATTTAATTTGCTACAACTATTATTAATAGTTTATTATTTACAGTTAACTGAATTACCACTACAAATTGGACAGCTAAAAGTTCTAAGAGAATTGAAAATTCGTAACAACAACTTAATACAATTACCACAAAATATCGGAACTTTGAATAAATTGGAATTCTTGGATGTGGCAGAAAATAATTTAGAGTTCTTACCAGCAATGATTCAATATTTGACTTTGTCAACTATAGATCTTTCTGGGAATTTATTCTGTCAGGATTATGCTGTTCAAGTTAATAGGAAGAGCACTTCAGACACATTGCCAAGTCTTGTTGAATTGTCAGCTAAAGAAGTTCTAAAATCCAGGTTTTCTATTTTTTTCTCTTTGTTGTAAATGTATATAATTTGATACTCGAAATTATAATATATATGAATAATAATTTTTATATTTTTGCAGAATAACATATGATGCAAGTTTAATACCATATACATTAGTCCAATATTTAGATAAAGGCAAATATTGCTTCTCCTGTAAAAATGTCTGTTTTTATTATTATTCAAAAATTTATTCAGACTTTCGTCAACATGAGTATACTGTTAAAATGTTATGTCCAAGCAATCGCCTTATCAAATATAAATATTACTTCTGTTCTATAGAATGTTATAATAAACTATATATGTTGTTTTTTGACTTCTTGGGCAGGTAGTCATATAAGTACTCAAATGTATTATTAATAATTTTATACCAATATTGATATTATATAAAAAATAAATATGAGTAAAATTAATATTATTTTTATTTATCTTTTTATATAAAGTAAAATGCAATTTATTTTGTATTTTTTACAACTTTTTAAAATCATTAAAACTATAGAACAAATGTTTAAGAAATTTATTATTGACAAAGTTACAATGTGGTTTACAGAATTTTATCAATCTAATGTTAGTATCAGCTCAATAAATGTGCTTTTATTTATCACATTCTTTGAGCACTAATTTATGTTTGGTCATTAAAATTAAAATCTTATATAAATCCATATTTACAATAAAATTATAATACATATATATATTTCATTATGAACATTTTTTGTCTATAAAAGTATCTATGTATTATATATCTATTTTTAAATAATTACTATATTTTGATATTAGTTTAATTATTGTTCAAGAGCTACAAGATTATCGAATATCAAGTTTGTATCTATTGAAAAAAGTATAAATTATTTCATAATAATCATAAGAAATAAATTTTTTTATCTAAGCATGACGTATATGGTAAAACACTTTGAATAAAATCTCAAAAATATCATTTCAGAACAAAAATAAAACAGTGTAAAATTAAAATAAAAATTACAATATTTTACTTTATTATACTTAACTGATTGTGTTATCATCTGAATATGTTGTGTGCCAAAGTAACATCTTTATAAAACTCAGAAATTAAACAGTTTTCTACTGTTCAATGTAAACCATATATTTGTAAGTCAAATTTTACTAGAATTAAGTACACATAACAATAATATTCTCTCTGCATTATTCTGTATAAGAACAAATTTTATGTAAATAGAGAATGTCAATGGTTTAAAGAACTAAACTTTAGATTTTAGTTATTCATTTTTAAATTTATTTTAAAATTAATACATTCTCTTAAAATTATCTATACTTGACTAGAATTTTTTCAAATTGTTACATATCTAACTTTCTCAGTACTTTATATTGTACAGAATAAAGGGGATTTAATATTTTTAGAATAAAAGTGTGTTATCTAAAACTAATATAACAATTTATAAACACACTCACATACACAAATATATACATACATAGACAAACATATAATTAATTTCAAAGTATTAACATAAAAAATATAAAATTATAACAGCTTTTTATGTTACTAATATATTTTATTGGTTTTTTTTAAACATTGTATTTTTTATTATAAATGATTTATTTTAACGAGAAAATATATATGTATAGACTTTTTTTCAGAAACAAATTTTATTGCACAAAAAGTTAGGTCCTTTTATTAAGTTATATTGTTTACGTTTACAATATTGTTATACTTCTAAAAGTCATTAATATATTCATTAATGAAACACATATGTAATAAAGCTTGCAGTTTGTAAAATAATGCTGCAAAATATGAGAAATATCGCTCTTATAATTCAATGTTTTTAAAGATTTTGATAATATAATTACACAATTTTTATATTATCTAAATATTATATCGTTAAATTATTTTTATTGATACACATTATTTTAACTTGATAAAATGTTTTTAGGATTATGCACAATTCACAATCTCGCATGCTTATATTCTGAGTCTATATAAATATATATCTCTTAACTTATTATCAGTCCCACTGTCAGTAATTTATTAAATCATATTGAATAAAAAAAAGAGACAGTATTTTTTATATTATATTTTATACATATTTTTTTCGATAAATATTTTATAATTATTTTGTATTCTTTTCTTTCTTTACAAAGTTAAAAAAGTCATCATCCGTTTCCATAAGAAAATGTTCTTGCGGTATTATTTTTGTTTTCTTACCAATGCGCGATACAGTAAAATCTATGTTTTTAAATTTTTTTTCATCTATTCCCACTTGTAAAGGATGAACAAAGATTTCAGAATCTTCATAAAGAGGAACTGATTCCACTTGACCATTATCATTGTCTGTCATGTATGTGTCGGTCACTTCATGCTGATGTAAATATTGTTTTTTATAATTGTGTTGCAATTATAGAACAATGTCGTAAAAATTAGAGAGAAAAAAGAGAAATGTTTATTTATATACTTACTAAAGTTTCCAATTTGTCTTCTTTTCTTGCAGAAATTTCACTGCTTGGATTAAATAGATTTTCTAATGAAAATTGTTTCAACTTTACAAGGCCCATAATTGCAGCATTTCTACGTAGTTTATTATTTTGTTTATTAATTCTATCGGTTAAATTCTCAGGTTGACTTCCAGAATATGTTATATTGTTATGATTAGAGGTTTTCGGAGATATTTCTTTCTCAGAGTTAGTTATATTCTCAAGACGTTTCATATAAACCCTCTCCCAATGTTTATTTGAAAGATCACGACCGCCATTTACCTGTGTGATACATTAATTATTTATATTATTTAACTTTTATGAATTCTTGATACACAATTGCTTGAAAAAATTACATTTTTTTCTACTGTATATCTTTGGCTAAAACTTTTTCACTTTAAAATCCTAATTGAATGCTATTATTGCTAAATATTAAATAACTATTGCTTAATAACTTAATTACGTTTTAAAAACTGTAAGTATTAACGCACCTCTTTAATAGCGGCAGAAACAGCGTGATGGTCAAAATCATTCTTAATTTTATTTACATAATTCTCAACATCATTATCACTATCATCATTAGAGTCTTCCATTAACTAGAATTAAATAAATAAAATTTTTTTTTTTTATAAAAATATGAATATAAAACAAAATTAGATATTTTCTCATATAGCTAACTATATATATTTACATTTAAGTTTCGTGGTTTCTTCACTTTTCTTTCATTCATCTTTCGATCTTTTGCAGCTTGACTTAATCCTGATAGTCGAAAGAACTTGGCATTACTATCTATATAATCAAGTGATGTTGCCTTCTTAATATTCTCACGTAAATTCATTTTAATCTGTAATATAGATAATAAATTTAAATACATATGCATACACAATACCTTCATAAGATTGGATTAAATGATGAATTTTTATTATATTTAAAATCAAAGAGATACTAATTTATTATATGTATATATATAACTTTTATAAATTCTTAAATTTTCAATTTTTTAACTATATCTATTTTTTTTAATAAAAAGTTAAACTCAAATTTTTTTTACATAGGTTATAAAAAATGGCATAAAAAAACAATAAAAAGTCCTTATTCATACCGACGAGAAAAAATTGAACTGTTTATCTTTCTCACCTCTCTATATAGAACTCTCTATATAGAACTTGATAAAATACATTCTTATATCATCTTCAAGTTGCGAAATTAGTTTCCTTCGTACTTTCAATATTTTGCTATCTTCATGAATCGACTTCTCCTTCGATTTAGTGGCACTTGATAGAAAAATCAGTTTTATTTATCTTCTATCTATAGGACAGAAAATAAGTTGTTCAAAGTGCTTGGTATTGCGTTTATAGAGGACATTTTTAGGTACACATACCACGTTTGTAAACACGTGGGCTACCGTTCACTGACAACAGACTCGGATTTCCCAATTTGACGAGTCACAGTCACAGTAGTCAAATGACTGATATCGCACATTTGAAATATTTATCGAACGCGCAGAATCAGCATAACTGATGAAGTCACAATTACTGAAACTTGATGTTTCTGCTGTTTTCTACGTGGATATCTCTCGTTATTTATTTAGTTCTTTTTCTTCACTCTTCAAGATACAAACTTATTGAACTTACAATGCCACGAGTCACGAGAGATAATTGAAGTTTTTGAATACCAGTAAATGCAAAATGTAGATTTTCTCTCATCAATTTGGATGAAACAAACAAGCTGTTATTTACTTGTTTTTGTACAAAAAATAGAATATGAAAAAAAAAAAAAAAAAGAATTAAACTCGTTGCTCGTTAGGAAATAAACGATAATCTGTTGAATAGGTGTAAGATAAATTTTACACAAATACGATCAAATAAACGTGCAAAGCAATGGCCTACATCAAAATCAACACGTGTTTACGACAACAAAAAGAAAAAGGAGGATTCCAATGGAAGGATATGTTTTCTAGGGACAAAAAAATCCATACTTCCTAATGGACGTCAAATTGTCATACATGCAAATTCGCCTTTAGGCTTCCAGCGAAAAATTCTCTACTAGGAACAATTTGATAGTAACATTTCCAGTTTGACAGTTGCTTATTCTGATTGAGATATCATATGGAGGGCGGAATTGGCGATTCGATCCATCCGCGCGAGCCTCGGAGCAACAGGATAAACGGTTTGTGAAAAAAATTCTTTAATTTTACGAAATATATACAAAAATATCTTTCGTTTTCTATATAATATTATGCGATATTCATTTATTTGAAAAAGTATTTCGTTCAGCACGGTGCGACAGGTGCTATTTCGGGATTAAAAAGGCTCCGAATGTGTCGGTGAGGGATTTCGACGATTCTTTTTGCATTCTTGGAGGTAAAGAGACTTTGCTCGCGGAAGGATCGAGTGTCAAATAGACTTGCAATGGCGATCAATCCTGCAGATTTTATCGCGTCGAAACGACAGATATTGCTCTTTTTATTTATGTTAAGCCAAGTTAGCAACGGCCACGATGAGGATGTATTCACTCTTCAGTATACCAATGAGAATTTCTCTAAAGAGATTGAAAAGAAGAATCACTTTGTTATGTTCTACGCACCATGGTAAATATATAAATGTATATTACAGATATAAATATACAATATATATTATTTATATGATATAAAATTAAAAGCTAGAGAAAGAAAAAATTATTTCTCTATTTGAAGTAATATATTAATTATAATTGAAAAATTTCTTTTTCTCTCTCTTAAAAGGTGTGGACATTGCCAAAGACTTGGTCCTACTTGGGAACAGTTAGCAGAAATGTCCAATGACTTGGATGGTAATATAAGAATCGCCAAAGTTGATTGTACAACTGAAAACACTCTGTGTAGTGAACAAGATGTTACTGGCTATCCCACGTAATTTCATTTGTCTTATTTTACTATCTGTGTTAATGAAATTTCCATGAAAATTATATTCAAATGAATTTTAACTCTTCTTATTTATATCATGCAACTATAGTTTATAATTTCAATATTTCAATGTCTGATAATATATTCCTGTGTTATATGCAATATAAATCATTAAATAATCATGAAATGACAATTATTATAATATCATTACATAATCATTACATAATCATTACATTTGGAAATTTATATATATATAAATGCAGGCTAAAGTTTTATAAAACTGGAGAAACCAGAGGCATCAAATTTAGAGGAACTCGAGATTTACCTTCTTTAACTTCCTTTATTAATGAACAATTAGGTAGTTCCTCTATGGTATGTACTTTTATATATGATTTATTTTGAATTTTATATTATCCTTTACATCAATTGCTTATATTATAACAATTATTTTCTAGACTGAAGATATTGTACCAAGTCCTCCAGAAGCAGTGAATGGATTGTTAGAATTAACAGAAGATACATTTGAAAAACATGTTTCTTCTGGACATCATTTTGTCAAGTTTTATGCACCTTGGTGTGGACATTGTCAAAAATTAGCACCAACTTGGGATGCATTAGCCAACAGTCTTCGTAATGATGATATTGTTAGTATCTCTAAAATAGATTGCACTCAGCATCGTAGTGTTTGTACTCAATTTGAAATTAAAGGATATCCTACTTTATTGTGGATTGAAGATGGAAAAAAGGTATCATCGATTAAATTATTTTTTATTTTCTTTTTCTGAAAAAGAAGGGCAATTATTTGACATACAAGGGTTTTGATGTTCGATTTTCAGAAGGAAAAATGGAATATAAATTTTTTTTTAGGTAGACAAATATACTGGTCAACGCACTCATGAAGAGCTGAAGGCCTATGTGTCAATGATGTTGGGTAAGAATGCTGACCATTTGAGTCAAAAGAGTGAAAGTAGTGATGGTGTTCCGCATGCTATATTAAGCTTGACAACCGACAGTTTCAAGCATGGTATCGAGAAAGGTTTTTCTTTTGTAAAGTTCTTTGCACCCTGGTGTGGACATTGCAAACGCTTGGCGCCTACATGGGAGGAATTGGGTAAGAAGTTTTTGGTGATAATAACGTGAATATTGTTAAAGTTGATTGCACGCTCGATGCAAGCAAAAAAGTGTGCAACGAACAAGAGGTGGACGGTTTTCCGACTTTGTACTTGTATCAAGATGGACGTAAAGTCTCCGAGTACAACGGTTCGCGCGAACTTGATGATTTATATGATTTTGTGATGAATTACCTTAAAAAATCACACGACGAATTGTAATCCTTTGTTAAAGGTGTTGTAATATAAGTCATATTATAGTATTTCCAATCAAGTATTTCCAATTAAACTTATGATACTTAGATATGGCATTGTATTTATCATTCATCATCGAAGGAAGATAGGAATTTTTTTCATTTTTATATAATCTATACAAGAGAATAACTAATTAGAATTTTAATATAATGTAACATCAAAGAATTATGTACTTCCGAAATATAACATATATTTATGAGTGATATTTATTGGACATTTTTCCAATATATTTACCAGGTTTTCTCTCATATTTAATTTTATTTTTAGAAAGTTAGATTGAAAATCTGCGCGCATATCATTTTTTATCAGATAAGAGAAAAAAAATAAAACTATAGTTAAATTAAATACTTATACATTTGTCTCTTGTTTTGCTTTTACTCATATTCAAAGTGTATTTAAAATTAATTGCAAAATGTTTTCCTAATATAATATAAACGCGTTGATTGAAATAAAAGTTAATAATAAGAAAAAAGGCTAATAATAAGAAAAATGGTGGATTACAATTCTATTTATAATATAATACATAAAGGTAACAGGTATAAATATAATTCTTGCTCTTTTATTGTAAATATGTAAAGATTTCTGACAATTGATTATTCATGTCCATATATGCATATATGTTACTTTTTTGGTCATATATTGCAAAAATAGTGATAACCTTGTTGGTTCTTTGTTAATTATCTTCTCTTAGCAATCGTTTAGCATGTAATAAGTTATATTACGAGTTGATCTTGCGTAGAAGCACGTCATAATCAATGATAAACTCATTAATGCATCAGTCTAATAAACGGGTTTGGTGCCTTTGTTTGATTCTTATAACAATCCGCTAATTGTTCTTATTGGAACAATATTTGTTTTCGAAGCATAAAGATCTGTTTACAGACTCGTGGTGTTGCAACTGATGGAAGATATAAACAGTTTGTCGGGCTTTTGAACCGTCCAACCATTCTGTGATAAGATTACTGCATTTCACTTTCTGTTTTCTTTTTTTCTTTTAAGTAGATCCTAACAAGGTTTACAATAACATACGCTGAAGTTTTCATTGTCGATGATGCGGTATTGATAATTTTTGTAAGTAGTGAAATTTATATCACGCATATCGCTAACGTGATCGAAGATTTTCCTGATCACTGGTGGAAAACTCGCAATATTGGCAGCGGCCGCGATCTCATTGTAGTAAGCCCACTGCCTTTCCTTGAGTTTACCGATATGTCTCAGCTAATGAAGAGAAAAATCAATTATTTTAACGTGATATTTTTTTGAGAACAATTTAAGGTATGTGTATGTACATTGTAATGTTTTTTTATTTAAGAAAAACATATCTTTTCACTTTTCTATCACCTCTCCTTAAACTAAATTTTCTCTTTTATTACTAGGACACTTGAGAAATTAATCTAAGACCCTTTAATTACCTGAATTCCTTGATCCAATAGGGCCTTCTTTTCGAGCTTGTATTCCTCGCGCATTCTTTGCGACGATGGCAACTGAATGCGGCCTTCGAGGATTCCGAGGATGTATTGTGCTTGAATGTGGAACATCGGGAATGGTATCACGATGGCGGGTAAACCCATGAAGAACAGATTCGTGTAATCCATGTGCACCAGGTGCTTGTAAATGGGTTCAACGTGGTTATCGTCCGTACGTATCTTAACTTTAGTTGACATAAAGGGATACGTGAACTTGTAACCTGACGAAAATTGATTATGAGAATCAATTAAAATTTCACTAAAATATTCCACATGTATCAATCATTATACCAGTGCAATATATGAAACTGTCCACTTTCGCCGAGGAGCCATCGCAGAAGATGAAGATGTTTCCTTGAACGGACTTGATGCCGGGTTTTTGCTCGACGTTGCTTGACATTTTTGAGTCGATGGGTTTTGTCAAATTATGACTCAAGTATACCTAGATTAACAAGAGGAAGATTACATCAAATACTGATTTGCATATATTGTTATGTCTATGATTAAGATTTTTAATAATTTATAAAACTATTATAATATAAGTCCAATTAGGAATAAAAAGGGTTGTTTTTTTACATCTGGCGAAGATAATTAATGATAGGGATATGCGTACTTTGTCAGCGTATTGCGAGACTTCCAGTGCGATATCGATACCGGACCAGGACGCGCCGAGTATGCAAACATTCTTGTTGGCGTATACTTCTGGCTTTCTATATTGGTGGCTGTGAATACAATCACCGTGGAAGTTTTCGATACCTGGAATATGCGGAACATGACCGACAGTGTAATGACCGTTGCACAACACAACGGCGTCAAAAGTTTTCGTGGTTTCTACTTTAGATTCCAAATCTTCGTACGTCAGCATCCACACCGCCTGGCCGTTTCTCAGAATCTCCGGTTCTATGTGCTTCACCAGAGTATTCAACTGAAATCGAAAAAACGAATATAATTCAAAATCAAAAATATGATGCAAAACTTTGCCCTTCATAGAGTAAGAAATATTTTTTGTTCTTGTTTCATACTTCATATATAAATTCTATACTTCATATATAATTTCTATAGAACAAACAGAGATAATTTATTTTGATTTGATTGTTATAGTTTACTCAAGAACTCACTTTAATGTAAGGATGAAGATTGAAGTGTTCTGCATAGTCCACAAGATATTCCTTTATTACGCTATGATGAACAAAAGATGGACCCTCCTGATTTTTAAAGGAAAATCAGGTATCTGCATTACTTCCTTCGGTATATTCGTTCTGTACGAGAAATAATAGAAAATCAAATTCTCTTAGATGATTCACTCTCATATTTAGAGGTAATCACACGCGCAATTTTTATTAACGTGCCAAGGTTCAAAAGATACGACGACCCGCGATAAACAAAGTTGCAAGCTGTGTGCATTTAACTCGAAATAAGTGTTACATTATTTTTTACTTTATACTTGACGGAGATAGAGTATATAGATCGGAAGACTTTCTCTTCACGCGCATCTTACATAATTAAATTATATTTTTTCTTATATATAATATATGTAATTATTAATTATCTTATATATAATTATTTATATTAAATTATATTTTATTTAGAGGATAACGAAAAATATGTTCAATGTTTCAAAACATTCAATATGTTTAGAAAAATATTTTCGAGTTTTCTTGTTTTTATTTTATTATATCTGGCAAATTTCTAATAAAATAAATTTCTCAGTACTAATAAAATAAAAAAATTAATCAGAGAAGCTGAAGATTTACAATTTACAGCATATGTAGTTTAGCAATGCAATATAATATATCACTGAATTCTCGATTATATTAACAAAAAGAGAACACAAAGATACGTAAGAGAAAAAAAGATACATGAGATGAAATAATGCTGTACGAAACATATATAACAGGCATGTGAAGAATTAAATTAATAAGTGCGATTCTTTGCACAAATTGATACATCTGCGTAAATTTTAATTCTAGAGTCTTCCGTATTGTCTTCTGATCTGGTTTTTGATTTGCATCTTTGTTGACACTCGACTTATTGGCGCGTTTATTTTCTTTCCGGAACAGATTGCCAAGAGACGACTGTCTCATTAATGTGTCACAAAGTGTATCGCTTGTCGACAAAGTTTATCGCATTTATACATTAGACCACGTGTTACGCGTTCATATATATTTATTTCATTTCCTGCGACGGGAAATACCGAAACTTCTTATTGTCTTCATCGAGTATCGAAAGAAGGGTAGAGTCCGATACGTCATCTAATGATGTCATTTTATCTATCGAAATATATACTGAGCAACGGAGTATAAAAATATATAAAATCTAGTCTATGACGTTAAATTTAAAAAAAGCTTGATGAGAGAAAATCAATTATAGCTTCAATTATATATACGTATAAAAATTATACAATTTTTAAAATAAAAGTAATCCGCGCAAGTTACAAAGTGATTTCCAGTGATGCAACTCGGCTCTATTAAAGGAGACATGTTTCACAAAGTCCCCTCTCGTTTTGTGACTGCCACTGATGCAATTCTATTCATTTTTCCATAATTGTTATGTCTAATCGATATATTTTTTTTCAGTTATATATTATATTATTTTAATTTTTTACATTCTAATTAATTCGCTCGAATGTTAAAAGGGTATAACTTGTAAAAATAAATTTTAATTTAATTTAAATCTGCATTTTTTAAAATAAAAGATTTATTTATGATAATATGATGAAAAATACGTTCAAAAAATTATATCAAATGTTAAAAATCTCGTATATTATAATATGTGGAAATGTTTATTTAAAATTTTAAATTTGATCTTATATACAAAATTAATCCCTTGACTCATGGGACATGCTCGATTTAATATTATCACAATCTGTATTTAATTGTGAAAAAGATTCAATTAATTTTTCCTAATTAATGAAAGGGTGATGAAATGGAGGTGTTTCCTATTTATCTTTAATGTCATTTATACGAACCTAAGATTCTTATACATGCTGCTGTGTATAAGAAGTCCGTGTTTATCAACATTCGTTTCGTCAGTGTAGACCCATGTGCCACCGATATGATCGGTTTGTTCGAACAACATTAGACTGTAAATATCTAATCTAGATACCACATGACGGGCTACCACCAAACCAGCCACTCCACCACCAATAATAGCGATTCTCGTTTTACTACTTGGCATTGTTTCCTTTTTAATCTAGAAAGCCTTTTAGTGTCTTATCTCTCTTTTAGTTTCTCTGTATAAAAATTGAAATTTTCTGAAATTATATACTATTTCTTTTGAAAACTCTTGCTTGATATTCAGCAAATATAATATATAATATAATTGAATAAAATTGTAAAATTAATGTAAGAACAGGCCAACTCAAGAGCATAAATTATTAGGATGTTAGTGAATATTATAAATTTTTATTACTTCTTAATTATACCATATTAAAACAATTAAAACATATTAATACAATTAAATCAAACGTTTCGACTGTACACAGTCTTCATCAGTGGTGTCATATAGTATTAGTTAATTACAAAATTTTAAAAAACATTTCGACGATGCGAACGATTGCAATTCATACTATTAATATATGATTATAATTAATAGTATGAATTGCAATCGTTCGCATCGTCGAAATGTTTTTTAAAATTTTTTAACATTTTATAATTGACTAATACTATATGACACCACTGATGAAGACTACGTACAGTCGAAACGTTTGATTTAATTGTATTAATATGTTTTAATTGTTTTAATATGGTATAATTGGGAAGTAATAAAAATTTATAATATTCACTAACATCCTAATAATTTATGCTCTTGAGTTGGCCTGTTCTTACATTAATTTGACAATTTTATTTTAATATATAAAAGCGTTATAATTTTTTACTAATTTATTATATATAATTGAATAAATAATATAACTGAATAAATAAAAAATCAAAGTATATACTAAAAAATAAGTATAAAATAAAAAATATATTTTTATAGAAAATACAGGTGATATAATATTACATACACTTTACGTTATTTTTCCTTCCAGAAAGATTTGATAACGTAATGAAACTCTTCAGATAAATATCGAAATGATGAGCGACAAATTTATCACGTGTGATAATTTTGTCCAGCAATTAATTATATAAATAATTAATTATATATAAATAAAAAACTGTTTAACACAGTTTTTTGATATATCTTCACGTTGCGTCCTCTGATTTTCACTCGTCGATGTAAAAGTATATAAAAATTTAAAAACTATGATATATATAAATACTATATGTAAAAATTATAAATAGCCAGATATTTTATATCGTTTTTGATCCGAGTCTAAGAAATAGCACTTATTGTTAGTGCTACACTGGAGACAGTTTCCGGGCACGAGTTTCCTGAACTGGTTCGGCTAAAAGCTGGATTAAGACTGTCGAGACAAAAACAAGTCCAAGTATAACACTCTTGTGTTTATCCGGTCTCCCCACGCTAACTATAAGCTTACATATGGAAAGTGGTTTTTTCTACGACGAGTTACGGTGTGGTTCCCTTCTTCTGATGAAATCGTGACGAAGTCAGCATCAGGATGCCCCGCGGGGCACCTACGAAAGTCTGGTTCACGGTTAAACCTTCATTAATAAAGTAAAAAGGTGTAAGCTTGAAAATCCAGAAAATCAAATTTCAAATTTTAAGTCAACATTTCCACATAAAAAAATTGTTAACTTAACTAAACCTTTCAACTAAATTACTATTTTGTTAATTGAACATATATTAGTATTTAAGTCACGTACATGTTTTGTTAGATTTAATGTTATATATATTTAATTTAAATATTTTTATATGTTTAATTAACAAAATATTATTTATCAGTTAATAATTTTTGTTTCAGTGATTTAACGTAAAAGATTTCTAATGTTAAATAAAATATTTTGAACGTGTTTTAGATAATGGATAATGAGCGGCAAGTTCTGGGATTATCATGTATTAATACGAAAAAAAGATATGATACATACGCATTGGAAATATAATTTCGGGACTTGTGGCGAGTGAAATTGATACGTGAAAGATGTAAATCTTGCAACTTTGAATGTTAAACAAAAAAAAAAACAAAAAATACACTCAATTTTTAATAGACTAAGGTACATTATATTAATTATTTAGCACGAATATAAATAATGTAGTTACTATAATTTGCTATCTGTGTAATAAATTAAAAATGAATGTATAATCGGTTTTAATGTATATAGTAAAACTAAAAACATTATATTTATAAATTGCGGATCTTGCAGTAACTGAAGAATAGCTAGAAAGTTGGTATACTATCGAATAATTAATTTAAAAGCTAACAAAAATTGTGTCGATATTGTAAATTTAAACTTTTTTCCATTCTATGCTGATTTTATGTTTTATTAATACATTCTATTTGATATGTGACAAAATCAAAGGCAACAGAAATTTTGTGCCACAGAACATATTTGAAATTCACAATTAAAATATAAAGAAAAATTATTAATACTATTTTTCTCTCTCTACTAATTTTGCAACGCGCTCGTGTAATCAGTGATACGCGATTAAAGACAGCAAAAATAGAAAAGTAGCATGCTGATACAAGTGCTACGATTTTAATGTGACGAGTGATAACATATAAGATTTCGTCATATCTGTTACAACAGGCGAAATTCACTGTAAAACGGTTAAGACGGTCATTTTTCTCCAGTCGTACGTTAAAATTACTGTAATTAGTTCCTGGTGATTGAGAGATTGCCGGTCGACCATGATTAAAAAAGACCAAACACGAGGAATGCGAAAGGGAAAACGTTCGCTCAATTGCCGATCTCCTCTTAAGTCTGTTTAAAGTGTAATTCTTATTAAAAAGACACCGTGTTACTTGCTTTTTATAAATACTTGTTTTTCCTGTTTTTCTCCCGTTTTTGGAGAAGAGAAGGGAACGATATACATATATAGGAAGTGGCTCCACGTTATGTGTCACAAATGACCGACATGATTGACATTGACTGAAATGTCTGGAGAAAGATTTTATTACGATTGATATAAATTTTGTGTAACATATAAGTTTCTCTTTTAAATTTAAAGTTTATCCTTCAGTTTTAAGATTCATGCGCTTCTAAACACGAGATATATAAGAATCGTCGCATTCTTTAATACTGCTTGTGCGAATATCTCTGTTTATAGGCTTTTAATCTTGCGTTAATATATATCTTATTAATATATTTATTAGTTCAATGTCAACTTTTCTTGAAATAACTGTCCTCATTTAATTAAAGACTTGAATGTGTCAAGTATGCGCATTAATTATATATAAGAAATTTTATCATTTATGTTTGATATTCCAATCACTTATTGCAATCGCAAAGAGACGAAATATTGCATCAACCGATGTTCTCTTTGGTTTCAGATTCGTAATTATAGTTAATGTAAAATAAAATGTATTTTGGAAGAAAAACACACGAAATGCAAAATACATTACAATAAAGTTTATATAGCGAAAGATCGAACATGATATTATATAATATTATATAATATTATGTTTGATTTTTTGCTATATGAACTTTATTGTAATGTATTTTGTTGTAACGATTATATTATATAATATAATAAAATAATAATTTTTATAGGTATTGATATAATAAAATATTATTATATTTCCATTTGGTTATTATTTCAATATAATTGTAGCGTGTCAATAATATATGAAAGCTAATGCATTCCAGGAGAGCCAAAATGCACTTTATAATACAAACATTTTTCATCTTTCAGTCTTAATTATATATATTTTTTTAAAACTGCGACTAAACGTTTAATAGGTATTGGAAAATTTTAGGATTATTCCATGGAAGACACAATTCTTGCAACAGATATGTTTCTCTGTCTCTTTCTTTCACAGCTAAAAGATAGAAACAGAGGCAGAGAAACATCGAACGTAAGCATTTTTTATCGAAATTAACTCGATGTAAGATTTCATAGACATGTGTATTTAGCATATGCATTAGTGATTTTATCATTTTGTACTATATATGAACGTATTTATTATTAGAAATGTTGAAATGTAGCGTTTATATTTTTTATATATTGCAAATTTTTTAGTTTTTACAAGGCGTGATAAAATATATGACTTTGCACATTTTGTAAATCAAGCAAATCAAATTTATTGATTAGTAAGAGCAAGAGTGAGATTATGTTGACGATGCAAATTGAAAATGTGATTATACAACAACATTATTGTTTAGACAATGTTTAGATATATGACTTTATCACTCAAGAGAATAGCGTAAAATCTTTTTATAAAGTCAGATAGAATATAGTTATTTTTAATGAATACAAAATATGTGAGGTTCAATTTTTTAAATGTTTACATAATAAATTAATATAATAATTATAAAAAAAGTAATAACGCACAAGCAAATTATATAATTAATTTTTATTTAAATATATTCAAGATTAAAATTATTCAAATATTGTCATCGTAATAATGTGCAATTATATCCAAAATAAATATAAACTTTTATTTCTTGAATATTCATATTTTGCATTCATTTACATATCTTTGAATTCGTCATTCATATATAATCGCGTAGTAAGATGGAAAGAAACCGATTATATATAGATATTGGAAAAGAATAATGAGTTATTTATCTGATTTTTTATTAAAAAATAATTTTACTTAATAAATAAATAATAATCAGAGAAATTTTATACGAGAGAAATTTATTTAAGGAAAATAATTTTCGGCTAATGTGTAACTATATTTCCTATTTCATTAAAGTTAACATTATCTATCTTATCAGTTTATTCGACGCAATATTCTGTTTCAGAAGTTTGCGTAATTTATGACGTTTTAGACTCTTACGCGAGAAAAATTTATTTACAAAGAAATTTTTTGCTATAAGGAAAATAATTTTCGGCTAATGTGTAACTATTTCCTATTTCATTAAAACTAACATTATCTTATCAGTTTATTCGACGCAATATTCTGTTCCAGTTTGCGTTATTTATGACGTTTTAGACTCTTATATATATTTTATCATCTTGCAATATTAGATAAAATTAAATATAATTAATTAGATATTAGATAAAGCTAACTAGTTAATTATTCATAAAGAAATACATGCATATTTTTAAAAGATTACATAAAATTTTTCAATAAAAGTTTGAAATTAGTTGTGAAATTTTATCAATGATGTATAAGTATAAAAGTATAAAATCATCTATAAAGTTATTATTATTTAAAGAATGACTATTATTTTTATTTCATCTGTTGGTCACTAATTTGTTCTAGCAGTTGACTGTGTCGCAGTGTTGGAGTAATGTTAAAATTGAAACATTGAAATTAATTCATTTACGTAATTATCATGACGTGATTGATTATAGCCCGTCGTTCCACATTGCGTTATATAGCTATCGCTTTTATAAAGCAAATAGAAATGCGATTGTATGAGCTCACTAGCGGATCCTGACATCGATTATGGGGAAGGGGGGTTTGCAAAATTATTTAATTAATATAGGATCCGCTAGTGTATGAGATTAAAATTCCAATTAAATCAATTTTATTAGTACAGAGAAATAATATAAGCTTTATTTATCGATAAATTTGAATAAACGATCATCTTTTGCCGTAAACGATGTGATTTCTACACAAATTAAACTTTTATTTTTAGTAAATTTTATAGCTTTATTAAAATTTAATTTTATTATCGATTTTGTTTTATTTAACATTGAGCGATTTAGACATTTATTCTGGTTTGCTGAATCTCATTTTATAGTCAATACTTAAAGAAAGATGCTCAATGTTACTTTGTTATGTTCAATGTTATTTTAATGATTTACTGCAATTTGATGACTCACATCTCAGTAATATTTTTAAGATGTAGCTATGATTACGAATTTTCATTTATTCATAATAGTCTTTTGAAAGAGAAAAAATATATATATGTTTAAAAATAAATGAAAACTTTCTTTATTAAACGTGAACAAAATCAAAGTTAATAACTATTTCTATCATATATAAATATATTTTTTAAACTTTGAATTTAATAAAGAAATCTTAAGTGAAATCGATAAGATTTTTCTGCATCCTGATTCTTTTTTGAAAACTCATTTATATTAGTATATATAATGAAAATAAATTTAATTGCAATATAATATATATTGTATGCATAACAAATTAACTTGTCCCCATAATCAGAACGAAACAATATATTTGCTCACTTGCATTTATATCTCTACCACAGTTGTGTGTTAATGATTTATGTCTAGATAAATATCGGTTATAGCAGCTTCCATAAATTTTCAACAATCACACGATCTATTTGCAATGCCATTGAAAACGTCATTGTTTTGTGCGCAATTCAAATGTGATAATGAAAAGGATTGCATTTATTTGTTTATGATACATTCAGATGTATAGATCAGATGTCTTAATTATCAATATTTGCAATATAAGATCTCTCATAGATAGACTAGAAAAATATATGAAACTATTACATATATATATATATATATATATATATATATGATAGAATAAAAATATATTCTTAAATATAATATTATTCAATCAATCATCAATAAATAACAAGGATAATAGATGTATTTTATGCTTATTTAAACTTAATTATTATTCAATTAATTTTTTTAATTGTTAAGAGACAGTGTGAAATAAAAATACACTAGCAAATTAGGGCTGTTATCTTTCAATCATCCAAAATATGCGCGTTATCACATCAAATATACACTAGATAAAGCATAAATAAATTATGTACCTGAATAAGACTTTTCGAACTTATTTAGAAGATGAAAATATCTCGTTAATATTACAAAATTGTCGTGTCATAAGGCTACACAGAATTTGAAAATTTTTCCATGAAACATAGAGTATCACTTGTCATGACTTCTGCGAGGGTAGAGGATCTCTGCATAGATTTTTGCGGTCCACACGATTCTACTCGAGGAACAGTCACGCAGTGTTCGCCGTGACACTAACTGATTAACATATACGTATAAGAGGTCAAGAAGGACTCATATTTGTCATAAAATAAATTAGTGTTATTCAAAATAAGAATTTATTTAAATATTTAATAAGAAAAATTGATATAACACGGAAATAAAATTAATTTCTATTCTTGACATCTCTTGTAACGAATTGCACACCTGAAATATTATTTATTTAATTGTATTGTAAGAAAATATTAAAAGTGATAAATTTTGTAATTTACAAGTGATTATGAATTAAACAGCCAATATTTTTTAAGACTAGAGAAAATGGGAAAAAGTAAGTACATTTAACAAAATTATGTATCTAATATACTTATAGAATATTGTTCGATAGAACTCTTTTACAATATCTTAATATTTAAATCCAATTATTGCAAAAAACTTGTGATATTCTTTTTATTTCGTATTTGAATATTATTATAGAATTCATCGAATATCAATTAAAGAATGTAAAAAATATTGCAAGTAATTTGCGGACATTATATGTATTATATATGTGTCTCTTTCAATTTAATTAATTCGGTAATATAATTAATTACATTCTCATGTACATTTTGTGCATATATAGTGGTTCTTTTGAAACCCGTTTTAAAAGAAAAAATAATATTAAAAATATTAAAGATAAAATAATAAATTGATTAATAAAATTCTCTGAAAAATAAAGATTTTCGTATTTTATTTGTTGCAGGTAAGGAATTGTTAACATGCCGGGATATTTTATGGGTCCTAGTCTTTATTGGCTTCGCCATGAATTATATGGTGCGATTAAACTTAAATCTTACTATAGTCGCAATGGTGGTACCATATCCGAAACCTGCAGCGGCTATACAATGCAATGTAGAAAATAATACATTACTCTGGATCAACGAAACGTCTGAGAATAATAACGTATCTTCCTCTTTCTCGATTACGACGTCGTCCGAAAATGTTACGGTATTTTGTAGATATATCCTTAAATATTATATTTTTTTATAAATAAAATTTACTCAATACATCTCTTTATAATGTCGAATTTTTCGGAGGTTTTTCTTCAATGTTTCGATATATTTCCGTAATTTTTTTTAGTATGAAGATCGATTCGCTTGGACCGAGTACGAACAGGGATTGGTGCTGGGTGCCTATTATTGGTTGCACTGGTTATCACAATTACCTGGTGGTCTCCTAGCTAGGCGATATGGCACGAAACTTGTATTCGGCTTAGCAAATTTATTGACATCTCTCTTAGGATTTCTCATTCCTTACGCCGCGTCGAATCTATATGGCTTGATAATTCTTCGAATGGTGCAAGGATTAATCACGGTAAGCTATACGTTCTGGCAAAAATTAGGAGGCAAATGATCGATTTTCAAAGTCTGCTTGTATATTCAAAAATATTATTAACGTCTGTTTTTATTTCAGGGTGTTACATGGCCCTCGATGCACAATATGACAGCGAAGTGGATTCCACCGAACGAGAGAAGCAGATTCGTTAGTGCTTATCTTGGTAAAGTGTAGACTATTTCCATGATAAGACCGAGGTGCAACAGGAAATAAATATTCACAAGCAAATTTGAAATTAATTTTCAGGAAGTTCCGTGGGAGCTGCAATTACTTATCCTCTGTGTGCAGCTGTCAGCAGTTTCTTCGGTTGGAGTGCAGCTTTCTATGTCACGTCTTTGCTAGGTGTAATGTGGTGAGTGTATCTAGAATATTTCCAACTTTACAAGATGTTTGCGGTTTCTCGCTGATTTATTCGTCATAAATCGCAGGTACTGCTCGTGGCATTATTTCGTATATGATTCACCGCAGCAGCATCCGCGAATCTCTGATGATGAGAAAAATTACATCATGGAAAACATCGCAAAGTCTGTCGACGACGAAGAGAAAAGGCAGATACCTTGGAAATCAATAATTCTGTCAAAGCCGATTTGGATCACCATTGCCGCACATTGGAGCACTGCTTGGGGTTTCTTGACGCTGATGACACAGGCACCGAGTTATTTCAACTTCATTCACGGTTGGAATATTAATGCTGTAAGTTATACGCGTATGAAATTTCATACAAAATTATTTCTTTTCGTATTGTTATATATAATCCTGATTATTTTTTCAGACTGGGATGCTGGCAGGAGCACCGCACTTACTCAGAATGATCTTCTCGTACTTATTTTCCATCATGAGCGATTGGCTGCTACGTACGGAGCGAATGAGCACGACGAATGTCAGAAAATTGGCCACCTTCGTTTGCACCGTTGTTCAAGGTATCCTCATCATGGGCATCGGATTTAGTGGATGTCATCCATTATTCGCGGTCATCTTCATGATGACTGGTACAGGAGTTAATGGTGCCATTTCCGCCTCCACGTTGACAAGCCTAGTCGATCTCAGTCCGAATTATGCCAGCATCCTCCTAGGATTCGCCAACATGATCATCGCATGGGCTGGTTTTATCTCGCCAGCAATCGTTGGTATACTAACGAATAATAACGTAAGTTTAATTTGCACATAGATTGTGTTTGCAAACATTGTATATTAAAATTTTGTTATAATATCGATTATTAATCTATAGCAAAGTGTGGGACAATGGCGTTTGGTCTTCCTGATTGCTGCTGTCAATTCGATAGTAGGTGGTATCATATATATATTGTTTGGAACTTCAAAGGAACAACCATGGAATCAGTACGCCAAATTAAATTTGAAAGAACAGGAAATGCAGCAACTGGCCCCGAAAGCCATAAAATCCGATAATACCACGGAGAATGTAAAAGATACTGAAAAAGCAAATTTTATCGAAGAAAGATAATACATTTGTAAGAAATATTGAAGGAACGGAGATAATTTTAATATATAGGTATATCAAAATTACTTCCCATTCATATATATATTGGAACATGCACGGCAAACGATAGTTCAATAATGATAGAGCCGCCAAGGACAATATGTATTGATAAAGAGAATATATAACGATTGATCGTATATTTAATAATTAATATTAATAATAATACACATTCACACACATAACTTATTTTTGGAACATTTTGTCACAAAGAAATAAAGCAATGAAATATAGTGATATTACAATGTAAATAAATGTTAAATTATTTATACGCGCTAATTGTAAGACATATGTTATGACGTAAGTTATGACTTAGATGTGTTTCGACAGAAAACGCAAAATACGTTTTATTTAATTGAACTTATGTATATCGCATTATTCCGTCCCCGCACGTGCACAATATGTAAATTGTGGTGCACAAGTTCTATGTAGTAAAATAAAATCGATGAATAAAATATTAATTATTTTCTATTATGGCCAACACCACATTATTTCCTCTTACACAAAAAAAAGAATACCGGAATTATCACAGCTTCTTTTCTGCTGTGAAGCAGATTAAATACCAAGCCTTATCCTACTTCCTAGACAAACATATCGTGCGGCTCTTATGAAATATATTAGCATCATTCACGGACCTCGGACCATATATTATCATCACTCATGAAAGTATACAATGTTGTTAATTGTTGCGAGTGCACATCTCTCGTAAAAATCATGCAATTCAATATTGATATCTAAATCATTCTTTCGTAAAAATCATTTAATTCAATAGCAATATCTAAATTCTTATAATTGAGATTTTTGCACACTTTATAATTATAATAAATATTGTGAATTTATAATAAAGTACCAATTTTTTTCATATCACTTTATATGTCGTAATCATATGTAATCATTATATGGGCACTTCCATTTCTTAATATCTAAGCTCGAATACCAAGGTCTTTGTTCCAGATTTTTGATAATAAATCTTCATGCTTATCGGAAGACTAATTTACGTACGTGACTTACAAAGCACACATTTTCTTCCGAAAGTCGCAAGGACTCGACGTTTCGATTTTTAATGACTTCAGTGATTATAATAAATTAAATATATAATTAAGTATTAACATAGCAAAATGCATATTTTGATATCTATAATGATCAATAAAATATATATTTTTTCATATAAAAATGACACAGTAAAATAAAAATTTAGAAACTTTAGAATTATATTAGCTTTTGCTAAATAAAAAAAACCTGAAAAATGTCAACAATTCAATATACGTATTTTAAATGTTTCTAACTCTGTAAATTAAATTATTAAGATGCTATACATTAAAGAAGCTATATGGAAAATTCAAAGTTTATATAAATAATTTAGTAAATCATAAAATATTAACGTTATTCATTAAATAAAGAATAGTTCATTAATAAAAAATAACATTTTCTTAGAAGAGATATGAACTAAGCAGTCACATAATAATTGATATATTATATTAGCTACTTATAATCTATCGTAATCTAATAATAAGTAGTAAATATAAATACATGTAGAAAAAACACAGTTGTACGACTAGTATTGAAAGCACGTATGTAATAATAACGCAAATACGAATGTGCGATTGGAAGCTCGAAGCTTTTAAGCTTCGGTTGACAAGGGAATTTTATCAAACGTACGTAAAATTAACATTAGGCCTAAAATAGGAATCTGTCATCAGATAAGTTAATTAATTTAATATTTTATAATATAAACTTGCGCGCGCATATGTGCGAGTTTATATATATTATATATATTACTTTATTTCTGTATATATATATAAATTCTATATACGTATCTCTCTGTATATGTATATATATCATAATCATTCTCTACATTTGATAGAACTTCAAATGTGTGCTTCTACGCAACAAGTGACTTTTTGTCTCGTTTCGTATTGATTTTAGGTCCTCCTACCACTTATAATACTTGTCAATGTTCTTCTTACATATAAGCAAATAAACCTCTTCGAAATAGATTTTATATATGCTTAAACATTTTTTTAATTTGCACAACGCGGCACATGAAGTATATAGACGGAATATTAAATTATTTTCATAGCAAAAAAATATAAATAAAATAAGTATAAATATTTTACTTGTGCAGTTTAAAGACGTTTTTAGTTGGAATCAATCGTGTTTTTGTAATTTTTATGTTATTCTTGATTTCCACTAAACTTTTAAGGTTTCTTTTATCATTAACAACATTTATACATATATGCTTCATATGTATATTTTTATATTTTTTCTCTTACTCTTTAAGTTCATATCCTCAAATTCGATATTTAGATATTAAATATTTCTATACACTACCCTGTTATTTTTTAAATGCAGAATTTCTTGATTACATGAAAATTGTACGAGAAAATTTGATCTAGTTCAAAAAATTTGTCTCGAAAATGTTCGCGAAGATAGTATTCAAGATTCAGATTTTACAAGGGCAGTGAATTTAATAAGTATGAACACGTTGGCACATTTTAAGAAAAAGTTTTGTTACATGTCCCATCGTAATCTGAGATTTCAGAAAAAAATATTTATGATTCTCGTAGATGTGTACTGTGAATATAGAATGAATATCTGTGTTGTTGAAAACGTCAATATATATATATATATATGTATATACTCTGACAAACATGTAGTATAATTCCAGCAATATTGTAACGATAATTTGATTCTGATTTGATAAATACTGTTAAATATACTTTCAGTTTCCTGTTGCCTCTATCACATCTATTTCTAGAACAGTTTGTTTAATAATTTGTTTAATTAGTATTCTATCTCATTTGGACTTGGTGCAATTGGTTGATGATTTTAATCATAGCAAGTACGAATGCAACATGTAGCTATTCTATACGATTAAGTTAAACTGAATTACTACTAAATTTTTTTAATTGGCTACCTTGAAAATATAAATTAGCATCCTTCATCTCATTTAAACCTATTGAAATTGTTTCATTATTTAAATTATAGCAAATATAAATGTAACTATCTTGCTAAATTAAATTAAATAGAGACACTAAATTCATCATTTATCTAGAAAATGATTTTCTTCAAAGCGTCATTGATTTGGTGTTCAAGTCGAAAATATGGATGTGTTCACATAACACACATCATTTAACATGTATATCTAATATAATTGTACACGTTTATCCTCACTAAGAACCAATATGAAATCATCTCATTTCATAATTCATTATGCGACAACTATAGTAAATAATAATGGCACTATTCTGTTTTTAACATATCAAAAAACGGAAGCAATAAATGACTAATGTGACAGTCGAATATTCTCGATATTCTTGGGAATGCTTGACTAATTTCGTTTATAATATAGTCAATAATGTGACTATAGGAAGATATTAAAAAAATACTGTCAATTAAATATTTGTAAAAATGGTACTAATCTAAAAAAAATCTATAGAAGATTTGAACAGCGCGTGAAGTATTCTACAGAATAATTGTTGCGAAATCTATCTACTTTTACGAGTGATGAATCTATCAAAGTTCACCGACTGCTTATTACTTTTGTGTACTTTGTGCAATACCTATCAGTCGTTTTGATTTTAAACTTTATCATTCATTCTATGAAAAATTATACGTGTTATACTATATAAAATCTATATGAAAGAGTGACATTAATCATTGGTCGGTGGATCCATAGCGCAGATTATAGCTTTCATTACACTGGCTGCCGTTAATGACGCGTAAGGCTGCCATTCTTTGATTCGGGTACCATCTTTGTAGTCGGCAATTCCGCGAATTACGACGAAATTTTCGCGGCAATTACCTAAAATACTCTCCACCACGGCATCCATTTCCGCGTCAAATGCGAGCGCACCGAATCGACTTGCAAACTTTTGCCTAAGTTGATCGTCTCGTGCGATTTGTCGACCAGATGCCACCGGTGCTAGATGAATTCGAGAATATCCGTCAGTTCTGTAATAATAATATTAATATATAGTTATAAATATAAATCTAAATTGTAAGAAGGCGTTAATATATAGTTATATATCAAAATATGTATTTATTTATATGGTTGAAACAAATTAATATTAATAATTAATTAATAATTAACAATTACCTTTTTTTATTCATGGAATCCTGTGGTGCAATTGGATGGGATACTTCGATAACATCCCTTTCCCCAATAACCATATATAATTTATCGGATTCCGGTGGTGGTGCATTAAAGTCATGTTCCGACTGATTGATCAGATTCTCCAAACCTTCCTTCGTATACGTCTGCCACGGCGGAAATGTTTCGTTTTCAGCCTACGGAAAAAAAATATTTTCAACAAACAAGTATATATAAGTAAAATTCATATAAATATCAATTAAATGACCTCTTTTTTAAGAGTCGCCGCGATTTCTTGAAGACCAAGATTTGGCGGGCAATATTCTTTGGTCTCGAAATGATAATTCCCATTTTCGTTCATCTTGGCACTTTCGCAATAAATATACGTATACTTGTTGTTGTACGGTGTTGGATGCGATACCACTACGTCACCTAGTCTTACGTGTTTATTGTAATCCGTGTAATGAGGAACACCACCACCGACTCCGACGAGAAAGACAAAATCCACCTTTTGGAACGTACCTATATATACATGCGAATAAGATTATAACAACATGTGCAATAAAATTGGAAAAAACTTAAGAAAAAGAAATAATATACATACCTAACAATCTAGTAGTAGTATTGCCAGCTGCAGTCATTGCTTCTCTAGTATGGCCCACCGTTGGCAATTTAGTGCATACAATCCTATGTGCACCGATATTGCCCAAAGTATATACGTTTGATTCCCCTATAACAAACATTAGCTATTTATTTTTAATATTCTTATGTATCTTAAAATTTATGTTTTCATATGTTCTTGATTTGCGTATAATACATTGTGCGTTGTGCGGCTATCGACAAAGTAGAACGGAACCTGTGTCATTTGTGATAATAAAATAGATAACAATTCATTCTATATAGACGTATTTTCCAAATAGTACTGGATATAATAAAAATAATTATAAAAATCTATTCAAAAATCTGTTTAATTCTATTGAAAAGTTAAACTTCCTTGTTGAGATGTCGAATACACTTTAGAATGTATTACACAGTTATTGAGAGAATATGAATATTCTATTAAAATTTTTAAGGGGTGTTTTGAAAAGTACTATTAATAATAATAAAAAAGAAATAAAAAATAAATATTCTTCTTTACTATAATATATGGAATATTTGAAGAAATAAAAAAATTTTTAAATAAAAATATTAACTGTACATATGATAAAATTCACGAGAAAATATAATGTATCCTTTAAAATGAACGTAATAATGAATATAAAATATGAGTAAAAGCTTAACAAAAACACCTGACATAAAACAAACATAAAGCTGTACAAAAACATTTTGTGTTAATAATATTAAATATTCATAATGGAAATTATTATGATAAAAATTAGAAAATGACTAACATAACACGTTAAATGGATTTATAGCATGAAAGAAACACTGTGTTTCAAATGTACATGGTATAGCACCACGGCCCCGCATTGTTCTTCGGTCGCAAGCAATTGGCAAGCTATGAAATGACATTAAAATAACGATAGAGATTTTTGTTATAAACTACGTTACCAAAACGGCATATCACTCGCGGAACTCCATCTGTTGTATCTGGTGTGTTTGCGGTACCTAAAGTTTCATGCATAGTGAAATATACATACATTCCCAATATCGAGAATTTGCCGCCGATTAATAGATCATGTAAATTATTATATTTGGGCATGAGAAGAAGCGAAAGAGAAAAGTATGAGCATATAACCAGAAAGAGAGAAATTCATTAGAAATAATTCAATTAAAATGTTTGAAAAACGATTATATGCAATTAAACACATGTGGAAATAAAAGCAAAAGAGTCAATAAATTATTTTTCTAGTATTTTTTAAAAATTCAATTACCAACTATTTTTGTCTCATAAGAATAGAATAGGAATTAGTTTACACATTTTATAATTATTATTCAGATCTGTCGCAAGTGTTATAGTTTTAGAATTAATTTTTATGTGTAATATAAGATAAATATTAAAATAGAAATGGTAAATAGTAGAAAATCTTACCAACAGTAGTGTAGCGAACAAAAGTTTCTTTGTTTTCAATCATTGAATCCACAGCAAGTTTCTCACAATATTGAGCAGTAATGATAGCTATGGTAGGTTGTTTTGCACTTGCCATTGTTGGCATCTGTTTTACTACCTAAAATTAAATTTTAACAATGTTAAGATGCATGTGAGTTTATGAAAAAAATTGATTAAATAATTATATATCTCATAATAAATAAATTACTTGGACTTGAGTATCTTCATGGACGACACGTGTGTAAGCTCCATGATCCATTGCTTTGATAAGTCCTTTTTCTTGAAGTTCTTTTAATTTAGCCTCTACGTCTGATGATTCCCATCCATGTTCCCTAAAATATTTAAAAAAACTCATTTGTTATACAAGTTTATAATAAAAATAATTACATATAATTCTCTTTAAATATATTACTTTCTTAATCTAAATTCTATTTCATACAAGTACTTACTTTGCTATGTCAACCACAGTCACTGGATTCGGATAGGCAGACTCAATAAGCTCCAGAACTTTTTCTACTGTTAGCTCAATTACTTGACCCATGATGGCTTCGTCGGCAGATACTTTTAATTAAAAAAAAAAGAGAAGAAAAAATTATTTAATCATGTAAATGAATTAATGGGATTGGGTAAGTTTGTCAAATTTTAAAGCTGCATGTATGCCTATTGTAAATAATAATATAGTTAATAGCATCGAGACAAGAATAACAGCACTCCATATGCAAGTTAAATTTTCTGCCATGTAGATGAGAGAGTGTAGATGAGTCTATAAATTTGTATATTAAGTAACTTCTAATTTGTCAATGTAAAAATATATGAGAGTTTCGAAATATGTGTCGTACAGCTATATATAGTGCACAGTTTAACTAAAGTTTTTTTTTCTATAACTAGAGTCGAGCTAGAACCGTTAGTGAAGAATACAGCTAATGTGTATGTGTGTATCTTGAACACATATATGTATATGGTATCTAATGATCATGATTAGAAGGTTCGTGCTCTACATGGATGCATCTCCTTATAGAATGAGAACTAAAGTGGCAATGTTATTGGTACTGTGTAGTACACTAATGGATAATCAATTAGTAGTAATTAGAATTTAGGGAAAATGAAAATAATGTGAGTTTTTAAAATATGTATGTAATGACACGTGCATATATACTTTTGATGCTAGATGAGTATCCTTATTTAAAATCAATAGATGAAACATCACATTGTCCGAGAAATAACATTTTAATTAAAATAATCTATATTCAAACAGCTGATATTTATTGTATAATGTTAAGTTATTTGTGTATGGTAAGTTGTGTATTTTATTTAATGAATAACAGTTTTATATGTCTATAACCATGCGGTGTGATAGGGTACATATGCACCATGTAGGGAAATATGATATTCAGGTCAAGTCAAGTGGTTAAGTGGGATGTTTTTTACACTCTAATTAATGTATTCTCTAGTGATTGATCGTTCAGTTAAACAGATCGGAAAATCTTTTTACATCATCAAAGTATCATTATATAATGTATTATTATATAATGAATACTTTATAAGCTCGTATAACATGTTTTACTTCGATTTTAATCGAGATGATAAAAATGCATCGTTTTATTTTTCTTGAACTGCTGAATGGAATATCATTATATAAAAATCAATATAATGCAAATCACTAGGTGAATTGTGTTAAGCCAATATTGTTATGGTTACCGGATTATATTGTGCCAAGCAATATATATTATATATATATTCATCAGCTATATATGTTCTTTTTACTATAAATTATATTGAAAAAATTCACAACTATTTTGTCTCAAATAATTATTGTGTTATAAGAAACTTTATTATGTGTATCAGTTTTGTTTGGATTATTAGCCTGTGTATGAGAAAAAAAGAGAATAAACATCAATAAAATGTGACAAAAATGCTGAAATTTTTTCTTTCTCGAACCTGATGTCCATATAACTTTCTCAGAGAGAGGAAGTGTGAATAGTAAGTGACCAGTAGCTGTGAATAATAGAAATTATGTATGAAATAGATGTTCACGCTTAATACAATGTAATTGTGAGCACAAAATGCACATGGATAAACTCTGATTTAAATTACATAATGGATATATGTCACTGAGAGTTTTAGTCAAGTGTGCATTTCCTTTTGAGTTCAGCTGCAATGTGCACTTGAGACACGTTGCTCCAATATCTTTCAATAAGGAACCATTAAGCACAATCAAGTTTAATCAAATAACCGTTAACCCTTCTCTCATATAGACTTTTTATTTTATTAGCCAAAAGAAGATTGTACTCGAAAATGAGAATGTACGATGTACGTAAAATGTATAACTAAATCTATTCATATTCCATAATATATGCAGATATCTATGTAATACATATTAAATAAGAAGAAATAATTATTTACTCACATGGTCTGGTTGGAAGTGTGACTGGTTCTTCCAGTTGTCTCAATTCTACTTCCAGTTTTTTAATACTGGGATATTTATGTTGCATCAATTTCATTATCTTTTTTATAAATCCCACATAATCTAGAGAAGAAGAAACAAAGAATGAGGGAGAGATTAGTTAATATCATAGAAATATATAGAGAACAAAGAAAAATAAAATTTAGTTTTTTATTTAATGCAATAAAATTAAAAATATGCAAAAGATTAATTAATATTAGTGATTTTCTAAATGCTAAATTTAATGTTTCTTCTTAAATATCATATAAGAATTGAGATCCAAATTTATTTTCCTGTTCTCAACAATTTAAAATTAGATCTTAGTTCATGTGTTCTTAGAGCAACAGAGAAATATTATTCATTCATATTTCTCAATTGGATTGGATATAGTTGGTTTCAAATAGTTCCAAGAAATGTATATGTGATATCAATCAATGTGTATCATATTACAATTTACCTCTAGGAAACTCTTGCGGAGTGACAAGTTCCCTGAAAAATTCTTGTGCGATGCTTGGCTGTTCTGTTTCGGAGAGTGTATTGGTGAACCAGAATTGAAGAGTTCTTTGTTCTTGTGTGTGCTTTCCAGTTTGTGCACTCACCAGGAACACTCTGAATTGTAGGCAAAGTTGGGCAGGGCATACTTCTCCATTGGTCACTGTAAGTTTGATATTTTATTACAATCTGTCAAATGTCATCAACTGGAGATTAAATAAAGACATACCAGCCGCAGCCTGTTTGTTGATGACAATTCCTTTGTGATCGCCACCAGCAACATGAACATTGCTCTCGTTTCCATTCTCTGCCGGAGGCTCCAAGGTTTGCCTTTCTATTATCAGTGTTGTGGAATTCGAAGTCTTGCATTTTGGTGTCATTACAATGTGCTCTGCTTAAAGGAAATGAAAAAACGTGTCCACAAAATGCTTATCTTATCGCGCACGATAAAATTGGCTCTCATTATAAATATATTGCGATTTCTCCAAAAATTACATTTTTACTAATTCTTTAGCATTTTTAAATAATTCAATTCGGGGTAAAGAATGACAGCTGTTTGCAAGATTGCGTCGAGGAATTTTTCAACGTAAAAATTTTCATTGATTTTAAAACGAAAACAATTTTCTGAATGTTTTTTTTCTATGCATGTTTCCCCCGTCTCCGAGTATACATTAAAAAAAAATCCGTTTCGTGACTTACCAGTTTTTTCACCCATCTTTGCAACGTAATTTCTCTCAGGCTGTTTGTGACACACTGCTATATTGTTCTCTCGCAAAAGTGATAGGACAGGGAGAGGGAAGGCGCAGTGAACTAGAACACTTTGAATAGGTATACAATAAAATTATATTCTCTACCCGTTTAGAACGACGGACAGCCGCTGACTGTCACTACTTCTTACGGTTACTAGTGACGACATCGTGAATCGACGCTGGCGCCTGTGAAGTCAGCAGCCGATGCGTCATCCCTGGCCATCCCTTCCTTTTCTCTTTCGCACGTTGAACGATTTGTGCTGTCTCGCCCTACCCTATTCTAAATTTATCACAATGCAGCTTACTGCGGAATGTCGATAGAAATTAATGAAAAGAGGAATGCACATTAATGGAAAATAATGAGGAAATACTTTGATTATTATTAATCGATAAGGTCTTGGTTTTTACGAGACTGCCGCGTTATCGTATTTAATTATAATATTATCATACGATGCGTCATGAGCAGCAAGATTGACGTCATCTCATCATGGTTCATATAATACAATCTATAATTGTTGAATGTCAATCTATGAATGTTATGCTTTGTTATATATAAAAAATATACGCGATAAAAGAAATATATATTATAATCGTAAAATAAAATGTGTCTTGTGAATATTTTATTTGCAATACTTTACAATGAATGACATACATTTGTATTGACTTAAGTAAAATATTACAAAAGTATTTTAATAAATATACATTTCTTAAAATAGTTGTATTACATGAGATGATCAAATAAAATGAATTATGTGAGCAAATTACTTGAGTTGGAAATTACATAAACATATCAATATAATAGTTTAATTAATATGTAAACAAATATTGTGCATTTTCAGAGAATTTATTTTTATAATTCTCTATCAATGGCTTAATCTCCTGAATCTTTTGAAATACAATCTAAATGTTATTTACAATTCTGCTAATATATATTTAACTAATATATCTTTTTTATCATATTAATTAAAGATATATTTCTATTAGAATTACTATTAATATGTTCAGCACATTTAATATATGTATCTTTAAACATTAGAGATATATTTCTTGATATAAACTAACTTCCATGAACAGCAAAAAACAAAATATTGGCGAGACTATCCACATTTAACATTTAAAATAATCACAAAGCGTAGTAATCAAAATTTTTCAATATTTTATATTGATTGCAAGTATAAATATTTCAATAGAAAATTATTAAATAAAACAAATTAAACAAAATTATTTACTTTTTATCTCAGAGGAACTGATGAAATAGATGTCATAGATGTTAACGAAGACGGTCCAGAACTAAGATTAAGTTTATCCAATTCTTCATCTGCTTTGTTGTTCTTCAGATCCTGTTGCGTATACAAAAACTTGTTCCATTCATCAAGTCTTGGATGAGCTAAATGCTATATGGGAAGAGAAATCAAATATAGTTCTCCTCAAACTTCAAAAATAAAATTTATCATTAGATTTATTACATAAATAAAGAATCAAGAAAAAAATCTTAAAAATAATTAGCATACGTACCTCGGCGACGTCATAAACCCATATTTTACCCGTGTCATCTCCGACAGTAACGTGCAATCCACTCGGTGTCCACGATACTCTATTCAGAGCCGGACACCCGTCGACGACAACGCTAGCAGCAGGTACTTCCGTATCCTGATTTAGATTCCATAAATCCAGCCTGCCTGAATCGTCAACAGAAGCAAACAACGCCGGATGTGTCGGCGACCAGGCGACATCGTAGACGTAATCGCCGTTGTGCTCGAAAGAATAAAGCGGCTTGTTCTCTTTGAGACTCCAGAGTTTAATAGTCCAATCGAGGGAAGATGTCAGGAACAGATGGGAAAAATCTATTCCGCCTTGTACCGCGTGTGCGCTAATGCCGGTCACCGGTCCCTGATGTCCTTCATATGTCTCTGTTAACCCGGCGCGGCTACCGTGTCGGCAAGCTGTTCAACAATACATTTAAATAGTGTTAATAATTTTATATATATATATATATATATATATATATATAAAATGCAGTTACCTGAATAAACGGTTCCGTCCTCACTTCCCATGACGAAATTATTAACATCACCATGCGGAAAAGCCAAGCATGTAGCAGCAATCGCTTTCGATTGCTTTGTATGCAATTCCAATGCCTCCTGCGGCTGCGACAACATATCCAGACTCCACGAACACAATTTACCATCCGTCGAAATACTGATCAGATTGTGCGCATTTTGCGTTCCAACAACGCTTAAGCAGTATACAGGGTGCTGCAGCAAAAAATAACAATTTTCATAAACAATCAGAGCTAACTACCTAGAAATACGAAGTCACTTACAGTGTGTGCGGTAGCGGACAGAGGAGTGCGCTGTATAGGAGTTCTCTTCTGTACTCGATTGTCCCAAAGTACGATCTGACCGGAATAAGTGCCACCCAGAATCAAATTCGGATGGAATCTGGCGAACGTGGTGGACATGACGGGCGACTGACAGTGAAAGATAAATTCCGGGGTTGTTTTCTTGAATTTCGTATTCCAGATTAGGCACACTCCATCAGGATCATTTGGAGTATCGTCGTTGTTATTGTATGAAGCCGCCAAAAGTTCGGGGAACTGCGGCGACCAATCCATACTGGTCACACAGCGATTACGGGACCATCGTTCGCAGATAAATGAGCGATTTAGCCAAAGTCGTTGATGACTCTTCTCGTCCCTGCAAATGCAATTTACAGTTATATATAATTCTGCATAATTAAATTGATAATCAAGAGCAAAACGTATCTACTCTGAAATAATTATAGTTTCTGGAAAATTAAATACATTTTTAAAATGCCATCTTTTATACTTACATTCCATCTTCACCGTCCATAGTACCAGTGTAATCAGTATAAATATCGACCGATTCGCCTAATGCTCTCTCCACAATTCTGCTAGTGCGATCAAGGAATCGTTGGAAATCCTCGGATAGAATAATCATCTGCTTCTCTTCTTCACTAAGCTCTCGTACTTTTAATTAAGGAAAATTGAATTAATAAAAATGTAAAGATTTTTGATCGTTAAATGTAGGACCAAAATGCAAAGAGAATAATGATTTTTACTTACCTTCCTTCTTGGGTTTTTCTTTCTCTTTCTCTTGCTCTACTTGCGTCATGGCAGGCTGGACTTCCTTAACTTGCGGTAATCCGTGAGGGAGAATTCCCGGTGGAAGCTTACTTTGGAAACCGTCCATGTGCGGCAAGCTATTTTCTTCGTCTTCGGCTTGGCCATCATCAAATGTCAAAACTGTGGTGAATAAGCTGGTTCCGCTGTACCCTAACTTGCACGCAACTAACTATCTAGCTACTAATCTATCTATATTTACTTATTGTTAATTTCGACAATACTGAATAATGAATTTATCGAATCTCTTTTTTTTTACTATATTTTTTTTCAAAAAGGAGGAAAATTATTTTGCAACAAATATAAAATAAATTTAAAAAATTTTGTAATGTAGCAATTTGTCATTTTATATACATATCCATGAGAGAAAAACAACACTATGCATTCTACTAATCCGTAAATTCTAATATTTAATTTCTGCAACATCTTTATATCTGTTTCTATATTTCAAGTGCCAAAATTTACATGCCAGCATATCACAAAAAATAAATTTGTGCTCATTTCTTTAAAACAAAGTAATATGTTTTCTAATATAAATTATACAGATATAGCTAACTTGCAACTTTTAATAAAACTTTTTTCAAGGAACATTTAGAAGCATTGATAAATGTCATATCGAATAATATACCATGCTAAAAAACTTAAAATTGTATACATAAAAATCCAAGATTATATATACATATTATATTTATATGTATATATAATATGTATACATACTTATATATATATATGTAAGAATGTGAGCCTAGATGACATTAAAGTTAGACATATATACGAAAGGTGGACTGTTTGTTGGTGGACTCTATCACAAATAAAATTTTATATATATTATATCTAGACATTATTTTATCTCTTCAATAATTTTTAATTTCTCTCCACCCTTTGTGCATGCAATATCAATGAAATGGAACAATATATGGAAAATGTAAAGAAAAATACATGTGAATAATTGTCTAATTAATAAGAAAATATTAATTTCTCATTTACCCGTAATCTCTATTAACTATTATTAATTAAATCGTTATGATATAGAAATCAAGCGTAGTATCAGTAATACAAGTATATATGAAGATCAGTTTCACCATTTCTCTTTTTCAAAGCATTAATATTAATTTTATAAACGATTAATGAATAGAATTTGCGAACAATATAGTCAGAAAAGAAATGACTTACCATCGCGATTATACCTTTTTAAAAAATAATAAAATAAACAAATGCATATAGAATATGGGGTTGAATTAACGCAACTTCCCAGGTCTCATGCAGTGCTGATTAAATTTACAATAACTACGACAATGGCAACGAAAAAAAAAAATAAAATCTACAATTTTATCGTTTTAATTCTTAAAATAATAAAGAATTAATAAATGTGTGAAAACAAAATCTCAAAGTGTTAAATCTTAAATATCGTCAAATAGTGGATATCAATTTGCAGTATAATTCATTGCTTTAAAAAATAACAGTGCTATAAACAGTTCAACTTTTGCATGCGCATAAGCGAATATAAGTAAAGCGAATTTATCTCGGAAAGGGAATTATAAAATAATATAAAATAAAGCATCTTAATAAGCAATTTGTAAACGTCAGCGGCAATTCCCCTTTTTCAGTGCAAAATATAAAGCAAAAACAGCAAATTACAATAGAAAGTTATGTGAAAATTACTTTTAGACATAACTTTGTGAAAGTGCGAAATAGAATTATGGACATGTCCGTGAAATAATTAGGTACAGTGAATCGTCCTTAGAGAGGATTACCTACCTGTAAATTCGTCCTCCCATTCTAAACCAGGATTTAGATTGTACTCGTCTTGAAGGAGGGAAAAGAAAATGTCAATCAATTTGATATCCTATTTGCCGGAATAGCTTGTAGGCTTTTTTAAATATTTTTCTATCAACATTATTGATGCATAATGTACATGTACAAAAATTAAAAGTTACTTGAGTCTTTTGTCTCGCATATTATAATTTAATCGTGAAAAATTTCTACCGTTGGCATCATTCTCGCAATCTAATCTAATCTATATTGCAATATAAGATTCAAATAACTTTATCTGTTCTTTTTTGTCATGCAAAATACATCAACAGCTTTTTAAAAAATTTAAAAGTATAAATTGAAATGATTAAATCATAGAATATATATGTGTGTGTATATACACAAGCGTACAATATTCCCATTAGCGATTGTAT